GGTTTTTTTTTTTTTTTTTTTTTTTTTTTTTTTTTTTTTTTTTTTTTTTTTTTATTTTTTATTTTTTTTTTTTTTTTTTTTTTTTTTTTTTTTTTTTTTTTGAGTTGCTTTGCTACGAGGTGCTTTCTATCCAAGAGCAGCCAGGGCGTGGTCTTACAACCATCCAAGTTCAACTTCTTTTCCTCTTAGAATTCGTTGTGAGTTCGTCTACTAACTTTGAGGCGTCATAGTTCAGTAGTGCTATGACTTCACGTGGATGGGTTGGACTATTGATTTCGAATATAAGATACCCGGCAGGCGTTGGTGATACACAAGATTTGCCGCAAGGAACATCAAAAACGACACAGTCGATCTGGGTAGGCATACTCGGGTAACGAGCGGACTTTTCGGTGAAATATATTGCATTAGTATGGACGAATGGAAAATGGGTAATTACCTGGACAGCATTCAAACGGCGTCTGTTTTTAAATAGCGAGCGTAATAAAAATACGTCTTCTCTCGTATTTGGATCAGAAGAGTGCTCTTATAGTATGACCCTGCATAGTGAAGTCACTGTGCGCGTTTTCATGCCATCTTGGTGAATCACATCATACTCCCCTCCCCCCCTTTAGTTCTTGGACTTCTTACTGTAACAATTCATTTACTTATCTGCCTACCTAGGGTAATGATACGTACCTCAGGTGAGCGGTCTCTTGAGAATTTAGGATATGTTGGTAAGGAAGGGAAACTCAAATAATTCTTGAGCGGGTAAGACTTAAGAGACGTTGAAATATCGCGCTGTCGGGACGGAGCAGAGGTTGATGGATGAATCCCCGGGGAATGGTAGTCGGAGTCAGGTGGGTTTGGTATAGGAGAGTGGCCTGTGAGGGTAGGAAACGACCTAGATATCTAGCATAACATAACAGAGGTTCTCTTACAGAGTATAGAAATCTTAGTGCTTGATCAATATTAGAGGTTATTTTGGAAGTACATGTGAATCCGAATTTACATATATCGCGCGGTATAGATGGAACAATTACAATAGGTTAACAGTTGTCAGGTAAGAGGTAGTCAGTTGGTTAATAAGATAACGAACCACCGCAAGAGAATTTGTGATCTCATAGTATCGTTCGTAGATTCACCATATATGTATATACCTAATATACCTCTAATATACCTGTATCTAGTAGTTTATGTATACAAATGCTGTAGGTACCTATCAATAACATGAAGCTTCAAACCGCTAGCCGCTGGACCCATGGGTTACTAAGATCAGTGAAGAAGCTGGCCCCTTTCACTGTTGTCGGGGTGTCCTTGGTGACTGTAACATTACAGTTCGTAATCCAGTCCCCTTCGGCAGCATACTTTTCCGCGACGTATCTCGCATAGTCGCTCAGCTGGCAAGACGACCCAGGGCCGTTACGGCAAGAGGGGATCGGATACACCGCATCGTTCAATCTGATGCGGACGTATGTCTCGCTCAACCCGCTCGAGGGACAATCCCTGGGTTTTCGGCAGCTCCTTTTCACGCAGTTCAGACGTTCGAAAGCGATCGTGCCTCTCATTGTCACATACCGCGACCCTACCCATAATCTGCTGTCATCCTTCTCGGTAGCAGACAGCGCGGGTTGTTCGTCGAAAACACCGCTCGCAGTGACGAGTTCGGTCAGCTGTCCGTCATTCAAGAACGACACCAAAAGCTTCGGAATGTTGAAAGTCGAACCATTGATTCCTACGCCTGTGCTAGTCTCGTTTTGAAGTATGCCAACGAGTGTGTTTAAGAAAGGCGTCATCATCTTCTTGGGCAGGTCTGTACCTGGTCCAATACCATAATAATATCGAAGGTCGTTAGAGTATTCGTATTGCTTTAACTCCTCGTCGGTAAAAATATCGCACCAGGGCGAAAGCCGGCCAGTGATATGGCTTTCGAAGCCGCACAGGTATGGTATCTGGGCGATATCACCCGCTGTCAAAGATAGATTGCCCTTTATCAACTTCTGCAGACGATTCTGAACCGGCGGGATCCAAATATCGTCCCAGGTGGATTTATATTCTCCTCCCTCGAGATCTTTAAAATTAGGACACATGTCCGACGGGGCGAGCGAATCTCCAACGCCAGCTGGGAAACCTCGAGACGTAACCGAGATTACGCTCCCTTTCTGAGGAGCAGCGACACCCAAGTAGCCGCGAACAAACATGGACGCTGTTTGGAGGACCCGAGTATAGTTATTGGCCCACACCACGAAGTCGTCTCCTTCTCGGTAGAGGCCCGGATACCTGCTGTCGTTAGTGTACCTGTACCTACCTAACCCTAAGAGCGAAGATTCCGGAAAGTAGCAAACCTGGTTCGTAGTGTATAACCTAGATCTAGGGCCTCCTTTACACCAGTAGGATTCTCCATGGCAATCTGTGAAGCAGGGTCTTCAAGGACAGGCCGCCAGTTTTGAAGGAATGCTAAGCTCTCGGTTGCCGTAAAGTTGCTGGCTTGAAACTAGATGCGATGATTTTTCAGTTCATACTAGAGTTGCGTATTGAATATCATCTTATCTTGGAAGACCAACCCGTTCATACATGGAAACCCAGCCATCGTAAGCCCCTTGGTCGGGGTATCTCGAACCGTGTCTCGAGATATAAGCAGCTCGGTCGACATGGCAACCTCGAGGGGGCTCGGGTGAAATCCCGAATACATTTGGGCCTGATTGCGAGTTAATAATGAGTGAAATCCGAAGCTATACGGGATTTAAAGGTCTACTTACCAGCATACCACGGTCCGTTAGCTCCAAGCCACTCGAGGGGATTCGTCGCGCTTTCACTACGGGGAAAATTAATGTCCTGAGCTGGCGCTAGATGTTGTCCCGCCGCATCGGAGAGCCGGAATGTTAAAGCGGCGATGACGGATCGTGATATCTGCATGGCGACGTTTTGCTAACGATCGATCTGTAGCAAAATGGGCTGGATATGTAACCCTACATGCACTCTCATGGCCATGACCATTACTTATATAGGTACCTAGGTATATATATATCTCTCTTTTATAAATCAGTTCGCTAATAGAATTATCTAAATCATCATCCCCCCAGTTGATATCATTTTCAGACTATAAAACAAGCATATCCACAACATTCCGAGTAGCATTCGTTAATTTGGGGTGTTATCATCTTCGCGACGAGCACGTGTCGAATAGTCGTCTTCTGGTTTGTGTAAGTGCTTTAGTTCCAGTATAAGATGGTACGAATTATCAATTTTGGTTCATAGCTCATTTCATGCACCTGCCTATAATAGACTACCTATAAATGCTATGAGGTAGGTAGAGGTAGAGGTAACTCGATTGCTAGGATTAGAGAGTTACCATACCATTACTTTAGGTAGTGGTACCTTACCTTAGGCAGGTACAGGTAAGGTAGAGTGATGTTTTTGGAGGTCTAGAGCGTGAAGACCCCACACCGTGCGAGAATCCCACGTTCCTACCCTGTCCCTTCTGTCTTTTCAAGTACAGTACTTCAGTCAACAACCCTGAAATTTGTACAAGGTACGTACTATGCATATTGTATCGTTGAACAATTCACGACGCGTCTAAAACTCGTAACCGCGTCTTGTAATTACATTACCACCCACACGTCATTTTTTGCTAACCTACTTAGATCACTCACACATGCTGAAGTGTTCGTGATTACGAGATATCCTGTCGGCGGCTAATTCATTGGAATTGGATAAGAAGCAGAAAAGAGCAGAAACTCGGATCTCATTGTCATGAACTAAACGGCGAAGTTTTAGCTTGCCATTGATATTTGACAAGGGAGGTTAGGTACACACGGGCTATAGAGGAGAGACATCGGCTTATTCAATATGGCGGACCCGACTCCAAACAAGAATCGTCTCGCAGCTATCAGTACCCCTCGAGCACTCGCGACCCCGAACCGGCGCGCCATCAGCGCCGAGCCCTCCTCTCTCCGTCTATCCGCTTCGGGCCGCCGAAACCCTACCACGCCCCACGCCCGCGCTGCTATCCGGGCTATAGATCAGCGGAGGGCAGCTCTATTCACGCCTGGACGAGTGGGACGACGGCGCAGCGTTGCGCGCGAGCGTGAGCGCGAAACGCCGCGGGATCTTCTGCGGAACCTTAGTCGGGTGCTCGCACCCACGTCGACGGTAGTCTCCTCCTCTTCCTCTTCGTCACCCCATCGCGGCAATGAGTCGACGTTGCAGACTCTCCTCGAAGAGGGCGACGATGACGACGACTTCCCTATCGAGCGTCCCCGTTTCTCGTTGCCCTTGGACCGCGACGACGACGACGACAGCGAACTGAAGCCTCCCCGGTCTAGCATACTGGATGACGAGAACTACACCATGCAGTCGATCGAGCTCCCTCGCCGAGCGTGGGCGGAAGCGCCCTTGGGTCGCTTGGATAGAAGTAGCTTGGGCAGCGCGAGGATGAGCGACTTCGTCGGGCCGGAAATAGGAGACGATGCTGACGAAAATAACGTTGGTATCGACTCGGGTTTCTTCCCACCGCCCGCTCTAGACGACGACACTGGGGGAATTGCCTTAGACGAAGAAGCCATATTCGAACGGTATAGTCATGTTGACCTTTATGTGTAAAGTGAGGAGGTGCTGACGGATTTTAGCATGGACGAGGAGACAAGACGTCAGACTATGGGAGGCCAAGATGATTTCGGTCCGATCGAAATTCCCGATCTCGGGAATGAGAGTACCTTTGTCATGGCCCCGGTGGAATCGCCTACTCGAGACCAAACAATGGCTGAGGGTGCTGAAAGTAGCGATATACCTGGTTTTGACCCTTACGATGACGATGGGGACGACGGTGGTGATGGTGATGGCGATGGCGACGGCCTGGGAGATTTAACAGAAGCGCCCGGATTGGACGATGTTGATGATGTCGATGATGTCGACGATACAGAGGCTTTACAGAACACAATTATCTCTCAAGTCGCTAACCATCCAGCGCAGAGAAGCGCCGGAAGAAGGAAACCCGGCAAGAGAATATCTCGACACGGCATTGAATACCCTTCTTTACCTGTGGGTGTCGTAAAGCGACTAGCGACAACACTAGCCAAGACGGCAGGGGCTAGCAAGGCGAAGTTAAGCGCAGATACAGTAGACGCCATCATGCAAGCAATGGACTGGTATTTCGAGCAGTTGGGAGACGATTTATCGGCGTACGCGAGGCACGCAGGTCGCAAGACTATCGATGAGAGTGATATGATGATGCTCATGCGAAGGTACGTTGTTTTACATTCATATTGGGGTATATGTTTTATTCCTAGTCGTACGAATTGAACTAACCTTTTCTCGCAGACAACGGCAGACCAGCGCCTCTACCACACCCTTCTCCTTGGCGCAGCGGTATCTGCCTAGAGAACTCTTACAGGAGATGCGAATGTCGGTCCCTGCACTAACGAAAGCCCCTCAGAAACGACAGGCCCGACAAGGGGATGTCGAGGAAGAAGAGGAAGTTACTTGAGTTCCCTCCTAAGTCGTGAGTTAACCAAAATGGGTGTAACCCATATCCGTTCGTAAGGAGGGTTTACGACCATTCCCTATTCAACCTCACTCGGCGCGTGATATCGGTGGGAGGCTTTTTCACCACCATGTAGAACATTATCGACGTCGCCACGGCAAGTCCATACCTAAGGTATGTTAATTAGGTAGTTCAAGCGCGAGAAGAGAAGTATAGGATATTTAAGGAGTCATACCAGGTAAAGATATACTGGGCGTGGTTATTCCTCAGGTTAACCTCAGCAGGTCTACCAATGGGAATACCCTTCGATTCCATGTCCAGAGTCTCGAGTAACCCCGGCTCTGCGAGAATAAAAGCAATCAATATTAGCTAAGAGAACATTCCCAGTAACCAGAGATATATCCACTTGTGTCCATAGGTAAATAATGAATTGTCTAAACGTACCCATCGTCTGCTCGATCCAAACGGGCTGGCTCCCCGTCAAAGCAGCCATCTGCTTGACATCGGGGAAGTAGAACTCATTCTTATCAGGGCGGTTATCAGGCGTAAACATATTCTTCTTCCACGGCTCCCGTAGTAGACCCTCCACGGTGACCTCTTCCGTAGGCAGGGACTCGGGCCTGCTCCGCTGGTCGCGGAACTTCTTGGATATCCAGCCGCGGTTGACGAGGACGGTGGCGCCGCCGTCGCCCGCGCGCTCGAGCGGCGTGACGACCATGTAGCCCTGCTCGCCGTCGCGAATGCGGGGGCCGACGAGCATCTCCCGGTCGTGGCGGTACTTGCCGGTGGCGGTGACGCGGCGGAAGTCGAAGTCGTGGATGGCGTCCGGGTCGACGCGGGGCGGCAGCGGCAGCGGGTCCCGCACGATCCGGTCCTCGAACTTGGCGATCAGGTCCGTCTTCCACCCCAGCCGCTGCACCTGCCACGTGCCCAGCACGAACGCCGTCACGGGGATGATGGCGAGCACGATCAGGCCCGGCCCGTGCCGCCGGCCCGCGCGCACGAGCTCCGGCGGGTTGTCGAGGATCGAGGTGAAGGCTGGGTCTTCGGCTGGCGAGCGGTGCTGGTGTTGTCGTCGCGCGGTGTGTGTGAAGGGCCGGCTAAGGGGGAACGAGGACCGCGGTCGACTCCTGGGGAGGTCGGAAGGTCGGAAGATGGAGGTAGAGGTAAAGGAGGTCTGGGTGCTGTAGCTCTGGGGTTTGGATGCGCGAGCTTGGGCTTCGAGGGCTTGCTCGACTCGCCGAGCGAGTAATTGGGGTGTTAGCCACCCGTGCGACTTCATGGCGGAGCGGGTGGTGGTGTATCTTAAGTTTCGAAAATCACCTAAGTACCTACTAACCTAACCTTAGGTCTACCTAGGTAATTAATTGAATTTATTTTCTTGTTATCTTGTTATCGCGGCCATTGACGATGACGTTCGTTTTCTTCCAATAAGTGAAACTCTTTCATTGGTCATTGACCAGATTCTGTATGTTGTACCTAGGTATGTTGATCCAATCAATTGGGGGCTGCGGGGTCAACTGCCCGAAGCTTGAGCAGGGGGTCCGCCGTAGGCTAGGTTTGTTTAGGTATGGTTCAGGGCGTGCTTTAGCTTTTAAGTACTCTGGTACTTTGGTACTTCGCACTTGTAACCTGTTAAACAACCTTACCTGACAGACAGCCCGGACAGCTTAAAGCTTCTCAACTTGTGGCACTTATTAATAACAACCTCATGACGCCTCGGCCTGTTTGCAAGACATTCCCAAACCAAAGAGGCGCTCAACTTAGATAACTTCCAAAGAGAAAAAAAAAGAGGGATCTAAGTTTCGTAATGGTTAAAATATTACGAGAGGTTTAAAATTGATAATTCAATCAAGAATAAATCGCCTAGACTCAACCTGAACCCGCATCTCGATTCTCATCTCAATAATTACCTAAGGTACCTAGGTCGATATAAACATCCAGTCTCGTTTATTTCAACTGCGCTCTGTCCCCTTGACCCCTTGTCTTACACATCCACGAATTTATTCGCCACCTCTTCTTCTTACGACTTCAAACTTCCAGCAGTAGCAAATAGCGATGCCAGACGGTACATTTTTCGAGGGCAGCCTCCAAGATGGCATCAACCTCGCCATCCAGCAATCCAAGATGGTCCTTGCATTTGTCACTGGTAAGTCACCCGGTGCTAAAAGATAACGTGATCACAGTCAAGCTCACACGAATCCAGATAGTGGTGATGAGAGTCAGTTATGGGAGGATGAACTCCGCACCAACGACTCTGTAAGTAATAATACATTAGGTATGAATTAAGGACATAAAGGTTAACGTTGTCTAGCTAAAAGCACCTCTCGAGCATCAAGCTGTGGCCTTGCGACTGCAGGCAGGGTCCGAAGAAGCAGGCTTCTTAGAGGCGCTATTTCCTATACCAAAGAAGCCTACAGTGGTTATCATTCAGTATGTCTAATTCCACGCCTTATCATGTTATATACGGTATCCTCACTCACACATAGTACAGAAATGGGACTTTAAAGGAATATATACAAGGGGGCACGGCAAGGGAAGATCTTATTCGCAGAGTTGCAGCGATTCTGAGCACCACATCAACGACTCAGGCTCAACAGCCAGCTGCTACCCCTGCAAGTCAACCATCTCCAGCCCCTCCAGCCCCAACATCTACTAGGAATCATGTAACAGATGATCTGTACGATAATTATGATATCCCAGCTAGATCCTCTCCGGCACCGGCCGAGTCTTCTCGAGAGGGGCAGGACTTACTAGCAGCAAGACGTTTAGAAGCTGAGAAGAAAGCTAAGGAGGCCAAGGAAGCCGAAGCTAAAGAAGCTAAGGCCAAAGCAGAACGAGAAGCTAAAGCTCAAGAACGCCGGAGAGCAAGCGAGAACAACGAAGGCCAGTCCTCTTCCAGCAGCAGACCAGAACGATCTTACGCCGAAGAAGTCAGGCAACAGAAGATACGAGCAGCTGAGGACAGAAAGCGCATTCTGAAGCGCATCGAAGACGATAAGCGAGAGCGAAGGGAGCGAGAAGCCAAGGAGAAACAGGCAAGGCTCCTTCTAAGCTCGACAAATGACGCCGAAGCGTCTAGCAGCCAGACTCCACCTATTGCCCTCCCTCGGAGACAGGCCAGCAGCAGCTCGGGCGGGGAGTACTGTAACTTACAAGTCCGACTTTTGGACGGATCGACGATCCGATCCCGTTTCAAGAGCGACGCATCGCTCGGCAGCGAAGTACGCAAGTGGATCGACGAGGACCGGACCGACGGCGACGCGCCGTACACCTTCCGCATCGTCCTTACGCCTCTGCCCAACAAGGCCGTCGAGCCTCCCGAGGAGTCGCAGTCCCTGCTCTCCCTCGGCCTGGCCCCTTCCGCCACCCTCGTCCTGGTCCCCGCCAAGTACTCGTCCGCGTTCCCGTTCGCGTTCGCGCGCGCCTCCGACAACTTCGTCTGGCGCAGCCTGTCGTACATCCTGGGCTTCGTCGGCTCCGGGTACGGGCTCCTCTCCGGGCTCCTCGGCGAGCTCGCCGGCCTGCTGACCGGTCGCGGCGCCGCGGCGCCCGAGGAGGTCCCACTGCAGAATCTGGCTGCGGGTAGGGCCGCCGGCTCGTCGCGGATTAGGGGGTTTGATAGTAGTGCCGAGGAGAGGCGTAGGGACGCGCAGTTGTATAATGGGAATTCGGTAAGTTTTTTTTGGCTTGTGAAGAGAAGTTGGGTGAGGCAGACTTGATATTTCATTGCTAACGACGACCGCTAAATAGTTGAATTTCGAGCCGCGGAGAGATGAAGATGACGAAGAAGATGGAAATAGGTAGGATGGATGGGTGGGTGGTGGCAGAATTGGGTTAAGAAGAGAAGGGAATGGTTGATTTGTGGTAGTATTGATTTCCAACCCATCTCCCCCCTTTTCGCGTGTAAAGGGCTGTTGTGTTTAATGTATCAAGTAGAAATAGCTGCGGTAACGAGTTAATTATACTGCGTTAAGTATGATCTCCAATGTACAATACGGTCTCCGGTTGTCTGATCCCAAAATTCGCCGGTTGTGCTGCCACTTGTGAAGCGGGTGGCATGTGCTGGGCACGAGAGATTCCCTATGGGAGAAGAGTCTCAAAGGGTTTATTCGTATAAGTTTCTAGAATGGAACTACATAACTGGTACCTACCTCCCTACCACGAGCCGATCTGCTTTAGCATGGCCGAAATCCTCTTGAATCTAATGCCTAACTACGAATGCGCAAATTCTTATTCTTGTTGTATAAACTTGTCGCGTAAGCATGGGACCTGTCACTTCCGGAATTCCTATATTCTCAATAAGATGGCAGAAAGGAACATCGTATTCTGCTAATCATTCTACCAGGTCTAGGCTGTCGCTATCAATCCCCTGAGATTCAGAGGTTATGCTTATCCCTAATGTGATCTCCCAACTTTCTCAGGCCTCGCCGGCTAACCCTCGGTGGCGTCTTTGTATCATCTAGGTACCAAATTAACAATGAAGCATTGACGATGAAGTATTTAGGATGAATGGTCGATGGTGAGGTGTTGTATTAATAGCATGATTCAAATTCTAACCTCCTTTTATGCTCCTTTTTTATAGAAGAAATGCTGGGCTTCTTTGTACCTTGGGTACTTAAGCTATTGCTCTGTTAGGTATACTCTGATAAATACTCTACTGCAGTCTCCAGGACCGCAGAATAAAATGTATCTACCTAAGGTATGTCCTTTAGGGCATTGCCTCCAAGTACCTATGATACTCATACCCCTATGAAATGTGTATCATGCGTACAATTCAGCAGATCAGAGCTACGTAATAACTTCCCGGGGTTTACTACGTAGGAGCTCGAGGCGTACATGTTAAAGAAGTATAGTTGTAAAGGCTACCTTGGGTATGGACGATGTCAACTTGGAAATCATATATCGTTTGAATCTATGTAAAGCTTAAAGGGGGACTAAGTACGGGTAATTACATTATATGCAACTAGCAGGGCACCTAAAAGTAGTTATACGTACGCGCTGACGAGTCTTGACCTGGAATGCTTTTGACCAACTATAAAAGACCCCTTATATCCTCCCCACTAAAAAGTTTCTAGAATCCCCAGCCTTGCCGCCTAACATCGACCTACGTAACCCCACTATCTTCATATACCTACTTCAAGTCCCGTCTATAAACAAGAAAAAAAAAAGAAAAAAAAAAAGAAACATGGCCGACGCAGAATTAGAACAGGTAGGTACATGCCTAAATATTACAAGTTTCTCAAGCCATTACTACCGCCGCTCAAAAACTAACGAGTAACTCGTAGATCCGCAAAGCGCGTCTAGAGCAGCTCAAGGCGCAAGGCAGCGGGGCAAGCAGTTCGGGTCCCAGCGCAGGAAACCAAGCCGAGCAGCAGAGACAGTAAGCGTTATTATTCCCTTCTACTTTCTACCTACCTAGGTACTTTACTTAGGTTAGGTACCTCTTACCTACCCGCATTCCTATAACTAACGCCTCCTTCTCCCAGGCAAGAAGCCGAAGCTCGCCAGTCGATCCTCAACCAGATCCTGCACCCGGAGGCCGCCGACCGCCTGGGCCGCATCCGGCTCGTGAAGGAGGAGCGCGCGACCGACGTCGAGAACCGGCTCATCATGCTCGCGCGCACCGGCCAGCTGCGCCAGAAGGTCACCGAGGCCCAGCTCAAGGAGCTCCTGAATGCTGTGGCCGATACCAAGGAGGAGGAGAAGATCGTGGTGAACAGGCGGAAGAACTGGGACGACGAGGATGACGACCTGCTAGATTTGTAATGTGACGGAAGCATAGGGACGGTTTATATATATAAATATATATACCATTTTGGAAGGAAGATTGCTCTAGGCTGGGGAGGCTTGATAATGACGTAGGTTAAAGAGTAAGGAGGGGGAAAAGGGGAGAAATGGGGGAGAGAGAAAGAGCACGATGCGACGAGATAGCACAGCACAGCACGACATGGCAAGCCAAGGAAGGCAAGGCGTTTCTGGGGGAAAAGTAGGAGTGGCTAGCTTCTATTGCGGTCCTCGTTACCTGCGGTCCATAATTACTTGTATGGATCGGTTCAGATTACCTCTATCCATCTATTTTTTTTTCTATTAATGAGAAACTCATGAATGAATACCAACCGATAAGATAGCTTCTTCCTCTTCCTTAACTCGCAACCTCCTGCGCAGCAACAGCAGCCCCCTCCTTCAACCTCTTCTTCTCCGCGCGTTCCCGCTTGCGTATCTCCCTCAGATCAGGCGGTCTCTCGATGCCCAACCGCGCCCTCAGCGCGTCCACGTCCGTCTCCATCTCCTCCTCCCAGTAGACGTTGATCACCTCGTCGCTGCGCACGCCGTTGCGCACGGCCCAGGGCCCGTATATCCTGAAGAAGCGGCTCCGCTCGGCGGGCTTGAGCGTGGCGAGGGCGAGCACCGCCAGCCCCGTCATCGGGAGTAGGGTGTTGGCGAACTCGAAGGCCTTGAGCGCGACCTCGCCCTCGCGGACGATGGGCAGGCCCGTCAGCGCGTGGTAGAAGTCGTGCGACTCGCGGTACCGCTGCATGACGTACGCGCACTCCTCGTCGTCGATGAACCGCACCCCGCCCCGCGTGTCCGGCGACACCCCCTCCCGGTCCAGCCACGCCGCGTACGTGCCGCCCACCGTGCCCGGTGGCAGCGTCCGCAGGTGCGGCAGGTTCAGCGACGCCGACGTGATGCGCGGCCGGTCCCGCAGGATCCGCCGCCCCGTCGGCGACGCGAGCATCGCCCGCCGCAGCCGCTCGATGAAGTACGGCGACGCCGTCGCCTCCCCGAGCGCCGCGATCATGTCCCCCCGGTACGGGTCCAGGAAGGATACGATGCCGGAGCCGACGGCTAGGGCGGCGCGCTCGAGGCCCGTGAGAGGTACGTGGCCCGGGTAATTTGGCGGAGGGCGGTTGAGGACCGAAAAAGATCTCCTGTTGTTTTTGCTATTTGCTGTGATGCATGATGGCGATGATGATGATGCTGCCAATGCCGCTATGGTTAATTGTTGTAGCACGTTCTGGATTAGGCCATGCCGGCTCGACACGGAGCGTAGACAGGGAGTGAGAGCTTTCATTTTTGCTGAGACCCCTACAGTTTTGAATGGTCCAATTCCTAATAACGGAAAATTCTTCCAAGTTTATTCCATTGACACTGGAGCGGATATTTAGTCAACACCAAATTGTTGGTCGTATACTCAACTAGATATCGTATGTTCCGGAGCTAAGAGTGAGATGTTAGAGTGACAATCAACGGCCAAGATATCGTTCCGTTATATGCATATCGGCTATTGAGGTATTCTATATTCTATACCTCAGGAGGTACCAAGCAAATAGGTTAGGTACCTCCTATGTACCTAACCATATACCTTAGATCAATTGATGTCATGTCACTTATTTTCCATGTCGCATCGTAGCTCTTCCAAGTTCCAACAACATCTACATCCATAATCAGTACGGCAACACTTTAGTTTATCGAAACCCGCCCGTGCTTTAATTCGAACCAATCTACCATCTGCCATTCCACATACCCTCCTCGTTTCGCAATGGCAGTATTCCAATCGAAGAAGTATCGAAGTGCCGCCGATGTTAACTCGTTTGCCGCGAAATACCGCGCCATGATGGCGAAGCACCCATTCTTGCTATTTGGGTTACCGTTCATGTCCGTCATAGTCGCCGGATCCTTCGTCTTAACACCTGCTACGGCTGTGCGGTACGAGAAACATGATCGCCGAGTTAGACAGATGACACGCGAGGAAGAATTGGGAGTCGGCAAGTCGGGGCGCAAAGTGAATTTGAAGGATGAATATTATGTTAGTTTTTTTTTATATAGAAACTTTGGCCCGTCTTGACGTTCAATTTCTAATGGACTATTCTAACCTATACTGTATAGAGGCTTTCCGCAAAAGATCTAGACAACTGGGAACAGAAGCGCGTTAAGAGACTTCCTGGTGAGCACGACGGTGTGTTATGAATAATTTCGATATTGGCTCCGGAGAACCTTCCCCAACGGTTATTACGAATTCCATAAACAGAGCTCGTCATCTAAAAGCTTCAAGAAAAAGCATCCGGATTGATTACAGTATGAGTAGTCTATTGCATTGGGATTGAGGGAAGACTATCATTGGAACCGATCAACGATGCAAAAAAGAAAAAAATGTCGATCTTGACGAGGTACACGTAGCGTTTGTAGCACCGCCCTGTCTACCTACTAAGGGGGGGGTGTCTCGTCCAGCCACATTATTCCTACTTATAGCGGTTCAAAGTGACTTCCTTGGTTTCCAAAGCTCCAAGCATAGGTTGTCTTCTACGCCGATGCATCAAAAGTTCACATCGCATAGGATTCCGCGATTCATCTCAAAAACCTTAAATTTGGAGAGGGGAACTCAGGCCAATATTCACGCAGATAACAATAAGCGGAACCCAATCGCATGATGGCCAATTGGGATGGTGACGGTTGGATATCTTTCATGCTTCTACCGCCGCCTATCGGTAGACCTAGGAGAAGGGGAGCTCGAGCTACCAAGGCGAGATGATGCTATTATAACGTCAGAATCATACCTAATATATTCTGTCCTCTCGATACCTCGCGACCATGGTACGTAATGAGTGCGAAATATCAATTACTCGCTGCCCATCAGCAGTCATCCCTGGGATACCTCCTAATAGTATAGACAATTTAGCCTTTGGCTAAGCCTTAACCTCAAGTTACGGTCCAAAAACAAGAATATTAAGGCATCTCGAGCATTCTAGACATTCCGACGCTTCCAGAAGTCTTAGGAGCTAACTCACATGACTACACTCGTCTCCATCTAATAGCATTTGTACCATCCAAACAGACATCTACCCGTTACTCTAGTTTGCAATTAGGTTTCTGCTTGGAGGCAGCCTTGAACCTTCATCTTCTTCGATATCAGCGGGTTAAATTTATCTCGAAGCCTGACTCGCACCTTTAGGTAGTACCTAATGTACAACGCTCGACTTTGCTATGTATAAGACGCATAATCAGGCAACTTCGCCGGTTAAGAATCCGGAGAATCCAATATCCGTTTAGGATCTGAGGATCCCCGCAGGGTTATTACATACCAACCGGATTAGAATGAATAATCAAACAAGCAGTCAAGACCAATGTGAGGCTAGCCCGGAGCTCTTCGGCATGGTGGGCAAGGCACACCGAATTTTCATGTGAGGAACTCTTATAACGTCGCTTAAGTCGCTACCTATCGAAAATCCGAGGCGAAGAGGAAAAGTTTAACTAAGGTCCCTTGACTAGCGCGCACGAATTCTGATTTCAAAGCTGTTGCGATTGGATAATATAAGACTGGCGGGTCTATACGCTATCAAGATGTCCCCAGTAGAAACAGGCTGAGAACTAAATTAGTGAACGGCTAAGATTCAGCCGCGCACATGAAAAGTTTTTTCTCTCTGTTTTTCTTCATCGAAGTATTGACAAATATGCGCTGAACTTAACGTTACGCCGCTTCTTACTATTACATTATTGTCTTTCATTTTCTAAGAGGCTCAGAGTCGAGGCGATGCCACATTTTACTCTCCACCGCCTTTCATATGTCAGGTTGGCAGACGAGACGGAAACAAAAGAACAAAAAGATAATTAATCATGTCAACAACCATGGCCAATAAGGTTGAAGAAGTTGCTTGAAGCTTATATCAGGCTAAGAGGTAGTTCAGACGAGATGGGGAAAGTGTGGTTATATCAACCGCTGAAGCAAATTAAATTAATCGAGTTCTAAGTTGAACCTGTCCTTGAAAATCCCCACATCGCCCGGCTCAAGCAGGCTAAAGTCGGCGATGGATGATGCGCCATCGAGGATCTGCAAGCCCATCCAGATTGATGGGATCATAAGTACGACATGGGTTGACAGATAGGGTAGCCTTGCATAACCCGTCGTCTACCATAGTACTACTACCCTGGAATACGATGGTTAGGATAGGTTAGGATGGGTAATACGAAGAAGTGTAACGAGAAACGGACGATGACTTCAGTTTTATAACTCAACTATAACACTAACTACAAGAATTAGAACAACCTCACAGCCTGATTCAGTATGGAACACGAAGTGGAGAGACAATTCGCGTTCATAGCATTCCTTTTTCTTTTCTCTTCCTCAATTAAATCATTCAAATTCATCCCTTCCCCTCCACGCAAATCTACCAAGGGCTGACCGGGCTTCTGAGACAAGCGATCCCCATGATCCCCATGATTGGCGGGACTATAACGAATGCAATAGAATGGCTGCCACATGCCGCTATTGATCCATGACGCATTCGGTCCACACACACCACCACCAAGAAGCTAAGCCAAAGAAGAATCGTAATAGTCTTGTGTACCGGTCTCGTGACTCGTGAGTACCTGGGAAGGTAATAAGCTTTTACCATCGTCTTGTCTTCGATACATGCAATCTGATCCGTAGCGAGAATAGTAAGACTAGGTCCCTAGCTGACTCGGGATCCACACGTCCGCATTCTTTTCGCAAGCGTAGAAAAGAATCGAGGCTAATTGAGCTAGCTGCAAGGCACCGATTCTCCTCTTTTCTCTTCACCGGATCTTCAGGGACGATCTGAATGGATCATAGAAATGGCTATTAAAGTGACCACACCCTCCTGCGCCCCGGATCCCATTCTTCGAGCTGAAAAACAGTAGTGAAGCTTGGCTATCCCATCATACAGACAGACAGCTCGACTCTTCGGGATTCTCCAACTATCAGCTCTAGTAGCTGATATATACTGTGCAACCCAAACATAAGCCTCGGTGCTTACCTATGAAATCCGGCTACGATACAAAGTAGTACATATCCCGTCTTTTCTTTACGACCATTCGTTCTCTTCTACTTTGAGGAGAGCATACCATCTATTCCTTCTATTATCTCTCAGCCTACATATCCTACACATAACAGTCACGATGCGAGGCTTAACCAAGTCATCACTCTTTCACAAAAAGTCTAAGGGCAGCCTTCACGGCAGGAAGGACAGCGTCGAAGAGCACTCCACCTCTCACACGCGTAAATGGAGTACGTCGAGCACCGTCTCGTCGGCGAGCAGCTCTCCCGATGCAAAACTGTACGACCCGCTGTCGTTACACCCGCCCCTAAATCTGAACACATCGCCAAACATTATCCCGGAGTATGACGAGGCGCGATGCGAGGAGCAAGAGGAGCGGGAACGCCGATTCCTGGAACGGAGACCGCAACACCCCGCGGAGCACATGGAGAGCGCCGCCGAGTATTCGCCCAGCAAGGGCCGCAATTGCTCTTTCGTCCGGCCGACCAGCGGTCGCCCCTACACCTACGACCAGAACGTCCAGTGGCCGCTTAAGGATTGGCAGACGATCCCGCCCGGACTAGCTGAGCTCGATTCTTCCCCTCCGTCACCTTCTTCACCTTCTTCACCTACCACCCAGCAGCCTACCTACCGCCGGCGGCCGACGGATTGGATGAACGAGAGAGACGCGCTGTTTAAGCGCGGCGAGTGGAAGCGCAGGGGCATAGTGTTCCACCTCGACTCGGACGACGAACGGGAACAAGAGCAGCACTTCGAACTACCTGAATGCTAAAAGAAGAAAAAAAAAGAAGAAGAAAAGCGTTCATATACCTAAACTAATCACCGCTTTACTAAAAAAAAAAAAAAGTTTCTTAACTTATTATTCGACACCGTGTTTTACTACGACTATTGTTACTACTCCCACTATTACTACTACCACTACCACTACTTTACTATTGTCATTACTACTACTATTACTACCACCAAGCACCGAGGATAAAAACTCGCAAACTGGTGCTTTGACGACATTTATGGGGAAAAGGGAATTAAGGAATTGAATTACCCAGGGACGGCAATCCACTTTGATGAAGCCGGGGGGAAAGGGAATGGAAGCGGGGCGGGAACAGGAAATGTGATGATGATATCACACGACGGACGACGATCTTTGGAAGAGGAGGGACAGGTTGGGTATACCTATTTTACCTATCTTGGGTACCTACGGCGCCTAACACCTCTTGTAACATCATTTTCATTTTTCTTTCCTTGGGTTACATGCATTATTTGGGGTGTAAAAGGACTTAAAGATACCACTTGATATTGATATTTACTACTACACTACTACATTACATAGCTTAAATTTTACTATTAATCATCTATATCACCAATACAGCTTGATCTAACTTAAGTGAATTCAACTTTTGTTTTTTCCTTTTTATCACCTTATCTTCGCTTTTACACAACATATCTCTAGATTTTCATGCGGGCTCGGTACATCCCTACCTTCGGCATCCATCGGTGGGAGGTTGTTTTTTGCGAGAAATAATTTAAATGTGCCTAACATAGCATATCTCGTGGGGAAACGTACGACGACTAGCTTCAAAGCTGAACGCTAGCTCCGTCGCGCTTAGCCCGTTTGCTCTCATCGTCATCTCTATTATGGAGGTCCTAGCGTCAGGCCTGTCAGAGCTGCATGCATGGTGTAGGTACAACTAGGTAGACCGGGTAGCTGGAGCCTGGAGAAAAAAAAATTGTACCTAAAGTGCCCAATTAGATACCTATCTAGGCCTAAGGTACCTTGGGTACCCGTTCTAGTCTATTCTGCACCACTGTGGCGGCTGACGGTTTGCGTCACACATTTCCGTTCGTTTTCGTTCGTTTCGTTCGTAGCAATGCATGTCTTGTCTCAACTTTTGAGAACTGTCTCACCTTGTTAGGGGCCTTGAGCTTAAGTGCGTACATGCCTACAATACACTACATAATCGAGGAAGAAAAAAAAAAAAAAGGCGGCAGGGCTAGATCAGGTAGGTACCTACCTCTAGTACCTTGCGGGCGAAACAAGATAACGACAAGATAAGACAAGACAGAAAAGTTGAGACCATTCAGCCTGCGTTTAGTTAGCTCAGTCCTGGGCGGTGCACACATGAGCACATGACAGCGTGCCCCTCTAGCCCGCACCCTAGGGCCTAGGGCCAAGACACGGATGGACATTTTCTCGCGTGCGGCGGAGACTAAGCTGAACAAGGTACGAGGGATATTATTATCAAGTATTATTATCAGGTACGACGAGGACTTGGGTATAAGAAAGTAGGTAGTGAAATAAGAAGTATCTATTGTGAATAGGTATCTAGGTAGGTAGATTAGATTCCGAGGAGTCGCAAGATTTCAAAAGTCGAGACTTTTCGAGCGCCACTGTTCTCATAAAGGGAAGCCTGAAGCGCCACTTTCGCTCGCGTGTTCCTCGTTATATCAACTCAATGTCTTGATCTCCCCTCCCCCCTTTCCCGCTCACTCTCTCTCACACACAAACCCAACTTGTATTCGGATCGAGATTAAGATGCAAGCAAGGGCAGCTCCGGATACAGACGTTTGATCTACTCGCTCACCCCGCTTTGTCGCCGCCGCCGACGTTCGTGCGTGGGAGTCGGTCATCGATATATTCCCCGTCCGATCGGGGTTCTTGAAACCCTCGATTTTTATCGGATTTGGTTGACTTACCTCATCCTCACCCAATTACTCACATCACCTCTCGTCCGTATTCACTATAGAGGTACCTATGTACCTGCCTCCTACGGAGTTTATCGTGTCTGAGCGTGAAGTTGTGTGACTCACCCGTCTTTTCATCGTAATAGCGTAGCTACCTATCTTGGGTAGGTTAGACAGTTGCCTACCACTAGTCAGGGACTTTGCATGGGAGTGTCTCGGCTCGCTACAGAAAGAGAAAGGCACCTGGCCTAGGCCGTGGGGGGGTAGGTAGCTTACGGTCAAGCGGGTTGTACACGTTCTACGACTATTACTCCAGAAGGTTACGGGTTAACCTGGTAGACAAGGCTCTAGGTCTTAGGTAGTCTCGATGACATGTGAAATGAGTCGTACGGATGAATTAGAGCCGCGGCAGGTTGAGTAGACTTGTTAATAAGAGCGAATTTGCTCGTGAGCAAGTTTGTTCGAGATTCGATATTTTGCTGTTATTCGTCCTGGCTGTATAATCGAGGATAAAGGTACGAATTGCATCATGTAAATTGGATTAAAACTCGCTATCTCGTTGCCATCACGATTAGACTGTTTGGTCTTGCATTTAATAATTTTTGCTTTGTCTAGTGGTCAGATGCTGTGGAAGGTCAACAGCATCATGTCCTGATTAACACGGAATTGGGGATGTGAGGTATATAGCCGAAACAGCCATTTTATCCAAAATATAGACGTTAGATACCGCTCAGATGCGAAATATATGCAACCACCCAAAGTACCAATGCATCGTAGCAATATCCATAGACAGACGTCAAAAACTCAAACCCGACACATCAGCGCTCAACGCCCTCCCCTGAATCATCTCAGCCATAACCAACCCCGTCCCCAAACTCATGCTTATCCCCCACGGCCCGTGTCCCGACGCAACATACACCCCTCCCTCCGGCGCCGGCCGCGTGCCAACCCCAGGCCCCAGAAGCTCGTCCGCCACACGGCTCACGATCGGCGTGCCGCGCTCCGTCACCGGCCGGAAGCACAACCCCTCCCGGATAATCTCTACCCCGTCCTCGCCTAGCACCTCCCGCGCCGTCTCCCGCAGCGTCTCGATGCTCTCCCGCGAGATCTGTCGCTTCGCGTCCGTCGCCAGGTCCGGCAGCGGCTCGGCCGCGCAGTTGAGCCCCGCGACGTATATGTTGCCGCCACCGCCTCCTCCTCCTCCTACTCGGCGGGACATGATCTCGGGGGAGTAGCCCGGGCGGCTGGACAGGAACAGCGCGTGGCAGCTACTGCCGCCGGGCTGCTCGTGCTCGGGCGTCCACCGGGGCGACGTGGCGACGAGGGAGTGGCCCGCGAGGCTGGAGATGGGCAGCGCGAAGCCCGACGTCGGGAACAGCGTCCGGAAGACCTGCGGCGACCAGGCGCCCGCCGCGATGACGACGTTGGTGCACGGGATATCGGTCTCCGTGCCGGACACGTGCGTGTCCGCGACGCGGATGCTCGAGAGCTCGTTGCGCGTGTCGGTCTGGATGGATAGGGCCTTGGCCGGGTGGTGTAGGCGCACGCCGGCGTCGAGGCATTTTTGTAGCAGGAATTGGGATAGTTGCAGCGGGTCTCTGAATCATATGATCAGAATCCCGCATGGACTTGTATGTATGCAGACCTTGGCCATGTACGAATTACATTATATAAGTAGGTACGTAATCCGTTAACTTACATCTGCGCAACAGTCCCCTCCTCACTAATAACCTCGACCTGATCCCCGTCCGCCAACCTCAACCACGACGGCGGCGTGCCGACCACCGGTTTCGCGCCCGCGGCCTCAGCGCGGCTGGCGCCGTCGCGAACCCAGAGGTCGACCCTCTCACGGGACCTGGCCGCCGCCTCGGACAGCAAGGTGATGGAGGTGCTTTTGGCGTAGCCCCATCTCTCGGCGCCGCCCTCGCGCTCGGCCAGCCGGCGGTGCTCCTCGAAGCTCAGGGCGCCGAGGTCCGCCGACGCGGGCGAGAACCAGTCCTTGGCCAGAAACCCGCCCGCGAAGCCGGACGCCGAGGCGAACAGCTCGGGCGACGGCTCGACGAGGTGGATGCTGCCCGACCCCGCCTGCTGCTGCTGCTGCTGCTGGGACAGGTAGTACGCGGTCGAGGTGCCGATGATACCGGCGCCTAAGATCACGGTTGTAGGCATGGCATCGGTTTAAAAGCCTTACTTTTCTTTTCTTTTCTTAGAAGGTAATGAATTTGAGATGGAATATCCGTTATTCTCACCACGTCTATAGGAGAGAATGGGATTATAGATTAAAGATATAGCTTATTTATATTACATCGACAGATAAGAAAAGCCGAAACAACCCAAGGGTTATGGTAGTTATAATAACTAGAATACCTATACCCAACTGATATCTACTAGTGAACGTAATTCAATGTATAATATTAGGCTAGGTATACATAGTATAACCGTGCAAGCTGCTGGTGACGTTTGCCCCTCTTGACCCCGCCAAACAATAGCGCGATTTCGAAGAAGGGGAAAAATAGAAAAAGAAAAAGATTGATATGATAGGATTTCAAAAAGATTACCTAAAGTAATGTCATGTAACTAATGTAATATAATATACCTACTTTGTAATTTGACAGCATCGTCTACGAACTAGTGACATTAAAAAAACATAACAAACTCAAACCAACATCAAACCAATCTCACTTATTATAATTATTAATCTCGTCCCTAGAACACTAATATTACTTTTACTTACTTACCTAGGTAACGCCCATCATGTCGAAAGTCTTCGTCGTTACCGGCGCAAGCCGAGGTCTCGGCTTAGCTGTGACCCAAGCCTTGATCCAGGCTTCGCACAAAGTCTTCTTGGTTGCTAGAACCGAGAAGGACTTGCAGGCATTGAAAGCTCAACACCCATCGTCTGTCGATTTTGCTGCTGCAGATCTAGCCGACCTCAAGGTGCGTTCAAGTTCTCTCCACCGGCTGTCAAATGCTATTTGGTTGCAATTATTAGGTATATAAAGATAAATCGCTCACTCTCATTCTAGGTTGCACCCAAAATCGTCGAAGGGGCATTGAAAGCGTTCGGCAAGATTGACGGTATCGTAGTCAATCACGGCGTTTTGTCTCCTATCACTAAAATATTCGAATCAAATGCCGAGGAGTGGAGAAATGCATATGATATTAACGTATTCAGTGCAGTAGCACTGGTATGTCTATCTAACTAGGTAACCAACCTTACGTAGTACGAGCAGTGCTGACTCCAATCCCAGATTAAGGAAGCTATTCCCGAACTTCGCAAATCACAGGGTCGGGTCATCTTTGTTTCCTCCGGGGCCGCATTCGGCGCATACGCAGGATGGGGCTGCTATGGTACCTCTAAAGCAGCTTTGACTCACCTCTCTGCGCATCTGGCCGTCGAGGAACCTTCCATTACTAGCATTGCCATTTCACCCGGGAGGGTTGATACTGATATGCAGAAAGAAATAAGGGATAAAGGCAAAGCTGGAATGTCATCCGATGTCTATCAGAGCTTCGTCGACGACCACGAGGGCGGACGGCTAGTAGATCCTAAAAAGCCAGGTACTGTCATAGCCAAGCTCGTTGACAGCGCGCCCAAAGACTTGAATGGCAAACATTTTCGGTACGTAATAAGATAGAACTCATCCGAGATACTAGTAAACTAATGTCTACTTACCTCTATAGCTGGAACGCGACCGAACTCGCTGGTTTCCAAGAGTCCTAGTGCAAGGAGTAATCGCGGAATGGACATCCAAGACTACCTATGATAGGTACGCAATGAGTCAGCGAGGACAGGACAAGACAATTTCGCTGTGATAGTGAAAATATAAAAGAGATAGCTTCAGTCGAAAGATGAAAAGACTTGGTTGTTTCGACATTATGATTCAGGTGTCAGGTGCACGTTAAATCATCATGAGCAATCGAACTTGGATTCAGCTGTTTAATCATACCTTACAATAGAAAATTATTCCTGGTTCCGTTGTTGGATTATCATACTGGACATTATATTGTTCTTGATACCTATACCAAGTACATTAGCCCACTATATCTCTCTACTAATGCCGTTATTTTAGTATATGGTAGGAGCGTAGTTGGTCAGGGAGTTATAGGATCCGTCATGTAGAGTCGGTATTTGATAGTACTTTTATTATTTGGCATCATATTCGCCGGGTCTATGGAGTGGTTGGTGTGTATGTATGTATATACCTTTTATGAACACAATGTGACCTGCTAGTCTGATATTAGCGGATGAAAAAGAGAGAAAATCCTTCTGAGAAAAGGTTGAAAGCGATAGATTCAGATATGTCGTTTGGCTTGACGTGTCGATCACCATATTGCCATTAGGCAAAAGTAAGACTGGGGCGACAACGCGTTCATCATAGAAAGGGGATGTTGGGGTTAGGTAGATATATGATATATCGATCATGCTTACCTTGAAAGACATGGTCCACGCATTACCGTCGCTTGGTGGTTTTATTAGAGACGGTATGGGAGGACAAAGGAAACTCTGTGTTGGAGTGGAAAACTTTGAGGAAAAAGAGAAGAGAAGAAAAAAATTTATTAGGTGATAAGTAGATAAAATTAAAGTGGGCCATACGCCACAGTGCTGTTCTTTCATCATCAGCCACGGTACCCACTAGTGTCTAACTGAAGGTTGCAGGTTTAATACAAAACATCGCTACTTCCTCTCAACGAAGGTGTAAGGGTACTTTGCCTTGCCTTTCTTACTCTTTTTATTTATCTAAAATATCTTGTCCGCCAAACGGTTTTAAACTCTAATTATTTTCCTTTTAAACTTTAACTCACCAAACCTCGTCAAACTCGGAATACGCAATCGAAACATTCGTGTACTAAATTAACTACCTAAACTACCTATTTGATTAACTATCGTTAATCATTTCCCATCTTACACCCCCACTTTCATCTTCATTCACCATCATGTCGGATCACGAGTACGGTGGTAAGTTTGTTATATTTACTCTACCTGGTCTTCAAACGATGCGGACTTGAGGCCAACTTCATTATTCATTGTGACTCAAGACAATGACGAAGCTTGTGTCGCTTATCCCAATATTCCCAATATATGAATCGCAACTACTCGAGGCTTTGGCGATATCTCTTAGTCTACCAAGTGCATAGTTACTGCCACTGCCATATCAATAGGATGTGAATACAATGACTCCTTCCGTGGTCACTCGTATTTTGCAACCTGTATCGCAGCATCAAACACAAGCTCGTTGTTCTTGGTTCATGTCTTTTTATTATCTACCTACCTTAGGTAACTTGCCTTATATCACTGCCCACTTCCTGCCTATCCCTTATATTATTCCAAGAAGAAGGAGGACATATATATCTCGTAGACCAACCATAACTAGGTTGTACTGCAAACCCGACATCCATTAACTACCGCATGCATACATATTTCTTTCATTTTACAAAATGGAACTCTCGCAAAACGATGACACCTGGTATTTCCAGAGTCGTTCTGGTACTGACCCGAAGCCATCTTTATGATTCCTTCATTATGCTCTCTTTTTCTCCCTAGCCTTTCTTCTACCTCAGCAAGACTTTGATCTAAAAGCTAACTACGTTTTTTAAGGCAACGATGACCTTTCTCTCCCCAAAGGTATGCGATGAACCCCTTGCCTATGACTCGCTACTAGATGGATTATGGACTAATAACATACAGCGACTGTCCAAAAGATGGTCACCGAGATTCTACCCGCGTCAAGTGGGCTCTCCTTTGCAAAAGAAGCTCGGGATCTGCTCATCGAATGCTGCGTGGAGTTCATTACTCTAGTGTCTTCGGAGGCTAATGAGATTTCGGAGAAAGAAGCGAAGAAGACAATCGCGTGTGACCATATCACCAAGGCGTTGGATACCCTAGGGTTTTCAGAGTATATCCCTGCCGTCCTCGAGGCTGCCGCGCAACACAAAGAGACTCAAAAGGTATGATACTCTATTAAGTTCCCCCTCCTACAGTCTAGATTCTAACTATCCTAGGTCCGTGAGAAGCGTGGCAATAAATTGGAGGACAGCGGGATGACGATGGAGCAGCTGGAGCAGATGCAAAGGGAGGCGTTGGCAGAAGCCCGCCAGAAATTCCAATGAGCCTTCCGGTAAGGCTCTAGCGCATTTTATCTGGAGCTTTTTGGAGTTTACTGGGGTTGGACTTGTCTCTCTGTCCTCTCAGATCGGAACGAAGTAGTTACACCCTCAAGGCAGCAACGACAGGAGACGGAGCATCTGATGGCGTTGGTTTGAGGCAATTCGGAAAGCTTATTTATGATTTCGGCGTATGACACGACTATCTCTCTAATAAATTAGTAATAACTTAAGAGGATTGAATATTGCTCTTGACACTAACTTTTACTACTGCCTGGTATCCAGGTGGATACCTACCTAAATAAGGTAACAGGAGATACTTACTTACTAGGTACTTAAGGCACTCTCACACTGTTTCGCCCCGAGCTTATCAATCTTTCAAATAGGTACCTGGTATGCAGGCATTATCAGACATGTATCGATATTTGTTACACAAGGCGGGCTTAGACTTACCTTGACGTTGGCGCTCCTATCATTCTTCTACATCCGAAAATACGGCAGCTCATCCTTGAATTTTTAACGAATTTTTAACGCGAAGGGTTGAGCGGTTCATTCTGCAGCCTGATTCTTCTCCATGCCGAGCATGGAGTAGAGGGAAGAGAGCATTCATATCATGTCGAAAAGAAAGGAGATTGTTCGATTGGGGCTGGATCGCTGAGATACATAGTAGTGTACGTATGCCCCTCTCGTATTGATTGTATACACGTATCTCAACAGTAGGAGGCTAATTTCAGCATGGGACTTTCTAAAGCATTATTTGCACATTGGCCCCGAAAATGCCTTGTGGAATGCCTCCCGATGGGATATGCGGGTTTTGGGGGCAAGTATTCAAGCCAGACCAGTACATGTAGGATCTGATATTTCTAAGCCGCAATAAATCTCTCTCCGTGTTTTTATTTGGTCCCGCCTGCATATCAAAGTTGCCATGGTTGGTTGGGCGAGAGACAGCCGACATGATAAATTCCAAACCTGCCCACATCCTTGAGTAAGCTGTTTTCCTCCAACTTTACCCATCCTACCTCAGCTATAGAGGAATAGGAACATTGCCCCTATCAACAATGGATGTTGTTTCGGCAGTCGCAAGCTTTATTGCCATCGGGCAAGCGCTTGCGGCAACGCCAAAGATTATTGACGCATTGCAATCTCTATTTGGGGCAAGGCGGGAGATAGTTCAGCTATTGAACGATGTTGGTAACACCGTCCTCACCCAGATATTGCGGCAACTGCAACTGTGATTTCTAGGTGGAAGTTCTAAAAGCCTTTGGAGATATCCTACGTGATACAATCCAGTGCTTGCCGGAAGCCGATGCAGATGCGAGATTATCAGTACCAAAAGCGACCTACCCTTTGGTAAAAAGGATCGAGAAAGACATGAGCTTAGTTGTGTCGCAACTCGGGGATCTTTGCCGCGCGTGTCAGCAAGAGGGAAAGAAACAAGATCACATCAAAGTTGCTAGGGTGAAATGGCTCTGGTACCAAAGAAAGATCGCATCACTGAGTAGAAAGGTGAAAGAGAATCGCGAGTGCTTACAACTGATTCTCAGTTGTACTTCCCTCTATGCCTCGACGTATGCACAATGCCAGTCCAAACTTTGCTCAGCAATATTATTCTAATCAGACTCAAGGTCACACGGGAAGATGCTCTTAGATATACACGCAATAGTAACGACCCAGCCGCAGCAAACACCTTTCGCCCTACCGCCTTCACAATTCGCCACCCAGGAGTCTCATGATAGCGAAAGTATAAAGTGCGCTATTGCTGATGACGATACATCCGAGTCGATAGAGAATAGTACCCATACTATGACAACTCAGGGAATTTCTTCGCAATTGACTTTAACAACCGTGTCTAAGGTAGATTCACTGAATATGAACTATAGCGAGGAAACAATCCAGAATCTTGAACCGTCAGTACAGATTACCGCAGCGTTTCGAAGAGTATGTCCTAAAGACTGCGCATGCCAATGCCACTCGTCTACTTCCCGAATCCGATCACGGCCTACCGACTGGGTCATTTATGGGTGGCTACAATCTGTTTATAACAGCGCTCCGCACCTCGGTGGGCAAAGTTGCGATGCGGCTACCTGCCAACGGCGTCGCTCACCTAGTCGCTTCAGCTTCCGCATTCCCCTCCTCTTCTGCTCTCGGACGCTCGAAGCGACATTGTCCTTTAGCGGTATTACTGGCGCTGGTGCTTCCCTTCACTTGCATGTGCCACGCGAAATCTCGTACAGCGGAATGCTCTATCACCATTGTCACCAAAATAATGTAGCAGGGATGTGTTTGGAGCTGTCGTATAATATGTATTCACCTATTGACATTATTGGCAGAGATAGCATTTTATACGTAAGCTGGCCCTTCCTTGTGCAAATGTTTCACTATAGTAACAAGGAATTACTAGCTGTGTATATATTTCGATATGTATGAAGCAATATCAACACTACTAACAGGCACGAAATCAATCCTTCGGGGTTCTGAATGTGCAAAGTGAGTACTTTCAAGTCCCTTCCACAGATACATCATTTGCTAGTTCTTACCCAATTCCAGGCAAGCAGCGGCACTGGCCAGGGGTATTCTTATCGATGATAAAAATAAAATCTATAGAAACGATAGAGGGAAAGCTATCCTACGGGATGTCATCGCACTTGATGACGAAAATACGGATGGTTTCTGGCCAGTTCACGAGGCAATACGAACCGGCGGTGATCTGATCGCGGCTCTAAAGGAATCACCAGATGATATCGACGTACTGGATGATACTGGAAATACCCCTCTCCATTTGGCCGTGACATACCACAACAATGAAGCGATGCAATTTTTAATATCCTGCGGGGCAAAATTATCTTGCTCTGATATACGTGGCGATCCACCGTTATTACGCGCAGCGCAGCTTGGATATCATGATCAAGTACAACTCCTGATTGATGCCGGGTGGTGCGATATCGAATCTCGTGATAGGTATGGCAGAACGCCTCTCTTTTGTGCGGCAGAATCCTCGCGACGAGGATCTGGCAAGGTTGCACGTCTGCTATTACATTACGGTGCATGCCCGTTTGATCGTGACGTAAACGTACTACTGTACCTTACTTACTTTCCTCATGCGGCTGACATAGAGGAGAAGTTTCAACTATTTTTCCATGCCGGCGTGGACATGGAGGAGAAGGACGGTTTTAACAACAAATGTCTAATGTTGGCATTAATGTGCAGAAATGGACATTTGCTTCGCTTGTTGATTGATGCTGGGTGTAGTTTTGATGAAGGCCCGAGGTCCCCGCGGGTCTTGGAACAAGCTGCGTGTTGTGGCTGTGTAGAAACTATTGATATTCTAGAACAAACTTCATACACGGTAGACGTGCGTGGTCAACACGAAGATAGATGGACGCCGTTAGAGACATTTGAATGGAGGATGAACTGCGATCCGTCGAAAGACCCAGTTTTCCCTCTCTCAGACGATGATATCGACGCATTTTACAATTTACTTCGAGGTGTCAGAGATCGCTATCTAACCGCCGAAATTCAGACTTTAGAAAAAGTCATCATGCATATCGAGACCGAGGAAATTACGGCTGCGCGCGAGACTCTGAAATCCGTCATACAAGAAAAGATTGGATGGAATATTCCCGCTGAGTACAGGACATTCCGGGCTATCGATGTCCAGATAAGGGAGGGGATGATGGAAGCTGCCATTGAATCTCTGGAGGAATTCATCGAAGTATCGAAAGAGAGGATCGGTTCAGACCCCAGAGGCAATGCCTATTTCTACGAACCGACTTATACAGATGAGGGAATATTGATCCAAGATCAGGATTAACCGCCGAGGATTCCTCTGGATTGAAACTTACCTAGGTTGGGCGGCATATGTTCGTCGCCGAAGAACGTCGGTGGTGTGAGGTAGTCCTCCTACAGAGGGTAATTCACTTTCATTCATTCGTCGCCATGAATTCTGCATTTATCTTTCCATAGCAAATTGAGTTCCATACCTCTTGAGTTCTTATTAGGTATGCCTTTCATCACAAACGAGACATCGATGTGAACTACTACTACTACTACTACTACTACAGCCATAAATGGAGACTTGATATAAGTGTTTCCTATTGAACCGAAACTGACACCTTAAGAAATACCTCCCTCGCTTCTACATAATAAAAGAATAACAGTCTACCTTCCTAGGAGGTACCTTAGGTAGGTAGGTAGTTACCCCATCTGACTCAAGTTAGACAATCTATGACAGCCTTACAATCTACCCAACCTAAAGTAAACCAGACCGAATAGGACATAATCACGGAAATACTCACCGACCGAACAGGATTAGGATGTTTTATAGCTATAAAGGAGGGGCAATGCTATGGAATACGAGAGCGTAAACAAGCAGATGGTTAAGATAAGCCCAGATCCCAGGTATACACACAACCTACTCTAACTTCAAACAAGAAACACTCTCCCACCACGTACCATACGATCGTCACGAATAAGCAAAGGCAAGAAAAATAGTAGTTGTTATAGTCATAAATCGTAATCAATTTCCGTACCTCTCTCATTCAACAGTCTAGATACAGCATCGGCATGATAAGTGTTTGAAAAAACAAAAGTAATACCATTTCATTCATCAATGTCATCATCTCTTTCCATCTCCTCCACCTTCAACCTCCACACCGCCGTCATTTCCCCTAAATTACCTCCGCCCATCTTGGTTCTGCTCATATATATATATATATATACCTATATATATATACCTATCTCTCTCGCTCAAAATCGTCTTCTCTTCATGAAGTCATCCCCGTGACAGACAGACAGACAGATAGGTACGTACGAGTAAAGAATAGAAGAAAAAAAAAACATTTAATATAACTAGAAAAAGAAAACCAAAAAAAGAAAGAAAATTCAACGTGTGCTGCGATTCGCTTTCGCCATTTTGTTCAAAGGAGGAGAGTAGCGAGGAAACTGGCAACCATACTATTGTCTTCGTCGTCGTCGTCGTGGCGAGGGATAGGCCTAGGTACCTATTTATGTAAATTCGAATATAATACGCTGTTAGCAGGTAGACAAAATGATGCTTCGAGAGAGGCCGTCGTGGTATTCTGCCCCGTTTCGTGTTCTGAAAGAAAAATGGCCCGTCCCGAATGGCGCTGGGAATTTATCTGTTGTCGTTGGTAGGTACCTAGGTATTGTGTTCTTTCTACTATTACCCCGCCGCCTACGAGTCTACATGTTGAGAGGACTCGATTTGTAGTGCGAGGCTAGGTACGCCCGACTGACTGATTGACTGACTGACTGGGGAGGTATAATAGTAGTTACCTAAGGTATGCAGGACATCCCACGCCACGAGTAAGGTTGTAGGTTGTAGGCAGTAGGTAAAGTCAGGTAAGGTAAAGCAAGACAAGGTACCCAAGCTTAGCGGACGTAGCTGCGGTGCGACGGACGATCATACACGACCTCGCGCTCGACGATACGCTCGTCGTCCACCGTGTCCCAGTTCAGCGAGTGTCGGTGACGGTGCCGTCGGTCCCAGTCGCGGCTCCACTGGGCCTCTTCGGCTCGGCGCCTCTTGGCCCGACGGATGTCGTCCGACACGGTCACCAGCTCAAGAACGTCCTCCTGTTTGGGAAAAAAGTCTCATTAGTATGCCGATCTCATCGAAAGACTGTGCGACGTGGGGATGGATAGATAGATGGATGGATGGATCGGATGGATGATGCAGTGGTAGTGTAGTGCACCTAGTGGTAGCACGGAAATAGGCTAAGAGAATGGGAACTGAGACTTACATAGCGCAGGTACTGCATAACGTAGAAGAACCACTCGGTCTCCTCGTACTCGTACCCCATCCGCTCGATCGCCTCCCGCGTGACGAGGTCCTTGGTGATCTCCGTCCACATCTCGTTGCGCTTGCGGGGCGGCGCCCTGTCGCCGTCCCGGATCGAGATCCGCCGGTCCTGGATCTCCTCGACCTCGACGTCCCGGTCCCGGTCGCGCGACCTCTCCCGCTTGTCGTACACCTGTATGCTGAGCCGCTCCCGCTCGCGCGACGGCTCCCGTTCCCGCTCTCGCTCCCGCTCTCGAATGGACTCCCGGATCGGCTCGCTGACGGCGCTGATGGGCGTGCCCTCCCGCTCCGGGATGAACTTGGACCGCCGCACCCCGCTGTACCGCTGCCAGGTGACCTCTGCGGAGGCGCCGCCGACGCCGTCCATCTTGACGCGCTCGGTGCCGGGCGGCACGTCGATGATGGTCCAGTCCTTGGTGGCGCCGTGCAGGGCCTCGCCCATGCGGCCGCGCGAGTCGATCTTGTCCGTGATGTACTCGGCCTCGTCCTCGAGGTCGGGCCGGGGGGGCGGCGCCGCCGAGTGCGCCCGCCGCCGCGAGTCCACGCGCACGATCTCGTGGTCCCGCTCGATCAGCAGCTCGTCGTCGTCGTAGTACGTGGGCTGCCGCCGGGGACGGGGCCGCTCGCGCTCGCCGCGTGGGCGCGACCGCGACCGCGTGCGCTCCCGGATGTCCACGTCCGTCTCGCTGCGCCGGATGTCGATGTCGATGTCCAGGTCCCGCTCTCTGATCTGAGGCGGTGCGGTGCGCGGGGGTGGAGGAGGAGTGGGAGGTTTAGCCCGAACAAGGCCTATTTTTTGACATGTTAGCCTCAAAAGTTGTTTTGGGTTACGAAATTTTAATAGGTGAATCGGCGTAACTTACCATGATCGATGTCACGATAGTGCGTGATGACCTCACGCTCGATGGTAGGTCCCCTGATGACTGGCGGTGGTGGAGGTGGGGACGGGGGTGATGGGCTAGGTGAGGGGGCTCGTTCCTTTTCACGCTCAATGCGTAGATGAATGAGATCTCGCTCTCGCTCTCTGTCCGGGGTTGGCGACCTCTCCCGTCGCCTCTCAATTTTGCGAGCTTCCACTCTCACAGCGGCGGGTGGTGGAGGTGGAGATGGAGATGGAGATCGTTCGATAAATCTGGGCCGACGCTCCGGAGGCATGGAGGGAGCCCGTTCACGCTCCCTGTCGACGATGCGCTCCCGGTACCGCACAGGGCTGGGGCTGCGACGTCTGCGGTCGATGGTCTCAACCTCACGCTGGCGCAGGACCAGCGGGCCAGCCTCCGTCCTCCTAACATCTTCTCTGAGAAATGCGGGGGTGCGGTCTCTATCTACGTCTTCATAATCCCTCACGGCTGCTCTGCGTGGCGGGCTGCGACGTCGCGGCAGGGGATCTAAATCGTCATCCCGAGCCGGTGCCCTCCGCGGCGGGCCGGAATCATAATATCTGTCCTCCACGTCGGACCGATTGGTTCTATAAGACATCTCCTCGAGCCTTGAGCTTTAAAATATAAGCCTTTGAATATTCAAAATGATCGCTGAGGGGGAGAGAATGATGAAAAAAGATGAGTTATGTCAAAAATTGTGAACGTTGAAGGATTCACCGCTGAGATGCGTCACTCTGCGGCGGTAGCGGGGTAGATGAGCAACTTCAATAGCTGTAGACTGATGTGGAAAGGATCAACATGAAGCATGAATAAGAATACCGTACCGTAGGACTTGCGTGCCGCGGCTGTTTAACCTTGAATCTCCTGATATATTGTGGAAGTATTAATCCCTCGAGCAGAATATATGTAAAATACTGACGGTTGATGGTTTAACAGAAGTTAGAAAAAGGTTGGAATGGAAGATCAGTCTGAGTTATTAGAGCTGAAAGGTTGTCAGAAGGACCTTGAGCTGGTGGGGGGGTCACACGATTTGTAGGCCGGGATTTGTGCCGTTTGCTTGTTCCTGTGAACTGTGAACCACCTAGGTACCTAAGCTAAATAAGGCCTCGTCGGATTGGGTGTCAATGGTGTCAAGGGCAGTGATACAAAACTGACAGGTTCACGGAGAGAAGATGCCAGATTTCGTCGCGAGTTAAAAGTGTAATTCTGGACTGGAGAGAAGCTAAGGGAAGACAAACGTCGTCATATCACAGCAAGCTGGGAGGCCCGGGACTAATAAAGCATACGAAAAGTAGCAGGGGGGGTTCGCTTGGAGCGGTGGATGGGAATCAAGGAAGGCTAGGGCTGTTAAGCTAAGCTAAGCTCCTCACGAACCTGGCGATACCACGTCTGGTACGAGGAAGAGGAGAGTGGAGGGGGGGAAGGGGGGGTAGCGGGTAGAAGAGAAGAATATCACGGAATCAGGCGAAGAAGTGTATGCAGGTAAACAGCAATAAGGAAAGATAAGTGGAAAAGGTATACCAATTCAACACTGTACTGTACTGTAGATGATGGACTTCAGATTGTGGCTTGGCTGTTTTTTGGTTTCGATTATGGCTATGGCTATGGCCCTTTTTCTTTTACCCCCATGCTACGGATCCGTAGTGCGTCCCGAGTTTGGATCCTTGTATATTCTTGGTATCCTGTATCCATATGGACGTCTCTAATGTTTCTCATATCTCGATTGTCTTGAGATTCTGTGCGAATCTGCCTGCCCGTATCTCTTACTCACTTCTCACTTATTCACTCAGCAGATCCGCTGCAGGCTGAGCGTGATAGCCAGGACGGATGCCCTCGTGAGACAAGCGAGGCCGTGCTAAGTATGTGAGACAAGTAAACGGCCATACGCTGTTGGGCAGCCAAAAAAAAAATGAGCAGGCCCAAGCAGGCAGCGCATCCCAGGTCCAGTAGCGTTATGCAATATCGACCATGCGATATACTGGGGCATGCCACGCGCCACCTTTTGCTCACGATACCTCCTCTGGACTGGCCTGTTTTGTTTCTTGGATGGGGCTCTCAACTCATACTATGTATGCTTGCTGCTGCGTTGCTTCATTTTTACTGCGTGTTGCGAGCTGCGAGCTATGAGCTGCGCAACTGCGTCAGAAATGCCGAACGCTCTCCTCACTTTACCGATTTTACAGGAGTAGGCCAGTGGTTTTTCGTTTTTTCGGGTTTGTTCTTTTTATTCTTTCAGCATCGAAATAAATCGAATGCATCATACATAACACTCAGGTTGCATATTGTTTATGCCAAGTCGCAGCTGAGTGGATGGAGAGGTTGGTAGCAGGTGGTAGACGGGCATTCGGATAGGTGCAGAGAAAAGCCTGAAGGAACCTGAAGGACGAAAAAAAATGGTGGGGTTGAAACCAGTGGGGAGGACGCTGACGCAATGATGCAGTGGACTTTCCTTTCCCTGCCTTTTTTTTTGTTTTCTTTTTTTCTTTTTTTCTTTTTTCTTTTTTCTTTTTCTTTTTCTTTTTTGTCCTGTCTTTCCTGCCTTTTCTGCCTATCTAGCCGCTCCGGTTTTTGCTTAAGGGCTTCCGTGGAAATCCACCCGCACCCCAGCAAGTCTCCACGCTCGGACCATATTATCCTATTTTATGTAACTTCGTACCGACTTCGCTGCATCCAGATTCTACCATACCCAGTCATAGTCATCATATACGTACTGATTTTACCTAATAATATCCAGACGCTAATATGCTTAGATAATATCCACTGCTGCCGATCATATAATTCGTCACGGAGAGGCCAAAATCACGGGATTTTGATTCGACAATTCCTAAAAAGACACCAGATGCGAGATGCGTTCTAGTCAAAAACTTCTGCAAGGGAATTTCCCTGAACTACATAGTATGGGCACTATTGGATATCCATATCCATCGTGTTCTCCATATAATCAGGAACTCTGCCCCCCTTAGGAGGAGCTGTTATACATGACGATCTAACGGATCTGACTTATTGGGCATCAAGCCAGAAAAAAAATGAGATGGGCGTGTCGCTCTTCACGAACCCTGCGTCAGAATCACCCCTGACATCAACGAACTCGTATCTTGGGTCCTAGATCTCATAGGATAGGATACATAGACAACAGGGAGCTTTCTAGGCGTTTCGCTACCGCGTTTCTAGAGAGATCTCGTGACCAATTGAGCTTCGGCGTTGGTTCACTTTGGGCTGGATCTGCAGATCGAAGGTTAAGCCGGGCCGTACCGGATATCGTTAATGTTCTCGAATCTTGAATCTTGAATCCAGACTATCTACCTAGGTACCCGAAGGCTTCTTTTTAATGACATCACGCTTTGATGCGTGAGGCTCTGTCTCGCTAGGAATACCCCTGATGTATGATTCATACAGGTATTAACTTGTCCCTCAGGGCTGTTGTCAGTTCGACGAGTATGTAGCGAGTCTGATCAATACGCTCATCAGACTTTCTAGCCTCGTCTACTTTTTTTCATATATAAATAAGGCCCTATCGCTCTTAGAGATGTCGGCAGCTCACAGGCTCCCAGTGGATCCAAACTCTCCAGATATTTCAAGAACACAGCAACGAAGAAGCCTTCACCACCAACAACTATTTTACACAGTTATGGTATTATAACTTAACATTCTCTAGTTATATACATTACAATGGAGGATATATATATACAGAACAAGCCTAAGCCAGTTAGTCCTCTTTAACATGTTTTTTTATGTTAGGAACCCTTAGACATATTTGCCCAGCACCAGAAAATCCGTTGTTTTTTGGAGATCAATATTCAAAACCCAAGATGTAAATGTTTCCTTTCCCTTTTCTCTTCCAAGAGAGACCCCGATTTTTCTTATACAAGTGTTGTTCGTTTTTTTGTTTGTTTGTATCTGGCTCATTAGGTGCTAGTTACTCGAATAAATTAGGCTGGATCGGCCCTTAGCTCATCAACTCGACGGGTTTGGCATCCCCGGGCATCTCTTGGGGATGCTGTTGGTATTGGTGGTAATATTGCTGTTGCTGCTGCTGCTGGTAATATGCCCCGTTATCCCCCGTCGGCGTAGTATACACCCATTCCCCATTTTGCGTAAACCCTGCCTGTTGCGGGTACGCCACCGCCGTCGTCACTGCAGGTTGTTGTGCGTATCCGTCTGGAGTCACAGTATATCCCATCTGCTGCGGGTAAACGACTCCCCCTGGCTGTTGGGGCTGTTGTGATTGCTGCTGGCTGTACCCCGTCTGAACGGGCTGAGCCTGTGGATATCCTGCATAAGTCTGCTGCTGCTGTTGCTGCGCCGCCGCACCGTACCCATACGCATATCCGTCAGCACCAACACCCGTCTGAGCTGCAATCTGCGCTCCATCGGGTCCATACGCTGGTCCCGATCCATTATCCTCCGGTTTATTATACTGATCTCCCCTCGCCGCCGCCATCGCCGCCGCCGCCGCCTCGTCGATCCGTCGCTGTCGTCGACGCATCAGCCACAAGAGAAACGGCGTCCCCGCAAGCGCAATCACCCCCAGCGTCACCCCGACGCTTATTCCCGCTTTCTCGCCGTCGCTCAACTTCCCGTCTTCGTCTGGCGCCGGCATGCTCGTGGCTACGGAGCCCGGCGCCCCCACCGTCTGGCTCGTGTTCGTGCTGGGCAGCACCGTCGCAGCCTGCCACCGCCCGTGGTCCCCGTTCACTTCCACCACGCGCCCCCCGCTCACGTAGTACAGCCGCATAGTACGGCTCCCGACGTCGCTGGCGACCGCGATCGGCGCGCCCGCCGCGTCGGCTACGGGCCAGGACTTCTCGTCGTCTTCGGGCCGCGGGGATACGCTCCACGTGCTGTTACCACCACCGCCGCCGCCGTCGTTGCTGACCTGGTACAGCTTCTTGTCGGTGCCGATGTAGAACACGCTGCGCACGTCCTTGTTGTTGATCGTCACGGCGAGCGCGGACGCCTTCCCGTCCCACGCCGGTAGCGTGAAGTTCGGGCTGCTGGAGCCGAGCGTCAGGTCCGAGGCTTTGGTTGCGTTTGTCGAGTGGTTCCCCGTCCGTGTTAACGGCTCTGGGAAAGTCGCTGGAAAATTATGGTCAGCGCTATAAACAGGTAACTACCTACCTCGTTAAAATAAACCTTGAGAGTAAGTAGGTTAGGTGCTAGGTGTAGGTAAGGTGGTCTCACATAGATGCCACATATCGTCGCCGTAAAGCTGCGACGCCCCCATGTTCTCGGCATCTCGGGGCCTCACGACCGAGATATTGCCACTGGAAAATGTAGACCCGATAGCCTGGGAAGAAACCGCGTCGTGGGAAACAACCCCGTAGTAAGACCACGTCGTGGTACGCGTGTATCCGATCTCGTGGAGAGTGCCCTCGAGATCATTGTAGTATACTCTGTATCCTTCCACCGACCCGAGCAGCACAGCGGATATGCCCGAGTCCGGGGCGACTTTAGGCGCTCCCCCGGAGACGACGAACTCGCCCGTGTTTTCCCAGTGTCCCGTATTCCAATCGCATTTCAGCAGCGCATTGACGATCTCGTCACTGGTATCCATGTAGAAAATCGACGCCTGTTGGTTTGTTGTCAGCACGCTGGCGTCAGCAAAAAAAGGCACTCTCACTTGGCCTGGTCTGACCGGGCTCCACTTTCGCCATGGCGAGAGAGTGAGAAAGAGAGAGACAGAGAGAGTTTCTCATCTCAGCTCAAGTTTTTGACTTACCGTTGCGGTCTCGCCGTCCACCCACCCTGCCGCCGACAGGCTCGTCTTGTTCTTGGGCAGGTGGTCTTTGAAGGGGGCCACGAGCGTCTTGTCGTCCGGGAATATCGGCGTGTAGTTGCCGTTGCAGAGGCTATACCGTATGTTCCCCGTGTCGTCGTCCTGCATTATGAAGCTGGGCGCTTGCGTGTTCCACCACGCCGCGATGGAGCCGCATGACACTTGTCCGGCAAGCAGCCATATCGGTAGGTAAAACGTAGATGCGATTCTTGAAGACATTAGGTACCCTAGGTAGGTAGATTATCGTGAGGGAAGCCCCGTAGGAAAGGGGATCCGCTTAGATAAAGGTGATATTGAGAGACAGACAGAGAGAGAGGGAGTCTAGCATGTGAAAACACCAGCCATATTATCGTCAACAGAACAAGAATGGCAACGGAACATGAACGACGCGAAAACTATAAAATGAAGCCAAAGAGAGAGAGAAAAAAAAAGGAGTTATGAGAAAATGGGATCGATGAGATCTTACCTCTACTATGTAGGTACCTACCTGTCTAAGGTGTGCATGTATTGTACAATACCTATTTGGGGTACGCCACCTTGTAAGTGTGTGTGTGTATGTAAGTAGCATGGAGGTGCAGGGATACAAAAAAAAAAAAAAAAAAAAAAAGAAAAAAAAAGGAAAAAAGCCCCAATTTGATAGGTAATCCTGATCTACTAGATGATTTTCATTTATGTGCTGTCTCGCTCAGCTATGGGTGCCGTATTTACCGGGAACACTACCAGGTTTTGAGGAAGTGAGTGTGCCATTTACTTAGGGACCCGCAACGCAAAGCAGAAGAATTAAACGCTTTACAGTGTACGATACATGCCCTCCTTACGACCTGGGGTCTGGGGAGGAGAGGAAGACGGTTACACCGGAAAGGATTCGCGGTGGCTGCTCGCATTACTCTAGGTTTACCTACTCTAGCTCTATGTATGTTGGTAGATAATGTAAGTTCGGATCGACGACTTGGGCAATTCTAGCCCTAGACCGGCTGGATGAATTAGGTAGGTGAGATACGTTCGTGGGTGCATCGTATGTATGTATGTCTAGGAACTTAGCCTCTTTTAATGGGGGGGACTAACAAGTAATCGTCAGGGCTGGTAACTTAGAAAAGCAGATAGTATTCAGTTGGAGATATGTCTGTTTAACATACGTCGTTGAACCGTTGACGTTACAATATATAAACTAACTGGTTGCATTATATGTGATATGTGCGGTGTTGGTAATGTTAGTAATGTAGTTGGCTTTTTCTTTGGGGGTTAAAAGACACCTCAGGCCGTGACGTTTCGACGGTACATAGTAACAGCGGAGGATTGCCGCGGGTACCTGTTATTTTATATTGTACAAATTAATAAGGGGCACAGGCCATAGCTAATTGAGCAGGTTATAATTATAATAAAAGAAGAAAAAGGACTGGAAGCTTTACGAGGTATTAGAGCTAGGTATCCAAAACCAAACCAGCAGGCATATAAGTTCGTAGGAACTCGTATGTTGGAAATGGTTTTGAGCCTAGATTGGGCAGGTTCACAGTTGCATTTGTTGTTTTTGGCCCCGTACTCGGTTCACAGATCTGACGTCGTAGGCGGTATTTTGGGGCTGGGACTTTGTGGGGTCTTGATCTCATCTTAACTTGAGGTTTGGGCATGTGAAATTCATAATTCTAATAGTTAGTACCTAAGGTTGTACCAAACGGTTAATAAAACTCAACTCTTATATATTTCACGTCCTAAGGCCTCAGCAAACTCGAGGTCATGAGATAAACTATATCCTCGCTTCCGTGATTCCAATTTGTTAATTTGCTTTTCTTACAAAATCCGTGAGATCTAAATTCTTTAAGTCCTCGAAGAAGTTAGTACGAGATGCAACGAGTTTCCAGGAATAGCAGCTGCTGGCGCTCGAAAAAAAAACCACCTAACCAACCTAACACAATGCACGTGCACTAGACGACATACTATGTAACCCTGGCCGGGCATCCCGAGACAAGCCGGGTTCCTTCGTCCATTCTATTTTGAGACGATGTGGCTTGCTGGAGACTGTGGCAAAAGCAACTTCGTCCGTCTCATCTTTTTGTCTCCTGTCTCTCACAACCTAGGGCCTAGCTCATTTTAACCAATACGAATAGTCCTTTCCACGTATCCGCTAGTTGAAATTCAAGACATGTTGTACTTAAAAAAGGTGAAGCTACCTGTTAATCAAACGTTGTTTGTATATAACTGCAATGTCAGGCTTCATTCACTAAGGATCAGGAAAGCTCAACTAGTAACACAGCGGCAACGGGTTCTTCCCGCTCTCCTACCGTGGAGGTAAGCTTACATAGTACCTAGTAGAAGCGTGGTCGTTATCCCTGCATATCATGTCGTTTCATTCGGAACCCTATTCATGATCCAATCCAGTTCCGAAGCTTTGGACTCAGTGCCGCAGCTTCAGCCCAGACGGATCCTATGGCAGGTACCCAAGATTGCCAGCGAAATTTATATCTCCATTGAGAACGGCCACGCATAACTTCCAATTCTACCCGCTTATCCAATCGGATGGAACCGCTACCCCGGATTATGCCTTACTCAATAGACTTCAATTTAAACGGATCAAAATTCTACAATGCTTTCGTCTCAATAACCACGCCATTCAAAAATACGTTTTAGTTAGACTGGCGCAAAATAGCAATGTCGACTTTATGATACTCCCCCCCCCCCAAAATACTTTGAGAAATCGTAAGGGTAAATAAATCATAATCATGCTCGCATAACCGTACTAATCTATCTACCTAGGTATTGTCCCGATATTGTAAACTCCCAACCCAACCGGCCGACCACTATTCTCTAGTCTCCAATCCGTTTTCTTTTTTTCTTTCTCTACTCAGCAAGCCCGCGCTTCGCGTCCTTGGCTATGAGCCCGACTAGGCTCTTCTCGGGTAAGGGGTACGGCGGGCGCCCGCCGAGGATATCAACAACCTCTTTGTTGTCGAGCCAATGGGCCGCCGTCGGACGTCGGTTCTTCCAATCCGTCTCATGCTCTTCTACTTGCTTCATGGACGAGAAAACTACATTGGCGCCCTTGATACCGATAACGGACGCGCTTAGGGGATCCTTCATGATCTTTTCCGGGTTCTTCTGAGGCTTGGGGCCGTATTTCTCGAGGTGTTGAATGCACTTAATAGCTAATCTGACGGCACGACATCTGTCCATGGCTGAGGGAACACCACCCTGCTGCACGTGGCCGGGAATGCTGTCTCGTGATTCGAAACGGTTGTGAGCTTCTTCTCGGATGATATCCGCGATAAGCTTCGCTGTGAAGACTTTGCTTGCCTTTTCATTGACAAGAATTAATCGACCAGCTCGCGATTGACCTTTATCTTTAGTAAAAAGGTCCTTAAGATGTTTGACGTCTGCATTCAGCATATCCAAACTGATGCCCTCTTCCGGAATGTAGACAGCGCTCGCGCCGACGCCCAATCCTCCTAGAATTGCTGTATATCCGCACCTACCACCTTGGGTTTCAATAACGAAGACTCGCCTTCGGGTGGCCGACGCGGATTGCTTAATCTTGTCGCAATAAGCAACGAGTTCGTTGAGACAGGTGTCGGAACCTAAGGAATATTCTGTGCCCGGGACATTGTTCGAAATGGTCGCCGGCAGTAGAGTCATGGGAATGCAGAGCGAAGGGTACTTCGCTCTAGCTTTTCGAAGCTGTGAAACGGCATGGAAGGCCTCGAAACCACCAATTAGGAACAAAGCGTCGAATTCGTACTTCTCGATTAGCTCCGCAATTAGCTCCATACCAGATTCTTCCGGAAGCTCTCGGTTTGTTCCAATTTCAGAACCTCCTTTGCTTGCCCATCCGTCCACTTCAAGCCAATCAAATGGCCGGACAGCTCCTAGCGGCGTGTCGCCATGATGCCGAGCAAATCCAGCAAATCCATTGTGAATTGCAACAGGCGTATGTCCACCTGTAGACTTAAAGTTAGTCGATGCAGCGAAGAAAATGAATCTAGTAGTAGGGGTATCTTACGCGATCGGCAATAAGCCACACCTGCACGGATAGCAGCGTTCATACCGCCCGCCGGTGCCCCGACGTTGATAAAACCAATTTTCATTTTCTATAGCATAGTTAGCATCCGTATTTGATAATATCAGAGAGGAGATCTGTAAACTTACCTTGGAGTCATCTAAATGTATATCATGGTCAAGTCCTATGTTGGTAGTCATCATGTAAGAGTTGTATTGGTCGGAGAATTCCGTATCACGGAGTGACATTGCTTTATCGAAGTCCTGGGCTTCAATAGCCTTTGCTACCTTCTTAGTCTCCTGTACGGCTGCCATTAGAGGCTTTCGAACGATCTTGTTCTCGGTAATAGCGATGACACAAGTCTCGGTTTCTGGCGTAGCCTCAAGAACAGCCTTGACAGCTTCCACTCCCTGCAGCGTGGCGAGCATCCTGTCGTAGGCCACTGCAGTACCTCCTCGTTGAACGTGACCAAGGGTTGTGATACGGGTGTCTAAGGCCAGACCTTGTTTGTCGGCGAGGAGATCTTTCACCATCTCAGGCGTAATCTTGTTACCGTGCCTATCACGAGCGCCTTCCGCAATGATGACGATGGTTTTGCGCTTGCCCCAATCTCGGTGCTTGTGAAGTTAGCATAAAAGACCTTGGTATTTACGATGTTAAGCTTGAATACGTACCTTCCTGATGACTTGATGCATCTCTTCTTTCCAGTTATCTTCTCTAGGTTTCTCTGGGATAAAGATGAAGTCGGCACCGGTAGCTACACCTGCCATCAAAGCGAGCCAGCCGCAATGCCTACCCATTACTTCTATTACGAAAGCACGGGAATGTGATGAGGCGGTGGCTTCGATATAATCTACCATTTCGCACACGCGGGCCAAAGCGGAATAAGCGCCGATGGTGGCATCGGTTCCGGAAAGATCGTTGTCAATTGAACCAACGAGTCCTACAATGTTCAGATGTCTGTAAGGTTCGACTTGTTTTGGTTGTAATTGGCCTGTAGATACGAGCTCTTCGATTAGAGAAGGCCATTCGGCTCGGAATCTATCAGCACCGGTAAGGGAGCCATCACCGCCGCAGATAATGAGGGCGTCGATGCCATTGAGTATAAGGTTCTTGGCGGCGGTTAAACGTCCGGGGCGCTCGTAGAAGGCCATACACCTAGCGGTACCAATGAGTGTGCCACCTTCGGAAAGATATCCTCGAACATCGTTCCATCCCATTTTCCTGATGAAATTACCACCTTGGACTAGACCTTCGTAGCCTTCGTAGACGCAGTAAGGGTCGCATCCCATGTGAATAGACATTCGTACGACGGCTCGAACCACGGCGTTCATGCCTGGCGAGTCACCGCCGGAGGTCATAACGGCGATCTTTTTCTTTGTTGTAGCCATGCTGATCTAATAGATATTCCAGGTATGATATAGTAGGGATGGAGGTCTTAGAGGTAATTCGAGATTTGGAGGTTTTGGTTTTGAGGAAGGGGGCCGGGGGAGGAGGATAGGAGAGAGATATATAATGCCGACTAAACCAAGAGTTGGCACATCCAAAGGTAAAAAAAAGTAGAGGCAAAAGTAGAGGTTAAAGTAGAGGCGAGTCAAGAGGACATTAGAACTTATAGGACCTATAAATGCGTTCTTTTACATGATCCAATCAGCCCACGCAATCGACGTCAAATAGGGGAAAATATCAGGAGATAGCCGTGCTATTAATGCGACGAGGGAAATAAATAGAAAAAAAGGGTGACTTACCTATTATCCATGTACTTGCCTACTTCACATACGTGAGGTGTTATGCGCCGGACCGAGTAGAAAAAAAACAACGGTACGGTGATATAAACGAAGCTCTTATCAACTATCAGTGCGGGGGGAAAGCTATGGAAAGTCATGTAAGTAACGACCCTCTTACGTAGGTACGGATCTGTAGCGGGCAGTACAAATAAACCCCTCACTACATCACTACATTAGGTACTCCGTCCTCCGACATGTACCACCTATATACATACACCAACCTAGTTAAACAGTACCTAATTGTACATGCATGATGTAAGTCGGCCCCGTCTGTAAGTCTGTAACGTAATAAATGCATGCACCTACAACTTAACCCCAATTATATTGCAGCTGAGTGTTGAGGCTGAGTTATTTTTACTTGTTGAGCTCTTTTCTTTCTTATTACCTTTTATTCAAGAGCTACATACCACCTTTCTGCAATACCAGTATCGCTGTAAAATACTTGGGTAGTATTTAACGCGAGCTTGTTGAATAATTTCTTTCCTCGTAAGATATGGTACTAGTCGGCCAAGTTAGTAGTACTCTGATGGCCTTGGCCAAGTCGGCCCTATAAGTGGAAGCTGTTAAAATATCTTTGTTATAGGTATTACAGTGCGCGGAATGACTAAGGAGCACCTCTACATAACGGAGTTCGCCATGGAACGGCTGTCGACTTAGCGTTCAATTCATAACCTCATAACCCCCACTTGACGTACTATGCTATGGTACGTCAAGGTCTTGTTGAGGAAGATCTACTGCATGCGATGCCAAGAACTCCTCGAAGTGAGAATGCTCGAAATTCCCGCAGTGATAAAAAGTATATAAGTAGGTACCTCCTATAGACGATAGACATGCTCGTGATTAATGCTTTCTGTTGTTGTATCAAGCTTTTTCTGCACAAATTAATCTAGCGTTCCATAGGTTCGGGGGCGTCTCAACCCCCGTACGTTGCAGCAACTTAGGATGGCCATCAACAACATGATCTAAAAGTGGAACAAGTTGAAAAAAGAGCCGCTTGGAAGTCTAGGGCTGTCGTGAGATAGTATCGTGGGATAGGTGTGTCACATAATCTCGAATGATTCGGCAAAGGAAGCCTACATAAAGGCGCCATCCTCCACTACCTCTGTTAGCTGTTCTTGTAACTATGCCGTATACTGGGGATACACTTCGAGTAACCTTGATCATGCCATTAAAACCTTTTTAAGATTAAAAATTCGGCAAGATTCAGTTCGAGTTTGCGGCGTTGTCCGAGAATAAACCGGATTGAGAAATTAAAACTACAAGTAGTATGTCACGCAAGTGGCAACGATTCTCTACCACGAAGATATGAATGATTGTAAAGAATATGGTATTATTTATTTATTTAATTTTTGGGGGTTGGTAAAATACCTAGGTATTCTCATATTGTTGGCGGGAGAGGGTGAATTATATATACATGGAAATGGTAGGTGTAAAATATGCTTGGGGAAGCATGTGCTATGTGCTACGTAAATGCAAACTTGAACTTTGGGGGGCGCATTGAATGCTCTGATGCTCTAAATTCTAAGCTCGGATCTGTTCTATGCTGACTCATCAGGGACAAGGATCTTGACTGGGCTGCGCTGCATGCTTGTTCGCAGCTAGCTACTTAGCTCCATGTACTCCATGTACTTTGTACATATTGTTTCCTTTACATCTTCAAATCAAATCCATAATCCAATGCAAGCTCGAACATCCCATATTGCGTCTCCTCGAGTCCCACGGATAGAATTATAATCACTGCTAGAACGTATTATATAAATCCGCCAGCGATCGAGATGGCCTCCGGTTCACCATTCTCGCTACGTCCTTGGCCTATAGGCGACAAGAAACCGAAGAACCTCGGCGAGTTCATCGCGCGCATTAGCGTTCAAAGCGGTGGCTTTCGCAATGTTACAGAGGCTAAATTGCGCGAAGAGATTGCAGCTCAGGAAGATGGTCGCGTCGAAACCGAGGGTTCTTCCGACGAGGAGGAAGATGAGGATGCCGAGCTGAAAAGCGTTGTAGTTGCACGAGAAGAATTCTTAAAAAATATCGAGTAAGCCCTCGCGAGACGACGAATAGGAACTTCCTCTAAGCGGGAGCCTATGCTAATGATGGAATACCCAGAATCGCACACCAATCCGCCATGGTGAGTCTCGATTTCGTCTCCCTCCTTCTTACGAAACAAGATCCAAGAGCCTTGAACACGCTATCGCCCGAGCTGCGTGAACTAGTCGGCATTGGTACCCTAGGAGCCTCCAAGTTGAACGAGTCCAATATTACCGAAGAACGAAGGCAGGATGATATCGCTGTCGCAACTGGATGGAGGCTCATGGGAGTCAACAATATGGTGGATTCGGTTGTGGCAGCTGCAGAGAAACTTGAGAAAGAAATGCAGCTGGAGACGAAATATTGGGCTGATGTCTTGGCTGTCAGCGAAAATGACTGGGCTATTTGTGCCATGCCTCAGGAGAAACACACACTTGGTGTACGGTTTGGTTTCGCCGAGTCCGCCCCCGAGTTCAGGAATAGTAGTATTGCTCCCCTTAAACGCAATGATGATGGCACTGTTCACCTGGGGTTGGCTCGTGTCGGTGCTGGTTCTCAGAGAATTCGGGTTACCCTCAAGAAAAACGGCATAATTGTGGATCAGTCACCGTTACCTGGACGAATACCGGACGAGGCGCCTCTCCAGGACCGCGTACGTGAAGCCAGAAATACTGCCTTTCACCAGGAGTTATGGTACGAGCTCAATCGGGAAGCTCGTACCCTTCTTTCTTCTGATGTTTACTCGGATTCGTCGAGTATCACTTGGAAGCAGGACTCGGAAACGGATCTTATCTTCACTCTCGAAGACCTTGGTGAACCGGATAACGCCAATGAAAGAATATTAAGCACGCATTGTTCATGTACAGCATACTACATCTACGTGCAGTTCCTCTTATTCCAAGGTCACCGACAGAACTACTACCGACGCACGACCATGGCTCAGCTCCCACCTAATCGTATGCCACCACCCTATGCCATTCTCCGTGCAGTAATCGCAAGTAACGAGTATTTCCAGGATTGCAAGGCCATGACGGATTTCTTAGATGATTTAGTGTTTACGTTAAAACGTGCTGGCATCTCGACCGCTACTTGCAAGTCGACCACACAACCACTCGCACCTACGCTTCTCCAGAGCAACCTAACCCGTCGCAACGCCAAAACCGAGCTCAACTTTATAAACTATCTAGTGGGCCGTCTGGAATCTGCTTTTGAGTTGGCTATCACGCCGGAAGCCAAAGTTTTCGTGCGAGCCCGCGTCGTGGTCGTACCCTACATCCAAATGCACTTTTTCATCTCCCTTACACCATTCCCTCAAAATAACAACAATAACAACCCGGAGAGTAATAAGAATGACACGTCTATGAATGAAGGAGTGAAAAACCCCCTGGCGGATTTATACCCACCCACCGACGCGATACGCGAACCATATTCAAGTGCAAAGGATGCTATCTATTTTATTCAACAAGCTACGATACGCGCTCTCGCACACAAGTTAGCTGAAGCTACGGCGGAGAAACTAGGCAGGGACGATATATACTGGACCGAGACAGTGAACGGCCCCGGGGTAGTTGACGGGGATGATGGAGAGGCTCGAATCGGCCTTAAGGAAGATAACGACGGCCGTTTGATCCTGAGCCTCGATGGGCGATGGCAGGAAGGCAAGCGTACGTCCCGGTCTCTCTCGACGTGGAAAGCGGATCGGGGCGACGAGAAAGGAGACAGCATCGCGGACGCCGTCCTCCGGGTCATGCAGACGTATCCGCAACCACAGGGTGAAGGAGCGGCCGATTAGACATCGGACCACACCCTTGATAGCGAGACTATACAGGACTTTGTTAGCATGGCAAGCTCTCCTGCGAAACCCGACCAGTCTGCCAAGAAGTGGTTTTTAACAATGCCGTAAAAGTAGCCAGGTTTACTGCTGCAGAATTGGTTGTTGTCTTTTAAGGATGACTTTTACGGGAAAGGGTTCGGTGGATCGGGAGCAAGACCGGCAGGATGGCACTTAGCATTAGGTACCTGTTATATAGTTCCAGGGTACGGAAGTAGCTGGCTAGAAGTGACAATTGCAACAATACTGGATAATCCAATGTTAATGACTTCGAATAAGGTGTCAGGCGTGTAATCTGGTGAAAGGTTTAGGTATTTCACATGACCACCATTGGTATCACATGCATGGGACCCACGTAACCCCCCTATCCGATGATTTACCCCTGAACCCTTAAACGACAGAGATACCTTTAATAAAGGACTTACGTGTATGTAAATAAAAGGTAAGCGGCATTGTCACGGTCATGTGAGTCCTTAGAGCTTATTGAAATATTTCGTTACTAAAAGATTAACGTAGGACTTATAGCACATGAACTGCCGTCTCAGCGGGTGTTGCCAGTTAGCCTTAAGCAAGGTTTTATGTGAAATACCAAGACTGGAAAGGAGCGCATTAATTCATGTCAACTAATTCTCTAGTGGAAGTGCAAAGATGCACAACGAACACACTTAAAAGCTCCGTTGGTCAAGATGGTTATTGGTTGAAACACCAAGCCTGAAAAGAAACGCACGAATTCATATTAACTTGTTCCCTAATGGAAGCGTGAGGATGAAGAAGAATGCAGCGCAAAGAAAGAAAACCACCTATAGCAACGTCCACTATCGCGAAAGTAATCCAGACACATCCTCCATAGTACACACATATACAAACATAGCTCGTCTCCCGTCATTCGCCGTGAGGCGATAACCATGTACAAAATGAAGACACTGTACGAGGACAGAGACACTCCGTCTTTCCCCTCCAGGTAGTAGCTTGGACTGTATGTCCTGATAGGCTGTATACCTTTAGTAAAAACGCCATCGTAATGCTCATCCACGTATCCCCTAAACTAATGGCTGTGATTTATGTGCAGAGCACATCGTGTCGCAGACATGTGTTGTAGACTTGAATCAAACCCCTTTTGTCAGAATCATAGGGGGCAGTTAGTCACTTGCAGCTAACAAAAGGCAAAAAAGAAAAAGGAAAATAAAGAAAAGACTGGAATAAAAGTGGCCGCATGAAAGTAAACCACCAATTGTCGGAATGGATTATGTGGACCAGAGCTATCGAGGTCCTGAAGTTTATTTCTTGGAGCCCACACCAAAGAGAAACGCGAGGTCCTCGGTGCCAAGTTTGCTCGAATCCCCATTCGATGTACCATCGCCCTGCAGTGCGAATTCGACAATCTTTCGCTTTTGCTCTTGAGTGGCCATAATTCGATCTTCCACAGTCCCCTCCACAAGGATTCGGTGGACTGTAACGTCGCGCTGTTGACCAATACGATACGTGCGGTCGACGGCTTGATTCTCAACGTACGGGTTCCAAAACGGGTCCATGAGAATAACCTGCGAAGCCACTGTCAGGTTGAGGCCCGCGTTTCCGGCTTTGAGTGACACCAGCATAACCTTCACTTCAGGGTTTTCGGTAAATTCGTTAACTGCCTCGTCACGTTTAATAGCGGTCATGCTACCATCGTATCGACCAACTCGAATATGAAGCGCATCTTCGATTGCGATTTGAAGCAGATCAAGAAAAACGGTCCACTGCGAGAAAACTATGACCTTTTCTTTTGTGGTATTCTGGATATCTCCGATGATCTCACAGCACTTGGTCACCTTGGCTGAAGGCTGCCAAATTGAACGTAAGGTTCGGAAGTACTTTTCGCGGGCGCGCATATTGTGCCTTGCCTTCTGGCACAGCTTTGCAAGTTCTTCCGGCACGAACTTGGCTGAACATTCCCAATGAGAATCATCTGAATTATCTGAGTCGTATGAAGAGTCGGTGTCATCAGTATCGTCAGTATCGCCACCCGTCTCGGATTTCTTTACTGCCATGACTGGCTTAGGTTGGTGCACCTTCGAGAATGAACTAAATTTGATTATCGCAAACTCGCCCTTATTGTGACAAGCTGGACATTCAATTTGCCCGTTGAGGGACTGATCCTGCCCTGCGCGTATTCGATTCTGAGCTATCAGGTTCGAAAATGCCTCAGCACAGGGTGGGCAAAGTAAATCTGCGCAAGGACACATAATAGAAGGCTGTGCCATGATGACATCAAAACACACGGAACATTGGAAGGGTCCAGTTCCCTTGATACGCTCAACTGCCTCCGGGCTCAGTCTGCTGGCGAATTTCTCTGCCTCTTCCTCCTGGATATCGGGTGGGACCAATTCTAAATCCGTGAGGTGCAGATACGGGTGACAACATGCTTGACGTAGGCGTAGTAGGAGTACCAAGACTTTGGTATAATGTCTACCGATGGTTCCAGCTCTGAGATACTTGCTGAATTGGACACGAGCATCCTTCTCAAGAGTATTGTAAAATTCTTTTTGATCCGAGTCAAACACAACATGATCAACGACTTCGATTTTCTCTTTCAACTGGATGATTGGCTTTCCATCTATCTTTGACTTCTTGGTCCGTCGGAGTAGAATAGAATTGAGAAACTTCTGTAGCGACTTCATTGCCTTGGACCTTGTGTCAGTAGTGCCCGAAAATTTACCTTTCGGCTGCAGAGATCCAAACGCCTGTGCGATACAGTTAGCATAGTAATTCTATATTTTCATTGTTGTTGATAAAAAACTTACTTTCTTGAATTCTTCGACCTTACAGTACGGTTGAATCTTTAGGAATCGGATAAGGGGAGCAAGTTCGTTTGGTCCGTTCTGCATTGGTGTTCCACTTAGGCACCAGCGATACTTAGCCTTTATCTGGCAAACAGCCAGTGAAGCTTTGGTTCTGGGATTCTTGATACACTGTGCCTCATCAAGAATTACTCGGTAAAAGCAGCTGTTGGGGCTTATAAATGGGCAGATCTGAGATAGGTAACCATTATCGGCGGGGAATCCAGCTTTCGTGGCCTCATTTATATATTTTTCTCTCCGATTGTATTCGGAGACCAGCATTCCGTAGCTTGTCAGCACAACATCATATTTGCAAAGCTGTTTGTACTCTTTCTTGCTTGAATGGTACAAGAAGACTTTAAGCTGACGGTCAGGTAGGATCTTTTGCTTGATCTCTCGCTGCCATTGATTGAGTAAGGCTACAGGCGCAACGATTACGTTGGTCTGGAATAGTTAGCATAGTTCATATAGAACTTGAGGAATCCTTACTTTCACGTTAGCCCAAGTTTGTGGTTCGGCGTCACGACTGAGCATCAGAGCAATGGTCGTGAGTGTCTTTCCAAGTCCCATGTCATCGGCAAGGATACCACCGTTAATCTTCATATTTTTCTCCATTTGCTTCATCCATTTTAATCCCAATAGCTGGTGCTTGTAAAGGGGGTATCGTAACGCATCTAGAGGACCTGGTGGGTTCTTAAGGGCGTTGGATGACTTATTAGGAGATAGTTGAAGGCCGTGGTTAACACCAGACGCTGTTTCATCTGCAGAAAGAGGTTCTCCTAACAGATTACAGCCACTTGATCTGGTCAACTCCTCAAATAGTTGATCTGCGGATAGCGACTCCTCTAGTTCGGCATCCGGGGGGGATATAGTGATCCGGCGAAATTTGCTAATTGGGATTTCAAGGTCCTCGGATGACTCTAAATAGTCTGTAAAATTTCGCTTTCTTCCATTGACGTCCGCAAGGCTCTCAGGTGATTCACCAGCTTGATTTATACCAGTGCCTTGATAGGGAGCTAAATGACAAAATGATTAGCTTAATACTATTAAAGCAGACAGGAATAAAGCCAAAGAGACACAAGGTAAGTGTAAGAGAGGGGTGGTAAAGTGAGAGTATAACTGGTCAAATCATCTCAAATCTCTAGAGATGGAGTATACCGTTGCATAAAATGTGTATGGGATGGCAAAGGTGTAATAGTAGTGAGAGGGGAGAGATAGTCTCTTAAGTCAGGAAATACCTTACCTTTATGAAGCTCAATATAATCTGATGCCATCTTGAAGTAGAGGCATGGAGTGGTATTGGAATTGGTGGGAAACCTATTGGACGACAATGAGATATCGGCGATGTGAATGTACTGAGGAAAGATGTATCGGTCGGCGATGGTACAACTACCAAAGATGAAATAGTAGTGGTAATTGGGAGTGACGGCGATGTGAATGTATGAAGGAAAGATGCACTGGTCAGCAACGTCACTGCCGCTAGAGTGAAATGATAGTGAGTAGGCCTGTCGGCGACGTTGGTAAAACCCTACTACACTGACCTAGGTTTTTGTTTAGGTCACAAGGGAAGGTAGGATAGGATTGAATTTACTGCGTTATACCGGTGAATACTTTTACGGCAAATAAGTGTTTGAAGACTGGTAGTCAAGTGCGACGTTGTTGGTTGACGGGAGAACTGGTCAAGTGTACGAATTGCACAGCAACAGCCCGTTACTCATAGTAATGTGCAGTGGCAATTGAAGGACGAATAAGTAGAGAGAAGGGAAACAAACAATGTTTTAACCGAAGTGCAGCGCGTTAGAAATCAAAGACGCGTTGCGTTGCTGGTTAAAAGGTTTGTTCTGATGAGGTGTGAAGGTGGAAAACCCTGAGTCATAAAGGGGAGGCTGCACGAAATTTATACCCAGAGAAAAGGCAACACGAGCGCAATAACCAGACACAACTCCCAAAAGGATGCATGTGTAGATGCAACTGCCGTGGAAGAATGGTAATTGGTCGTGGGATGAAAAAACTTGATCTAGAGCCTCAGTTGAGGACGTCGCAGTTGCCATTACTGCGTTCCGTTCCGGGGCAACCGGGATTGACAGGAAAGTGCATTGTAGTTTCTAGTCCCGACGGTTGCCTATTTGAGTACTTGCCATAAATCCGAATTTCCCAACAGTCGGAAAGTGCTGTCAGCTTGTGATACATGTATTTACAAAGGGAGAACGTGCTTTCCATAGGTACGATAGAGACGTTTACTTAATTGGCTGGATGCTCTTGAGCTAGACATATACATATCTGCATGTATCTCAGGCAACAAGACGACTTATCACAAAATCATACAAGTCCATATATCTTGGAGGGATTTACCCAGTAAACTTTAGACAGACACGTGTAATGAAGTTGATAATAAATACAGGTATATAGTAGGTTAATAAGAGCGCCTATGTATGGCAGCTATCTTTTTGGCTACATTAAATCAGATACTACAAACACCCCCCCATTGGGCTTGATTCGCTAAATCTGCTTTGAGAGATACCTGGTATTGGATTCAGCAAATATTACCTTCCCTGATCTACCACAATATGTATGCTACATATAGCTAATGCTTTATCGCCAAAGACCCCACCTCCCTTTTATCAGAAGAAAGTGTCCATGAGAGGCAACCGGGGGGTAATTATTTTCATGAGCTACACCAAAGGATGAGTAAAACCATGAACCATCTTGCATGATGTTGTTATGGTAGTAAATAGACATCTTTCTATAAGCACTGGGCTACGTGACATGTCGTGAAAAAAGTTCTTGCATGGAAATAGGAGGCATTCAAGGGGACACCGACTGACAATGCAACAAAGATGCTAGCTATCCCACAAGGAGAGAATATTGATCATCTATAATACATTAGACATAGGTATTTACCAAGAGTGCGTTTTCAATAATCAAGATGAAATGGTTCACTAAAGGTCAGCCTGTCCCGGTACCAATTTATGGTAGGTAGAAGGCTTTAACAATTGCCTACTGTGACAAGGAGTCTGTCTACCCTATTCCGAATATCAATCTCTAGGATATTATATCTCACCCAAAAATGAAATCTGCTGGATCAGGGAGATTTAGATGGTATGGTCCTAGCACTTATTGTGGATCTTGAACAGCTTCTTAAGTATTATTTTGACTTTATTATAAAATACTTACATTGAATACTGCTACAATAGATATAGAATTGTTTCTCTCAAGGCATTATCAAACCCATTTTAAACAATACTTCATTCTCCTGAAACATGATTTCGTACGACAAAGAATATAGGAAACTAGGTATTTAAAACAATAGGTAACAATGCTAGAGGTAGGCAAGTTGATCATTCTGATATTAACAATAGGTCACATCAAGTAATTACTCATTCCCGAACACCATTGCTCGTTTTCACTCTAATATTATATATAACAGGTACCTAAGGTACTTTCGCCTGCCTTCGCGTGAGTAACACAATATACCAAGGCCCATAGCCTTGATAAATATTTATCCACATTAACATTACTTAGAACGTTAGGATGTAGTTGCCCTTAATATATGTTATATAAAGAGTGAGTGCAGGGGTCGTACGTGTAGTAGCATCTGGCGTTGCATCCTCGTACGAGCGAGCTGACTATCCTTTATGCAGACGGCAGAGCCTCATACGAGCTAATAATATACTTATAACGGACCTTCTACCAGAATAATTTCATTATTACATACTTGAAAAGCCATTAATGGCCACATATAATAGTTGTTGGGCACCCGCCGTTTATAACACATCTGAGCTTACCTAAGGTAGGCTATGTGTGAATAAAGAAAAGCCGCACGGTATTGTATTGGCTAATAGTGGGTAGCATCCCTTACGATTATAGTGGTGAGCCGCCTAAAGCTTAGCGTACTAACCGCTATGCACGTCCCAAATTAGTATAAAAGCAGCACAGTGTTATTACTATGGTGGACATTGAATTAGAATGACAACATTAGGTTCTAAGCATGTGCAAGACTTTTGGTCTCATTGAGTTGTAGTAAAATGTGTATTCGTAGCAGTATATTGTCCTATCTAGAACTATTTCACATTGCATAAGCATGATTGTACAGATGTTGTCTATCGTGGTACTGGAATAGCTGATGACTGGGCTACATCAATAAACTATATTGCTAGTGACTGTAAACTGTACTTCCTGGAACGGATGTAGGAACTCTGATAGAAACAGATACCTCAACTACTTATAGCGCCGATTACTTTCAATAGAAAGATAAGAGGTGATAATATCCTAGAGCTAATCGGTATTGTAAAGGGACTGTAGAGGCGATAGCAAGGTACTAAGCAACTATAAAGGGGTTAGTAAATTGGAAAACCATCGAAACAACAGCGGAGAATATGCCTACCCAGCGTTCCAGATCCTTTTCGTTCTGCCTGAGCTCGTCATAACGCGCATCCATAAGTTCTAGTTGACGCGCACGTTAGTTTCCTTAAACCTGTATCTAGGCGTGGGAGTGTCAGAACTCACCTGCAGTCCGATAGAGCACGTCTTCAATATCCGCATCATACTCGAGGCCGTCCAAGAAACCCCTGACCTTTTGCTCGTCCTCAGGGTAGCTAATATTTTTTCCGATCTGGCTGATTGAAAATCTGACGACTAGGAGGAATTTAGCGCTCGGTCGTTTCCCCCAGACAAGCGACAAACTTACCATCCTTCCTATACCCCTCCTTGCTATTTTCAAACCTCATCGCGCAGTCGTGGATCTCTCTGCGGAATCGACCGGCGTCTTCATTCCGGTTCTCGTCAATCTTTCCTATAGGACCATTTTTTCCGGCTTTTTCCTGCGTCGGATACCCATCCGTAGTCACCAACACTAGGAAGGGACGCTTAAGCGGAATACCCGCATCGACGTCCTTGTAGATAAGAGGATCAAGGACGTTCTCCCTCAACTTCGTGCCGATCGGTGTCCAGCCCTCGGGATAGAAGCTTTTGAGCCTGTCTTCAATTTGCTTGGCGTTTAGACCATTAGCATCCGGGGCGGCCTTGTTGATGAACCGGAGGTGGCAGCCCCTATTCAGAGGGTCGGTGCGGGTGGCGATGCTGCTAATTCGTTTGGCCAGTTCGATCTGAGCGCGCCACCTATCTCCATTCCCTATGTAGTTTTCTTCGCTCCACATAGATCCGCTGTCGTCTGAATATAGGTATCTGCTTAGTTTTGAATAGAACTCTACGGGCTTGATTGACACTTACCACAATACAGGATAGGCTGATACAGTGCTAATTTGGCAAGACCGTCGACCTGAGCAGGAGAGTTCAACTTGTTATTCGGATCATTTTTGAGTTGGAAAGCCTTTTTCGCCACATCTTCAATATAGGGATCGTTGGGAGGGAAGAACTTTTCGAGGCCGCCCCTTTTTATAACACATCAGCAATACCGCACTTAGAATACGCGGCCATATTTACCTTTTGATTGCATTGTTTAGGTTGTTCTTGAAGTCCTCTACGGTCTGTGGTTCTGCGATATCCTTTCCCAAGCCACGAATTAGCAATTTGAACAGGCCGCAGCATGCGCCGGCGTTCTCTCTCACCTGTCCCGGCGCGGGGTTAGATACTGGGATCTTGTTATAGGTCCTAGATGATGCGTCGAAGATGTCTGCAAGAGGAGTCCAGATGTCGAAGTAGGCCAGAACCTTGAGAACCCATTCGTTGATGTATGTTATAAGCCCCCCTTTACCCTTGGTTGCCATTATATTAAGGGCATCCTTAACAGCAAGGTCTGGAGGCTGTAGCTTATCAGCTATGTCCTTTGCAGTCTGGCCACTGGAGTTCTTCTTCTCCTTAGAAGCTCCCGCTTCCACGAGTAGCTTAATAGCAGAGGCATCGCTCTTGTGGACAGCGGCCATCAACGGAGTCTCATTTCCGAACGATGCGGGGCCAGGTTCGTCGAAGGTATTCGGGTTCTTGGCAAGGAGAAGCTGTATCATCCTAGCCCGCTGCTTTGGCGCGCTTGCGGCCAGGAACATTGGAGTTCGTCCATCTTGGGTCTTCACATCCGGATCCGCACCATTGTCCAATAGGAGCTTTACGGTAGAGGAATTTCCCTTTCGAATAGCTGCTGCCAATGGGGTGAGCCCCGATGCCCGATCCGGTTTGTTGATAATTGATCGATCGGCTCTAATATATTCAGCAAGCCTGGCCTTGTCGAGGGCCGGTGGAGTAGCTCCTGCGTCGATCCAAATAGACATGCTGTGCGAGGGACTCTTCTGTCGAATAAGCGACCAAGTAATTACGTACGATCTACGAGTGGGAATATTGCAATGGATTGCATACGCATCTATGCGAGGGAGGGGAGTCGGATGCTTCTATTCTATATGCTGCATTATGTGGGAGACTGGACGTGTATCTCCCTCATGATATCTACATTCCTGTTGTAACTTCCGTTCCTCTCAACGTCACCACTATTTTAGTTATTGGGACAATCTGGTGAGCATGTTCTACATTGGCTTATTCCTCAATCCTATGAATAAACTGAGTAACCCAATACTAAGTGCTTACCTAGTCCAGATATCATAAAGTGGCTAGCGGACTGGCAACATGTTTCCCCATGGGGAGACGATTATCTCGATTTACGTACAGACATTCTATGCAATACTCCTCTGCGGGGACGCCATGACGAGCGCCTTACGAATACGGTTACGAGTCTTCGGTGAGACAGTTGGAGAGAAGGTGTGATACACATCTGCCGTTGGTCACTGGAACCTGGAGGCTGACGATCTAGCTGGACTTGATAATATCGGCACTCCTTTCTAGATTTATTTGCTTTCAGGTAAGATTAGCAGTGGCTTATCGAAAACCATGAACGTTACTTTATCGGCGATGGCGTCGCTGCCTATTGAAGTAGTCGGCCGCAAATGGCAAGCTGAAATGCAAGATGAAAAAGAAGGAAGATAAATGTGGGAAATTGAAAGTTAATACTTCGGGTACAGCTGGCATGGCAGCCTGGTAACATTACAAACATGTGTTAGCCGTGCGCACGTTTAAAATATGTTGTGTGAGTAAAGTTATTCCCCGACCGCGCCGCGAAATTTGATCAAGTCGTCCCATATTAGCTCTATTCAACCAGTGTATTTCGACTATATTGATAAAATACTCCACCTTCGATTCGTATATTGACCACTCGTTAACACTTGGATCCTGTGGCTTTGCTACGACAAGCATGGATACTAACTTCGCAGCATTTTTAACCGGGCACATGAAAAAGCCCCTGGTGGTAGAAGAAGCGGAAGACAGATTCGCCGACGAAAATGAGATCGTCATCAAAAACGCTGCGGTTGCGATGAATCGTATCGACATAGCTTTCCAAGAATTCCCATGGAGCATCTTCAACTATCCCTTGATCCTGGGCGTCGACGTGGCTGGCGAGGTTGTGGAAGTGGGATCCCAGGCTTCGCAGTTTAGCGTTGGAGATCGCGTTATAGGGCACGCTCTTCGCTTAGCGACGGAGGATGACCGCCATGGTGGCTTCCAAAAGTACACCGTCTTAATGTCAAACATGGCGTGCGTTATTCCACCATCTTTACCCTACGAGAATGCCGTTGTTCTTCCCTTGAGTATCTCAACGGCAGCGGCTGCGCTGTTCCAAAAAGACACCATGGCGCTTCAGCCACCCACGGTATACCCCGAAGAGAAAGACATTTGGATCATCGTGTTGGGTGGAACAGGCTCTGTTGGTAGTAATGGCGTTCGACTAGCTGTAGCAGCTGGTTACAAGGTGATTACAACAGCTTCAACGAGAAGCTTTAGCCTTGCAAGGCAGCTAGGCGCAACTGAAGTGGTTGATTACAAGCATCCCGATGTTGCCAATGAATTAGCTCGAATTCTATCGGGGAAGGAGATCGGCGGAGCGTTTGATGGGAACGGACAGCCAGATACGATTAAGACAGCTATCGAGGCTGTCTCTAAGTGCAACGGCAATAGGTTCGTCACAACAGTAGGGGATTGGATCGATCCATCATGGGTGTCGAGGGATGTCAAGGCTAAGGCGATCATGGGGATATCCATTCGAGACAACGAGGTTGGTCAAATGGTTTACGAGGGGTTTCTACAAAACGCATTGGCTGCGGAGAGGTACATGAAGTACCCCGAACCTCTCGTGTTCGGCGAGGGCCTCGGCTCTATTCAAGATGCTCTCGAAAAGTCTAAGGATTCGAAGGGGAAGAAAGTAGTTGTGACTATCAAGTGAACTTCATACGTGCATCTGTTAGGTACAAGTTGTTGACTACCCCTCATGGGGGTTACAGCCATATTCCCAACACATCTGCATACCAGGTAAGGTACTAGGTATCTAAAGCAAAATTTCAAAATAGAAGATCGGTGACCATTATTCAGTTTTTCTTGAAAATGTATCTGCTAGTCGAATGTGGCCGGTGTGGATCCTGGCTCGAGATAATGCTTTTTGGACACTTACACCGACTGACCGGGCCTAGCCGGGCGCGATACGACAGGGATTGTTGCATGCCTATTTCCTGTTTAAGACAAACGGTGAAAATCCTCTGCATTTAATTGGCTGGTCATATATAGCGAAATCGACAGTCTAGAATTTTGAAAAGTTACATGAAATCAAGCCGCTTATACTTGTGTACTTTAGTATTTCCCTTCAACTCGTCGTTACTCACAGTTTGAGTTCTTCGCAAAGCGAATAGGCAAGATGGCTTCTGACAGGGTAAATCAATCTCTACCAGTCTCAAACTCGCAACTAGATCATGACTTCCACAGCGGATGGGGAAGTGTCTATACCAACCGAAGTACCGTAAGCGACGAGGAGATCCTTCCACTATGGCTGCAGTATGCCTCAGACAAAGGATCAGTTGAACGGAAGTACCAGCGACTCCTTTACGAGTATACCGACCTTTTTAGCGATTTCTTTGGTGGCTACTATCCAATTTCCATGCACGCTCACGCGACAGACGCCTTGCTGCCAACGACCATTGCCAGCTTGATCTTGAATACCATCGCTACCAGTCCACTGGTCCTAAACTCGCCTGAATTAAAACCTAAATCAGACGAGAATCCAGAGGATACTGGAAAGAGGGTTCGAGATTTCGCTTTGAGCTTTCTGGGTTGGGATGATAAGCATGTCCTCTCGCCCAACTTTATTGTCGCTGATAACATATATGGTGCTGGATATGGACCTCTGGTACGTGCACCATCATAAGAGAGTGCTTTGGATAAAAGGTTGAAACCTCCAACTGACAGTCTTTAAGGCACATACCTCAAAAGAATGGGAGATCAGCGCAATTGCGGCTGGCCCCAAGCCTATTGTTGTGGACATGAAGAATGCAACGGAGGAGGTGCTGAACGCTCAATTTGCCGATGCGAAAGCGAAAGGATGCATCGCAGTAGTTTTCGATCTAGTCAGTACTGAGGACGGACTTGTCTTGCGCCCTGACGATTTCGGCAGGATTAAGGCGTGTTGTGCTCGTAACCGACTGCTACTCATCGTCGACGAGACAATGACAGCGATGCGATGCGGGGCCCCCTTCGCATTCCAAAGACAGGAATATGTCCGCAAGGAAGCGGACAAGCAGCCGGACCTTGTCATATTCGGGAAAGGCATCGGCGTGAGTGGTGTCGCAATCGGCTTCAAGGGCGTTATTACCACAGGTCTCACTTACACGGACCCTGCTGACATCCGCAAGACGATACGGTACTGGCGTGCCCTTGTAAGCCGACCCATCAGGCTACCAATACTATTAGAAGCGCTCAGTATTCTACGAACGGCACAGGCGGAGAATTGGCCGGCAAACAGTGAGAAAATAGGGGATGTTATACGGGACATCATAGGAGAGCTAGACCCTAGTACTAGAGAGCCGGATGCCATCCGAGGTTTGGGGGCTGTGGTCGCAGTAAACAGGGAAGTAGCAATGAAGTTTCGCGTCATGTCAGCTATTCGGCGACGAAGCCCTTGGGCTCGATGGTTGCCCAAGCTAGATGGTTCTTCTGCCGATCGGGAAGTGCTTAGGAGGCAGGTCTTTGGAGTTGATAGTAAGGCGAACAGGCAAATTTTAGCAAAGGAGGCCGACCAATGCGGTATAATTCCTTTGTGGTGCTTCATCTGCGGCATCGAGGCTACTTCCAAGGACTGGTGCAGAACGTGCTACTTGTCGTTCTGCGACAATGAAGTGTGCGTGCAAGCTTTCCATAGACATGCCTGCGTATAAAATCTCATTTGGATCTAGCAGTTTAAAACCAAGTAGAGGTTTAGACTTCTTATGTCTTGATATAAAATTTGAACATAGTGAAGCAACAGTAGATTTTTTATTTTTCTCATAATTCGTCGTCGCGAAACGAGTGTGCGCACATTCATCGGCTACCTAACCTAATCCAACACCAATTTTATCAACAACAAAAAAAGAAAAAAAAAATGGCAACAAGGCCAACATTTTTGGTACTTTACGGCATAGTGTTCTTATCCTTATATGTCATCGCGGTAATGTCCCTCGCCATCACCGGCTGCGCTCTGGTAGGTGAAGTATAGTACCTGACATGCGTTATGTTCTTGTTAATCGTCCTATCCACGGCCTTGACTCTTCGTCCATCAACATAAATCACGAACTGGCTGGCATCGATATCGATTCTAAGCTGTGGGTTATTCCCGAACCAAGGGCTGGGCTGAAGCTCCTCAGTCACTCCGTAGTCACCACCTGCCGGCTTGCGATTACACTGCAGCACACGACGCTTATTTTTGATCACCATACCGAGGAGAATGTCGTAATTCTCGACGTCGCGAGAATTGGCCGTGCTGGACGGATCCCAATAGAGCAGCGCAATACCAGTCCCGGTCTCGCTACTCGGTACCTCGAGATTCATGGTGGGGGATTGGAAAACGATAGAGCCACCAGTGGAGACCTCCGCTTCGAGCTTGGAGATCTTGGCAACGCTAATGGTGTTGGCGACGACGCTACTACAAGCATGCGTTAGGTCCTAATTATAAAAAGAAAATGAGAGGTAAACTCACGTAGGCGCCACGGGTCTACTGGGACCCGTGCCAAGAGATGGGATCACCTCTGGATCCGGAACTACTGGCCTAACTTGGGGATCCTTCGAGTAAGACATCTTTGTCTTTGAAATAGTTATGCCAAGTTTCATCGAGTCTCTCCACTGCTCCTCGGGTATTGTTTTCCCACCCTGTTTGTACTGGTCAGTTATTTCTCATCAAATGCGTCTTATTGCAAGCAGCCACTGACAAGGTCTGTAATCCTCCAATACATCCTAGCCAAGACCTTCTCAACTGTAGGTGGCTGGAGATCCGATAGTTCCTGCTGCTGAATCATTTTGATGAGGTACGAAGTGACAGGAATATAGGCTATTGCCTGCGTATCCCTTTCTTCCCCTTCTTTGCAGTTGCTACAAACTTCATTTCCATCTTGCTCTGCCGGTTGGCTAAAGTTGAATACGTTGGTGACGAAGTCTTCTGTCCGAAATTTTTTCTCGGTCTCGCCTTCGGGTCGCAAGAAGACTTGGATGTTGAAGGGATGGCCTCCCAAGGCAAATCTAGACAGATTAACGATTGCATACATTGAAAGTCGAGATTTGCGGGAATGGGAATTCGAATGACTTACTTCGAGTACCGAATACTAAGAGCGTAATCATTCATCTTCACTCCCCCCGGACTGGCATCTTGGCCATATTCATTATCGATAATCTCCATCCCCTTGGGTACATCAGTCATCTTCAATCCCTCCTGTCGAGCAATCCCGTATGTCGTGTTTATCATTTCAAACAGCTGGGCACTGGCCTCTTTCCCAGTTTTTAACTCTGGATACGTATAACCAAGTTTAAACCAGTCGCGCGCGTCGTCCGCTGTCCAGGATGTACCCTTTTCATCCCTGTGGAAAGGGCGCAAAGGAGTCTTGTTAGTGACTATGTCTCCGCCCCCAATGATCTTCTGATCAAACCATCTCTGGATATCCACCTCGAACCATTTATCCGGGTTGAGCGACTGCCATAGGGCGAACAAGCGGTCGATATTGCTAATGCATATTAGATTATGGGCCAGAAATAGTATGCAAGAATATGAATTGAGTATCTCACCAGTGATGCAGCCAGAAGGTTGGATCGAATGTTGCTACAGGAATTTGGGACATGTGCCCACCATCCCCTCCAACCCAGTAGTGAACATTGTTGTGGATGAACTCCAGGTTAACGTCGTTCGTAATTTTCGACGTACTAGCAGTTGCGCTACTGGGATTCTCGTCTCTGGCAAGAGTTGCGAAGTGAATATAGTCCATGGGATACGTCAACAATCGGTACACTAGCTCCGATGCAGTCCCATAGGGGAATCCAGTAACAGAACTATACTCAGTCAAAAACCTGTCCACTTCGTCGTCGTTGTTAACGCCCTCGATCCAATCCTTGTTATCGGGCTGGCGCTGTTCTTCCTTCGGGCAGCGAGTAGTGGCATAACATGCTCCGTACTGGAAAGCAGGTTGTCTTAGCGGGGCGAGACTTGATAGTTTGGGGGGGAGGGAATGAAGTGTCTGGACTGACATCAAGAAATCCTTCACCATCGGGGTATTTCAACATTCCTACCCCATATATCCCCATCCTCTTGTCATTTGGCATCTTGAATTGGTTAAGAGGATTGTCTATGATCGTGGGCGGATTTCCTCCGATTGTGATCTCAACTCTCCTCCAACGAACCAGCTTTGGCACTTTGGAGTTCTTCGCCCAATCCCAAAATGGCAGCCGCCATGTTCTGGCCGCTTCTAGATACTCATCTCTATACCTTGGATGCTCTGGTATAATTTCATTTACCATGATCTCGTAGAGGCGTTGCTAATATACCAGTCATGAGCGACATGAAATATACCGAGAAAGTCAAGTGTATGAACATGCCTCGTAGAGTAAAATGTATGGCCGATGCCACGGAGGGAAAAGAGCGTTCGCATGATTGCAATAACCCTTTCTACCTACTTCCTCGGTGGTAGTGTCAGGCTCGTCCCAGGAAGTATATGGATATCCATGAATGCCTATACTTTGTTAAGCTTCTATACTCGAAGTCCTTAGAGATGGCAATATTAACCTGCGATTTGGAAATACGAGTCTCTCTTATCAGGCGAAATGGCTTGGAATCTTTTCAGAGCAAGCAGATATAGTATCACCTGAATCTTGTCTTTAGGGTCGGAACTCTCAGACCATTCGTCGAAATTTCGCCTAACCGGCACCCGGCCATCGGAGCTCCAGCCCTCTTTGATTCCCGTGATGGGATAATATTTGTACGACATTGAGTTATCAGTTTAATGATGTGAATAAAGATAAGATATATTAGGATCACGAAAGTATGCGAGGGAAAGTGTCAATACCAGATCGAGGCAAGGGGTGCTTAACACATTCTATATAGTCCTCGACCATTCCAATAAGATTACCTAGGTACCCATCTATATGAAGGAACTATTTCAATTCTGTGTACTGACAACTGTACTCTGCAGGTAAAATATTGTGATATCAATATGATAGGGTGGAAATGTCGAGATATGATGCAGAAGCTTATACGGATACCTATCGTCACCATCAGTTGATATCGAAGCTTGAGAGTACGTATTGGTGGCCCTCAGAAGTCCTCCTATGGATGCTTTTTAGCTAGGGGCAAGTCTCTTTGCTTTTAGGTACAGCATATGATCTGGATTTGCGGCGCAGGTTTCGATCGACCAATTAACTAACGCATGCTTCGTCATCTTAGAACAATATTTCAACGTAAGGAGATCATAACGGATGCTTCCGCAGGGTTACGTACCGGGGAATGAGAGACAAAACTTGTTGCCAAAAGAGGAAAATAGTACCAAGCCAATGTTTCGCTCTTGGTACGGAGATAGTAGGTAGCTGAATACTTTGTCTAGGATCATGCATACATACGCCGCAAGATTTGACAAGGCAATAACGGCGCTAACGTCGGCGAGACCGGCATTTGGACTCAGGCAGGTTGCGGGCATCGGGACCACAACACGAAACAGGGTACATATGTGCCAAGATCTTGAGGCTAGCTGCAAGCTAACCTGTTCTGACAAAGAGGATATTAAATATGCGTTAGTTGGCCGTTTCTTCATGGCTTAGGTGAACGGGCCTTGGGTTATTGGCCAGTGAAACCTCCAATATACTAACAGGGTCGAAAGAACAAGATAGAGCTGAAAGAAAGACCCCTTGGGAATGACAAGTAATTTATTAGACCATCCAAGCTACGACTATAGTCATGAATGATGAAATTCATTTCAAAGCTGTCCCCAGGATGTCAGGGGTATCGTGAAGTGGAACAATGCGTCGCTCCGTAAGGAACTTCGGTCTGGCTGCTGAAGCCTAGTTTAAATATTAAATTCTTTCTTTGCTCTAAGTGTCTCGTCTAAGGCCTGACAGGGGATGGTTAAACTATGAAGCATACCTACCTAGGTATATATCTGTGTGAATGTCCAAATAGATGGTGGAAGTCAACAGTTATTAAATGTAAATGGTGAAAGGGAGCGTCATACAATAATTAGTTCTACAGCCCACTTCTAAATATTCCCTCGTACAGGTCATTTAAAAATACTCATTTGCAAGAAAACCACACGTACACGCGAAGTATGACAGCTGATATTATCGAGCGCGACTCGGTCAGCCGCCTAGACCGGTCGAATTGCATCCTGCCACCCTCGAGCCATGATTCAACGTCTACTGGAAGAGCTACTATTAGCATACACATCGATCACGTAGAGAAGAAAAGGAACCCATCCATTGTCGCTTCGGAAGCCTCATTGGAGACGATCTTGAAAGTTAGCTGGATATTGACCCTTCGCTGCTTCGTCGTAGCCGATATCATATGTTTCAAATATGAAGAGTCTTCGGACATAAGTGAAATCCACAAGCGGAAGTTTGGTACCAAGAAACCAGAGAGCAGAAAGGCTTCAGGTCGGTACTTTACACGAATTAACCCTCACGAATCCGTATGTTTATTTTCGAAGCGCCTCGACGCAAGCCGATTATCTTCTCACCCGACAATTGATCCTATAAGCCATGACATTGGCGTTGCAGACTCGCAGTCTGTCCGCCACCACTGCAATACGGGCCTTTATGTACACCGGATGAGGATAGAAAACAAGAAAGGAGAAGGCAAAAAGGTCGATGATTTCGATGTAAGTTTAATCAATGCGGGATTCAATCAGTAGAGACGGTTTGCTTATTTTATCACATAGGACGTTAAACTCATTATTGATTTTTCTGACTACGTCTGCTCACTGCGGTTGGACTATCGCCCATCTCATACGAGTCATGATATGGCAACAAGCATCTTAAACACGTTTCAACACATTTATACTCAGGTCGCCAATGCATCAGAACACACATTACTGCAAGACATAAATGAGTTCTCGCCTCTAGATCAGACGAAAATAAAGAAATGGACGTGCATGGATCCCACACCGAGTGACAGCTGCCTGCATACTCTTATACTAAAGCAATGTCGGCTGAGACCTGAGGAGATGGCAGTCAGATCCTGGGATGGGGATCTTACATACCGTGAACTAGACGATCTATCACTACGACTAGCGCACCATCTCACGGAACTTGGCGTTGGCCCTGAAACTTTTGTGTTGAGTTGTTTTGAGAAGTCGACTTGGGCCATCGTCGCGCGATTAGCCATTCTGCGGGCAGGTGGAGCCTATATCTCGATCTTCGCCAGTAATCCGCCTGTTTACCTCGAATCAGTGATAACTCGTACCAAAACACGCGTCCTGGTCACAGATTCTTGCTATACCGACCGGTTTCGAGATATTGTCCCCGTTGTCGTTGGGATGTCCCCTGAATGGCTCAGGAGTCTGCCGGCGGGATCTCGGGTGTGCGAAACAATCCGACCAGACAATGCGTGTTTGGTGCTTTTCACATCTGGCAGTACCGGAACACCTAAGGGAATAATTCAAACCCATCAAGCATACGCTACCGCCATCAAGAATTACGCGCGCGATCTCCAACTCGGCCCGCATACGCGATGCCTTCAATTTGACGATTATGCATTCGACATCAGCAACTTGGAATTCCTAGTTCCTCTGATCCTCGGCGGTTGCTGCTGCGTTCCCGGACCTATGAAAACCGTTCAGGACCTGTCCGGAGAGATTAATGCGTTGGACGCTGATATCCTTTTCCTAACGCCGACTGTAGCAATCAAGCTAGAACCCAGCGATGTTCCACGCCTCAAGACTATGTGCGTAGGGGGAGAGCCTCTGCCCAAGGACCTCGTAAGTAAGTGGGATAACAGCGCTACGAAACTGGTCAATCAGTACGGTATGGGGGAGGTGGCCATTTGCTGTGCTCTCAATAGGAGTATCGATCTTGTAGGAGGCGCTAAAGTGGGACGCCCCTCAACCGGTGCCATCTGGGTTGTCAACTCGTTGTCTCCCGAGAAGTTAACGCCAATAGGGGCGGTAGGCGAGATCATAATAGAAGGACCACATCTGTCTCACGGCTACCTTGACGAAACCGCGACATGTCGGACGGAAGCTGGGTTCTTAAAGACGGTACCGCGGTGGATGATGGAGATGCATCCGGACAGGACCCACACTCGGATGTACAGGTCCGGAGATCTCGGCCGGCAAAATCACGATGGCACAATCACATACCTCGGTCGCAAAGACACAATTCTTAAATTGGATGGATGTCGCATCGACGCGCTAGAGGTGGAGCACCAGGCTCACAAGTGCCTTTCAGATAAGGACACTGTCGTGGTCGATCTTCTCGGCATCATCAACGGCCAAGACGAACCCAGCCTAACAGCCTTCATCTGCCTGGACGAGCACCCCATCAGCTCACCTCCCGTGACAAACGGCGTACCTCTTTTAAAGGATGCTCTCGTGGACCCTCATGCCAGCGCGAAGATAAAAGAGATGCAAGCTTCAATTGCCCTGTCGCTCCCGCGGTACATGATCCCTACAACTTTCGTCCTCATGTCGTGGATACCGCGGACAGCGTCTAAGAAGATCGATCGCAAGAAGATCCATATGCTGGGGCAGACGTTCTACTTTGCTAGGTTGGAGCAGCTGCCAAAGGATGTGTCGTATGCGCAGAAGATCTAACGGTGGTCCTACAGGGCGAGGCTTTGTCAAGCTTAACATTATTCATAACCTAGGTAGCCATTTAATCAAGTAGTTTACTTAAGTTTTCAGTTACATAGGTACGCAAAGTGTTATATTCCTGTTATTCAAATTAAACTACGTCAATCCAAAGAGTATACTCTCTTCTTAGTGTTAGATAACTTTACATCTCCACTAGGTAATCCACTAGTTAGTTCAAGACGGAATAAACCTTCATTATAATACAGTATAGTAGGAGGTAAGTATACTCATCATTTAACACCATTGTCAGTGATATGTGACGGGAGTCTATTGGCTATACCAAATAGCCAGCACGTTATACATGGCATCAGTCAAAAGAATCATGCTCATCTGACAAATATTTAGGCCATGCCTTTAAATATAACGCCTGTTTCCCTTTCTATTGTCAGGGGTATGAGGACACTAGTGCGGATTGGGCCATAAGGCCCACTAGGATAGTGTATATAAGGAGGCACGCTGCTCCCTCGAAGGAGACTCGAGGGGCAAGCGCTAATAGATCACTATTATACACTGCATACTCTACATTCTACGTGCTACTGCTTCTAGTATTCACTCTATGTACGACATACATCACGGGATCTCTCTGACATCTATGCTGAAATGTTTGGATAATAGGATATAAGGGGCAAGCGCCAATAGATTACTATACCACCAACACTTGCTATTGTCTTTGGTATCCAATACACCTACCACACACATCACAGTAACTCTATAACATAAGAGGTATCTAGGTAATGCAGCTTGGACTACCTATCGCCGCCTGTAGTACCATATATGAAGTACCTTGTAGTTCAGTCATTACCTAATTCAGACAGCTAAAGCACCTACGTACCTACGTACTTAAGTGGGTCTCTTTCGGAGTATGTCTTTAACAGCAGGTCGAATTGCTTGCCTGACTTATACTCCGCCAGCCAAATGATAGGAATCGAGATAAGCTATCCGACTTGAAATTAATTATGTTTAATAAACTTGAAAGAACAACTGCGAGGGAAAAGGCTTCTACTGAGTTTATCGCGTTCGAAGATCGATATGTCTATTTTTAGAAACAGATCTGGTGGAACGCTTGGACCCGCCCGGCGCCGAGCGAGCTACTACCGTGTGTGGGCCCGAGCCGAGAGAATGGTAAGAACGCCGGATATGATTGTTGATACCTTAAATATAACATAAAATGAAATATATTAAATCAGAAAGTTCCAGTTCGATGAAAAAGGTACTTTTTGCAGAATGCGTACGTGTACTGAGTAACGGCTCACATGTGGGTCAAACCCTGGACCGGAGCAACTGCCAGGCACCCACAGGTATATATTCCCACATGTGCTGCCGTCTTTTGTATTTAGTTCTTCTTTTCTCTTTATCTCACGATAAATACAATAAGGTAGTAACATCGAAGCATTGACTCCCGAATACTATTCCAGCCGTTACTTACTGGATTTAAATTTGGAGGGAGATTGTAAAGTGAAATAGTTGTAAGCAGGTTACATATTTTTAATAGAAAAATAGTATGTGAAACTAGTCAAAAGTTGTGTAGGAGAATATTATGTTGATTATTGATTGTACTGTGCTTAATCATTTTACAAGCGTGTATGTCAGGCGCAAGATTAATAATGAAGGCTTTTCTCATGTGGAAAAAAAAATTTGGTCATCCCACCCTCCTCGAGCACATGTTCTCCTGATACCTACTTACCGAAGGATTAAAGAGCCAGGCGATACAATCGAGGTAAAGATTAACGTTTTCACTTGATGCGTAATTAATCCTAAAATACCATTTGAACATGTGCTCGTGGGGAATCGAACCCCATTCCTTTGCAAGTAAGTATGGTTGCCCATTCAAACTGCCCATTAATCCCTGGCCGTTGGACTAATTCCTCGTTAACGTCTGCTGCGTTTTTTTTTGACTTATATGCTTAACCCCGCCCCTCACTAACGAAATTTCCTAGGGAACAAACATTACTATTACTGCCTGACAACCATTTCAAGGAAATTGGCAGTTGCCACGCAAGGTACCTACCTAGGTAGCTTTTTACCTACCGCAACCTCAGGCAAGCACTGAATTCTCCTCAACACAAATTACCTGAACGTACCGAGTCAAAGCATTGGAATACATCTTATGCACAGAATCACCTATGAAACTCGATCTTAAGTACCTGTCATTCATCAGATATTGATGCAAACACTCATCGGAAACCCCTTTGCAATCGTATCAAACATCTTGTATTCCAATTACATAGGTGCCTACCTACTTACTTTGCATCCAACTCTACGCATCCCCCGGATCAAATTTTGCCATGAAATCGAAATACGTTCCGGGGCTCTGGGTGCTACTCACCAAAGGCTTCAATGGAGGGCTTACGTGGAAGACTCTGCCTATAGAGGTATACGACGAAGCCAAGAAAGTTTCCTCGATGCAATGTCACTTCTTATTACGACATCCTCATTCTTTCCACCTCGCCAAATTTTTCCTTAAAGGCCTAAAGTCAAAGAATCCAACGCTAATTTGCCTCGCACTTTCACATGTATATGAGTTTGCAGCAGAGAAGGTCGAGTTCTGCGCTTCTATGGAGCCGGTGGAGTTCTTTGCGCATGTTAAGAATTCCTATGCTTGGTCATCCCATCTCACCGACAACGCATTCTGGGCTTTCACATATAAAGCCTTTCACGCTCGGCAAATATTCCTTAACACAGCTCTCAAAAAGGGCGAAGGGGACCCGACTAAAAAGCCCTTTGCCCTGTCCTTAGATCGTTTCCGAGAGGCGTTCCTAGACGCGTATCCACTTGATCCAACTCTCATCCACGGAAAGGACGACAAGATATGCCAAGAGAATATCGAGCTGGTTGAAGATATACTTTCTACCAACAAGGCCCTCCACGCCAAGTACTTCCCTCCTCATCTTACCCACTTTGAAGGGCAAGGCGATGGTACGGACAAGTTGCTCCCAGTCAAAAAGTCCGAAGATTGCGATGAACCCTCGGAACCTATCACTTGCAAATACGATGGGGTATATATGTCGAAAATCCCGGATGAAGAGCTTTTCTTCTATGATACGGAATGCAAGGCCAAGCATCACGATGCTTTCATCGATGCTGTGAATAAGGGCGCCGCGGGAATTAAGAACAAGGAACTGGCCAAGGGTGCGGGGTCCGTGAGAAAGTACGACGCCTTCAAGCGCCACGGAGAGCAAGGCAATGCCGACGACGCCGATGAGTCTGGCCCTTCGAATGAAGGCATGGCAGCCCCTGACAACGGCGTCGAGGCCAGCGCCGACAACGACATGCCGGATATCAAGAAGTTGAAGATTGAGGATGACGAGGTGGCTGAGAATATGCCGGAGGATGGAGGAATTCCTAATATTGAGAACCTTCGGCTGGTGGATGAAGGAGAGGAAGAAGCATCTTCCCCTTAATTTAGGGATGACTTGCAGTCTAATGGCTACAGCTGGCGAGATTTTCTTGGCAGCTGGCGAAGTATCGGTGACGCCCATTTGCAAGAAAAAAAAATAACATAAGATTGTACCGCATAAGTCGCACAACTTCGTATTTTTCTTTTGCTTTTCTTTTGCTCTACCATAGAAATAATAAAATCAAAGAAAACCTTAATTACCGTCGCCAAAAACACGTACGTAGATATCAACAAAATTAATTACCTTTATCAATTATGTCTTTCGAAAATGCCAAGGTTCTAGCTACGGAACCGCTCGTAAGTAAACCCCCCTCCCCCCTTGTCGCGCTGGGATTGAACCGCGTCTCCCTAACACTCTCTCATAGGCGAATGGCGATGCAGTCTGGACCAAACTTGTCAAGTAGGCAAAGACGAGGCGCCTAATTATAATAATAATATCTCAACTTGCATGACTGACGCAGCATATATTTTCTATTTAGACTGACGTATACTGATTCGAAAAACCAAACGCGTACTTGGGAGTCAGCTGAGCGCACCACGAGGCCGAAGAAGAGTGAAATCGACGGGGTCGGAATTGTCGCTATCTTAGAGAAGCCCACGGGGCCTGAAATAGTCCTCCAAAAGCAGGTTAGTATTGGAGCTCCTCGTCGCCTTTGCAAATGTTAGGTGGCTTTCTGCTGGATTTGTTTGACCGCGTGGGTCCGTGCTTAAGGGGCATAAATAAATTGTAACCCCTTTTTTTTCTCTGGTCATTCACGGCTAAATCTCGGATACGCGTTGGCTAACATCTATAATATAGTACCGTGCGCCTATTGATAAGGTCTGTATCGAGGTTCCCGCTGGCCTTATTGATGAAGGAGAGACGGTCGAGGAGGCTGCCATTCGCGAGTTGAAGGAAGAAACCGGCTATGTGGCTAAGGTATCCGAGACGTCGCCTATGATGTTCAACGGTAAGCATCTCCCTTTTTATTACACCTTACCCAAACTATTACGGGGCATAAATCATGACATATACCTGTCTTGAATGGATAAGAAGAGACTGTTAAGGATCCATCATGTATAAGAATTAGTATTTCTTTTCTATTTATTGCTAGGCGGCCTGCAGGGGTATTAGGCAACCGTTTCGAACACATTACTAACGATAGATCTTAGACCCCGGATTCTGTAACACGAATCTACGAATGGTCCACGTCACTGTTGACATGAGTCTTCCCGAGAATCAGAATCTGCAGCCCGAACTAGAAGAAGACGAATTCATCGAGGTCTTCCTAGTTCCGCTGACAAATCTCTACGACGAATGCAAGAGACTTGAGGCAGAAGGTTACGCCATCGACGCACGAGTAGGGACCTTCGCTGAGGGAATCGAGTGTGCCAAGAAATTCAAGCTATGAGTTTCTTGGCCGATTTATAAGCCTCCGAGGCTTGATAATAGGGTTACGAGGACGGAGCGTTCCAGCATTTAGTGTGTACTTCGCATAGACTTTCTGTTGTTGTCGAATACCCTGTTTTGATATACCCTTCTCGCAATTAGTAGGGCGGAAATAGATTAGATAGATTTTAGATTGGTTATTAATCCGGGAATAGACTCATATAGAGTTATGATATTAGAGCGATTACGTACCTACCTACCTAGGTACTTAGATATAGAGCTGCTAATCCGTAAATTTGTGACTTGAAACGATTATCAATCCCTCTTTACGTACCTAACTAAGGGCGAAGACTTGTCCGGACCATAACTCGGTAGAAGCTATCGCAATATAGGTGGGAGGTACCTAGATATACAATATTAAGCAATGCCTTAGGTTAGGTTAGGTAACTTTTTTAAAAAGTGGCTCCAGTAGACTAGTCGGTTGGCGGTTCCGGACAAGAAGTATGAGGGCGAATGGCGCAATAGCTACGCGAGACTATTGGCTGAAAAGGTAATACATGTTTACTGATCAAATCAAGCAACCCTATTAGATTAGTTACTTCCTGAGCTATATCATGCAAATAATTCACTGGTACCTGCATACAAGCTACCATGCAGTGTTTGCGTTGCAACAGTCTAACTGTAATATTACTATATAAGTGGGAAAGTTAAACTAGGTAATCATATAAAAATAGTGCCTATTTATCAGCAATGGGTTTCAGCCAATGGTTGTGGTTGTCTGATTACTGACGATGGTGGAACCGTGATAGAATAATCAGAAAATATAGCCTCGGCCATACCTCCAAACGCCATCCGTTGATCACCTATATTCAAGAAAACGGTCAGTAAGCATTTTATATAAGTACCTTACCTAGCCTAGTAATGAATGGAGGTATTTTTAAACAATGTAAAGTGTAAATATTCTAGCGATAAAGTTGAACTAGAGCATATATCACCACTTAGCTATATCGCAGTCTTCAATAAGAACACGTATTCATATAGGATTGACTACCTACGAAGTACTACACAAATGTCTTCTCCCCGTTTAATTGCAGTTGTTGGCGCCACCGGCGCGCAGGGTATCCCCGTGGTGCGGGATCTCCTACAATCCGAAACCTACGCCATCCGAGCGCTCACGCGCGACGCCTCCAGTGCCCGCTTCCGTAAGCTACAGTCCTTCGGGGCGGTGGAGCCTGTCGTCGGCACATTTGCTTCCGAGAAGGACCTACGAGCGACCTTCCGCGGCGCGTGGGGTGCGTTCGTTAATATCGACGGTTTCAACTCCGGCGAGAAGACTGAAATCTTCTGGTCCATCCGGGCGTACGAACTGGCTATCGAGGAGGGCGTGCAGTTTTTCGTGTTTGGAAATCTTGATTATGCGTACAAGAAGAGTGGCTATAGGCCGGAGTTCAGGTCAGTTTACCCAGACCCATACCCATAGCCAGACACAGGCTGTTAGCTGTTCTTGGAAATATCAAGCGGTGGGTAAGCAAGCTGCATATTAACAAGTGCGCGTGAACAGAACCGGCCATTATGATGGAAAAGGACGTATCGCCGAGTGGATCCTGCAGCAGAACCGCGAAAACCAGAATCGCATGAAGGCAGCTGTTTTTACGACAGGGCCGTACATGGAGATGACCATTTCCCGTAACACGCCCATGGCCGTTCATGTCGAGAACGGCGTGGCGACATGGCGGCTTCCTCTCAAAGATGGGGCCGTGCCATATGTCTCCCTCGATGATTGCGGTTACTACGTGAAATGGCTATTTGACCACCCCGAGCGAGCTAATGGCCTCGACCTACAAGTCTCCATAGACCACGTTGGGCTCGAGGAGCTAGCGCGTGCCTTCGAAAAAGTCACGGGGCACCCGGCGAGAGCCGTCGACGTCGGATTCGATGAGTATTTCTCCCGGGTGTGGACGGGGGTGGACTCTTCGAGCCCCGCGGGGTATAATGCGGATCCGGAGGACCCGGCGACGTTGAGTATCAGGCAGAATTTCTCGGGGTTTTGGACTACATTTCAGAACTCCGGTGGGAATCAGGGTGTCCTAACACGAGACTACAAGTTACTAGACGAGATTCATCCCGACCGCGTCAGGAGCGCGGAAGAGTTCTTTCGGCGAGAGAATGAGAAAGGCATTAAAGAGGGGCTTGGTACGCTCTGGGAGAGAATCCAGCCAGGTAGAATTGGTCACATACTGAAGATTACTGAGGACAGGAGAGCTGGTAAGCTATGAGATTGAAGTCGTACACTGTGGAATGACTCGCCCCGGCAGAGAGACTTGTTAATTATTCGCATTAAACCTCTCTCAGCTTGGTTCTTTGAACAGCAGTGGCATAGAGTTCGCCGAGCTAAACTTAGATTTGATGCCTACCGCAATCAGGATAGGTGTTTATGCATAATGATTCTCCCTGACGAGACCGCCCCGGTTTTCACACCCATCGATGTGTAATAATTACGGCGACTAAATGGCTCCGATGACATTCGAAGACATTGTCGAAAAAGTTGAGCATGTCTGCCAAAGGTTTGATAAATAACGGGAAATTGAAATTGGCCCCGGAATCGACCTTGAAGAGCGTTGAATAATATCAGATATATGAAACGACGACCGCAATGTCGATATTCTGATAAGTTTCTCATCTGCAATTGACGTCTTAATCCATCAATATCATCAGTGAAGTGCTAGCAACCATCGTATTTCTCATATTTAAACAGCCATGAAGAACTCGCGCGAAGCCAAAAAGCCAGCGGGCGAGCACGCCGAGCACTTCCAGCGTCTTCGAAGCCGCAGGCTCAGCATGCGAGAGCGAGAAGAACCGAAGCACATCCCTGCGACGCTTCAAAGTCAGCGAGGCCAAGAGGTACCAGAGATCGTATTTCCCCAGCATATAGACCTGACCGCGAGGGGGCGAAGACCTTCCGCGTCCGGGAAGTTTTACAGCGGCATACCCGGTCCCAATGAGACCCAGACGCACAGGGTCCACTACCAGCAAAGGAAGCCGAGATCCATCGATGCCGGCATACCGGAAGAGGGGGCCAAGATGATGGCTCCGCTGAAAGAACCGGAACTGACAAGTTCTGCGAAAATGGAGGTTCCTGAGGTCAGAGCGATCCCGTTGGATTTACCGAAAGAACCGGCTCCGAGTACGGTGCCTGACGCGACGTATGAGCCCGCGCATTTGCTGCGACAAAACGCTGCGTACTTTGACACGGACCAGGATGGGATTATCTGGCCGAGGGATACGTACAAGGGCTGCAGGAAACTAGGTAAAACGCAAGAAATCCACTGTTTGGTAATTGCTAAAACCCGTTCTCAGGATCGGGTATCACGTACTCGTGTTTAACTGCGTTTGTCCTCCACTTAATCTTCTCCTATCCTACCGGTCACAGCTACATGCCAGATCTCCTGCTTCGCATCCGATACGATAGTTCTAGCAACGGAGGCCATACTACTAGCCATGCGCCTTACGATGAAAAAGGGCAGGCGAGACGTGATCAAGTATGCGAAAGTATCCTGGGCAAGTACGACAGCGATAATAAAGGGGGTATGAACCTCCGCGATACCCTGCGTTTTTGGAGGGATCAAAAACCCGTATCTACTTTATACAGCTCAAGTCTTATTGGACTAGAATGTGGGTAACTTGCTAAACGTCGGCTTGGCCATGTTGTTATGTAGGATATTAGTACTAATTGCTTATCCCAGGGCTGACTCTCTATATTGCACTCCGGCGGCGTAACGGGATTATTCCTAGCGAAGATATCCATACGGCCTTTGACGGCAGCATCTTATTCAAGAGGTCCGAGGAGCGGCAGCGGAAGAACGAGATGCACCATAAGCACACCGAAAACGAAGCAAAAAAAGAGGAAGACAGGAGCGATAAACGCTTCCATCCGGTGAAGCTTGTCGTAGCAATTATCATTGGGCTTGCCACTACCATTTGGGCATTACCAGGTTTACTTCGCAACCCACTAAGCTGGGGGAAGTACTGGTGGGTGAAAAACAACACTGCTCAAGGGTAGGTTTGTCGAATCCCGGATTGGTGGATAATTGGTAAGGCGTGCTATTCGTCTGGACTGCTATATTCCTGGAGGTTGCCTAGTATTGTTCTCGTTTAGCTCGGGAAACTTCACCAGCATACCAGTCAAAACAGCTAACATGAATTGCATTACTCATAATAAGGGATTTTATTCATATCTGCAAAGCTTCGTCATCTCAAGCATAATCTCATTAGGCAGAGTCACCGCCCTTCGGCTTATCTACCTAGGCTTAAAGTAGGTAGACATGCTATAATGCATGGAAAGGAAGCATACACAAAATGATATGCAACCATGCAGAGGGTATGTGGTAATCGTCTAACCATAAAACATTCCGCGAAGGCTCATTACAGCAAGGCTGGTAGGATCGGCCAGAGGCCTTTATCACCGCACCCTCTTTACTTGGTTATCCTCCAGCCCAGTCGTTGGAGTGCCCCTATTCATTTTGTCCCCCCCAAATAAGACCGAATGCATGTTCTAACTAAAGAGCCCCTTACCCGGCCTCTTCGCTCTTGGAAGAAACCCTCGCTGTCGGCCGCCGTCATTAGCAAATATCGAGCCTAATGCCGCATCGTCTGCCGAGGAGGCATCTGCGATTTTAAAGCCCTCGCCGTCCTTGAACATGGTAGTGTAGAAGCCAGATAGAGCTGTAGCCCAGGAGTCCATAGCCTGTACTCGTTCGGCATCACCACCTGACTCTATTTCGAGGATTCCTGTCTGTTGGTCAATCTTCCCCTTGACCTTGCCATCTACTATTAAGAAACCGAGAATATCTTGGACTTCGGCCTCTGATATCTTGAGTTGCCGAGCAATCCAGGCGAGTTTCATGCGAGTATAAGGTGCGATTAGCTTCACTATGGCTTTGGTACGCACATTGCGAGTAACCTCGTCAATATTCTCGGCGATGAATGGGTCCGCCAAAATGTCCTGATTGTTCTGTAGTACGTTGACGTACGTCTCCATATCGTCCCTCTGGTACGCGTCTACTAAATTAGTCATGGCGGCAATGCGTGGATCGTTGCGGTAAGGCTTCGTCTCTTGAGAGTCAAAGGGGTTGATGTCGGATTTCATGAGCATGGTGGTGAGGAGGAGATATTTGAGGACTTGAATTCGCTGAAGGGATCCAGCTTCGTCGTAATTGCGAAATGACTCGAAAAAGTCGCTTTGTGCATCTTTCCAGTTCTCTTCGCTCATATGCATCTTGCCTCCGCATTCACGAATGATTCCCATGATTTTCGGATGAGGCACCGCAGAGCGGACCTTAAGAGCTCTCTGGTAAAGAACCTTAAGTTGTTTGTTGTTACGCGTCTCGGCGTACATCTGGATCTCCAAGGCGTAGATCTCTAAAGAGTAAGTGCCTTTGCTAGGGTCATCCGTGCCATCTTCGCGCTGGCAGACCTTTTGCAGCTCCCGAAGTTTTTTAGTTACCGCGAGGTATTCTTTCCGATCGAGGAGGAGTTTTGCGAGCTTGATGTTGGTCTTGAGCCATAGGCGCTCGTTGTTTGTAGTCTGGAAGCAGTTCAGCGTTAAGGAATAGAATTGCTCCACGGCCTTTCTTGCTGCCTCATTCTCCGACTCCTTCTCGATATAATCTAGCATTTTTGTGATGGATGTCTCCGAATAGTTTCGCGTCACGGCGGACTTGACATATGTGAGGAGTTCGGTGTAGTGCTCCACGGCCTAGTATGAGTTAGTCGAGTGTTGAGGTTATGAATTACTTGACTAGTAGGAACCTGACCTCATCGTATCGTCCAAGTCGCAATTCTAGTTTGATTGCTTGCTTCAATCCTTTGAATCCCCAATCACCTTTCTCAGCTTCGAGCTCGGGAATGCCTAGAAACTCCTTGAGTGCTTCTTCGGGGTCGTCATCCTTGATCTGCTTCGCGTTGTAGTATTTATTATCGATGGCAACGTCGCCGGAGTCTTCAACGCCATCTTCATCCTCATATTCGAAGTCATACCTAAATACGGAAGTTAGTTGCTAGCAAGGCTGTGATTAAATCATACTTAATACATACTGCTCCTCATCGGACTCTTGCATGAAATCCTCGTCGTCAGACATCTTGACGGTATTGGCGTTTTAGGATGATTATGTTTATAGAATATGAAGGGTATAAGGTGGGGAATTAGTCGTATTTCGTAAGGTGTCGTAAGGTGTTGGAATTGTCGCAGTGTTATATTTACGGAGTAAGAAAGAGGTTGTTAAGGTTCTGGTTCTTTAAAGCGATGCGCCCGTTCACAGGTCTGGGAGGGAAGGCTAATGTACCTCTTTATCTTATCGCAGCTCTAAGTACCTAACTGCGGGATTCTTTGACGTGGGGCTGTGTGGGGTTACTTTAGGTACCTATGGTACCTACTTACATCCCTGGATACATCTTATGTGGGTAAATCGTCTTTGCCAATCAAAAGTCGTGGTGAACCACAGCAACATTTTGAAATGCCCAGTTTACGCCCCACAGCCTTACGTACACGCACATGTACCCACATGATGTGGCTGGGTATTTTACCTAAGTGGCAACCCCCAGCTCTGAGTACATGCTAAATGCATTTGCGACGCGATAAATAACATCAATTAATCATTTTAACTTTGCATCACCAATCTACAATTCCTTATCCTTCTTCGCGACATTTGTGTCGCCTACGTCGCCAATATGTCCTTACAACTTAAGAAATCATATCATCCCGCACTCCTCCGAAATCAGCGCCGCGTTTACGAGGAGGAGCAAAAGGCTTTAGAAGAGCGCAAGAAGACCGAAGCGCGCATTCAAGAGATCAAGGAAGAACGCGCCAAAGAAGAACTTCAGAGGCAACTTGCCGTATCCGGGGGCCGTAAGGTAGTTGATCGTGTCGATTGGATGTACCAGGGACCTAGTGATGGTCAAAATGGCACTTCCGAAGAACTTGAAGGCTACTTGCTTGGAAAGCGCCGCATCGATAATATTTTAACCAAGGGATCCGATCATGAAAAACTTAAAAAGACTGCCGGCCCGGAGAGTTTTATGGCATTACAAAATGCCAATACAGAAAGAGATACCGCGATGAAAATTCGAGAAGACCCTTTACTAGCTATTAAGAAGCAAGAGCAAGCTGCTTACGAGGCTATGATGAACGATCCCATAAAAAGAAGACAACTACTCGCATCGATGGGACATGCAGACGAGAAGCATTCGTCACACAAGAAGGAGGATCGCCATTCGAGGCGACATAGACATAGATCGCATTCCAGAGAACATCGCCACCGCCGACATCATCGATCTGACTCTAGAGAAAAAGACGAATCAAGAGAACGGCGACACAGACATCGCCGAGCTGAGTCGAGAGATAGGTCAGGAAGCCGGGATCGTCACAATTCAAAGAAAGATCGCTATGCTGAGCGACCCGAACGGAGAGAATCGGACGCAAGGGGTGAACACAGAGACGATGATAGATCACGTAGAGGTCGATCAAGAAGCCCACGTCGCAGTGATACTAAGGAAGACAGCTATCGACGCCGTCGCGACTATTCCGACGAGCGACCCCGAGAACGACGACGGTATTCTGATAACCAAGATGACTATGATCGTCGCGACCGCCGTGACTACCGCGATCGACGTCCATACAAAGATGGCCCGAACAGCAACCGCCCCAACAAAGGTGCTAGCGCAGATAACTCTGCGGATTCGGCTGCAGAAGAACGAGCTCGAAAGCTCGCAGCTATGCAAGAAGCGGCCACAGAACTCGATCAAGACCGGGAGAAGCGATTGGCAGCACTAGCTGAGAAGGAACGTCAAGAACGAGAAGCTGACGACAAAGCTCGAGAGAAGTCCGGAAGATACGGGGACAGAGAATTCGTGAATGGTCTACGGAGGCAAGTCATATCGTGAGACAAGACAGGAAAATGGATGTAGGCGCCTTCTAGCAAGGTCCTTTAACGCAAACAGGGAGAGACAACAGGGTTTCTAAGGCTATGTTGCTGGACGCCCGGTATATTAATCCTATGGATTTCTCAGGGCCGCAGATGAGTTTACTAAATGTGTGCTACTGGTAAGGGTCATTACGCAATTTATGGTTTGTAGCTGTGCTAATGGAAAAGACGGTGACGTTGAGTCGTTCATGGCTTGGACAGGCGCGAGGTCTTATATAGCCTGGTTAAAATATTTGGAATTCTTATGGGAGCTTACCTAGATTAGGTACCAAAGCCTGTTTAATGTCGGCCTTGTTTTATTCGTAACGAGGGAAACCATCAAGTTGAAGATTAGCTGGCCCGAAAAAGAACCAAGCAGTACGGCGAGCCATCTGACACGCAATGAAAATACATTTTACAGAGGAAGACTGTCAATGCTACTTAGGTACCTTCGGTGTCTACGATTGAATCACCATACTCAACAAAATAAGTGTATTACTATTAAGTGAAGATTGTCCCAAGTAAGTTGCGAATAAACTCAAGCCTCTAGGTTAAAATAATAGGCGCCTAAACTATTCACACAATTTAAGCACTGTACTCCCCCTATACTATTTTCCAACATACCTGTCGTATACCGTTCCATATAGATGTATGCTACTCATTTTCGTAGCAGAGCTCTCCAATTAATGCTGAGAAAACACATGCTTTTGTATCGCTAACTAGACCAAACCGTAACACCTCCCTCCGCTCGGTCAGCTACAGGCAATATTAAATTTCCATGAGCTGGTTCTTAGGCCGTCCCAAATGAGCTCAACTATCGTATCAGCTAATCGGAGTTAGACTAGGACTCTTTTTATTTGATGCTATACGACTCGAAGCTACAGCTACCTAAAGGTTGTACATAGTATAGACTAAGAGGGGGTGGCTGATTTACCCCTGGATGTATTGTTCGAAAAAGAAATATGACCATGTAGAGGTTACACTTAGCAGTGTATTCCGCACCAATCCTAAACATGAGAGTTCCAAGTACCGGTTGTCTTACAAAATAGGTACCTGTAATCAGACGCGATACGAGAATGGGACGGATACGGACATTTTTATCATGCCATTGATGTTTCGCCAGCATTAATTCAGATATGGTAGGCTGCTCTAGGTACCTAATCTTCCAAGGTAGGTATCCTGTCGCCATTATGCTTTTCTCCGCAATGCTATCCTCACCGACGGATTACACCTCAGATTGAAATCGTACGCCATGTCATCTGGTCTCTGCCGAATGCTCTCGTCCTTCCACTTGACCTCGTACCTGGTCATCAGCAGTGCCATGACGAGCTTGATGGCTATGGCACTAATAAACCTCCCCGGACACGCGTGCGACCCCGCCCCAAAGTTTAAAAACGTGTCTGACACGGACGCGAAGTGGAACCGGTTCGGATCGACCGTCTCCCGCATGCGCAGGAAGCGGTAGGCGTCGAACCTGTCCGGCTCCGGGTAGATGTCCGCGTCATGGTGGACTCCGTCCGACGGGAACTGGAAGATGGTGCCGGCGGGGATACGGAGGCCGTCGTTGAATCTGTGGGACTTCAAGGTATAGCGCTGCGTAGTGACTAGAGGGGATATTACCTGGTCAGCAAGGTAACTTCGAGATGATAGGTATGAATAGATAAGTTAGATAGGCGCATAGCATACTGAAGCCGATTGGATGCATCCGAACACTTTCTGTCATGAAGCTGTCTAGTTTCCTCAGCTTGGCAATCCGCTGCATATCCCACCGATCTTTCCCGCTGTCATCTTTCTGGGCCTCTGCTACAACCTCGCGTACCTCCGCTTCTATATCGTCATGATACTCCGTATGAGCCAACCAGTCGAATAAGATCGAATTCAGCGTCCCTGAAGTGGTATGTATAGATGCCGTGGTCAGAAATAGTTCCTGGTCCGCTATTCTTGCCAGCGATTTATTTACTTCTCTATTGCCTAGGAGCCAGTAGACAGTGTCTGAAAACTTGCTGGAGGAGCCGTTGTCGACTTTCTTGCTTTTTACTCCGTCGAGCCGCTTGGCATACACGGGTCTTAGAAGCTCGGCTGCTTTGGCACGTACTGTAATAGCGAAAAAAATGTCAATAAATTCTGAATATCTCTCAAGCGGTGCTGCTTAGCGCAAATTTGTTTTTGCAATTCTTACTCGCTCGAAGTTGCTTAGGCGCATCGTTCTGGTACTTCGCCAGCCACCTCCAATGAGGGGTGTAGTCATTCCTTATCGAATTGGCGGCGCCAAAGACGGCGAAAGTGGTTTCTATGGAGAGCTTAAGCCATTCCTCGTTCCGACATAGTTCTGGACCGACCAAGGCAATCGCCATGACTTGAGAGACAATCTTGGTTATAAGATCGTACGTATCAAAGGAAACCCATTCGTTAGAAGTACTCGGCATGTTCTTATCGAGCACGGCGATCGCCTCTTCCCACATGCCATTTACCAAGTTGCCTGGATATCTTCTATCAGCTCACGCAAGGGCTCATGGCTACCTAACCTAGATACGCACCGAGGTTTCTGTTCAAGTCTACTTTAATAACGTGGGTGGCTGCGTCGGTTTGTACTGGAGCACCGCTGTAGTTAAGAAAAAACATCTTCTCCGAAAATGCTCTGAAGCTAAAGAGCGACGTTGGCGCGTTCTTGACTTCGTCTAGATACGTCATTGGGAGCATCACCTGCGGGCCTAGCTCGGCGACGGGGTTGCGCATTTGAAAGGGCTTCCCATGTTTAAGGTACTTATCATATCCCTGGAACAGAAGGGTTCGACTGTCCTGTAGATACCTCTCGTAGGTATCGTTCTCTTGGTATCGGAGTTCAGGTATGTGTTGAAGATATTTCTTCGTGACAGGACGCTGTCCGCCTGGGTAGAGGTACCAGAAGATGATACGGTAAAAGGCTACAGCGATAGCGGCATAGGCAAGGAGCTGATACATACTCTGTGCCATGGTGATTAGGATAATGTTGGGACGAATCAAGAAGGTCTAATCAAACGTATGAATGTGTACCTCATAAGTTCCCATGCGGGCTGATAGACGAGTAAATCCAGACTCTGGCGGAGTAATTATCTAGTCACATTTTGTGTCCTTAGAATGACTAGGCTAAGTCGCCACACAGACCGACGCATATATCCCAAAGCAAGGGTTCATATTGTCCCGAGTTCCGGACGGTCGGCTACATACAGACCATTCGCTATTGCGTAGAAGTCCGAGTCCGATAGTGTTCTTAATCTAACTGAACCTACCAGACGACAAGGAGGTATGACAAGATTGATAGGAGACGAATACAGAGTGGAATTATATGTAAATTAGGAACGGCTAATGACTACCACCAGCTTCTGCCCCGATACAGACTTGCTCTTGACCATCTCGATGCCTTTTAGCACCGCCTCGTACCACGGTAGATTTTCCAGAACCCTGATCGGATGTGGCCTCAGCTTCCCCTGGTCTAGCAATTTTTGTAGGTTCTTGTACCATCGCACGCCAAAAGCCCGCATCGCAGGATCAGCTTCTCTCTCGTAGCCGTGGTCTAGCTCTAGTCGGTGGCCAAGAAGGGCAGGCCCCATTGTAAATCCCACCTTGATCAGCCTGTTCTCCAGTAGATAATCCGGGTACATCTCAAGGCAGGCGTAGCGACCTCCAGCCCGGCCAAGTGCCCCGCAGCAGAGCGCGATGCTCTTGGAGTCGGTGAACGGGTCAAGGACGTATGACAAGGAGTTGCGTGTGTACGACTTGATGTCTTTGGCGCAGTCGGGGTCTGAGTAATCGAACGCCCGTTCTGCGCCATATGAATTGACTAGCTCGAAGTTCCTCGGGGAGCAGGTTGTAATGGGGATGTGGCCCACGAGGCGGACTAACTGTATGGCCATCGTACCCACTGAAGAGCTTCCGCCATGCACCAGCACTGTGCGAGGCTTTGGGGCGGGTTCGTCGGGCGTCCCAGGCAAGCCCAGCGACGAGTCATGGAAGAGCGCCATGCTAAGTGTCGCCACCCCCGTCCCTCCAATCGCAGCAGCTTGCTCAAAAGACATATCGGGGGGGATCTTCAACGTGAATTCGGACTCGGAGACAAGCCATTCGGCGAAACTCCCCACCTCGGGTCGGGCAGGGTTGGACCCATGTACGGCCCCACAGACTCGGTCCCCGACTCGGAAGGACCCGGATTCGGACACGGCAGCACCGACCGCCACCACAATGCCAGAGAAGTCGCAGCCGTCAATGGCGCCTGCACAAGGAAACCGCTCGTGCATCTTGTAGTCGCAGGGGTTGATCGCTACGGCCTTCGTTTGGACGAGGACGTCTTCGGGGCCGAGACCTGGAAGGGTTGCATCATGGTTAACCCGTAAAAGGCCGTCCTCACCCTCGCAAACCACAGTTTGGTATTTCGGCTTTCCGACTGACATGATATGCCAAGTTCAACCGTCTTTTTTTTGGTTTTCTTCGTTTTTTCCCTTCGGAGTTGATACGGGAGTATCCCAAGTTCGGGCGACAATGGTTTCGGGTAGATACCAGGTACTCGAGTAGCTCTTGACTATGCTACTGTCTCACGACTATTTCCATGTCGTCTAGGGAGAGGATTTTCTAATATAATTTATAAGCTAATCCTCAGCCCGAAATTATCATCCATCGGAGACAACATCCGATATCGCGTGATAGGTCTGGGCGTTTCGTCGTAAAAGAACAACGTATTTTCTCTGTTTACCACACCTTCGTTGCCACCTCAACCCTAATCTCAACTCTACTCAAACTCCCTTCTCAATAACAGACACCATGATAGCACTCTCGCCGCGACGTCTCCTAGTCCAAAGTTTGTTGGTCGTTTACGTTCAGAGTCGCAGCTGGCCGGAACCATGGCCTGCACACTGGTTAGAAAGCAGCGGTTATCGGGACCCAGGCCAGCAGCAGGTTATGCGAGAGCCTGATGGGGACTGGAGCGGTACCGACTGCCAAATCAGTAATATAACAGCATTTGAGATGGCGAAGGGTAGGCAGTTGGTCGACTTCGCCACTGGGGCGACGGAAGATCTCGAGATACCCAAGATTCGACCCCTTAACGCGTCCAGCGGCGAACAGTGGGAGTTTGATGGGGTTTCAGAGGATGGCATGCAGTCCTTCATATTAGGCTTCTACAGGGATCCAAATTATGCTATTTTAGGGACGGGCAACTTTAGACTCTCTGTCGAATTCACCTTTGCAAACCGATCACGTTTCTACGAAGTCTACTATCCGTATAGATCTGTGATAGAGACATGCACATCCGTGGGAACTAGGGGTATATGGTTCGATGAGAAGGATGACTACCGGTTCATGTTTCAGGTCAACAGCGAGATGAGCGAAGCGGTGGTCACCATGGAGTCGGACACCGTGAAAGGCAGGGCTGTCATCAAATCTCGTGCACAACCGGTGGCGGCAGACGGGAATGTATGGCCATCTGAAAATGCAACCACTGACCCGGTGCCATACTGGCATTGGTCTGAGCCTATTCCTGGAGGACTTGTAGATGTCGATGTTAATATCAAAGGCGAACAAATTGTTTGGTCGGGCATGGGTGGTCATGAGAGATTTTGGTCTGCTTTCAGGTACGTCCTCCATTAAGCTAAAGTTAAAAGAGCTCTATTGTCTCCTAACCTTCACATATAGTTGGTTCACCTGCCTCAGGAACCTAGACGCCGTCAAAGCGATGCTTGGACCCTACGTTCTATCCTACTTTGGCTTTAAGTCTAACATGGTTGCTGGCCTCACCCACCAATCTGTGGTACTGTTTAAAGACGGCCTTCCCGTTTTCCGCAGCACACTGAGTACCCCATCCGACACAGAGCCATACGCTCTTATCACAAAGACATATGGGGGCGCCGTAACAGGTACTCTTAAAGATAAAGTCACAGGCGTTCAGTTGGAGCTTGTGGCACCTAGAGCAAGACAACATTACACCTTCTTCGTGGAGAACACTAACCTAGGATTTGAATACATTCTAGGCGAGGGCGTCGGTGGCAGTGGCTTTTCTGCAAGGTCAAGAGGCGGCCACGTAGGATTATCTCAATATGACGGGGTTGCACTGGTTGAAGCACTGACCTTCCCGAAGAATTCACCTCTGTTCCGAAGCAACTACGTCGAGTAGGGCAAAACCATGAGTCTCGTGGGTGTTGCAGATACTGTATATATGTGTTTAGATTAGGTATTTACCGACTCACAATTTTGATGTGATTATTGGATAAGAATTAATGTCTTCCACCTTGACCATTTACGTATCTCCGTCCTAAGTACTTAGGGGGGTGGGTACCTAAAGTAAGGCGATCAGAGACAATTGTTAATCAAGAGAGTCGATACAGTGCGCCATGGATGTTGGGTTTATATGTCGAGTTACGTTTGTGGTACCTGAAGTATGAACTTCAGATGTGTGGAACGCCTGAACTATCCACGCCGAGTACTATATGCGACCCCAAGGACTCCGTTTGGGTTAGGTAGTATTAGTATGGAGTGCTATTTCGGGGTATCTTAGCTAGGTGGCTGGTTTAATGTGCTGGCCCTTCGGATATGCATCTGGCTCCGACTCCGAATCATTTATGACTGATGTAACGTGTATATGCTTGTCTTGAACCAAGAGAGATTATGTTTACTGCTAACTGTTACCAAATAATAGTTCCAATACTGCCATATGTCATTTCAATCAAGGAGAGAGGCCTGGGAATTTGTGAGAACCTCAAACTGAGACGTAGCCACTTGGAAAACCTGAACAATGCATAAGCTATTTCCTGGAAGTGGCTTTTTCGACTTCGAATCGCTTCGTATTCTTGGGACGGCAGTTTATGGCGGTGCTGACGCGGCAGAAGTCCTCGAGGCAGTAGGACAGATCAAGTCGGAGGATCCAAAGTCATGGGAAACGGCCTGGGGTATCCAAGCTGAAAGAGCGCAGGCGCTGGCTGAGAAAGCGCTCCAACACGGGGACCGCGACAACGCAAAACGAAACTATCTCAAGGCAGCCAACTACACTCGGGCTAGTGGATACATGTACGTCTCGTCTCCTGACGAAACGGGCTCACTGGTACAAGATCCTCGTTCACTACCGGTTCTGGAAAAAGTGGGTGACCTGTACCGCAAGGCTTTACCCTTGATGGAAGGGGACGTTCAGACTCTTTCCATTCCATATGAGGAACATTCTCTTCCTGGGTATTTATATTTGCCACCGCAAGAAAGAAGAATTCCGGGCAGGCCCAAGATCCCCGTCCTTCTGGTATGTGGAGGAGCAGACTCGTGTCAGGAAGAACTCTATTTCATGAGTCCTGTGGCCGGGCCGGGTTTGGGCTACGCAGTAGTCACATTCGATGGACCTGGCCAGGGTCTTATGCTTCGAAGATACGGTCTGGAGATGCGGCCTGACTGGGAGGTTGTTACTAGTTGTGTAATTGACTATCTGATCGCCTTCAGTGCCAAACATCCGGAGCTAGATCTGGATATGGAGTCTATCTCTGTCTCGGGGGCATCGATGGGAGCTTATTATGCTCTCAGAGCAGCCTCTGACTCCAGAATCAAGGCATGCGTAGCTATCGTAAGTGAACGCAAACTCGAAGTGGCAAGATACGACGTTGTGCAATATCTAATTCTGACCCTCGTTATACTTAGGATCCCTTCTATGATATGTGGGACTTCGGTACGGCTCACGTGTCGCCACTTTTTATCAAAGCCTGGACAGGCGGATGGATCAGTTCAGGCCTAATTGACAGCATGATGAAATTGCTATCCAAGGTCTCGTTTCAACTCCGATGGGAAATATCAGTATCGGGAACCTTCTTTGGCATATCGTCCCCGTCCGGAATTCTCCTACATATGAAGAAATATACACTTCGTGGTGATAGTAACATGGGGGCTAAGGCAAACGCTTCCTTTCTTACCCAAATTACTTGCCCGGTGCTGTTGTCGGGTGCAGGAGAATCGCTGTACTTGGACGTAAATAATCACACAAGACGCTGCTTTCAGGCATTGGAAAATGTGCCCGAGACGAAAAAGGAGGTTTGGGTGCCCACAAGCGAAGGCCAAGGAAGCATACAAGCCAAGATGGGCGCTTTGCCGCTTTGCAACCAAAAAACATATCAGTTTCTGGATAGGGCCTTGGGAATCGTTAGAAAGCCGTTGACATAGAGCCACGGCATATACTTTTATTGTAGATAGGAAGAGTTGAGAAGCCAACATCCATATCATTATAGTTATTATAATGTGCAAATGAAAAAGATTTCTACAAAGAACCACTCAACACTCAAGAGCATGAGAGTCACATAAGTTCAATGATTGAGCGCGCTATGTTAGAGACAATACATAGGTAGGTACCTACCTGTGGCGCATGAATCGTACATGTATGTAGGCACTTCCAAGATGACCTTTTTTTCTCTGAAGTTGTAATCCGTACAATGAATTGACAATCTCTACCTACGAAACTACATAATCTGCCTCATATACGCACCATATCCTTACTCGGTAAAATGTTGATTCAGGTGTCTTTGCTATCATGTCGATTAGGTATGACTAATGCCGTCGAAGATAATACCCGGTTCTTATGTCTAAGACCGAATATGAAAGGTGCCTAAGGTACCGTATGAATACTGTTGCCGGGATCGAACGCCATTCGGACTCGGCGGCATATGAGCTAGCAAATCGGATTACAGGCCAATACTCATGTACCTACCCGTAGGTAGATAGAGGTATCTTATTGGAAAATGAATGCATGTGAGTACTGTAGATAGTGAAGATGCTCTAGGTACTAATAAACTGGACATGTACCTGAAGTAGTTTGGGGGTGACAACGTGAAGCGCCACTTAAGCCGACACGAATACCAAATCATCATTCATTCAACCACAATAGTTTACTTGCTGCCTCTCTTGAGTCCATTCGTCGAGGGTGTTTCTTTTACTACCTATCCATCTTCCTATAGAATTTCCATATCACAAACTCTCGATCTTAGACGTATACACAATGTCTTCGGTTTTAAGTAACTTCATCGAGCCTGTCATGGTAATTCGCCAATCTGTGGCGCCCTTAAAGCTTTCTCGATGGCAGTTTACCAAGCTCATTCTCGGGACATTTGTCGGTGGCTCTTCGCAAATCGCAATCGCCGTCTTAGGAGCTTCAGCGCTAGTATTCATCACGTACCTGTATATGACTTTGACTAAAGGGAACGTGCGCCTTCCTAGCGAAATTCCGGTGATTAAGAGAAACGACCCGCATTTTGAAGATATTATCAAGGAAGCCAGACAAAAGGTTTGTAGTATTAGCTGCCTTAGGTACCTATTGTCAAACTGAATCGCTAAGCGGTAGACTGCAGTACCCTAATACCCCGGTATTGATCAAAAACAACCGGCACGCCTTCGTCGTTTGTCCAAGACAATGCTTTGATGAGGTCAAACGTCTCCCGGAACACACTGCTTCGGCTAGGGGGTTCTTCCACGCGGCCAACTACGGACAATGGAGCCTGGTTGGCCGCGAGACCAATGCCCTCTTGAAAAGCATCATGGCAGACCTCACTCGGTCGCTCCCGGCTAGGGTGATCACTCGCCAGCAGGACTGTCGAATGGCATTTGATACGGTGGTCGGATATTGTCCGGAATGGAAGGAGTTCAATCTACTCATGACAACTTTTGAGCTTATTGCTCAGATTAATGCGTGCTCCTTTGTTGGCAGAGAGCTGGGCAGCAACCGCAAGTGGGTTCGCGCGGTTATGATGTCCCCAATCGTCATCTATATTGCGGTCACCGCGATGAATGCATTACCCGTCTTGCTGAGGCCGCTCTTGGCACCACTGCTCTTTTTCCCAACACTCAAGAACCAGTGGGACATGAAGCGCCTGCTCATTCCGCACCTAAAGAATGACATGAAGGCGTTCGAGGAAGCCAAAGATAAGAAAGAGTTGCTGAAACCTACACCCGAGGGCAAAATTCCTTTCACTGCCATGCTCATGTCCAGGTACAGTGACGCCGAGGCCAATTTAAGGCAGCTAGTACAGGATTATATCCTGATCAGCTTCGATTCTACCCCCTCTACCGCGTCGACGCTCTACCACGTCCTCTGCGAGCTAGCCAAGCATCCTTCAGCAGCAGATATACTCCGTGAAGAATTAGCGGAAGTCATGGTGGATGGCAAATTGCCCCTGACCCACCTACAGGAGCTGAAAAGAATGGATAGCTTCATGCGAGAGTCTTTCCGATTGCATCCCATTAGTTTATGTAAGTACTCTTCTATCCCCTCTATTCTCCTTAATGTGGAATATTCCGTCTAATGGGTCCGTTCTTGTCTACCTCGATTGCTGCGCTCTGCTTATCAGTATTCTCAAATATAGTCAGCCTACAGCGTCATACGGAGCAGCCGGCTAAGCTGTCTGTTGGTCCCACCATCCCAGCCGGCGCCACCATCTGTGTTGATGCACAAGGTATCAATCGCTCACCTGATTTGTGGCAAGACCCGGACAAATTCGATATGGACCGATTTTACAATCTTCGCCGACTTCCCGGCAACGAGAGTCGATATCACTTTCTGACCACCTCCTCCGACTCGCCAGGGTGGGGAGATGGTACCCAGGCCTGCCCCGGTCGCTTCTTTGCGACGAGCACCATTAAGATCGCGTTTGCTCATATACTCCTGAACTATGACATTAAGCTCAAGGATAGCAACCGCGAGATTACGACTACGCCAATGGCCAATGGATCTTGGAAGCCAGACGACAAAGTGGATGTTTACTTCAAGTCTAGGACTTAGAAGTGCGGCATTAGTACCTAGAACCAATACAATGCCCTCATTGAGACTGAAAAGAGTCTAGAAGCGCATTGTAAGAAATATCTGTTCCGATGGGTGTTTAAAATTAGGTACCAAGCTATATCTATATGTTCTCTAGCTGAACGAAACGCATACTATTATTCATATATAACTATCAAGTTTCCTATTGAAAAGTGTACCTACCTGATATATATGATGTTTCCCCCAACCTTTACAATGGTGACATGATGAATACACATAAGCAATGTGACTAACTATCCGGTTGTAATTATAAATGCAGGTAAAGGCCTAGATACCTGGGGTACATGAGAAGGGTCTATTGGTATTGATTTCATAGCTACCTATCTTCCGAACTCTTGCACAACACATTGTGGTGTGATTTTACGTAGAACAAATGCACTTCAGGTCGATATAAGAAAAAAAAACAGGGAAAAGAAATGGTATCTATATTACCGGAGTAATTAGGAGGTAGGTATCTAAGAGGTCATTCTACAGGGTGACGATATCTTTACCCGACATATCAATACCAACTCCGAGTCGTATTCCCCTCCCCGGTATACTTCAGCTTATTCGGCACTCCGAGATATGTCCTTGCGCTATTCCCCGAAACTCCGAATGGCATTAAATGTCGACAAATTCGCCAATGTATGCTCTAATAGAAGAAATATCGTTCAATATTGAATGGTGTTGGTACAGAGTTAATCCTAGAGAATACGCTTACCAAGATATTTATGAGATCTCCCACTTCGTAGGTAATCTCCCAAAATACCTCAACGTATTCCTACAACCTGAGATCTGCTCTCGAAGCAAGTATCCTAATGACTTCCCGAGAGCCCATCGCTATTATCGGCACTGGGTGTCGTTTCCCAGGCCAGTCCGACAACCCGTCGAAGCTATGGGACCTTCTGAAAGAACCTCGAGATCTCCTAAAAGAAATTCCCGAAGACCGATTTAGTGTAGACGCGTTCTACCATCCTCACAACTATCACCATGGAACTAGCAACGTACGCCACTCGTACCTCCTTGAGGAAGACCTCACCCGCTTCGACGCGCAATTCTTCGGAATCAAACCCGTCGAGGCCAGATCGATCGACCCTCAACAGAGGCTGCTCTTAGAAACAGTATACGAGAGCCTGGAAGCCGCTGGTATACCGTTAACACAGCTCCGCGGCTCTGACACGGCCGTCTACGTGGGAGTAATGAGCGCCGATTATACCGATATGACTAGCCGTGACATCGACATGTTTCCGACATATTTCGCTACTGGCACTGCGAGAAGTATTCTTAGCAACAGACTGTCGTACTTCTTCGACTGGCGTGGTCCGTCGATGACCATCGACACGGCTTGTTCGTCGAGTTTAGTTGCTATGCATCAAGCAGTGCAAGTACTCCGAGCGGGAGAATCCTCTGTTGCCGTGGTAAGTACCTCTTAATAGAATGGATAGCATCCGGTACCCATGTATTTTTCGCGTTCCGTCGTCTAACCTTGTCGACTAGGTGGCTGGCTCAAACGTGATTCTTGGCCCGGAGCAATACATCGCCGAAAGTAAATTGCAGATGCTCTCGCCTACCGGCCGAAGCCGTATGTGGGACGAGGATGCGGATGGTTATGCCCGTGGCGAGGGCGTTGCCTCCGTAGTGCTGAAACGCCTAAGCCAAGCTCTAGCAGATGGAGACCACGTCGAATGTATTATTAGAGAGACGGGGTTGAACCAAGACGGAAGGACGCCGGGTATCACAATGCCAAGCCCGTCGGCGCAGACCGCCTTGATTCAATCGACGTATTCGAGAGCCGGCTTAGATCTTAGCCGAGCGGCAGACCGCCCGCAGTACTTTGAGGCGCACGGTACAGGTGAGGAGAATACGTGCATATTTTGATTGCATTGACCGACCGGTTCTAATTGATTTCTAGGCACACCTGCCGGAGACCCTATTGAGGCCGAGGCCATCAGCAACGCCTTCTTCGGTCCGGGGTCAAATTTCACCCCTGGAAGCGTACAAGATACCTTGTACGTGGGTTCAATCAAAACAGTAGTAGGTCATACAGAGGGCACGGCTGGCTTAGCTGCCGTCATCAAGGCCTCATTGGCGTTGCAAGCCGGAAAAGTACCTCCAAACAGGTTATTGAACCGACTGAACCCCAAAGTCGCCCCCTTTTATAACCATCTTAAAATCGTCTCGGAGGCAAAAGAGTGGCCAAAGACGGCGGATGGAACACGGAGAGCTAGTGTTAATAGCTTTGGCTTTGGCGGAGCCAACGCGCATGCCATACTGGAGAGCTATGATCAGCAGAGCAACAATGTATCATTATACCGCAGCGACGAAAACAATGCTTCCTTTACCCCTTTTCTGTTCTCAGCTGCCTCAGCAAGCACACTAATTACGAACCTCGAAAAGTACCGAGACTACCTCACGACAGCAGCTAGAAGCCAGGCTGGTATTCCGTTTACGCTACGAGATCTTTCATGGACGTTGAGTAATCGTCGTACGACGATGGAGTATCGCACCGTATTGCCTGCGGTTAGTAAATTCGACGATCTTGTTTCGAAAATGAACAAGACCATTGATTCCCTCGGTGAATCTCCACCATCGTCTTCCCCGCAGCAAGTGACGGATAAGCCCCGGGTTCTGGGCGTGTTTACTGGACAAGGTGCGCAATGGGCTAGGATGGGTGCTGAGCTCATTGAAACGTCCCCGGAGGCTAGCCGTATCATTGCCCGACTAGATCAGAGCCTCCAATCTCTCCCGCCCCAAGATCGTCCAAAGTGGACGCTACGAGATCATCTTCTTGCCCCTCCTGAATCCTCACAGGTTAATACGGCTTTTATCTCGCAACCTCTGTGTACTGCCATACAGGTCATGCTCGTAGAGTTGCTGAAAGCGGCTGGCATCACGTTCTCGGCTGTAGTAGGTCATTCATCAGGCGAAATCGGCGCCGCCTATGCGGCAGGGTATCTAAGTGGTGAAGATGCCATCCGTATAGCCTACTACCGCGGTCTACACCTACGCTCTGTGTCCGGTAAAAAGGGTGCCATGATGGCAGTCGGCACATCGTTCGAGGACTTGACAGAGCTCTGCGAGCTACCAGCCTTTGAGGGTCGCGTTTGTGTCGCGGCAAGTAACTCTTCAGCCAGTGTTACTTTATCCGGGGACGCGGATGCCGTTGACGAAGTCAAGGAAGTCTTGGACGCGGAGAAGAAATTCGCGCGACTTCTCAAAGTGGACCGAGCGTACCACTCCCACCATATGCAACCCTGCGCCGAGCCATACATTCGCTCACTTCAGACCTGCCGCATCAAAACCAAGCGACCCACAGACTGTCGCTGGGTCTCCAGCGTATTTGTACAAGATATCGACGAGGTATTAGATACGGAGAGCCTGGGTGGTAACTATTGGGTTTCGAATCTGGTGAAGCCTGTCATGTTCGCTGAGGCGCTGAAGAAGACACTCGGCTCACAGAAGGATGGATTATCATCATCACCTTACGATCTTATTGTAGAGGTTGGACCGCATCCAGCGCTCAAAGGTCCCGCAAGTCAAACAATACAAGATTGCTTCGAGAGCCAGTCGATTCCGTACACGGGTGTGCTCTCGCGTGGCGTGAATTCCGTGGAAGCATTTTCTACCGCACTGGGATCCGTCTGGGAAGCTCTCGGTGATGGCGTAGTAGATTTCGCTACATTCAGTTCATTTGCTGCAGGCGGAAAGGGTCTGGAACCTAAGTTATGTAAAGGGCTTCCGACCTACGAATGGGATCATAATCGGACGCACTGGTATGAGTCGAGTCTATCTCGGGCTTTCAGAACCGACAAGGAAAGCCCGAATGAGCTTCTGGGGAGAAGACTCCTAGATGGTGCCCCCGATCAGCTCCGCTGGCGCAATGTTCTAAAGCCTCGAGAGATAGACTGGCTAGAAGGTCATCAAGTCCAAGGCCAGATCGTATTCCCTTGTGCAGGCTATGTCTCAGCTTGTCTTGAAGCTGCCATGAAGCTACCTACATTAACCGGTAAAAAGGCTGTCCAAGAACAAAGCCAACATATCATAAAAGCTGTAGAGATCCAGGACTTCGTGGTTGGCCAAGCCGTTGCTTTTGGCGATGACCAGGATTCGGCGGTTGAAATTTTGATCACGATGACCGACATTGAATGGCGGGAACACGCCGGACAGGGCAACGATGAGACAATATTCGCCGATTTCACATTTTACTCGTCCGCTACAGGTAGCGAAACGTTGAAAATGGTTAATAATGCTAGCGGCCGCGTCCTAATACACCTAGGAAGTAATGACGCTCAAGACCTTAGCGCATCTATACTGTCTGACAAGTCCGAAGGTGATCACATTGGTGTGGCGGAAGTAGAATCAGATCGTTTCTATGACGCTCTCGGAAAACTGGGATTTGGATATACTGGCCCCTTCCGAGCGTTGACGAGTTTAAAACGAAAACTTGGCTTAGCCAACGGCTTCATCCAGAATACGGACTCTTCTGTTTGGTCTTCGCCCCTTCTGATCCACCCAGCAACGTTAGATGCGGCTATCCAATCCATAATGCTAGCGTTCTGCTATCCCGGTGATAGCATGTTACGTTCCATATATCTACCCACTGGCATAAAAAGACTTGTCATAAATCCAGAAAGTTGTCGGAGCTTTGCTGGTGACACCATAGATGTGCCGTTTGAATCTTTAGCGAACGTCGATACGTCCAAGAGCTTGTCAGGAGACGTCAGTATATATACCCCAGATGGCTCCTCAAAGGCAATTCAATTAGAAGGACTACAGACAAAGCCACTCTCCAATCCTACCGAGTATAGCGACTTGAATATATTTACCGAACTTGTATGGGAGGTTACCGAGCCTGATAGCGACGTAATTGTCGCCACGACACCTGTGCAAGAACTCGATCCCGACCTACTCTTTTCGCTGGAAAGAGTAGCATACTTCTATCTGCGGTCACTGGACAAGCAGTTCCCAGTGAAGGAGAGGGCTAGAATAAAGCTGGAGTGGCATCAAGAGCGACTTCTTGCGTATGTAGACCATTGTCTTTCTAAGGTAGCTCGCGGCGCAAACCCTTTCGCCAAAGCCGATTGGATTACCGACACTAAGAGCACCATAACGAATATATTGAGCAAGTACCCCGACAATATTGACTTGAGGCTCATGAGCGCAGTGGGAGAGAACCTCCCTGCTGTAATCCGTGGAGAAACGTCGATGTTGGAACACATGATCCAGGACAACATGCTCAATGACTTCTATGTTGTGGCTCACGGCATGCCTCGTTACACTGCGTACCTCGCGTCCATGGCTAGACTTGTTACCCATAGGAATCCTCACATGAATGTGTTGGAAATTGGAGCCGGTACTGGTGGTGCCACCAAGTCGTTCCTTAAGGAGCTCGGCAACAGCTTCTCGACTTACACATTTACAGACATCTCAAGCGGGTTCTTCGCTAAAGCTGAGCAAGTTTTCGCCTCGTACAGTGCTAAGATGAAGTTCAAGGTACTTGATATTGAGAAGGACATCGAGGAGCAAGGCTTCGCAGACGGGTCATTTGACCTGATCATTGCATCCCTAGTGCTTCACGCAACAAGAAACATGACCGACACTCTGAAGAATGTCCGGAGATTGCTCAAGCCTGGCGGATACCTACTGCTTCTTGAAATCACAGAGAATGAGCAGATGCGTTTCGGACTCATATTCGGTGGTCTCCCAGGATGGTGGCTCGGTTATGACGATGGACGTGCCTTATCACCCTGTATCGACCTAGATCAATGGAAGGACGTACTTCTGGAAACCGGGTTTTCTGGCATCCACACCGCCATCCCGCATCACGATAAGTTACCAGTTCCTTTATCTATCATCGTCTCTCAGGCAGTGGATGATAGAATGAATTTCCTGAAGGAACCTCTATCATCTCCCTCGTTGTCGCTATTCCAGCCGGACGCTCCGCTCATCTCTAAACTGACATTGATCGGCGGAGGAGGGGCAAAGAGCGCAAAACTTGCGAAAGATATTATACGCATCCTTGAACGGGACGCCCGTTTTTGCAAGCCTCCGACGTTCATCAAGTCCATAGAGGCAATCCGACTGGGTGAAGACCTTCCTATTGGAGGAACTACCCTTTGCCTTGCGGACGTCGACGAGGCCGTCTTCAAGTCCATGACTTCGGAGAAATTGCGTGGATTCCAAGAGATATTCAAGCAATCAACGAAGGTTCTCTGGATTACCCAGGGAGCGCGGTTTGGTGACCCATTTTCTCGGATGGTGATTGGATTTGGCCGAACAGTAGTCCTTGAGATGTTGCATCTTCGGCTCCAGTTCCTCGACATTGCCTCAAGCAACGATATCAATGGTTCTTTGGCTACACCAAATGCTACCTCTATTGCTGAAGCGCTTCTTCGTTTTGAAGCCATAGAAGCCTGGGGCACTAATGAAGACTCACAGTCCGGGAATGTACCTCTTCCTTATTCGACGGAGCCCGAACTATACCTTGATCAAGCTAGTGGAAAGCTCTACGTTCCCCGATTTAAACTAAACAAGAGCCAGAATGATCGATATAACTCCAGTCGCCGTACTATCAATGAGCTTGTAGACGGTAAGGAAATTACCGTTGAGCTTGCGTCACAAGATGATGGGTCGCGCTGCCTTCTACAAAGACTTCCTAGCTCACCACTGACGACGCGACTTAACTCCCGCCTCACAAGTTCAGAGGCAACAGTTGAGCTCAACACTGTCTACTCTATCAACAGAGCCGTCCAGGTAATTGATGGAAGTTTCCTTTTCCCTATAGTTGGCGAGAACCGACGCACTGGGGAAAGGGTCTTGGCGTTATCGCCAAACCAAGCGTCCATAGTGAAGGTCCCCCAGTCCTTCGTCCTTCGTGGATCAACATCGAAGGAACAGGATCAGGTAGTCGAGAGCTTGGGGACACTTTACATCGAACTTCTCGCTCAGTCTGTCATGAGAAGCGTTTCGTCTTCTAGCCAAGTCATCTTGCTGCAGCCAGATTCTGCCTTTACTCGGGAAATCAGTCGCATCGCAGCTGAGAAGGGTGCCAGGCTACTCTGCCTGGCAACTGGTAAATCCGAAGCCACCGAAAGGATCAAATTGTATTCGGAGTATCGCAATATCCACCCGATGGCTACCAAATCGGATCTTCGCCACTTAGTCTCCGACTTACTAATGTCTTCCAGTGTTGATGATTTCATCGCTCCTATACTTCTACTCAACATGGGCGATGCATCCACAGCACTAATATCCCACAGTCTAGCCGAATTATTTCCTCCAAGCACTGTTAAAGAAATAAGCGTGGAGAACCTTACTTCGTCTACGGCGAGCTTATCATCAGCTAGTAACATCGAATCGCAAGTGCGATCGATTTCTAATCTTTTGGATAGTATTAAGCACCACATACACGCCAATAGCGGTGCTCGGAGAACCACAGATCAGCAATTGGAGGTCATCGGCATAAAGGACTGGGTCGAACAGCAGTCTCTTCGCGGACTCAACGATGTACCTCACATCATTGACTGGGACACCTATTCGAGTACCTTACCCGTCCAAGTCACACCCGTCGGTACTCATATCAAGTTTCAAGCTGATAAAACGTATTGGCTTGTTGGGTTAACTGGTGGCCTCGGTCTTTCTTTATGCGAATGGATGGCACAGCATGGAGCCCGCTATCTGGTCGTTTCTAGTCGGAGCCCCAAGGTAGACAAGCGATGGCTGCAGAAAATGCAACAACTCGGGGTTACTGTTGAGGTGATGGCGAAGTAAGTTCATTCATACAAGCTTCATGACGTGAATTCTTTTGCTAATAGACGCAATGTCTAGTGACGTCTGCGATCGGGATTCCGTTCGCGCTGTGTATCAGAAAATTTGCGAAACCCTTCCGTCCATCGCTGGTGTTGCCCAAGGAGCCATGGTCTTGCACGATACCATGTTCCTAGACCTAGATATTGCACGCGTTAACAAGGTTATGCATCCCAAGGTTAAAGGCTCTCTGCACCTAGAGGAAATATTCAAGGAGACTGACCTTGATTTCTTCATTTTCTTTTCGTCTATGGCTGCCATTACAGGTAACCCCGGACAATCAGCCTACGCCGGAGCCAATATGTTTATGGCGAGCTTGGCTAGGCAAAGGAGGCAGAGAGGCCTTAACGCATCCGTGGTTCATATCGGAGCTATCTTCGGCAACGGCTACGTAACCAGAGAGCTTACCCTAGCCCAGCAAGAGTTCTTAGGAAAAGTCGGTAATCTGTGGCTTTCAGAGCATGATTTCCGCCAGCTCTTTGCCGAAGCGGTGCTTGCTGGACAGGCTCATCGAGGCAAGAATAACGAGCTTTCGACCGGCCTGAAGACGCTCGACGGCACAGAGGATGATGACATCACATGGTTTCGAAATCCTATGTTTCAACATTGTATTGGTAGCGGGGAACAGGACATCGACGGGTTGGCTGGCGCTGCCAATTCCAGAAATCGCCAGGGTGTCGCTGTTAAAGCTCAACTTTTGGAGGCTATTAGCCCAGCGGAGGTCTACGAAATTATTTCAGACGCCTTTACAGCCAAGCTACAATCTAGTCTACAGATCGAAGAGGATCGAGCCCTCAATGATCTTAGGGCCGAGGCCATAGGCATTGACTCCCTCGTTGCTGTTGATATCCGCTCCTGGTTTATTAAGGAGCTCCAAGTCGAGGTTCCCGTTCTCAAGATCCTTAGCGGAGCTACTATGGGCGAACTGGTTAGCACCGCGCAAGAATTGCTTCCGGCAGACCTGACACCAAACTTGGATCCTAATAATAAGGAGAAGCCTGCTGACGCCAAAAAGCGGACGAAGAAGAATGAGCCCGAGAGTCAGAATTCTAAGAAGGAATCAACGAAAGGGCAGAATATATCCATTCCCGCTGCCAAAGAGCCGCAAAAGCGGGCAGACCCGGTTCCACCTACACCCAGGGATAATGTACATAAGCCTAATGGGAATGGAGCCTCTTTCAATTCTGTCGCCCTGCCCAGCTCTTCCCAGCAAAGATCATCTGCAAATGTATCAAGTGACGGATTACTACTATCGTCGGTGGACTCTCCGGCATATAGTTCGCCAAATTCTTGGTCAGAACTCGATACGTCCGAAGTGCGATCTCAGAGCTCCACGGAAACGCCAGTTACATTCGTGACAAAAGGTAGCAAAGAAACGGAGCCAGGGACTGTTTCAAGCGACCCTTCGGTTAAATCTCCAGCTATCGCGAAGCGAGTACCAATAGCTTTTGCCCAGTCTCGGTTCTGGTTTATAGAACATTACTTGCAAAACGCGTCGGTAGCATCAAACATCGCACTATCCATTGACCTCGAAGGTTCTCTAGACGTTGATAGATTTAGAAGGGCAATCAAACATGTCGGCCAACGTCACGAAGCTCTGCGCACGCGGTTCGTGGTGGCTAAGCGTGATAACGATTCGAGCACCACGAACAATGTCATGCAGGAAGTCCTTGCAGAGTCAAATTTAGAGCTTGAAGTCCGAGATATCATCGACGACACCGAAGTGGATAGCGCATACCAAGAACTAAAAGGGTATAAGTACAACTTCATTGAAGGTAACCACATGAGAGTTCTCCTTCTAAGAAAGTCGCCGTCTTCGTTCCGACTCATCATTGGCTATCATCATATCAATATGGATGGTGTCAGCTTGGAGGTAATTCTTCGAGAGATTCAGGCAGCCTACGATTCAAAAACGCGGCTCCCCAATGTGCAGAGCATCATACAGTATCCCGATTTTGCCGAAAAGGAACGACGTGAATATGAGTCGGGCCAATGGAACAGCGACATTGCTTTCTGGAAAGAAGAGTTCGCCAATACGATTCCTGCGGCTTACGAGCCTCTTCCCCTTCTTCCCATGGCTAAGAGCTACTCACGGTTACCTCTCATGGAATACTCCGCTCATAGCTCAGAGTTCCATCTCGATCCGAACGTCCAACAAGCGATTCAGTCGATTTGCAGCAAACTCAATGTTACACCCTTCCACTTCCATTTATCCATCTTTTATACTCTTCTAATCTGTCTGGTAGAGGTTGAGCACGTCTGCATCGGCATCAGCTCCTCCAACCGCGGGTACGAAGCGGGCATGCTGCAAAGCGTGGGCATGTACCTTAACCTTCTGCCCGTGTTGCTAAAATCGCAGCCGCATCTCACCTTCACTAACATACTTAAGATGGTACGGGGCAAGTCGCAATCTGCTCTTGCACACTCTAAAGTTCCATTTGATGTCATTGTGAACGAGCTACGCGTACCGCGGTCGACCACCCATAACCCGTTATTCCAGACCTTGGTCAACTACAGACCTGGCATAGCAGAGCGTCGTACCTTCTGCGACTGTGAGTCCAAGACGCGCGAATTTGTTCAAGCCCAGACGCCCTATGACCTAGTATTGGATGTCATCGACAACCCCGGTGGTGACTGTCATGTTTTGTTCGCGGGACAGTCGGCGCTCTACGACGCTCACCATGTCGATACGATAAAGGACATGTACAAGCAGCTTCTGTACTCATTCGCACGGAACCCTGCCCTTCGTTTAAGCATGGCTTCACTTTACGATCCTGATGACGCGAAGCGCGCCATTGAACTCGGAAGAGGTACGCAACTCTATGAAAACCCCCTTTATGTCCCCACTTTTGCCCCTATAACCCTCAGTTGTGTATCTGCTTAACACTAAACACAGGTCCTATCTACACGCACACATGGCCTCAAACTATTCCTCATCGCATCGACCAAATGGCCAGGAAATATGATGGGAAGGCGGCACTTGTAGAAGCTAGCGCGGGGTCGAAGCCCTCACGCTCTCTAACTTACGGGCAGATGAATAGCAGAGTCAACAGCCTCGCCACGGCCCTGAGCCGAAACAAGTCGAGCCTGGCGCATGGCACTATTGTTGGCGTTTTCATGGAGCCCGGTGCGGAGTGGATATGCTCACTGCTCGCTGTGCTACGCCTTGGCGCCATATATGTGCCCCTCGATCCTAGGACAGGTTTGAACCGACTAGCCGCTATAATCGAGGACTCCCAACTGTCCACACTGATTGTAAATGATTCCACCGAGAAAGAATCAGAGCGCTTCCAGTCAATCCAGACAAGGCTTAACGTTGACCAAGTTACCATAACAACAACCACGAAAGCCCCCAACGCAGCAAGCCCCGACTCCGTCGCTACCATCATGTATACCAGTGGCTCTACCGGCGTTCCTAAGGGCATAGTCATGAAGCACGAAACTTTCAGGAACAACGTTGAACTCATGACTACCAAGTGCTACTTCCGGGAAGGTCGTGATGTAATGCTCCAGCAAAGCTCCTATAGCTTCGACATGTCACTCGCGCAGATTTTCTTGGCCCTAGCAAACGGCGGAATTCTCCACATCGTGCCAAAGGAACTTCGGGGAGACTCGGTGGCCATCTCGAATATTATCGCAACGCAAGGGATTACCTTTACGATAGCGACACCATCAGAGTACATCAGCTGGATTCGCTATGGGCAGATAGAAGATCTCGCCGGGTCAAATTGGGTGACCTCCATGGCGGGTGGTGAGCCAGTGACCAAAACGCTAACCAGCGCATTCCAAGAAGTCGGCAAGGCGGACTTGAAGCTAATCGATTGTTACGGCCCAACTGAGATCACGTTCTGTTCCAACAGTCGGGACGTTGATTATCGGTCCGATTTAGCGGACAGCCTGCAGGATCCTAACAGCGGCAGCGACGCAACGGGCTTGAAGACATGGCCGAATTACTCAGTCTCTATAGTCGACGCTAACATGAAGGCGGTCCCCGTCGGCATGCCAGGGGAGGTTCTCATCGGCGGAGCAGGTGTTGTTGCCGGTTACCTGCATAGCGAACTCGACTCACAAGGGTTCGCCAGAAACGGTTTCGCGTCTGCCGAATTCCTCGCAAACGGTTGGTCCCGACTGCACCGAACTGGCGATCGCGGGAGACTCAGCAGAGCAGACGGAAGCTTGCTGCTGCTGGGGCGCATCGCAGGTGACACTCAGGTGAAGCTCAGAGGTCTACGTGTTGATCTCCGAGAGGTAGAAGCTGCTATCATGAATGCCGCAGAAGAGAAGATTGTGGATGTCGCTGTGACGGTTCGCGAGTCCAACACCACAGGATCTGAAATGCTGGTAGCTTTCGCCACCATGGCTACCTCACCTGGTGAGGCCGACGAGCATAATGAACTCGTTAAAGTTCTTGACGAACTACCCCTCCCCCCGTACATGCGTCCTTCTCTTATAGTTCATGTCGACAAGTTGCCATCCAATGCTTCCAACAAGGTCGATCGAGCCGCTCTCAAATCGCTTCCGATACCACAAGGGCACCATAACTTGAACGGTTATGAAAATGGAGTGGCTCAAGACTTGACAGATACTGAATCGCGTTTGAAGAAACTATGGGAGGAAGCCATCTCAAGCGAGGTCCTGTCACAATATAAAATCACTCGCGAATCCGATTTCTTCCACGTCGGCGGTACTTCCATGTATCTAATCAGGCTGCGAGAGGCGATAGAGGACGAATTCGGCATACAGAACATGTCACTCTCTCAACTATTTGACGGCAGCACTCTAGGGGGCATGGCAGACCTAATCACACAACGCACTCGTGACAATAGCACGAGGGTAGGAGAAGAAAAAGCTATCGATTGGGAAGAGGAAACGGCATTACCGTCAAACATCATACGCAACCCCGCATCAAAGCAACAATTCTTCACACAGCCCGAGGTCGTCATCCTCACAGGCGCCACCGGATTCCTCGGTCGAGCCATCCTAAAGCGCCTAATCGAAGATGGCGTCGTCCGCAAGATCCACTGCCTCGCTGTACGCGACCCGAAGCGCGTCGAAGAGCAGTTCCCCCACCTGTTCAAAACGCCGCAAGTTGTGGTTCACGCCGGTGACCTCGCCCTGCCGAATTTCGGATTGGCAAATGAAAAGCAGCTACTCGACATATTCGCCGAGGCGCACGTAGTAATTCACAACGGCACTGATGTCAGCTTTGTGAAGTCATACTCCAGTCTGAAGCTGGTTAACTTGGGCGCCACGAAGGAACTCGTACGGCTGAGTCTCCCTCATCAGCTGTCGTTCCACTACATTTCCACCGCGGCCGTCACGAACCTCACAGGCGAGCAAAGCTTCGAGCAGCGATCCGTCGGAATCTTCCCCCCGCCGTCGTCGCCATCCGAGCTACAGCTTAAGGTAGGCGGCTACGTGGCTACGAAGTGGGCCAGCGAGAGGTACCTTGACAAGGTTAGCGACAGGTGCGAACTGCCAATCTGGATTCACCGTCCATCATCAATCACGGGCGAAGGTGCACCTGAGACGGACCTGATGAGCAACATGTTCAAGTATTCGCGGGCAAACGGGCTTGTTCCCGATACCAAGTCATGGTCAGGGTGGATTGACATGATATCTGTCGAAAGCGTGGCTATGCAGATTGCAGATCAGGTATACGAGGACTACTCGTGGCCGGGCAACGTCAAGTACTTGTACGAGTCTGGGGAGCAGGAAGTCCGCATTTCGGATATGAAAGGTGTCTTGGAGAGGGAGAGTAGCAGCGGATTGAAGGTCAAGACGGTTTCTATGGATGAGTGGATATCTCGGGCGGTGGAAAAGGGGCTGAATCCTCTTCTGGGAGAATACTTACGACGTATGGACGGTGTTCCGGCCTATTTCCCGCGTCTGATCCGGGAGGGAAATTTCTTTTAAAGTTGTCGGTAATGATACACCGAAGGCTCTATTGCGGTAGTTTGAAGACTGCCAGCTTCTATGTAATGGTCTATTTTGCCGGCTAGAAATGGTACCAAGAAATACGATTGTAATATTAGTGTCATATTTAGAAATAATAGACGGTTCCTAATTATTTCTTTCTTTCGGTTAATCTAACTGGAAGAAACGCTTAATCCAACCATCTTAGGGCCTAGGCAGAGTGTTTTTCATTCCATTGCAAGATATAATCCTAAGACGAATAGAAGCACTGCCTACAGTATGTCTATCTGATTGCGTAAACTCCGCCGTCATTTCCTTTTTACACCTACGCCATTCACCCCCAAAGTTAGTATATTCGACTACTATACCATAAGGGGTTATGGGCTTTAGTACCTTAAGAAAGGGTCAGTCATTGCCTAAGACTATTATTCACACACCTTCTAAGGGCTAGAAGAAGCGAAGGATTTGTGAAACATTATAAAATACCGTGGGCGTTTGAAAAATACAGCCAGATTAAGCGTGATACACATTCATACAGGAGCACGTCGAATCTATTTATAATTACGGGCTGGCGTCTTATTTAAAGGTCCAAGCGATCGACTTGGTGCTGTCTGTTTAAGTGCTTCTTTCCTACTTCCTACTATTCATCAGCCCATTCCATTCCCAACCCACCGCCATGGCGTCTATAATGTCCAATGCATATGATATCCCACCTCATCGTCCAAAATTACCGACTCCAGTTTCTCATCGCGGTATCCACCCCGCCAACATCCAGGCTCATAATTTAGACATGGGGGCTATTAGAGCAAAATATGAATGCGCTCAGATTGAGTAGCACAGTTTATCGCTCCTAGTGGCGCTTATACCCATTTTACCGACGATGTCATTACTGTAACAACACCTATAGAGCCTGTCAGCACTATACCTAAAGTTCTCATCGTAGGTGCTGGTTTTGCTGGAATGATTACTGCTGTCAGGCTAAAGAAAGACCATGTGATCGGGGCCGGAGGTTTCGGGGGAACATGGTATTGGAACCAATACCAAGGTATTTACACCTCAAGCCTCGCTTCTAGGGCAAAAAATTAAAAAAAAAAAATTGATGTTAACTCATGTATCCGTATGTTAGGTGTTGCCTGTGACGTTGAGTCATACATATACATACCGTTTCTTGAGGAGACGGGATATATTCCGGAAGACCGCTTTTCGTACGGCCCTGAAATCCGGGAACATATGAAAAGAGTCGTCAAAATGGGACCTGGGAAACCTCCATGTCCTGGAACAAGTTGATTAGTCGTTGGCACGTCCGCACCGATCGCTCCGACAATTTCATCGCCCAGTTCGTGGTCCTGGCGACAGGAACATTCCACGAGCCAAAACTGCCGGGAATAAGTAGAATACAGGAGTTTGAGCGACCACACTTTCACTCCAGTCGGTAGGACTACAGCGTTACCGGCGGCGGACCAGATGATTGGAATCTGACGAAATTAGCGGGCAAGACGGTGGGAGTCATTGGCACTGGCTCATCTGCTTTACAACTTATCCCACTGCTAGCTCGGAATGTTGAGAAACTCTATGTTTTTCAATGCACTTCATCCTCCGTAACGTTTAAGGAGAACTTCAAAACATCTGAAAACCTAAATTCGGACGTTAGGCGCCTTTCAGAACAGGTTAGTTGGCAGCAGGCTCACATGGAGGAGTTTGCAAATATCCTCCAGGGCACTGCAATAGATAGGGACAACAGTACAGTCGAGGGTCTCGAGGTGTTAACGGCGAGAGCATTGTTCAAGCAGGCCGAGAAAGCAGGCATTTCAATGAAACCTGAGAAATTTCCGGAGTTACTAAAACTGCCTGACTTTGTGCACATGAAAAAACTCCGAGAAGTGATGAAGTACGTAGTGCACGATGAAGAGACAGCAGAGAAGCTCAAGCCTTGGTATTCGTTTATGCGCAAGCGTCCTGCTTTCCATAACAATTACTTGGATGCTTTCAATAGACCCAACGTCAAGCTCATCGATACAGATGGCAAGGGCGTTTCACATCTCACACGAATGGGTGTCGTGGCCACTGGTCAGGAGTACGAAGTTGATCTACTGGTATATTCGACTGGTTTCGACCTCGACCATAACTAAAGCTTCCACCGCCGTACTGGCATCAACCTTGTCGGCACTCGGGGCAAGACACCCGACGAAACCTGGCAGAGAGTGGCGGACCGCTTACTCTATTTGGTATCCATTGGCCAGAGTTTCCTAACTTGTTTAACATCGGCCCTTCGCAATCAGGTCTGTCTGCAAATTGGACTCATACTGCCTACGTAGCTGGGGAGCATATCGCAGATGTGATTGCTCGCATCTTGCGGAATGCCGACCACGACTTCCAGGCTATCGAGTCAACCGAGGCAGCGGCTGAGGAGTGGGCCAAACAGAGCGAAAAGGGTAGTGAGATGAGAATGATGTTTAGCAAAGCTTGTACCCCAGGACATTACAATAAGGAGGGCAAGCCGGAGGATATCCCATCGAGAGCAGCATCGTACCCCAAAGGCATCATGGAGTGGAAGAGTGTTATGAAGAAGTGGAGAGACCAGGAAGGCTTCGAAGGGATGAAGAAACATTGATTGCCTAAAATTGATATTGTCTATATCCACAAGAGCGAGAAGGCCAATGATAGTACAATAGATCCAACCGATCAAACTTGAACCTCATTCACTGTAACCTTCTCGCATCTAAGGGCATAATTAGGTAGTATCCGTGTTAAATATAATAGCCACCCTCTTTCTTTTCCACACCAATTGGGACCTTAATGAACATCATCCGCTGTCTTTCTAATATTCTAATTGGCCACTCTGATATAGAATACCCTCAGCCCCCATAGAGATGCACGCGCAAAAAGTAAGAATTCTGAGTTATACATACATAGGAGGTAGGTTGGGTATTGCGGGATGAGTGTGCTGTCTACCTATGTAAACGAAAAGATGCCTTTTTTTTTTCTTTACAAACGATCACTCATGCTCAAATGAGAGCAAAGGAGCCACATAGCTCATAAGTGTGCCACTCGGACCCCTTTTCTTGGCTCTTTGCCCTTGAGTAGTTGCCAGCAATAGAGGAAGAGGAGTTCACATACGATGCTGTAAATCCTGATTCACTGAAGATTCGCACTATGAATTTATTTAACTTGACGTATTTCTAACGATTTAGTCTTTAAGGCTGGCTGAATTATGCGGTCAAAACTGGGTATTTGAACGCAGCGTCTGGACTCTCCCGCTCACAGATCTCGTGTATCACAGCTTAAGTCCCGAATCCGAGCCCGACACCGACGGCTATGGAGTACCTCCTACCTACCATATCAGGTAGGTAAATACACCTAATCATGATGCTTCTAGGCTAAGATCTTCGAAATAAGATGGGCTACATCGGCAGTTGAACTCTACTGGAAACGACACGCCGTATTAAAGCGGGTATTTCAGCTCCGCTAAATCCAATGCTACCAGGATCTATAACTTGTCGCCATGTAGTACCACACTGCGCCTATCGTATACGCCTTATGAAGTTCAATTACGCCATCCTCGACGCTAGTTATGACCTGGGTGATGGCACGAGGCCGACTTAACAGGGTAATAAGACAGCAAGGTCTCCTCCACCCCCTTTTTGAGTGAGCTAACGAAATGGTACATACCTAATATTGACGCATCATGCACCATCTTCTCTACCGTTAATAACAGCGGCAGTTGTGGTTATGAACATTGTCCAATAGTCGTGTAAGTCAATAAGCAATACCGTGGCAATAAGCTTGTATTTCGAAGTAAGCGATGCTGAAACTGGAGGTGTACGGTTTCTATTTCATGAGCCAGACCATTCTACGGCCCAACAAAAGCGCCCAAGGCTGAATAACGATTCCTATTAACTAAGTGGCACGGCTGCATTTCAGGGACAAAATAATTTCAAGATTGTATCCCTAGTCGGAGTTACTAGTCATCCGATAATATAGCCGCTGTACGAGGAGTAGATGCGCTACAGCAAGTTGGGTCCCACGGGCCGCACAAAAAAAGAAATAGACACACTAGGCCAGGTGGATTACAGCAAGCAAGGGGGAGATCATTACTAGACTACCTCCTATGGCTGGTGTCCACATTCTGCTCTATGGCCCGTCTATGGATACAATTGCTGCAGAAGGCAATTGCCGCAGAACGGTGACGACTACTGTGGAGAGGTACGCCTTACATGAAGAAACGAGGACGAATCGCTTTAAGTACCTTTAGAATGAGGTTATTCAGACATCATCGTGAACAAGAGGTGTTTCAGTGATACTGACGATAAGGTTGCATGTGGCGTTGAGCAACCCAGCAGCACCTTTCCATCATTCCAAAAGGAAAAATAGAGATTAGGAATCCGGACATATAGTAGGTAATTCGGATTCAAGGTACAAGCGACTGACTCCGTCAATACCATTTGTTAAGTAAATCTTAACAGTTTATACCTGTGAATCATTTCGGTCCACTGATGCGCATATTATGCGCGGCCTGTGCCGAGACATGCAGTACATACATACCTAACATACAGTCGCTAGCAACTCCGATTTAAAGGTCGTGATACGCAAACACGGTGGCGCTGGCAGCCGATTTTATGACCAAATCTGCACGGGTTGCCGGAAAAAGTTCCTGCATGGTGACCTAGACATAATGTAGAACAATGATATGGACGTAATTCCCATGAGTTGTGCTCACAGTAGATGAAGGTGATGAGTTAATTCATCATGGATCCAGACAACTCTCGACGAAGTGCGTGTGATCGATGTCGAGGCCAGAAGCTTCGCTGTGTTAGGCCTCCAAAGCAAGCCAATGCCGCAGATGGACAGACACTTCAACCTTGCGAGCGATGCACGAAGGCAGGTGCTGGATGTTTTAGTACCCTTCCTCCTCCTCGAAAGCTCACTAGGACTGAAAGGCTACCGAGTCCATCTAATTCGACTCTTATATCATCGCAGAAGAGGAAAATACACCATACGCTTGCCGCGAATGATGTTAACGAGTATCAGCCAGGTTTCGGGGCCGATAGTTCTTTATCTACTAATGGCAACGGTTCTGTCCCGACAAGCGGCTTATCATCGACTTCTGGTTCGTCACCAACGCACAGGCGAGGAAGTTCTCAGGCGCCGACGACAGGATGGGATAAGGAGCGGGGGTTCAGAAAGCTAGATATAGTGCAGCATGAGCCGCAAAAGTTCAATGACCATGCCACCATAGAGAGGCGAAGGAGAGGTCTTGGCGATATACAATCGCCCACGGCGGGCTTAGCGGATACACCAGCGTTCAGCATGAACAGAAGTCCAGCTTCTGATCCTATTGGAATAAGCACCTTTGATTATGGAATTGGCTTGGTTTCACAGCCTGACACTATGCCCCCTGACGATGGAACCACATGGATGGATATGCTGCTCTATCAGGCGAAAGGTAGTCTGGCGACGGGGAAGGACGATAATTTAATGGGAAAAGGGGGTAATCAAGTACTTGCAAGAACGGATGACTGCTTACATCGACTATCAGAGCTTAGCTCACAATTGCTAAAGGACTTTAGCAGAATGAGCTCTATGAGATTTCATGACCTCCTATCCTCTTCATTCTACTGCGACCCCAATAATGCGCAGAGCCTGCACGATTCGGAAAGATCCATGTGCCAGGAGAATGCTATTGGGAGGATGCTGAATAATTCCCAGACCTTTTTGGACACATTGCAGCATCTCATTCCCGGTATCCCTTCAAGCTCTGAGTCGGAGTGTTCGTATTCCGAAGACGGTGATGACCTTGCTTACACAAGAAGAATGGTCGTTGACTCCGGCGATCCAAGCCGTCTTTTGTTAGGTCACACAAGGGCATCTTCCAATGGATCACCGAAGTCATTCTCCGGTACTGTCGGTGTGCCCACGGTGCTGACTGTGTTTACCTGTTACGCTTGGCTCCTCCAAACCTACGACAAAATATTCTCATTGCTACATACCGCACTTGCATCCGAAAGCCAGCTATCTTTGCAGTCGTTACCCAACGTTCTCCCAGGCTTGCATGTCGGGGGCTTCAGCCTAGATGACCATCAGTCCCTGCAAATGGAAATGCTAATCCACCTTAGTACACAAATGCTAGAGCGCATCGAAGAGGCTTTTCGAATGAACCTAACAAGCCAAGTGAAAGATAGCCGAGAGAATTGGATGAATGACCATGAAACACCCGTTTCTACCTTTTTAGACACTATTCTAGAGCCAAATCCTCTAAAGATTCTAGAAGGAGATCAAAAAAAGGGGGTAGAAGGGATAAAACAAACCATGGAACGTATTCGAAGAATACTTAGAGGCATCTCTTAGCTTCATGTCATCCCTACCACCACACAGTCTGCACTTTCATATAAAACAATAACTAATACTACATTTGGTATAAATGACAGCACGCTATATGACCCTTTCAAGTTCGATTAAAAGCGCGCTATAACCTCGGTCAAACGGGCGTCTCAAGTATAAGTACCTCTAAACACCTATCTAAAAGTATCAACTTGGTACTCTAGACTTTGCTATTATGTCTCCTACAACAACCAAGATGAAAAACAAGTGATTGACTACTAAGGATACGAAGATAAGTCTAATCACTCAAGGCCAATGCTACTTGAAGAGTACTAGTCCCGCAATGAGGATTCCTTTGAAATAAATCCCGCCTACTGTGCACACGAACTCCATCATTACCCCTTAATCTTCCAGCGCCATAAAATAGGAAGCCAAACCCGGAAAATGAAGTCGAGTATGGGTCAAGCCAATTCCCCTTGCCTATCAGAGTGAACGGCCTCATCTTCTGGTTGCTTGCCTTGGGCTCTTAGATCACGCCAACCCATACCTCATAGTACGACAATGCATGCAGTGGCTATTGCGGCAACGAAATAAAAGACTCGGTCGATACTGACGGCATAGTCGACAGGGACCCCTGGGAGATCCTCACCCTCCACAATGGCACGAAAGCCTGTCGCGCCTGCCTGGATGACCGCTGCCGCATCAGCGCCCGGCGCCTTGTCCTGTAGTTGAGCCTTCAAGCTAGAGTTGAAAATCACGTTGCACACAACCAAGACGATAGCTGGGCCTAGCGATTGAGCGAAGATGACAAGAGCCATACCGGTGGCAAGTTGCGCTTCCCCAACAGCGGCTTGGATTGATATGATAGCCTTCGTGCAGTGATTATCACTAGCCTCTTCGTGTAATCTAAACGGCGTGCTCATTGACGTACCAGTTGCATGCTGAGACCTGACACGATACCTCCCAGAATTTGAAAGCCGACCCAGTCCCCGGTCGAACTTCCTAGCTACAGTAGCGAGTAGAGTCCACTTCCCACGGAAAGAAAGACAGTGCCGACTACGGCTATCGGAATGATGAAGCCAGTTTTCTGTACTATAATCATGTAAGCACAATCTTTATCATACCAAAACAACGTGCTAGGACGGAACTTACATATAACTCCGGAAAGACTAGCCATCAAAAGTTGTGGTAGAATCGTGGGCAGAAGATATACGCCACTCAGTATCGCTGCCGCATTGTTGATTGCCTGGAAGTAAATGGGAAGAAAGAATGTTGCGCCGTAAACAGCCGAAAGCATGAAGGCCTGGAAGAGCCCGGATGCCCACACAGCTGTCTGTTTGATCATTGAGTGTGGGAGTAGTGCATCGTCTCCTTTATGGCGAATCTAACGAGATCTAGGTAGTGGTGTAATCTCGATAAAACCACCAAAGGCTTTTGTTTTGGCATTTGTTCAGGAATACGGACAAGAAGGATAACTAGTGCAGTAAAAGCCCCAACTGGTAAATTGACGTAGAAGCCTGGTGTCTATATCAGCGAGATACTCGTCCTGGCAAGTAGGTGGGAAGTGCTTACACCACCTCCATGTAGTATAAGAAGTAAAAGCACCTCCTATGAGAGGTCCTGCTACAAGACCGAGCTGCATTATTGTGGTAACAAGTGGGTGAGTATAGATACACCTAGCGTAGCATAGGAAAAAGCTTACTGCCCATAGTCAGACCGATGAGTTCTAATTCTACATGTTAGCAATTATCAAATTCCTAGAAGCTACACGATCTGGTAACAAGCTGCAGGCGACTCCACATACCAGGACGCTTCTCAAGAGGTGCACAGCTCGAAATAATGGTTATAGCTCCATCGTAATACCGGCGGCGCCAAAACCAGCGACGGCACGTCCGACGATCAACATATCAGACGAGACAGCAGCGCCGCATAGAACAGAACCGATCTCGAATATCGCGAAAAACGACAGGAACGATCACTTCAGGACCACGTTAGCAAAGAGATTGGCTATCAACGCCGTCATCGCTCATATCGCCAATACTAACCTTGGTGTTAAAGTGCGTATACACCTTTCCTGTAAGTGGCTGCGGAGCAGCACTTTAATGCCCTTTAGTAAAACATTCCTAAATTGAATAGTAGGATCGACGAACCTGCCAAATTGGTAAGCGCTGGCATACCATCCGACATCTGGAAGCGAATTGAAAGTGTCGGTGATACGTGGGATGGCCTTCACGTTAACGAGTAAGTAAGCGACCAAAAAAAGCTCTGCTAAAAGGGTTCAACAAAAGGATTAGGAACTAACAGTGCTGACGATCATCGTGTCCAGAAGCATTAAGAAGCAAGCAAGCGTCACGCTCGCGACGATCAACGCCAACTTGATGCCTGTAACATATTGGTTCGAATTGTCATGGTAAACTTCGAACTTGCTTTCCTCTTCTTTCGAGCTTACCTCCGCCGTCCCCTTCGGTAGCGGCACCTCAGGGCTGCGCTCAGCAGAGGGTGGACGAGAAGCTGGCTTCGAATCTGACATACTCGTGGCGTATCTCGTTCAGCCGTGCGTTTTGCCTCGGGGGTTTGTGGTAAGGGTATAGAGGAAGAGGCGATTCCTCTTTAATGAATGATAAATAATATAAATTTGGGCTAAAATCCAATGTAGTTCTTACCGCTTTGTCTATAGTGCCTGGTTGCCCAGCGGCAGGATCTCAAGTTGTACATGCAGACCTTTTTTGAAGTCTGATATAAGTACTAGGTGTGGTCAATTGGTATGTAATTCTAAGTACCGGGTCATTTTTGCTATTTAGTTTCTTATTATAAATCGTTTGGTAAATTGGCATCACATATTATAAAGTATTTACCATTTTAGTTCGTTTTTAATTCTCTAGAACATATCGATATTATTTTATGTGATCTAATTAGAAGGAAAATAAGTCTTAATGCCGAAAGTTAGGTTGGGCTAAGAGCAAGGTTTGGGGTGCAAGTAGCCGACACAAAGGGTGCAGAAAAAGTAAAGAACTTGGAAGGTGACAGGTGTAATTTGCCCCGTGGCAAGGCTTAGGGCCCTTTCGTCCCAGAAGAGGTGTAATACCTAAAAATACTGCCTCGGTGCCGATGGCGCGTTATTATCGTTGAGAATCTCGCGTCTCACAAACTGGTCGCGCGCCTCACTGGCTAAATGAATAGAGAATAGGCGCAGAAAAGCTCAGCTAGAGCTTGGTAATATTATATATATGAGGCAAGCTATGTCAGTTCAGTATCCTTAGTTGGACAGCCCATCCACTTTTAATACTAGTTCAGCCACATACCTTCTACGAATCTTACTATATTTACATTTATTTCCAAATCAATTGAAGGACGCAAGATATAAAAAGTATATCGCTAGTTTCACCTCAATTAGAGCTTTCAAATAATAAAAATTTTAGCTAAGTGCATGTATTATTTCAAAAGTTATTCGAAGATACACTATACCAAGGAGCTTTGAAGGGTATCACGTGATATTCTTAAGCCACACACAAGAGTATCACGTGGTATCCCTTAAGGCCACCACTACCTCCTATACGTATCTAGCTTTATTTCAACACCATCTTTAAGATGCAAAAATATAAAAATTATATTGCTAGTTTCGCTTCAATTAGGCCTTTCTAATGATATAAATATTAATTAAATATTATATGCTTTACAATATTCTAAATTCAAAACGGTGTAAATTCTGTATGTAGTTGGAGATGCGACTAATCTCAATACAAATTAGTATGTACGTATGTCGGTGGCTGAACTAGTATTAAAAGTGGATGGGCTGTCCAACTAAGGATACTGATATCAGTTCAACTTGTTACTCCACAAAGTTCGTCCCTTGCATGAAGAAAACAACCCTTACACATTCATCCCTCTCCAGTCTATCTAGCCAGGCACGCCAATCTGACCCTACGATATCTTGCCTCCAATGGACTCTGCGCTGTCCCAAATCTAGCAGCTGGCGTCTTCCGCTGACCGATATACGCGTCGAAACATCATCGACTCGTTGCGGAAGGCTGCGGATTCACGCGAGGACACCATCGGCACTATTCATAGATTTGGACACCTTGTGAGACGATAAATGAAGGGAAATAGTGGTCGAGTCGAACACTGATTCCTACTAGGATCTGCAGAAAGCCATCATGCAGTTGGGTTATGATTTGAACATCGTCAAAAGTTGCAGCTAAGGGTCCCCGGATTGTAGAGGAGATTTCTGGGCAGACCAACGCTAACCCCCAACTTACCATTATGAATCAGCCAGCGCACCTGGTGCCCTATCCCTTCAAGTCCCCTGACCGATACCTCTAGTGAGACTTCTACGTTACTTTAATGCCATTAATGTCATCACCGAAGTTCACGTGGGTACATTTGAGGTCAATAACATCACCCATAACCTATGTGAGGGCGTGACGGAAGCCGCAATCGGCCACTAGTACGTCGGCGTCGATGTGCTGTTGCTCCTCTGTTCGTGCACCAGCTAATGTCTCTGTGAATACACAGCTATGGCATCGTCGCCAAGCAGTATCAGGAGACTCCTGCATATTTGAAGAAGATTGGCTACAAAAACCCTACGGACGAGACGAACCCTGCATTCCACTATGCCTTTGGCACCAAAGTTCATCCCTATCAGTATATGGTTGATCATCCCGAGCATCTAGGTCACTTTAATAGTTATGTGGCTCTCCGCCGCCAGTCCGAGCTCTCATGGCTAGCGGTATACCCGGTCCGTGAAGAGGTCGCTGGCCTCACCGATCCAGAGCGACCTCTGTACGTCAATGTCGGCGGTGGCATCGGCCACCAGTGCGCGTAGTTTAAGCAGAAGTATCCCGATCTACCAGGTCGCGTCATCCTAGAAGACCTGCCCGGCACCGTAGCGCAGGCGCTGACGACTCCTGGGGTGGAGAACCTGGCCCACGACTTTTTCATGCGGAGCCGATCAAGGGTATGTGAACATGTCTTACGAGAGTTCTATCTATTATCTCCTCGTCTCCCCATATATTCCAATACTCATTCCAGCTGATAAATTGGAATAGGGGCTAAGTTCTACTTCATGCGTGGGGTACCACACAACCACCCCCGCACAGGGTCCAGCTTCTCTTCTCCAACATCAAAGACGCCATGGCTCACGACTCGGTCTTGCTGGTTGACGAGGCTGTGCTACCTGAGAAGGGCGTTGGCTTCATCGCCTCGTCCATCCATTTGACTATGCTAGGCGCCTTTGCGAGCATGGAGCGCACCAAGGCCGAATGGCGCGAACTCGCGGAGAGCGTGGGCCTGGTTCTTACCAAGACATACACGTATAACGCTCTTGAGAATGACACCGTCCTAGAATGAGGTTGCCTGGGTATACTCAATAGGGTAGTGATGGAAGGACAGTAGGAGAGTCCTAGGATACGGGGTATTACCGGTTCTACGTAGTAAATACAGCCAACCTGAACCTGATTAGTACAAGAACTACCATGAGAAAGAGTTCAGAACTCCAATACCAGAGGTACGTAATTGAGATATAAGTTGGGCGTATCATCTCATAATAGGAGGTCACAAATACTGATAAGAGGTCCCTAACCATCTGGTTGCCTACAACATATACCTAGCACCGTGTTACTAGCGACCTTCTAGCCTAACATTCGGTATTTGACCTATTAATAGTAATCGATCGTCAACTGCTTTTCATACAGTGACAATCTGCGATGGTTGACGAAGCGGTAATTCGGATCGCTCATTGCCCCGACTACCATCTTGCGGGTAGGCACAGAAATCCTACTCGTGTAACAGAAATAAACAAGATATCACCTTGTCATATAGAAAATAAATAATAGCTTCATATTACTGTGTATATACATGGTGTAGACCATATAATGTGCGCCACCTCAACCCCACCCCCTCTTTATCTATGCCCGGTTATCGTCCCTTTGCCTAGATGTAGGTAGGCATCCCAGCCCGCATAGCATGCAAGCATCTCCCATGTTAGCTTGTTGTACAAGCACCCTCGTTGATTCGCTCCATGTAAGTCTTGCCACGCACAACATCGCCCATCCTGACCTATGAAAGTACCTAGCTTTGCTACAGATTACCTATGCATACTTTTCGGCTTTACATGTCAGCATTACTATCTGCAACATGATCGACATGTGGGGAGGGACACAATATATAGGAACGGTAGGGTATGTAAAGTAACACTATAGTGGTGGAAAAAGATGCATTATAAAAATAGTTGTGAGATATTGATGAAGAAGTTACCTACTCAACGTCGTCAGGTATTATTATCCTCGTTCATTTACCCATCTACCTGTTACAGGCTCGCATAGCTACAGGAAAGTCGCCCGTAATATGCCCAGACCTATTCATCCTAAGCCCCTGCCCCCGCCTTGATAGTCTGTCTCGTTTAGAGGTAGGTAGGTATTTCTGGCAGTTGTTTCTGCAGGTCACCTGCACGAGCCAGAGCCTATCAGAGGAGGAAAGTCATCATGTCGTATGAGAACCCCACTATCTTTGTGAGCATGGCTACCGGTACGCAAGGTGGTGCCTTAGCCAGGCAGCTCCGAGGCTTAGGATGGAACATCCGCGCCACGGCGCGGGACCTCCATCGCCCAGAAGCAAAGACCTTGCAGGATATCGGCGTCCACCTGACTCCTGGCGACTGGGATGATGAGGACGCCTTGCGTACAGCGCTCACCGGTTGCACCTAAGCCTTCATCGGCTATACCGCGAACTTGCTGGACTTTGAGGCCGCACATCGACGAGCCCAGCGTGCAGTTCGTCTCGCCAGGGACGCTGGTGTCACACAAGCCATCTGCACCACTGCGTTAGGTGCCGCCATGCTCGAGGAGGGCAAAGCGCCGCCGATCCCGCCCACGCCTCTCTTTGCTCAGCACTTTGCCAGCAAGAGGCGCGTGGAGAAGGCCGTGGAGGAGGGAGGCTTCGACAGCTGGACGGTCCTCCGACCCGGCTTCTTCATGGCCAACTTCCTCGACCCCAAGGTCCGGTTTAGGTATGCCGACGTTCCCGAGAAAGGTCAGTGGGCCAATGTTATGACACCGGATATGACCCTTGGCCTGGTGGATCACGAGTACATCGCCAAGTTCGCCACAGCTGCCTTTCAGGACCCAGCTAGGTTCAACGGCATCCGCGCCGGGCTTATGACGGAGGAGCTGCCCGTACATGAGATGTTGGACCAGCTCGCGGAGGCTATTGGCGACGGGCGGGCACTCAAGGCGCACTTTATGACGGATGAGGAAATCGACAAACCCATTGCGGAAGGCTCGTGGGCTGTGTTTTCCCGTGAGCGGTGCGTGCGCTATATGGATGTGCTGGCGAATACTAAGGAGCTAGAGGTGCTAGTCCCGGGATTGACAACATTCAAGTAGTATTTGGAGAGAGAAAAGGTACTAGTTAAGTCGACCTACTTATTGTGTTAAATGCGAAGGAGCATCTCATTTGGAGTTAGTGAGTTCTACGAGGCAAATAAAAGCTGTGTCTAATTCGTGTCCAGCTTTGCTTAGGTTGGATAGGCCCTCATTTAGTAAGGTTACCTGTCAAGTTACTTTGCGATGCTTATGTTTTGGGTTATAAAATCAAACGGAGATAAAAAATTATGAATATTTTTGAAAGCAGAGAAAAGGGGGTTTTTGAGTCGGCGGCTTGTGTGGCTTAGGCACCTAGGGTGTGTGGCTAAGCAATTAGCTATGTGTGGCTAAGCAATTAGCTATGTGTGGCTAAGCAATTAGCTATGTGTGGCTAAGCAATTAGCTATGTGTGGCTAAGCACAGGTACATATAACATGAGATCTTAAAGGCTGGGCTCGCATTTAGAACATTGAAACTCAACCTTTAGGTAAACAACATGATTTCAGGTTTCAACCTCTTTCCTTAGGCCAAGAACTTATATAAATTCATACAAGCAGTTTGCTGTATCCTATAATATACTAGGTACCTAACACACTAAAGTTCTTCGCCAACACCAAATCAATGTTCTAAGATTCTCTAGTCTCCCTCGGTACGCGCTCTTTGGTATCTCATGTAACGATATACAAATCTGTCCTCCTGGTGATTCGGTGAATCGATGGACAGCGACCTATAAGATGTATTTTGTACCGCCACGTGACCAAACCTCACATCGCCCTCGGTCCTGATGATTCTACTTCCCATGTGACCGCGGTCAGCTTGTAATGATCGGTGTCCAAGTTGGTATATCTATTGAAAGCAAGGTCGGGCACGGACGCCTTCCTCGTGTACATATAGTATCTTAGCTCGCTCAGCTTGGAAAAGTCTAGCTTCTTAATAACAGAACGTAGAGTTGGGATGCAGCCTATAATAATGACGACACATTGCTCTATGTACCCGTAGAGGAGTGACAGGCTACTCTGGTACTGCACGTCAGGCGCTCCCACAGTCGAATTGGCGACAGCGCCCATAGCTATCGTTTTCAAGATAGACATACTCATGCTTAACACGGAACCGCACATGACGATTATAAGACTGATTCTCTCACGGACGGGCATGTTGAGCCTCCAAGTAAGGATTACGGGAAATAAGGCGTATGTAAGATCGGAGACAGTAAAACATGCTTCAAAGATAAGAGAGAAGAGGTTAGCGACCTGATTTGAAAGCACATGAGGCATTGCCTGGTAGACTCGTACACTGCGCGAAGTATGCGGTATACAACCAGACTCTTAGGTCCCAGCGTCGCTCGGGAACTAAGGTAAAGTTCCATAGTGCCTCGACCGGTTTGACTTGCAAAAAGGATATGGGTATCTGCACGATCCAAGCTACCCACGTAAGGGCAGTGAACGAGATCAAGTAATAGGTGAACCACTTGTATGTCTTGAAGATACGGCTGAGCATAATAGCGATAGATGCTCGCGACAATAGGCCGACCACGATTCCGGGCGGCACCGACACCCAGCTATTCCGGAGCATGGTTATCATCTCCTCTTGGTATAAGCTATGATCGTGCTTATCCAGGCCGTAGGTATAGGAATTCGTGACCAAAGATTGAATAGCCAGTTGAATTATCTGCGGCGCAGCGGTGTTTAACGTCGGTAACGCCTCAATAAACGAAGTCTCTGACTACTTTTGGGAATATATGCTCACCACAGCTGCGGTTATCAGATAATCATCCCATTTCCAAGGTACTCGCTGGTACATACGCACGGCTAAGCGAGTTGCGACGAATATGAGAGCAATGATCAAGAATATCCAAGTGATTGCCATGACTAGAGGCCCCCGGTCAAGGTTATCCCGGTCAACAGGCTGTTGGTCATCATTTGGAGAAGACATGATGACCGAGAAGGCTTCTCTGAGAGGAACTGTGGCGCTAAGTAGCAACAGATAATATAGGACTTTCTAGTAACGATTGGCCGATACCAAGACCTTCATGAAGGCGGCAGCATCTCCGGATGACAACGGCCCACGCACATTGGTCCATGAATTGTACAATCCAAACTCCTCCCCTCGGAGAAATCATTTGAGCGAACCTTTGAGGAAGTAAACACGACTACAGGCGCTGGCTTCGAGACGACGGCTGCTGTCATACGAATCGCAGCCTTCCACATCTACAGCAACCCCGATATCCTCCAGAAGCTACGGGCTGAGCTTGCCGCTGCTCCCAACCACGAATGGAAGACGCTCGAGCAGCCTCCTTACCTGACCTCCATCGTCATGGAAGCCATGCGCCTGGCTCCGGCCATAGCCACCCGCAGCGCTCGTATCGCCCAGGACAAGGACATTGTTTACGCGGACTGGAGGATACTGGCCGGCACGCCTGTCGGCATGACCTTGCATCTACTTCACCGAAACGAGGAACAATATCCGGAGCCCCAGCGCTTCAACCCAGAGACCTTTGTGCCTTTCGGAAAAGGGAAGTGCAATTGTATTGGAATGCAGTAGGTTGCCCTTCTACGATCCGCCCCCTTTCACCATTCCGTACCACAGGTTGCGCAAGGTAATAAAATTTTGATTCAACCAGTCTTGCCTGGGCGGAAATATACCTGCTACTTGGCCACATGGCGTCTCGTTTCGAATTAAAGTTCCCTAAGACAAAGGCGGAGGATTTCTACGTCAACATGGACAATTTTGCGCTCGGCACCCCATCCATGGGAGTAGTCCCTGCTCTTGTTACCGAAGTTACAGCATGAGTAAATCTAGATACCTTTCTTGGACTCGTCAGAGATGTTCGGTATTGCACAGCTAGGTATCCGGACATTGAAAGGATATTATGTTGCACTTTATCTGTCTCAGCTTGTTGAGATAATATTATTTTCTTGTATTGACGTAGACATAAATGTTGACTACCTCGAAGACCGGGGCCGAAAGTCTTTGCACAGGCAAAGCCACGTGCGGGTAGAAAAAGAATACACTGTATTAGCTAGGTAACTTATAGCGATTGATGTCTCTGAATTTAGTGATTAGACTCCTGAGCGTAGTTGATAGTCCACTATTTGACCTTAAGCTAGTATGCTACTAGCACAGTGTCGATAAAATAGGAGATATTTAGATACTCGGCGTGCTCAGACCAGATGTACAAGGCTTTTTTTTTTTTTTTGACCCCAGCTGCCCAGGCCTTAGTATCCCTCTTCTCAAATTCTTTCGATATCTCAGGTAGGTACCTAGCTTACTGTAGCCGAACATCCATAACACTCTCGTAACTTAAAGGAGAGTACGTATAGGTTCGCACCATTCTCAATCCTACATCTTCGAATACTGCCTTCCACTGCGCTTCTGTGCGCTCCATGCTAGCAAACGCCGCAAGCATAGTCATGTCAATTGACGCCGCCATATAGTTCACCTTTTCTTCTGGCAGTACCATCTCATCAACCAGCAGGACTGATTCGGGTGTCATGGCGGCTTTGAGTATCTCGAGCAACATCCGCACCTTATAAGGTGCCTGGTTGTGGAACACAGCTCGAAGGTGATAGAACTTGGCACCTACAACCGAGGTTAGTTAACGTCGATAGATGCGTATAAAATAAAGGATACATGGACGCAAAGGGAGTTAGCGGAGACATAGGTAGGTACCTAGGTACATACCAATCACAGGCTGTGGCCTAAACATGTTGTACGCCATATTCTCGACGCCGGGTGTTGGAGGTGCCTCTGCTACAGTGTGTGGTAGGTCTTGTAGGATAACCCGCCCATCCAACCTGGGATATTTCTCCTTAAACTGCGCGCATTGATGGCCAACGCCTCCTCCCACGTTTACATAAAGGGGTTCACCAACAGGCCATCCAGCAGCCTCCGTCTCTACGGGGTATACCGACAGCCAAGTTACATCTGGCTGTCGGCGAAGTGCATGGTATGTGTGGAAGTCGGCCAGGTAAGCCGAGTTTTGGGCAAACCAGGAGAAGGGATCCAAGGTCGTACGGAAAGCCAGATGAAAGGCTGTCTTTGCATCGTCAACTGGAGTTTTATAACCGGTCTGCTTCAACAAATCCGGCAAACACTGATATTGAGGCGCGGTGAGGCCGAAGCTGGAAAACTTGTGAATTCCCGCTGGCAGGGAGCGAGGAAGTAGAAGCACACGTACAAGTGAGATATCCCAGCCTCGACAGACTTCTCTGTCAAATTGCGAGTGACTTGGTTTGCAGTGTATTCGCCTCTGCCACTCTCGTCTACTACGCCTATGGTGGCAAGATATCTTAAGAGTCGAGCTGAATCATATTTGAGACTTGATTTCTTCACTAGGGATGAGTGTCTTACAAATTAATTGCGGCTCGGCTTTGGTCTTCTCCGCAATACGATCCACCGCAAGTGGTTCAGACGCCTCAGCCAAATGCTTAAACAAACCTAAATTCACACCAACTTGGATTGTTGCCGTTTGAAGGTTCTGTTCTTCCCTATCAGTTCTTCTTCTTTGTCCATATACGTAGAGTAAGGGAGGACCAACCATATGCCCATACCTGTGTAGAGTATCGTCAGGGGTCTCAAGTGAACCCACTAGACTCTGCAAAGCCACAATGACCTTCCGGCGTGCGTCTTCGCCCCCGGCTGCCTCCTTACGGATCCGATCTAAAGCCGCTTCCATTTCTGCAATGTGGGTTCAATATGTCTATGCAGAGCGAGTAGAACTTTCTCGAGAAGGATGATAATATCTCAAAGGGGCGGGTTTCGATTGGGATAGAAAAGGATGATTTAATTTAATATATTCAGCTCCTCCAACTTTGTGCACCTTTTGTAGCATGGTTACACTCTCAAGCTCGCGTTAGCACATAGTACCCGACGCAAGTTACACACACTCCATTCGTGTCACAGAGGAGCGAGGGCACGAGTCTCAGATACACTTCGCTGTCTCCTGCCTCCAGACAAGAAATGGGCGTTCTCGCTCGTTTCGTAGACCTCCATCTAGTACTACCTTCCATTGATCTCCCCAAAGTGTATGCGTGTACTAGGTCTGTGTGCGCGTGTTATCGTTGCTGTAATTGTACAGGCCCCTCTCACCCTCGAGCAACATCAGCCTCTGAAATATGGTGCTAGGTACTTCACGACACAATGGCTGCATTTTCTGTCAATCATCTCAACTTCCACCATGACTTAGAATGGCATGGATAGATGGTTGGCCCTTGATAATCCTGGCTGCTATAGCCTTTTTCTTGCTGCAACGCGTTGCTTCCGCTACTTTACGTAGCAACACCAAAGAGAGTGAGCTATGGGCCAAGCTCGATACCGTCGGTGTCGGTCATGACGGCCTATTCCCCCAGGACATTCGCAAATAATGGATATTCCAAGTTTCCCAAGGCCCTCTGTCGGCCTTACGCACTCCCCACCACCTGGACAGGCAAGGCTGTCGTGGTAGTGCCGCCTTCGCAGATGCATCAACTGCTCACTAGGCCGGATAAGCAGGCAGACAGCGAGATCACAAATATCCCAGGCCTGGTCGAGACAGTCCAGATGCCGTTCGTGATCAACGACCCGGACATCTATCAGAATACCATCCACTTCGACGTAGTGCGCAGGAAGATGACCAAGAAAGATATGCGCTTCTTCGCTCCTATCACAGAGGACGAAGTCGGCCTTGCCTACGAGGCGTGGAAGACCATCAACAGCTGGGACGCCTGTGGGAAAGTTATCGCCCGTACGGCCCAGCGCATATTGATCGGCTTGCCTCTGGGTAGCAACGAGAAGCTTCTCGAGGCTTCGCGATTATATGCCAATTCTGTTTTGCTAGGAGGCGCTTTGATGAATTGCTTCCCTCTGTTTCTTAGAAAGTTCGTTGGCCCTATGGTAGCGATCCGGACTAGGAATCTCCAGGCCCGGTGCGTGAGGATGCTTGTGCCTATTGTTAATGAGAGGCTGCGGATATTAAGCGCACCCAAACAAGATGAGGAGGTGCCCGTAAGTTGGGTTTTATTGTTCGTGTTTTATTGATTCATCGATTCCATCGTAGTGCAGCCAAAATTCGTATCTTTCTCCAGTTCTCTACTATCCCTGATCCCGACGCAGTCCCGTTTTAGTCGCATGCCATGCTAATAAGAGGATGTAAGCCAGGAAGACTTCGTGCAGTGGTTGATCGCGACGGCAAACAAGGATGGTACAGAGCAGTTAGACGCGACAAGGATCGCCAACCGCCTTATCGCGCTCATGACACCGCTCATCTTCGCCGTCTGTTATGTCTTCGCCTACGCCGTTCTCGACGTCTACGGGAGCCCGGACAAGGAGGAGTTTATCAGCGGCCTCTATGCGGAATGCAAGCATGCATCGGAGAAACATACCAGTCTGGGAACGGCAGAGGCCGTGGATTCACTCTGCCGCGTTGGCTCGACCATCCGCGAGTCCATGCATACTTCCGACGTCGCCGTGACCAACCTCTTTCGGGATGTTTCGGCCGGTGAAGTCGATCTTGGCCACGGCATTACCGTCACGGAAGGCATCCGCATGGCCTTCCCCACGCAGAACATACATCTGGATCCCGAATATTACGAAAATCCCGAAACGTTTGACGCGTTCCGCTTTTCCCGGGGTTTCGAGGGGTTAGATGAGACCAACCTGCAAGCAAGAGCCCAGGAGCGCGAGCTCATCGTCAGTCCTACTTTGTCCTTTCTCCCGCTCGGATATGGAAGGCATGCTTGCCCAGGGCGATGGTTCGCGGCTCAGACGATGAAGCAGGCTCTCGCCTATATCGTTCTAAACTACGACGTAGAGCTGATCGGGAAGCCAATCAACACGAAATCTTTAGTAAATACCATGGTGCCACCCGTGAACGCTAAGATGAGGATTTGGAGGAAGAAGCGATGAGCACTTTTTTTTGGGTAGTCATTCAGAGATTATTTAAACCCGAGTTACATAGATACCTAACCTAGGTAGATACCTGATAGGGATTGCAAGCAAGCCGATGATGTATTTCTTTGCCGAGCATTTGATCGCTCTTACTGAAAAGTCGATATAGTATGAGTTTAGAAATTACTCCTTGATATGATACCATTTGTAGAGCCTTGTTATCATTAATTGAATTTTGTAATCACAGTATTCAAACTCTGTGGAAGTACATTAGATACTGGGTGGGTAGGTGCTTAGATGCCTCTTGAATTCTTCGCGACATGCCACTTAATCATGGTGTTATAACCGCCCTGAACCTCGTGAAATCGAGGCTCGCTTCGACTGAAGTGTCCCATCTGCGCAGGTGCTCTATCGCCTACGGCTCGTAGTCAACGGCGACGCTCTGCAGCCCGTGCGCCATGTTCGCTCAACGCGCCAGCTCGCGCTTACTGAGGCCAAGGTCGTACACCCGTGTGACGGTTCGGAGGCCTCAAGAACCTAAGCGAAAGCTTCTCTGAGGGTTACCACTGGGATATGAGAAGTTGCTAGACACTGCGGACTTCTCCTCGACCAAAGCAGTAGTGACGACACCTAGGAACTGCGCTATGTGCAGCAGGTATATATTCCAGCTAAGCTGCCGCATCGACTTCTTGGTGTGCAGCAGGAGGTTGAAAGCCCCGCAGCATCGTACTCGATTCTTCTCACTACAAAACGACTGATGGCGTTGATGTCTCCGGCTCCGTTTTTATCTACACCCTCGAAATTACTGGCGGTAGGGAGAGCGTCGGACGGTACGTCGTCAGCAGGAACTGCTTTTTTTTCTTGTCCACAACTGCGGCCAGAAATCATCCTGCCGGGCCCTTTATGAGTACGGCCGTAGCATACAGGGTGACACTGAGCTGAGTGTCAAGTCGGTGCTTCGGCCGTATAATGTCCATGGAGGTGAAGCTAGCTAAACTGGAAGAAGTTCATCTTGATGCCGATCCCTCGACATTTGTCATTCCCTCAAGATTGTCTACGCATAGAAGAGCCTAGGCATGTCTCATTGAGCGGTTCCCCTATCCAAGGCGCCTCTATTCGCCGCCTGAACTCATGCATGACCTTGCGGTGGTGGCGTACAATTGTCCTCTCCTGGAGCTTTTCCCAGTGTGGTCAAAAGAAACAAGCTCGCTTGGCCGCATACATGCATCTCTCTTCCTTGGGGGGTTTCTGATTCATTATTATCAGGTTTCTGCAGCCAAAGGCGGATATTGAGTTTTTTGCCCTCCTTTTCCGAATTCGGTCATAAGATCTTAGCCGCATACATCGGCCATATCTGTATGTACGTAACCTACCTACCTATGTAGGTACCTAGTGAGGTACTTGAGGCATTGTGTGTAACGAGGGTAGGTTTAAAGTGTTATATTGTAGTAGTATTACCCCAAGTGGCGTTTCTAATACGCATTCTATTCATAAAAATAATGGAAATCTATTTCGATCTTGTCATTCTTTAATTGACATGCAATTTCTTTCATTACCTAGATACATATTCAGAAAGTTCATTATCTGTCTAGTTCTTACCAATACCATATCACCTTTCTCAGGCTTTAAATCATGGCCAGTTCTATATCACAAGGTCTAGTAGACGAAGCCGTCGCGAAGTATGGGCTGTCCGAGAGGGCAGCCGACAACACTCAGCACTTTCTTCCCTGTGATATGACTTTTGCTGTTTGACGCCTTGTCGGCACAGCGTTATTTTATGTAAGGGAAGGAGATATGCTAATAGATAAGCTGAAGGGTGTTTCTTGGAGTAGCAGAAAATCTCTTATTATACGAGGATATATCTACCTTCATCAAGAACAATGTAAGAGTTCCTACATGCACTCGAGCAAGTCATCGCTGACGTACTGCGGGAAGTTGACGATTAGCCCAGATGACCAATTTGGCTATGGCGTGGGCCCACGGGGATCGCCACGTCTCAAAAAGGCCCTGACATCGTCCTTCCAAAACAATTTTGACGCAGAAAGGCCAATACGAGAAGAGAATCTTCTTATTCTTCCCGGAGTAGGAGGTGAGTATCTACTGTAATGGGCCAAACTTACCCCAACCTTCCCCCCGCCCCCTTCCACGATTTACACCAAAACATAGCCTTGTCACTCTGCGATATCTTCACCAACGGATATCGGACAATTTAGCTTTCAATTTTATCTAATAGATAATTGAGGCGACTTAATTTTAAATATACAAGAATATTTTTTCCATAGACAATGCTGAGAGCGTTATTAAGAACTTCCCATAGTTATACCAATGTCGATTTGGATGGGGAACCCCTTAAAAACCAGCTAACGTCAACTTTAAACCACAATAGCTTTTTCAATATTAGCTTTTAAAACAGACTTTTTACATGGAAAGCCATATTAAATTAATTTTCTTCAAAGTAGACCTCGTCTCTCACTTTTACGAGGTTTAGCGGTAAACATGTTGCAGAGTGACAAAGTAGCGAAATGGCTGTTTATGGTGGGAATCTTGTGGCTCGGATATTTTGAACCCTAGCTGTACCAAGCGCCCTTTTCTCCCTCATCCTAAGCCGATAGGTCGAAACTTTCGAAAACTACCAAATTGTCCCTGGTAAGGAGATAATAACTTGGTACTGACCTCCAAATTCGATACAGGGGCTCTGGATGCTCTGGCATGGTCTATCTGTGATGATGGCGAGGGTATCATCATTCCGGTACCATTTTGGTCCGGTATCTCACAAGGTGTTGGTGAACGAACCCGCGGGGTGATGATACCCGCCATCTATCAGTCTATTGAGGGATACCAGGGTCTCGATGATCTCTTCGATCCCGAGATCAACAAGAAGGCGTTAGAAAAAGCCTTGCAGCAGGCCACCAAGGATAATGTGAAAGTCAAGGGCGTGATGCTGTGCAAGTAAGCGAAGCTCATTCTCGCATTTGCTTCGAGTTTTCTAGGGAGACCAAGTGTCAACTGATGTTGTGTTCTAGTCCGCACAACCCTTTGGGGAGATGCTGCGTAAATCCAATCCTATTTACTCTGGCTTCGGGATAATATTGTGTTGACAAAATAATAGCCAGTGGAAACCTTAAGGGAGATCGCTGGCTTTTGCGGCCAGCACAACCTGCACCTGATTTCTGACGAAGTTTTTGCCATGTCTGTTTACGACAACCTAGAAGTCCCAGATACAGTCCCGTTCACGTCCGTATTAGCCTTGGACCTTGAAGACAAGATTGATCCTCGAAATGTCCATGTTGCTTACGGCATGGGTAAAGACTTCTGTGCAGCCAGGTTTCGAATTGGCGTGCTACACTCTAGGAATGAAGGTCTCATAACCGCAGTATCTACCATCAGGCAAGTTACCTCTTATTAACCCTTTTTGGTCCCCAAGCTGAGTTTCTATTTAGCGTTCTTGGATGGGTACCATATATTGTGCAAGACATGTGGGCTAGCATCCTGACGGACGATGAATTCCGGATCGACTTTATGCACAAGAACCGCAGGCTGCTTGCAGAGCACTCCGAAATCTTGACTGCCTTCCTACGGGAATATGATATTCCATATTACTCCAAGGTGTAAGCTCGCCGACCAGTGACATCAAACTATACGAATTGACTAACGCTGGGGAACCTAGCAACGCTGGTGTTTTCGCCTGGGTAAGTCTGCAGCGCTATCTTCGTGATAAGTCGGAAGATTCAGCTACCAATTCGTTCAAGTCTAACGGTCAATTCTATCGAGAGCGTGAGATGACACTGTGGGATCGCTTACTTGCGTCTGGTGTAGGGCTTGGCCTCGGCGGCTGGTATTCTTCAGAAGAGCCAGGCTGGTTTCGCATCAGCTTTGCTGTCGAAAAGGAAGCGTTGCGCATCGGGCTCGAGAGGCTAATTAAAACCTTGCGGCAGGTGGAAGCAGAGGGCTGGAAATAGTTACGACTTATTTGTATCCACAAAAAAGCGAGCATACGGGAGTTAGACTTGCAATATAACGTTCGGGTTGACATTAAAGTTCCAAAATGAATTCTGCATGTTCTCTTGGTTCTCGTCATAGATCCGAGGCTACTTCACAATGCATAAACGTACCACGCACACGCTTTAAAAGCTCGCGCCAGGATCCGGCATGGTCATATCCATGACGATGATGCGCTCGCCCGGTCCGCCCGGTCCGCCCGTAGTATGGCGATGCAGCACTTGTCCGCGCAGTTGTGCATAATGCAGTGTAAGAAGATTCTAGCACTGATGGGCTGCGGTGCGATCAAATAGTGTGCTATGAAGCGTATCGGGTCGTCGTTCTTCAGTTCTTGAGACAAGCCCGATTAAACTTCCTTGATCACCTTGTCCATGTACTGAACACCGACATCGAGACGTGGGAATACAGATTTGATATTGCATGCTACATATTAGGTTAGGTACCTGGTAGGTAGGTACCTAAGTTAAGCATTGTGATAACATCTTGAGGTTACAAATATACTTGAAATCTCCCATTCAAATGGATGCTGGTCAGTTCCGAAGTGCTTCGCCAAACGTCCTACGCGGCCTCGCAAACAGGGAACTAATTAACTTAGTCCACTCGAACGAGACTTCGCATTTCGTGCGATCGACTTCGAGTCCAATCGCACGCGACGCTTCTCCCTTCTGTTCTCTCCCATTTCCTCCCTTTCCGTTCCCTCCAAGCTCGTACTTGTCTTCCAGCGTAATCTTCTGCGACTCGACCACGAACCTATCGCTGTCGATGACGTGGTGGTTCCAATGCGTCCACTCACACTCCGGGCCAATCGTCAGTCGTAACCGCGCTTCGGTCGCGCGACCGCCCGGCGGCGGGATCCCCGGCGCCGACCGCAGCCATTCCGCTACTACGGTGTTGTCGCCGCACTCGGCAAATAGCATGCTCGTCTCTAGGGTCGGCTCGTCGCGGTGCAGCAGCGATACGAAGTATGCGCGCTGCCGGTCGGGCGATAACCGCGACAGCACTAGAGGTAAAGGTGTGATGCGCTTTGTGTTATGATTATTGTTGTTATTCCCGCTTCCGCCCCACCGACGCCGCGGAGCCAATGGTTTTGGATCCCCCACGCACAGCCACCCGCGCAGCCGCGACAGGTGCTCATCCAGAAACGCCGTTTCGAGCGCGGCCTTGAGCGTATGCGAGAGCAGACGCAAGCTTGCCCAGAGTTCCGGTAAGTCTTCGCTGTGGACAACCGTGCGCATGATCTGTGTCCATATCTCCACAGGTAACGGCGGACAACGGGAGATGGCAACGATAAGAGGAACCGGAGTAGGAGACCTGGAGGTTGTTCTAGTTCTCCGAGGCGAATTCATGCGTTTTAACATCTTGAATGGTATGGACCTTAAATATGAAAGAATTGGAGGTTATCTGTTACATGGTATGAAATTAAAGTTGACCTTGTCAGCTTGTCCCGCCTTCAAAGACACTGATAGATCAACGCGAGTCAGATATCCGGTTTCCCCGAAAACCCCCGTAGATAAGGTTGTTTAGAGGAAACATCTAATGTGGACAGTTGAACTTAAAGAACTGTTTAATAAGTTAACCTTGGTCTTTAAAGCGTGTCTGAACTTATTTCCCTCGCATATGTACCTAACATAACATGAGGATATACCCATGTACGCACCTAATAGGTATATATTAGGTACTCTTCTCGTCCGAAGATGAGATCCGTCGGCCGATGAGATGCGGTTTATCACGGAGCCCTTATCGCGCAATTACATATTCGTATGATGTATACCTTAGTAGTCAGGTATCTAAGTATCTATCACCAACTTATTTATCTGAGTGATATTTGCCTAGGGGATGTATTAGAGGGTACATACCTGATATGTAGTATGTAGGGGTGGGGAGTATCCGATCCGGTTCCTTTTTACCTGTTCATGCAGCCATGGGCATATCATATGTCCGAAAGCTGAGGCACGGAGAATCTGAGCCGTACCTACATGTAAGCTACATGTTATTTAAATCGGGTGCAAGTGTGGCTTGTTCTAACATTCCACGACGTTTGCGACGTGCCTCAATGAGAATGTCAAAGTTTTGGTTCACGAGGTTCGCGCTGCGCCATTGAAGTCATCTAATGGCTGACTATGTAGGCTGTAATACATACGTGTCTCCAGCCGTATCCCAGCTGTATCTTCTAGCAGAGCCCTAAGATCCATTTGCTGACAGGAGGTATACAGAAAGCCGCGTATTGGAAGAGAAGATATGATTTTATACCGATATCGCCAAGTAAAAGGATCTACTTTGCAGGAAGCTTAGCGGCTACTTACATGTATCCGATAATCGGGGGGTTTTATCAGGGTTTTCGAGTTGATAACATTTACCTTAGGTCAGGAGGTAGGTATTAAGGTAGGTATTAAGGTAGGTAAGGTTTAACTAGCTGATGTTGAAAATGTCTTTTGAAAACGAGATCACCCCGCGAACATTTCAAAATAAAATGAACAGGAACAGTTAAGCCACACCTCTTATTAAGTGAGGAGTAAGGCGAGCTAGGTAATAATTTATCAACCCTTAGAAATGCAACTGCAGGCCCAATAAAACCTCAGGTTTCGGTTACATCGCAGGGGCAGAATGAGGTCCATGAGCCGACGTGCTGGGTGATTTATGAAGATCCTTATGACAACGCTACTCGACCCACGGCATCGGGGCTGCAGTGTTCAGGAGCAGAACAACTTCGCCGCATCGTATTGGCTATCCAGAGATCATAGAGCGATACGTGTATTTTTTATCTACCTTACATTATGTAGGTAGTAGAGGTGGAAAGGTGGAAAGGTGGAATTCGCATGTGGAGGTTGTATTGGGAACATTGGAGAAATTAGTGCAAGTATGCGTTAGGTTTTAGTACATTTTAGGTACCTACATTCTTTGGAGTACCTCCCCCTGCGAAATTTGAACAGGCATGTAGAAACCAAAAACCTTAGGTACCTTAGGTACCTAGGTACATAACGTGTCTCAACACTTCAAGGTATGAGATATATAGAATAGATAAATATTTGAATTATTATTAAGAAGAGAAGTATCACTATAATAGATAGCCTCGTAGTACCTTATTATACCTCGGCTAGACGCGAAATTGACAATAAAATTGAGTACGAATTATATGTAACCATGTACTTACCTAAATATAGCGTGGATGAGGGTTAGCTAGCATAAGTGGTCCGTCATCCCGTCATTCCCACTAACGCCACATCACATAACCGACCCACCAAACTTCCACTAAGCCCCTTTCACAACAAAACTGAGGCTTGTGATTACTTTACCTCTCTCTGCCTCTTCTTAGAATGTTCTAACTTCATTTCTACCAAGGTTTAAAATTTAAAGACCGACTTGGGTACTTCGTACGGTTAGGTTAGTTGGTTAGTTAAGTTAGCCTAGTCCTTCAAGATTAGGTACAATTAGGTACAATTTACCTCTTCGCCTTACCATTTCCACATTACATCTCCGACAAGACGTGCACCTAATAAGATATTCTTCCAACTTTCGCGACGTCTCTTTTTTCGACCTTCTCGACCTTTTCGACCTTTTCAATCTTCTCAATATTTGTCAACCTTTCGACCTTTTTGACTTTCGCCGCTTCCTCGTTCGTGTTTTCATTCTTCAATCGGCATTATTCAAATTCGATCGCGACAACCACCCGATCAATCGATCAATTGATAAACCATACCCTGTCTGCACTATAACGTTCTAGGCGGCGCATCACATCACCAATTCGAGTTGCCCCTTTCTTATTTGCTTCTCACGCGCCAACGCCTTTCTTTTATCTGTACCACACTTAAAAAGCCCTGCGACAAAATCAAGATGCCGTCACTCTGCGGATTAGGAGGATCAAAGACAGTCCAGCGTAAGCTGGTTCTCTTGTAAGTCTTAGCCGTTATCAGTCGTCTCTACCGCATGCTTAGGCTTGCGCTTGAGCCGAAAAGTCCACTGTGAGTTTACAAACGCTAATAATATTTTCAAACAGGGGAGACGGTGCTTGTGGAAAGACATCTTTATTGAACGTCTTCACGCGAGGATATTTCCCGACGGTTTATGAGCCTACGGTCTTCGAAAACTACGTTCACGGTACGTCTAGCACAGCCAACAAAAAAAAACATGTCCTACAAGAACGGAGAGGCCCGAAATAATAGACAGGGTCAGGTAATTCCGCGTTGGCATTTTCCTTACTAACAAAATACCAGACATTTTTGTAGACAACGTACACATCGAATTATCGTTATGGGATACCGCCGGCCAAGAAGAATTCGACCGATTACGAAGTCTCTCCTACGACAACACCGACGTAGTTGTGCTCTGTTTCAGTGTCGACAGCAAGGACTCGCTAGAAAACGTGGAGAGTAAGTGGGTGGGGGAAATCCAGGAGAATTGTCCCGGTGTCAAGTTAGTCCTGGTGGCTCTCAAGTGCGATCTCCGAGAGAATGCCGAGGAGGATGACGATGCGGCTGCGAACGGTACCGACGGCCCCCAACGAGAAAAGAAGCCAGTGATCGACTATAACCAAGGCTTAGACGTCGCGCGGCGTATTAAGGCTATGCGCTACCTCGAGTGCTCCGCTATGAGGAATAGGGGTGTCAACGAGGCCTTCACCGAAGCTGCTCGAGTAGCCCTAAGCGTTAAACCGAGCGGCGAGGGCGATTCGAAATGCGTTGTCATGTAAAAAAAGAATCGCCCAACAACCTGCCACCCCGACTCGATACGAATTTCCTTCTACAGGCCCTGGACAAGCGCAGGAGTTTTTTTTGGGGATTGGAGAATATCCCTATTTTCTATATTATTTGGATGTGCTAAATAAAGCACACACACTTACACTCACCAACGAACCTGTGCCCGGGCACAACTAGTTACTACTACTTTACTACCTTATCCTTGGTGCAGTTCACCTTTTTGTACTATCTGACACTTTTACTTTTCCCCTGTACATATACTTACTCGTTAAGCCTCTCTGCGCACATATATGGGACTTGGACTTTATTTTATCTGTTTTGTAATCGTCGAGGGACGGCATTACTGCTGCTAAAGGACGGGCGGCAACTCAAACGAGTGGTTCTTTTGTTATTATGGCTAGATGAGTAAAAAAGTATGGAAATTTTCCGCTGAGATACAAAACTATCGATACCCTGTCAGGTCTAGGCTTTCCGCGTCGTCAATCCTTGTGCGTCGGTAGAAATTGCATTCCAATGATGGTCTTGCCTTCTACTGGTGTGATTCGTTCAAATGCTGTCTCAGAAAACGATCAGAAAGTACTCCGCAGGACTGGCATCAATCCTGAAGTACATAAAAATAAATTCCACGGTTGGATACTTTCTTAGGATACTGGTCGAGAGCCGAAATTGTCAACATCCCTAGAAAAGACAAGTTTCTAGTTGACGTTAGCGATCAAGCGCTGAGCATGTAGTGGAAACATTCGGCTCTTGGACCTGATGAAATACTATGGAGCAAAGCTTTTAAAAGAGAGAATACTCCAATACAGACATCCAGGAAAGGCGCCGTGGCTTTAAACTTCTAGTCCTGGATTTAGTTTGCAGTAAACGTCGCTGCAATGATATCATTATCTACATCACATAATGCGGAGAAAGTTAAGTGGGCTTGAACGATGCTAAAGCTCTACTACTAGTTCGACCACTACGAGGTGGGACCAACCTAGATGGAAACGGCAAAGGGCTTCGTTATTCTGGAAGTGATTTTCATGTACCTGATAACGACGTGAGCCTGTGGTTATACGTATCGAAGGTATCCTATGTTCTGGGCGTCTCATCCAAAATTCCGGCCAGAACCTCATGAGATAACCCGTCATTAAGTTAGAGCAGGGAATCCGTTAAATATTCCATTCGCTGTTGATCGTATCTATTTAGGTTTATATCCATCACCCAAGTCTCGAAATCCAGATTATTAAAATCGCCAAAACCGATACTATCAAAATCACCCATCCCTGAGATACTAGCACGGAGATATTTCTGGTCAAGAGGGGACCGTTTATTCCCGGCGGGAGAGTCCTTGGTGGGTTTCGCGTAATATCTAGCAGCGCCGATGTTAGGATGGCAGCACTCGGTACACCATAATAAGAATCTCGACTTGGGTTAGCGAGACGCTCTTAGTTAAGGGCGTACGACTGTGGGGATGCTGTGAGGGTAGCGGAAGAACCTGATCTGAGCATTCGCAAGTATGTTCTTCGAGATTTCCATCAACTCCAGTTCATAGGACATTCTGCCTTGTCCGGGGAGCCGACGAAGTTGGAAAATGATGTGAAGATATGCTAGATACACCTTGCCAAGCATAAGACGTACTGTGGATGGTAAGTTTGAATTCGAATAGTCTTTGTGGTATTTGTGATGAGTAGGAAGAGAGCTCCAGGCTTCGTTACATCGAGTCAATATTCCCCTGTAGTGTGTTAGTATTCATATATACGTTCTAATGGGGGTAATAGCGAGTACTTTAGATCGCTTCTGTTGGTGGACTTTGCCAATTGGAATTGGCTAAAGCCAGCTATGATATAGCGTATGCGAGCCCACGTCGTGGTCTTACATTCCCCATCGGTACTCGGGTGACAGTCTGCTCCTCGCCTGCCCCAATACTGCTGGCGAAGTCGCAAAACAGCGGAGCACCTCACGATGCAGACCTACGGCGTAAAGGTCTGTTACGAGGTCGCTGAACCTGCGCCAAACGTTCAGGCCTATAATAAACTTATGAGTATCGTTGATTCCGTACAATTAGAGAAGGATCAACTTGCATCCCCTTCGACGATCATCATAAGCTGAATATCTTCATAAGTTAGCCAGTTGATGATATCATTCGTTTCCGTCAAAATCTCACGAGCGACACTTGTCTAAATGGTAGATACCTCCAGCATTGGGACTCGAGACCCCGACGCCGACAGGGAGTACAGACCGGTTGTTGGTGGTCACACCGACTTTTAGCCTTAAGACAACGCTCGCATGAAGCTTGAGAGCCATTACGACGACGATTTGTTGTCGACATGGTGACTCACTTAATTTGCAGAGACGCGTTGCCCACTTAGGAGGGATAAAACGGAATTGGAAGTAGTCCGTCCATATCGGCATAAAAGGGATTCCCGGCGTATTGCTAAACATGTCCGCTATTTCTAGCGCTTATAAAAGAGGTACCTAATGATTACAGCACTTAACACCCCAGCGAATCAACGTAGACGCATGCTCCTAAAATGGAAATATCAGGCAAATCACCCACGCCGCGACCCACCCGGGATTCCCTCAAGAATACTATGCCGGAATACCATAGGGTAATATAACCAAATACATAAAGATTATTTGGGTTAAGCGACTTATCACTTATACCTAAACAGTCAACATAAGCTGTTAGGTACTTTCTTGATATGTTCCCTGTCAATGGATGCCTGAATGAACTCCGAAGCGCATCTCTTACCCCGATGCTGCATCGCTTGACGAAAGAAAGCTATGACAACCAGTATCTGGAAATATATAATGCTATTGCCAAATATCCCAGATAATAACATTCATTTCATTTACCCATCGTTTCCAAATTGTAATCCTTGGCCACAAAGGTCATATCAGAGCTTTCCTTGAACGTCAACTTCCGACATTATAATCCCTTGAAAAATGACTTCTACAACGACCCAAGAAAGGCCATCCAATACCATGGAAAACCATTCGAGCCTACGCCAAGTCCTATCTAGGATTGATAACGAAGTACGTTCAATAAACCATCAAAGCTCAGATATATAGGTCGAAGACTGACATATTCCCCTTTCTCTCTCAAAGGAATATAAATTAGAACTTGACCGCGATAAAAGATCCTCCATCATTGCAGACAAACCCCAAGGTTCAAGGGATACGAATAATAGACGGTCGCGTACTCTGAATCCAGAGATCAATAATACGATTTTAGGCATCGTGTTCAGCCTGAAATAGAAGTGGAATGTTAGGTTGATAGTATCGTACCTCTAATATAGGTCGTACAGAAAGTAAAGGGCTGGGAAGTACATGGAGGGTCTATTGAAGATTGGCTTTCTATGTTCTTGCTAGGGCGTTGGGATGCTTTGATATTCCCAGCCAGTTCGCCCCTATTTATAGAGTGTTGCTATATATTATCTCAACAAGCTCAAACCATTATTAGCTTTAGTTTCGTGGTCCTTTTTCTTGATTACTTCAATTTTAAAAAATTAATATATATCTCCCCTGAGATATAATGCTTTCGGGCCAGAACATGTTACAAGATGTGACCAAGGAGCTAATAAAGATGTATTAATTTGCTATTAGCAATGGACCATTCTGGCCTGCCCGAAGGATTTGTTAACTCGGGTATGGGAAGTTGTCTATCTAAAGTAGAAAGCAACTAACTGTACGCATAAGAGGCTCTACTACCAATACTAAGTAACTATTGTAGGGAGAAGGCGGGAGGCAAGTACAGTTAACTGAAGCACGAGAGCTATAAAAAAAAGAAAGAAAGGAAAAACCATTGTCAAAATACCTATTTTGACTATTGGAGGTATTATACTGGATGTTCAAGTAACGGGGAGGGTTGGCTCATGGTTCACTAGAATAGTACCATTGTTACAAGATGTGTCTCGATTGTACTGATAACATCGCCTTGTTCAAGTATAAAGAACTATAGTCTCAGTCGAAACGCAAGATTTGAATCCAAACAATGAGCTTTCAACATATACACATCATCATAACAATGCCACGTCTGCTGTCTAGAATGAACAGGAATAATGTTCCTTTCTAAACTAAAAGGTGAATTTCCTTGATAAGCGTGCAAAGCTCATCCATTTGCGCGCAAACATACTCCTAATCATAACTAGTGTAGCTGGCAACGGTAAGTCTCTCAACATGTCGAACTTCTCCTGTGGTCACAGTCTAAGATCGCGCGTGGGCGCCAACCTGGCGTACATAGCCCAAGACAAGAAGCCATGCCCCGACTGCCAGACCCGCACCGCAGCTGGCGTGCTCGCACTGCTAAGGACGCTGCAGAGATCGTGGAAGGCGGAAACACTCAATGACCACAACGTCAAGCAGCACCTCGTGACGTACACCTTCGACCGGTTCATCTCGCAGCGCAAATCGACCTCCGCCGGCTTCAAGGAGCAGCTCGACGAGATCTTCGGTGCCTGGGGCTCCGCGTGCTACCACATGCTGAACCGCAGTCAGCTCGCCAACTTCTCCGCGACGGCCCGGGCCCGCTGGGGCAGCGACATCGGGCGGCAGGCGCTGCGCGTCGTGGCCATCGCGGCGCTGAAAGATCGCGATATATACTCGCCGATAAAACCTGAAGACGCCGAGAAATTAGCGACCCTGAATAACATGATTAGGTTTGTAAAAGAGCGCGCCACTGCTATCGAGACCTTCGAACAGTTAGAGATCCTGCTTGATGGGGCTGAAATTCTCGAAGCGCTTAAAAACGATGCTATGCTCAGACTTGAAAAGCTTGATGAGGGCTTTGCGAGGTGGAATGTTGCGGGCAACAGGTAAACTCTTCATATATATTCGCTGCGTAGTGCATTGAATCAAGCGGACTTCTTCACTTCAGGATATTCACGGGATACCAGAGGTAGCATATATTGAATTCTTTAGATCCAAGGAACAATAGTGCCCTTGTCTATAGTACCAAGTCAATCAAAGAGTATATGAAAGGGATAAAAATCGTAGGCGCCTATACACTGTGTGTTTCATGACATAGAAGGACACGGCACAGGAAATGTGATGAAAATGAAAGCTTGAGTTGGTTCCAAAGTTTAGATACATGTATAATCTTCCAGGCCAAGTCCACTCATATCGTTGCGTACCTAGAACTATCTACATAGAAGATAATTTAGTTCAAGCTGACATCAAACCATTCTTCAATGTCCAATACATCCACCCAGGTTGCCTAACCGCTTGCCAAATCCCGACGCCACTGTTATGCAATATGTGAATGAAGAACGCGTAAACATTTCTTTGGAAGTTGGTCTAAAGAATGCGGAAAATAGATAGGTTGATTCACTTTACCCTTAAAGATAGTAACGTCTACCCGTCTAGTTACCGTGAGGTTCATCGTAGCAAGGTAGCACTTCTTTCCTGCGTCGTCGACTCCATTCTTGCCTTCAATCCGCTGTCGATCTGGTTCGGGACGGCATCTTTAGTGAATTCAGCCCATTCGCGACACGTTCGGGAAACATCATGAGGAATGTCAAAATGTCGATTAGTTAACTCGTCTGGCTGGAATAGCATTTGGGAGAAAAAGCCAGCGGATGCGTGCCAGGCAACGTGGCAATGGAAAGGCCAGACTCCGGGGCTCTTGGAAGCGTCCACCTGAACCACAAGGTAGCTATAGGCACCAACCATCTGCACATCACGGCGCATAGGGTTCTTGGTATTGACATGCGATAGGGAATCTTCGGTGTAGTTGCCGGGCCCGGTGGCAAGGATGTACATGTGCAAGCCATGCGCGTGGATTGGGTGAGGCCTACGAAGTTGGTGTAAGGTCAGCGTGTCATGAAGAAATAGACATCAAAGGTAACATACGACTTTGTGGGATTATTAACTATAATCCGGATGGACGAGTTTGTTCCGTAGTTAACCAGGTTGGACTCGTGTGTATACTGGAAGCCACCCTTGGTAAAGCCCTGGAGAAGTGTTGGGTTATTGTAATCTACCTTCGCAGCAGCGCCCTGTTAAAAAAAAGGAGGGTTAGACAGGTTTTCATCGCAGATAATGGAAATAATAATGATAATCTTACACCGAATTCCCAGAGAAAGCTACCACTCGAATTGATGTACGCGCTGACATCCATATGTTGAGTGAACGACGGCTCTGGTAAGGCTATCGGGTAAGATGGTTCAGTGAGAGCAAGATCGTCATTTTCGCAAGTGCCCGGATCGGGGACGTTCCACGGCGTACTAGTTGGAACAGAAATATTGTCGCCTCCTTGGTAGTATATGGCAGCGAGAGCTAACGGCTGATCCGTACTGGAGCAGGATGTGATGTTCGCTCGTAACCAGAATGCCGATCCTGGACCGGCATGAGCATGCACAATGACATCGACTCGCTGGCCGACACCGAGAGTGACAACTTGAGTATCATAAGGCTTAATGGGAACGAAGTCGTTGGCTATGACTGTCATGTTATGTTCATCGATGGAGATGCGCTGCGTAGCCTCCGACCCAGAATTGATGAATCGAAGACGGTGAGTTTTGCCCGGTCGAAACATAAACTTAGATAACCCAGCATTGTCTGTACAATGCGCGTTATCGTTGACATCCATAGTAAGGCAGTCGAAGTTCATCTTTCCGTTGATCAAGTTGTTGTCAGAGGATGTCAGCCCATTCGAGCCAGGGCCCATTATCTCTTGGACGATTGCGTAATAATCCCTATGTGACCAGTCTGTACCAATGTTAGCAGGAGTTCTGCGAAACTCTTGATATTACATACCGTTGACCATGATCGGACTAACATCGACATCGTATTCCACATGTCTTGGGCCGTGAACTACGACGGGACCGAAAAGACCACCTGCGTACTGGGCGGAGTAGTGAGAATGATACCAAGATGAACCGTAAAGTTCAGCTCGGAACTTGTAGGTAAAGCTTCTCCCAGGCGCAATAGGGCATTGGGAAACACCGGGAACACCGTCCATCCATGGTGTTCCACTCTGCAGAAAACCGTGCCAGTGAATCGTGGTCCCTTCTGGTGGGCCATCATGGATGGAATTGGTGACCTTTACCTCGATGAAATCCCCCCAGTTGGCCTCAACAAGGGGTCCAGGGAATTGGTCGTTAACAAGCAACACTTCCTTCTCGTACCCGTCCGGTGCGATTATACCTCGACTAATGTTGAACTCGTATCTACGTGTTATACCGGTGTGTGGCGCATCTGTATAAGGGTTGCTTGAACCGACGTTCCTATCGCCCCATGGGATGACATTGAATCCACCACTCCCGAGAATGAAGAACGGGAGGGCCTTAACCAAAAGAGTACCCCAGAGAGAATTACTACATAGAGTTAAAAGTTGAACATCAGAATGTTTAGAAATACTTAGATAGACTTCTCTCTTACCCGCTCTGTGCAGTTAAAGAAAGCTCACCCACTAAGCAACAGCAAAACTCGAGGAACCCCATTACGAAAAACAAAAAAACGATCGGACGGCCTCAACGAAGCCAAAGGAATAATTAGCGAATAGGTCAAGGCTGACCAGAGTAACTATGGGGGGAGCCACAAGAACCTATAAACGAAAGAAACCCATCTCATTCCAGGTCGCGTAGGCTAATACATTATATGATATGAGATAACCTGTTAGGTTCGCTTATCTCCACAGGGGGTTACGTTCCGAAGGAGATAATCATACGAAAACTTTGAGACATGGATATGATCCCTTTCTAATGTCTATATAATTTGCCTGTCGCCCTGGGAAGGATATATTGTAGGCGTCATCGGCATTGCGACTAGCATCTATGCGTTGTCTCGTGGGTTACACCCCGGACCTGTCAAATAATAAGATTTGCATATGGTCTATTAACCTAAAGGTCCTACCAGGAAAAAGGCTCCCAAAGCTGAGTTACAACATATGCTTTCAAGGCCGATGCAGTGCACGATGAACCAATCGGGTTATACTTGATTTAAGCAGATCGTGAATAGCCACTGATAACTGATAGGTTAGGTTGGACGAGAACAAATTATAACAATCATAACAATGATTGGCTTTTAGGACGGCTTCTCCTGAAATTATCGACTTCTACCTAGAGATGTCTTACGCCTCGACCCATTAAAATGTATGCAGGAGACGGATGATGTCTGAGACAATCGCGTAGACACACTGTTTTCCTCAGGTCCCGAGCTTCGTATTCATTTTCGTGGCAGGAACGTGGGCCGCCGTCACGAAAATAAACATAACAAGTACCTTATTTCGAACAGCGTTCCTCTGCCGTTCGCCAGTTATAACTGAAACATCTGCCTAGCAACGGAAATATTGAGTTATATCCTGGAGGTAATGGCATGATTGAAGTATACGTCATAGGAAATAGGCGGAATGAGAGGAGAGGACCGGTTTGTTTTGATGTCGATCTAAATAGAAACCAGGGCGTCTGGATCGTAGGTCTTGTATCTTAAAACCGAGAATCCCCTTAGGTTGGCCTACGTTGGAGGAACCTGATTTTCCCATGATTTTCCCATGAGCGAATGGCTTCCGTGTGGCTGATCCGGAAATTGGATTGGGGTACACCTTCATGCAGTGAAGAGACACAGAAAGCTAAGACGTGGGAAGAGCTAAAGTGAATAAATTGAGAAAAACGCCTGTATGATACAATACGAGGCCAAGCGGGTATGCGATTTCGAGAAATGCCAAAACCCGCACCTAGGAAAGTTGCATGCTTGTTGTGTTGTTCGGTACTCAACAACTGAATCTAGATGCATCTTAGGAAGCCACCTCGGCAGCTGTCCGAAGTAGTACTATATCTTGGTGTTCTTAGAAGCCGTGGCTGAATGGCTATGCTTTTGAGCACTGCTAGGTTAATAATTTGGGTACCAGAGGCGAAGGTATTTTTGTTTCTTTTGTTTATCAGAGGTGTGGCGTAAGACTTCACTGGACATCTCCGTCTCAGAGCTGTCATGATTAAGGTAGATAGCTTATATACAAGAGACTCGATATAGTACAAGCACCCAGCCAGTACCGGCATTGGAAGCTCAATGTCAGATCGACCTATACCTAGTTCCATTCAGTCTAACATCCTTGATGATAGAGATTCTTCAGTTCACGGATTTGGCTTGTCTCAGTTATTGATACAAATTTTCCGCAGAACTATGAAAAAACGAAACGAGAAAGACTCGGACGCTATGATCTCGTAGGGTCGTGTTCTTGGGTCCAAGCTCCGCGGCAGTACAGTGAGGTGGGCAAGGTTAGAATTTTATTGACTTCGCGGTCGATATGTGCTCGATTGGGAGGGCATGATAAATGGCCGTCGTTGGGCCCGCGCGAATGCTTCGACGGCGATAGGCGACGCATCGGTTCTGATAACACTTCCAATCGACATGAAGAAGCTGTGCACGATTGTCAATACTAAAGGATGTCCGGATTTGAAGACATGTTGAATCCCACATACCCGAACGTAGCGCCGGACCCTAGCATGTATTGGCCCAAAGTTCGCATGATACCGTTCTGTCCAGCACCGTATCTAAATATGTTCACAGTTCCTATGCGCCGGGTATAAGGTATAAGCTATATGAATTCCACAGGACCATAGATTTCGGCCGATGATGGAGCGTACCGAAAATGAAGCCGATAATGACACCAACAGCTGTAAGTGATGGATTTTTTAGCAAAAGTCGAGAGCTGAGGGATTCAATATAGTAACATACTACCACCCATCATAGCTCCCATCTTAACTATGAAACAGAGCAATGTTAGTGATGCTTGGTCGTAAGCATCTGAGGAATTTCGGGACTACGAACGCTTATCGACGGTGGAGGGGGCATGCTGGCCACGAGATGGTGGAACAGGCGGCATTTTGAGTTAATTTAGATCTCTAGTTCTCCTACCGGATTTTTACGACGGTATTAATAGGTCGGGATGACGATAATTGAAGTCGTAGCGAGCTGAGATGATTTTTTTTGTATTTTTTTTTTTGTATAAGTTCTTTGGTAAAAGCCGGGATCTCCAGATTCTTGGCGCGGCTGAATTTCCGAAGACAGGTACCTTAGGTACCTAGGTACATACAGATTTATCGATGAGAAAAGAGCCTGGTCTGAACTTTAGATGCTGAACTTCAGATGCTGACGTATGTGTCATAAAGGTTTTGGCGCTTTACTCTTAGAGGAGTATCACGTGAACTAGGTGCAGTACATAGTACCTGGCATTGCATCGCGTCGCATGCGCCTGTGACTTCCATCCCGGGAAAGGTAAATGCATACGACCGAATCCTTTAGGTACCTAAGGTACCTAAGGTTTATATTATAGTGGTAAATTGCCAATGTCATGTTGTTACTGTTTACCTATGAATAAGGACCTATGATTAATATGACACATACATATATTCAAACAGTCACTTAATACGTATTTTAAAATATAAAATACGATGTCTCATTCAGGAACGTACATGATACCAAAATCAGTGTGAAATCTAGCTACAGTAATACGATAGGTAAGATAACACTTTTTCTACTATTGTACTATAGTAAAAGCGAGGGATGAGACGAAAGAAAAGAGAAAAATGTAAAATAGAAGTTGCGGCTCTCCCCTGGCTTGCCATTCGCTGTATCAAACCCATGTCATTGCCACATTAAAAAAAAAAGAGGTGCTAAGGCATGTAAAGCGCTTACACTACCTAGTAAAGTACCTCTGCACCTAAATTGCGTAGGATAGGTACCTCACTTGAAACCTTTTACACCTTGCACCTTTGGTACTAGAATACAGAATACGTATGGGATTACAGGACACTTGTAACGGGATTAGCTAGCTTGCCAGAGCAAGGAAGAGCGACCGACCTCGACACGGGGCCTGGGACTGGGCAACTTCCAAAGTCTTTTGAACAACAACCATCCTTCCACCAAAAAAAAAGTGTTGCTCCTCTTACATCTTCCAGAACAATGTGGTGTACCTTAATAGTTCAATCATATTTCCAATCAGATATCATCGTCTAGATAGCCCCCCCCCTTTAAACAAAGTCGGTCGCATGGTATGTATCCTAAACCTCCCAAAACATCCCCAACTTCTTTTTCTCTTACCGCGCACAAATCATATTTGACGGCTTCCCTGTCAACCCCCCGGTGTTCCCGTAATCTGCCCTCAATCAGTTGCTCGTTACCCTCGTCCTGAGTCCTGACTTATAGGACCCCTTTCACTAACCAATTTTCTTTTCTATCACCGTTTAGAGAAACCAACCTCAGCAAACATTTCGTCTGATACAGAGTTCCTATTTTTTTTTTTTCGATCGCCTCTTTCTAATCGGTACAAATATTCCCCATTTTGCTGGTTCCGGTCGCGTGCATGATCAACAGAAGGGGCCCGCTTAACCCCCGACTCGGCTCTTTCTTTAGTCTGCGTCCTCATCCACACGCTCTCTTTCCATCTCGAATTTCATCCTGCTGGCCTTCCCCATGACGGCTGTCGCAAGCCCGCCAACTTTTGCTCAGCACAACCGACCGGCATGGAGTATTAACGGCGGACACGGCGGTCAGATCAATCCCATGAATCCTGACGAGCTGAACCGGATGTTTCTGCCCCGAAAGAACCTGCAGCGAAACAACTCATCCTCTTCCATTTCTTCGATTTCATCCGTATCATCTACTTCGACTATCGCTACGACTGGCTCCCAGACGAATGGCAATCCTGTACCAACCTCGGGTGATATGGGCGCATGGAGTAATGGTACCGGACCAAGAAAACGACCACAGGCAAAAGCCCCTTGGCCGTCGTCGAAGCCAGATGCTCAGTCGGATTTTGTCAGAATTTCAGCAGGGCGTCCGCAGATGGTTGGTAGTATAAATGGATCTGCACCAATGCATTCGCCCTCGCCAGTATTGCCTTCCCAAGGCATGATTGGAGCGCAACAGGGAATATCTCGTTCCATGCCCGATTCTCTACCTAGTGGGAACCAACCCGTTTTATATCTATTGTCTCTCAACGGGACTTTCGAGCGCAAGACGATTTCTGTCCCATTCTCACCGGAGACCCTTAGAATTGGTCGCCAGACGAATGCAAAGACAGTTCCGACTCCAATCAATGGCTTCTTCGATTCGAAAGTCCTTTCTCGCCAACATGCAGAAATTTGGGCGGATCGACAAGGGAAAATCTGGATTCGCGATGTAAAGTCTTCCAACGGTACCTTTGTCAATGGTACGCGGCTGTCTCAAGAGAATCGCGAGTCCGAGCCGCACGAATTGCAAACCAATGATCATTTGGAATTAGGTATTGACATCGTCAGTGAAGATCAGAAGACGATTGTACATCATAAAGTGGCAGCAAAGGTTGAGCATGCAGGTTTCTTGAACCCTTCGAGCAATTTGCTCGATATGAATTTTGGCGATCTCGATCCTGCGAACGGGTCTATGATGATGATGGGTCCCCAAGGCGGTCTCCCAGCTCGGCCCAGAGCGGGAAGTCAAGCGTCTATGGCGAGCAATGGGCGGATTATCGCGGGCGGTGGTATGATGGGATCTCAAGGAAATGTAATCGGCCATCAACGAGGCCTGTTCTTTTCGCCCATTAGCACCGAGCAGATTGTGAAGCGGCTTCAGGTGGGCATAACCCGTCGCTTATAGTAGAATACTATCTAACTCTATCCAGCACGAAATGCGGACTCAGCGTCTTCAATCACAAGATCTAGGTCGAACAAATCAGTTTGTCCAAGGACTTCTAACGAAAGATGATATCAAGGATATCGAGAAACCCGAGGCGTTGGAACAACCACGGTCACAGATCATCAACGGAAATGCGATATCATTTAGATCCGACAACGGCAAGACTCGATTCTCCGATCCTCCAGCGCCTCCACCACAGCAGCCTCTGCCCGAGAAACCAGACGTTCCCTCACTAAGGCGAGGTATCACTGAGCGACCGAAACAGCCCAACCAGAATTCATCGCCGACCCGGCAAGATGGCAACACGAGTCAGATCCTGCAGTTAACAGAAGCCTTGAACAACGCGAAGCGCGAGATTGAAAACCAGAGTTCACGTATGCGAGACCTTGAGGAAACTTTGCAGAAAGAGCGTCGAGCTCGAGAGCTCGCCGAGGAGTTGGCTAGAAGATTAGAAGATGCCTCTAACGCAAAGACAAACGGAGTTCCTGTAAAGTCAGAAACTGGTGAGATTGCGTTGAAAGAAGCCTTCGAACCTCCTGTGGATGAAGTATCGCCCGCCACTGACAATATTTCCCCCGGTACGATTAAAACATCTCCGCAGACCGAAGCCATCGAGGCTTCAGCTACACAATTTCATTCCCAGATTGAGTCAATGCTGTTGGAAATTAGAGATTTACGACAGCAGCTCGACACTTTCAAACAACGGGCGGAGACAGCTGAAGCTGAAAGAGATGCGGACCGTAAGAGCCTGGCAGAAATGGCTTTGCAGATTCGAAGAGATGCTGAAGCACGAGAAGCCGCCGCGCGGGAGAAAGTTTTATTGCATACCCATGCTTTCGAGAACTCTAACAGCACAAGTGTAGCTTCTAAGGAGTTCTCGGTAACTGAAAATACGCCTTCAGACTCGAGCCAGGATCAGTCAAGTTCTAACGAACCCATTGACCAGCCTACGCTCTCAAGGGCCAATACCATAACGCCACATTCTACGACGCCTGGGCGTTCAGCACGCGATCAGGCATTGGCAAACAGCATACCTTATGCATCAATGATTGGAGTCGTTCTTATGGGTATGAGTCTCATGGCTTATATAAACGGGTGGCAACGGCAACTGAAACTTGAGCAATGAGCAACTCAATTACTACACAGTAGGGCCAATATGTCCCGCCCCAGTATTTATATCACTAACTACATACGCACATTCGACCTCTACACATACGAGACTCTTCCCTTTGTATTGATTCTATAATAAGTTCGTTCGACATCCGTATCTTCAGATACCAGTCTTTTTGTAACAAGGCATCAATTTTGGGACCGGCGTTAAGAGGAAAGGCAAGTGACAACGCCGAGGCTGCCGGCAAGCGGAGTTTCGTCCCCTTTTTTTTTCTTTTTTTTTTTCCTTGGGAGCATCGATGATCATGCACACCAAGCCTAAGGATGTGGTTCATTTGTGGCAGGATACGGAAAAATACTGCGTACGCCGGATCAAGGTGACCCTGCTGAATCATAGGGGCCAGTGAAAGGCTACTTCTGTACGTCTTCATAACGAGGCGTCCGCTTCTAACAAGGCAGGTCTAGTCACAGGACTTAGTTGGCGATGGATAATATCGCCTCACGATCCATAAAAGGGGAATTATGTTTGCATAGCGCATGGACAACCAACGAAACAATTTCATTCCGCACTAGCAGCATTGATTGTGATATGACAAAGACTTGTAGTCATAAAATTAGATTGTATACCTTAGGTATTTAGCGGCGGTTTTGAAGGTTAAAAAGGTTCTACACCCATAGGTACGTTTTTTAAGAGCAACAAAAATCACACAAAACACGCACGACTTAATGACCTTAGAACCGTATAAGGGGTATTCGGCCATGGCACTATCCAATGGATAAGACTTCTTTTGGTGTGAGTTTTTAGTGTCTCTCGAAGAGATAATCAATTGGATCGGTGTTTACATGTCTACCATTTGTTACGACACTTGATGAGCGAGGTTTATCGCATGATTGTGGGGTCAACTCAGATAACTCAGATATGTGCTTTCTTCAACGCGTCTGCATGCATGCATGTAGTATGCAGGCGGTGAAGATAGTGAGCGCATGTATCTTCCCCTGCGACCTGCCCTGCGATAACGAGGTATATACTCGAAGGATCAGGTCCTCAACAAGAACTTGAACGCCCCTCATTTACCTCATTTAGTCATCATGAGCTATATAGGTGGATCATTCAACCGTTGCGTATCATAACAAAACGGGTCGTAATAGATCTTGGCCTTTTTTTTTTTCTACTACTTTTAGGTCCCCTCCAACACTGCAAGTATCTGATTCTTCAACATGAGGCTCCTAGCATTTCTTATCCTCAACGCCTTTGTAGGCGCTGCCTTATGCAGCAAGAAAAGACTTATCATCGACACGGATCTCTTATCATTCGACGATGACCCTTTAGCCATCGGGTTAAGCGGTATACTTCAGAACTGGGGGCAGGTTGAACTAATTGGAGTCATGTCAAGTATATCACCGCTAGATTTGAAAGCCTTTTTGGCTTATGATGCACTTTGGTTAATAGTAGGCATTGTCATGTAGGTGAAAATAGTCGATATGTTCCTCCAGCCATCGACGCCATTAATACTTTCTTCGGCTATCCGCAAATTCCGATAGCCATCCAGAAGCCTGTCAACAACTTAGTGGGTCTTAACTCTTGAAAATGATACCAACCATACAAATTAAACTTATTGAAATTTCTGTTACAGACAAGACGACCAGGCAGCCCGGAGTTTGGACCTTACGTCGTAGGGCTAACTTATAACTTCACCCAAGACATCGGAGACGGAACAAACACCCCTGATCCAGGTGCGACAGCGATTCTATTAACCTGGAACTTAGATACGTGCTAGTACTATGGTCTAATCATAGATTCACCTGACTAGTTTCATCATACCGGTATCTCCTATCAACATCAGCAGATAATTCCATCACTCTCGCCGTCATTGGGTACTTTGACAACGTGTTCAACCTCCTTAACTCCGGCCCGGACCAAATATCCCCCTACACAGGAGCCGAGCTGCTCGCGTCCAAAGTGCGCGAGCTAGTCGTGCAAGCCAACGACGTGGGGTACTCCTTCAACACGAACATGCACAACGAGACCTTCGCGCAGAAAGTGCTGAACTGGTGGCCGGGAAAACTCACGTTCGCCTGGGACGGCGTGGCCGAGAACACCGTCCTCGGCAGCCGGATTACCACGGAGCTAGACACGACCAAGAACCCGCTCGGGTACGCTCTACTCGCGAACATCGGGTACGGCCAGAAGTTCTCGGTCTGGGATGCTACGGCCGTGTATTACGCCGTGTGCGGGCTCGACGACGTGTTCCGGTGGAAGTACCCGCACGGCGGCCGCGTGAGCGTCAACGCGTCTGCCTTCGCTACCTGGGAGAATGCCACGGCTTCCAAGCCTGGGCTGCAGAACTCGCTTGAGTTTAGAATGCCGAATACTACGTTTGCGGCCCGCCTGGAAAATACGCTGTTGTGGGAGCCGGGACAGCGTATTCCTCATTGGAGGACATGGTGTAAGAATTAAGCTAAAGGGGCATATTTGAGTATTTTCCATGATATTCAAACGCTGGCTTATACCACAAATATAAAATAGCTCCCTAACTTGAGGCGGTTTCCACTTTCTCCGTATTCGTGCCAATAAAGACCACCAAAACAGCAGTAAAGCTGCTGATATGTCAGCATCCATACCATTTGAGGGGGTGCATCGACATACGCAGCCGTAACAGAAAATAATTCCGATCGTTTAGACTCCGCGCTGATCAACGATAATACCAATGAAAAGGTTGACGTGAAACCAGCGAGAATCAGCAGTCTTCGCCACGTCGACTGTACGAGACACAGGACGGATATAGCCGCGATAGGTAATAACGAAGATAGGACGACACTTGGGACCTTGGTTGGCAGAAGAAGCTGGCTACTTTCGAAGCGAACGACGCCACGGCTCTCATGGAAAAATCTGCCAAGGACTTTGTATTTCAGGGCGAGATATAATCTTACTAGAAATCTTGAAATCATGTCAAGTCTCTCCACGGGACCGACGGTGACCAGGTCTTTTAATGTTTCTTTGTCCGACCACGTTTTATGATCCTTTCCGATTAGGACCGCAGCTTTCGAATTGTCGTCCAGAATATGATTCAGGGCTTTCAAGCTCTGCTTAGACGGCTTGTCGAAGTGCGAGATCATGTGCTGCTGGATCAGGGCTTCGTCTACCACCATACATACAATTAGGCAACGATAGAGACGCCGAGACTAGGATGAACTTACTGTATTCCTTCAACTTGCCTCTCAACTGCGTAAACTGAGCCCAAGCCTCTTCGTCTTTCTGGAGTTTCGCCCAGTCGTGCGGTGCCTTTTCCCTTTTGTCATTATCCGGACTCCCCTGGATGTCCCACTCCGTCCTCCTCCATAGTTCTTCTAGATGAGTCAATTCTGCCTGCAGGTAAAGGAGATTCTGGTAGTTGAGAGCTAAGAAGTTACGGAACGAGGTGAGGTCGGAGGAGTCCGACATGGACTTCGCAATGGCTGCGTACCCAATCATGTTTACGTCGAGCAGAAAGAGATTATGACTAATTAAGTCCTAGTTGTCGCATCGGTGAAGTTAATGAGTTAGATTGTACGTCACAACATCTCCAAAAATGCCCATTAGTTCTCAGTTGCGAACACCTCGAAAGCATGGAATATTTTGATTAGCTTAGACATAGAGGGAAATACACGCAACTATGTGTCGGCTCTTTAGTTGCTAAACAACTTCATACCCTGCCCCCCTTTTTGTCAGCACAGCCACATCACAGCCATGATGTCTATAAAGGACTAATAGGAGGCCTGTTACAAACATCAATATTTTTACCCTTGCCGCCGCTGAGTTAATCGAGAATTATGAGCTTTGACTATTTCATAATAACTACCTACCTACCTGGTACCTTACCTAACCTAACCTAGGTACCTACCTTAGGTACCTACCCAGGTATTATGAAATAGTGACCTAAAGCATAACAATTAGGTACCTTAGGTATCTACCTAATATTTAACTCCCAAAGGTAGAGTCATGCTAATATCTTAGCCAAATACTATCTTCGCATGCTAACGGATATCAACAGACGAAGAAATGCTGTGCGACGACTCTGTATCCGATGACGCGAGCCACGACATAGAAGTTGGTTCCGACGTCGACTCTGACGAGTCCGACGACGCGGATCTAAATTCATTCTTTATTCCGGTCCGTACTTTCTATCCCGGTCCCCAGGCAGGATCCTTGTCATTTATCACTAAACAAAAGACGAAGGTATGTGGCTTATTTTTTTTTAAAAAAAAAAAAAAAGTTGAATCGACGGTTTATTAACGTCTCACTTAGAAGAACGAAGAGCCTCGGAGCCGGAACGGAATCGAAGGGAGCAATTACGCCAACAAGCGGAGCAACAACCAAGCGTGCGCCGGGACGAGAAGAGCAGCGGTACATCAGGGGCTGCGGCAACAGAGACACAACATCCGCCGGGAGCTCGAGTGTCGTCGGATCTTAACTCACAAGCGCCTGGTTGGGAAGCAGCTAGGACGTCTGCTTTGAGCTTACAGGGTCAGGTGCAAAGGCCACATTCCATGTCGCATGTCGACTCGCAAATGTCTCAGTCGAGCACTCGTAGGACGGATCGGTCGAGCAGTTCTAGGTCGCTCGCATCGCTGGTCATGGGGGCGATCGCTCGGAAGATCAAAAGGACCAAATAGATAGCTGCCTTATATGGCTTATTAATACTAATTATAGGGGTGATTTGGGTAATAGGGGGATAGAGGTAATAAGGGGTGGCCTATATCAGTCCGGGCGTGAGACATTCCAAGGAATGCCATTATTAATCACGTTACAACTTAATATAGTTGAATCCTAATAGGAGATGTAAATAATGTTATTTAGGAATGCACATCTGGAAGAAGGATTCCGCGAGGAACTCGAAACCATCTATGAGAGTCTGTGGCAAATCCCCACCAAAGGTACCCTTTAATCTAGTAGTTTAGAAAGTTGGGAAGAATTAGCAATACACGAATTGCAAACGGCGCTTCCCTCGACGAGATAGCATGGGCAATTACCTACCTAGGTAGGTACCTAGTGTTTAAGTGATGGGAGGACAATTTTATACCCTATTTATGTCCTCAGTTTAGGTACTGTTGGTGAGGTAGAAGGTATGTACCTCGTACCTAATGCGCGTACCCTTCAACGGATCAGTGCATTAGAAAATCTCCATGGTACCTAATACCACCATGATGTCATGGAAGATACAATATTTCGCAGCAAACACTTCGAAGATATTAATCTAGTCATTGACAAGTGTCAAATAAGTTAATTCGGGAATTCTAATAAATGCTAATAGCAGTACTAAGAGTCTAGCAGAGAATAGGGGTAAGGACCCACATTTGGAACCCCTGACAACAGTATTTAATATAGAACGCATAAGTGAGATGCCTGATATTAATCGCATTGGTTGCCTTAAATCGGTAAGTTACCCGGTAGTTACACGGAATCAGTTGTTGGGCGCCTTGGGAAAATATTAGGGAGTGATCTAAGAGGCTACTTGGGTACTATTAAGATAGATGCATCATGCAAGTCAGTCATACCTACCTAACCTTAGGTACCATATAGAGGTACTAACATGCAGGTATAAATAAACGTAGGTGGAACCTCTCGACCGAGATTTTACAGTAACGGCGATGCTGCGATATGAAGTTTATATCATTTATTGTCAGGTATGCCCGTGATGGATAGGTACCTCTATGGTATCCAGAGCGAGTACCAGGATCATACATGTAGTATATTGAGTTTAACTAGTGACGCCTGACCCTATATCCTCTTTCGAGGGAGCTGCATTCTCTTTGTATATAGGTACCTACCTATATGTTGAGAAGGGACATATGCTAGAGAGCAAGAAGCTACAGACAAAGCTTAATGTACATTAGTGAAACTCTATAATAGTATATAAGAAGATCTGACAGATCTAGAGAGATTTTCTTCCTTAATACTATGCTCGCTATATTAAAACAAGGTCTACACAAGGCAAACACAGAACTTATAGTTACCGTGTTGATGTTAGGCCTTCCGAAAAGTTACTCAAGTCACAATTCTGCTCCATCTCACCACCCAGCGCGGGATCCAACTCTTGGCCCCGCAACCACTATCCTCCCGCAATGGCATCAGCATCCCCGTCCCTGGCCTTAGACCCGGACGAAAGAGAGGGTATGCCTATGACTCAATTCACAAGTGTCCAAGACCTCTTCGAGGTAGTCAAGCAAGTCCAAGGCGACTTTCTTATTGTTAAGAGTACCTAATGTTTCCTCGATAAATTTCAAGAATTGTTTACTAATTAATAAGTAGATGTCTCTTCTACCGATTTTGCGACCCTATATCTCCGAGAAAAGCGCCCCTTTTCCCTACCGACCTTCACGAAGCACTTCACCATGGGCTCTGGCAGGGGTATCGCGACAAACTTGTTAGAAATAATCAAGAGAAATCTTGGAAAACAATTGGTAGCACCACCTTTCGACCGCAAGGTTACCCTGGAAGCGATGGTGGAGAAGGCGATTCAAGTGGTGGCCCAATAGCAGTACATGGTCCTAAAGGCTCCTGGCCAACGTTGGTCATTGAGTCTGGAGACTCTGAGACTCTATCTGCCCTCCACGATGATATGAGGTGGTGGTTTTCAGCGTCAGACCACGAAGTCAAGATTGTGCTTATTGCCAAATTTGATCACCAGAACCAAACGATCATTATCGAGAGATGGGAAGAAGAGTCACAGAATCACCAAGGAGCCACAAATACACGACAGGTAACCGGAGGCAATACTCCCCGGCCAGTATTACGGCAGAGTATTATAATTACTGAGGATACAACCACCAATCCAGAGTCATACCATGTTACTAGCAGTGGACTGGTACTTTCGTTTCGACTTCTATTCCTCCGAGATCCAGGACCACAAGAGGGAGATTTTATTATTAGTATCCCAGAACTGGAGGTTTATGCAAGTATGGTCTTCCTAAACGTTTGACAGGCACTGTAAGTGGTAATACCACTCATAGGTCAGATAGACTGTAATAGCAATTGTGTTATTAAGAAATACACTTTCGGCTCAGCGGTGTCTTTGACAGGTGTTTAAGCAGATAGAGTACTAGCCCAATCAGAATTCGGAACCCTTAACATCGACACGGAAATTACGACAAAAATAATTTTTTATCTTTAATAGGATAATGATTTAGCTTTCTCCATATTAAATATAGGATGTAGCTTTATTTTCATCTTAATCTTAATGACTACCTGCCTAGGTACCTAGCTACCTGGTAGGTAGCAATGATAAAAATTTCATCTTTAATAATATTGTGATTTAGAGGCTGTTTGGGACAATAAGCTGTGCTTGGTCTGCTGCGCCTTGTCGTGGCTCCCCCTTTAAGTGTATTCCAGCCCCTTAAGGCTAGGTATCAAAAGGTTATCCGGCAGTCTCTACGAGACAGTGATATCAATTTCTCTTGGCCTTAATTCCTGCAAAAATTCACAGAAATCTTCAGTGCAGAGTCCACCAGAAAAAAAAATCTCTAGCTTCAAGAACACTGGACTTTGGCCTATATCAGTGAATCTAATATTAGAGGAGGCTGCAGTAAAAAGACTGGCTAGTCAAAGGCATCTTGAACCTAGTTTCTCAAGTTATATACACTCACAGCAGCGCTTTGCACGGGCTGAGACCTTTATCGCAGGCTCGTCCCTGTAAGAGATTATAATTTAACGCACAACTACGCAAGCGGCAAATATCGCAAACTCAACTACGGCGACATATTATTCAAGAGATCAATTCAACACATGATGAGTGGCTGGCTTTGAAAAATAAGGCAACTGAAATATAGGGCGACTAAGGAAGCCAACTTTCAAGTAGTGGCTTCAACATATGAATAAAGCTGTCGCGTATGATGGGCTCCATTCACAGGGAGCAGAATACACAGAGAGGGCTCGGCAGCCATTTTTACAGTCCCCGGATTTTGTGGCGTTGGATTGGATCGACGATCCGTTCCATCGATTACCTAGCCACACTGAGCGGCGCAACCGTTGCTTTTATCCTAGATCCCTTAAGGGTTTTCTTTCGCGTTCAATGTCACGGACTTCACGAAGCACGCAGTTGTGCAGCATTGGAATACGTTGAAATTCAAACTCTACTCGAGATTTGACATGGGTAGGTACCTAAGGTACCGATACAAGTGCATAAACAGGGAGGCGACGGGATGACTAGTATATAATGGGAACATCCGGTTCCGTCACCCTCATCATCTTCAAAGTATCCTTTTCTGACGGACTGAACCTCGGCTTTACATTATACTTCTTTGCCATCCTATCCAACGGCCCTTGCTAGAACACCTTGGCCGTCTGCCCCCCAGAAGTCTCTCTAAAATCCTTCGCATACGCCAACTCTCCGTTCGCCCAAGCAGCATCTATCACATCTTGGAGATTCTTGGACCTAGGAGTCCTCGAACCCAGAAGAGATCCCACGGCGTTGTTGATCTTGTCAGTGACGTGGTCAAAGGGACCTTCAATTGTCAAATCAACATGAGCCTCCTCATGGGCTGTCGAGAGCTCCAGGGCGAAAAACAAGCCGAATCGTCTGGATAGCATTGCAGTCCAATACGCATGCCTGAGAGCGTTTTTTCTAGGGAGGTCAGTGCTTATGAGCTCCTTATGGAAGTCTCTGGCCTTGTTGTTGAGATTCCTGATTTCAAAAGCTACAGAAACGAACATCATGTTATAGTAGTCGAAGAGAACGCTGATCTCTTCGGGTGAGACGGGAAGGAATGGGATGAAGAACCAGTAAGGTGCTTCTTTAACGAATTTCCATGCTGAGAGATCCCCTCGAGGGATCTTGCTAAGCTCTCCGATATTTCTCCTCTGGTGGAGAATCCAATTTTTGATGTAAGTCTTGAAGTTTTCCTCCGTCACATTTGGGAGGAGGGAAACCACGTCAAGATTAACATCGGAGATATAATATTTCCCGTCATTGGGCTTTATGACAAGCTCGTTGCTCTTCTTCAGTCGGTCACTGTGGATAGGGAAGGTGGATATACCAAATGAGTCGGTCGGGATCTTGTCGTAGCGGTCCTCGATGTTGCTTCCGTTGAGGAAAATATCGATAGACGTTCCCGGCTCTCGCCTATGTTGAATCTTGATCACACAGTTCCCTATACCCAACAACTCTTCCCTAACTGCAAAAGTGATCTTCGACCAAGATGACCCTCCTTCCACAGAGAGGTACGGATTACCTTTCCTGAGATTGTCCTCTAGTGTCCCACCATTTTATGATGACCCAGATGATAGCCCGAGGGCATACACGGAATTCTCCTGCCTCAAGTATCCGTTATTATCTTTGAACACCAAAGCAGCATCGGAGAAGCAGTAGGTCCCCAAAAAGCCCTGGGACAGCGTGATGGATAGAGTATTCTCTCCGGACAACGGATATAGTGACAAAGAGGATAAATTCTGCGCTTCGAACTTGGTAGGAGGGGCGTATTTTTGAATGAGTGGTTGATTGTTCGATCCAATGTCGATGACTCCTCCAGCGACATTATCCCTCATGTGATTCAATATCACCTCCACGGTTCCGTTTCCCTCCCCATACATCGAGTAAGGGATGGAGAAGGTGATATTGATGGTTCCGCTGGATTTCTTCAGAGCTAAATAGTCCCTTCCCGGTCTGTAGCGACACTCAACGAATACATCGTCGTAAGTGATCGTGGGAACGGACAATGACGTGCTCACACTGAAGCTTTCGAACGATGTAGACTTGATCACCAAACTGGTTGCAGTGTCCCTGGCTGTGATAGTATTGTTGTCGACAACATTGCTGAGGTATTTGCCTCTGTCGAGCTGGAGGGTATTATCGGAGAAGATAAATCCCACTCCAGTGGTAATGCCATCGCACCGAAACCTGTTTCCGTGGATGTCGACAAACCTTCCATTAGGGCCTTTCAAACAGGTCCTTCCACGACCCATAGGGACCATGAAGAACTTACAGGAGGGGTCTAGATCGACCAGGTCGAACCTTAGACTCCCATCGCTGGCCTTGCAAGAGAGATAGTTTTTGTTTGGATCCCTAAGTGACACGGTTTGGATGATCATTTTACGAGACTAACAAAATTGGAGTCAGTTTATGCCTATAGTAGTGAGAAGTTTGAAGACCTTGCTGGATGCAGATTTCAGAAAACGAGATAGTACAAGCCGGTGAGCTGTTGAAGTTTGGAAATGGCGCAAATGACAGAGGTATGGGAACTTCCTATACCTAGGTATCCAGGTCAGCAGGACTGGCCATGATTTCTCTCTCTTGCAGGCTCAAAAAAGCGTAGTACAAGATGTTTGTAGACGCAAGTAGCCACGCGCTGAGGCTGATAGTCAATATATTGAAAATTAGTTTACCAATCAGTAACCCCAATTTGAAAATTGCTCCAGACTAGCATATATTACCTGAAGACGGAGATGGTTATGTTACCATTGAATCATGATTCGGGACCATAAGGTTGTGTTGAAGGTAAAAACGCACAACGTCATGGGGCTCGACGTGATTGCCAAGAACGTATTGGTAAAGTGAAGCGATCAACAAGAAGCTTAGGACTACCGAAGAAGAGATCACGAGGACATGCACGTCTCAGGCAGCTAGCCAACGTCGGCGATCAACCGGTGATTAGGCTGTAAGATACGTACCTACTTAGATTATTTAGAAATAGGCATGAGTCTCCCGCCTCGAACAGAGGAAGAGAAGACCATGGATCTTTAGACTCTTAGAGAACTATTATTGAATTGAATACTCCATTCCAAGCCCTGATTGCCAGCCCTTGTCGCAGACGACTCATTCTTTACGCAACCCCCAAGCTTTCGAGGCTCCCTCTGCCAGGTAAGGCCATTCCTTCTTGGGTTGATATTGTGACTTATGTCCGAGATCCAGTTTATCAAATCCCGAGCGTTGTCGTGCCTACAAATCTCAAACAGGTAGTTATCAACTACTGTACCTTCCGGTAAGCTGTGATGTATCGGTCGATGAACACGCTGACATTTTAAATAGATAAGATGAGCAGTGGTATTGGAATAATCAATAACACCTCAGAGGACATATATGTCAGTGTCACTGCAACTGGTAGCGACTTTGGTAATGGGGGATCTGAGTCATGGTACACTCTTAAGGCCAACGGAGGAATGGATACCTGGAATTACAGGAAAGAAAAACAAGTGATAAGATTTACCAGGAGCCTGACCCCTGGAGTACTGGTCGAGACTGTCCTTGGTGTACCAGGCAGTACTGTGAACATCTATTAGCCAGAATGGTTTATCACAGTTGCTTAGCTCTGTAATATATTGGATACAACATAAGCGATGCAGTTTCGTGTATGTGTCCCTGATACTAACCGACGGCTCGAAAGGACAGAGGCGCATGTCGGTGTATAAAGATTCAGGAGGTCGATTACCTCATTCGTACTTGGGACCTGGAGGCGCTGTAATGAAAGGTAGGTAGTTTGAGTGTGCATTCACGTTTACGGGTCGGAGCTCCCTGCCCTGCCGCCCTCGTCCACCTGCAGCGTCCAACGCACGCCCGTTTCAATGCCCCCATGGCGGGTGGCTCGCTGCTCAAGGCAATGCGAGGGAGGCGCCAAGAACGCCCCGAGCGAGCACCGACCGCGTTGTGACGTTAAAACAGCGTATCCCGTGAGTATTGCATTAGGTAATTAATTTAAATAACTACCTGTAAAGTATATTCATTTCGGCGGCCTTCTGCTAATAATTCTTGCTGTCGTATTGGTTAATGTTAGCTAATACGTGGCGGGAGAGGCGGCGTGCTGGTGTGCGAGAAACGGCCTCTAGATGATTGGGGGTGGAAGGACAAAAGTGCCCCCTCAGGACAAAGGTTACCTACCTACCTAGGTACCAGGTAGGTACTATGAAGTTTATCAATATAATATCAAATTACCACACACTTCAGTACCTTTAAGCCTCGCTATGCTAAACTCTTACAATGTAGAAGTCTACAAGAAACGTTCCTTCTTAGGAGAGTGAAAGCGTCTCCTGTGTGTGTGTATTAGGTAGGAGTGGAAGTACCCGTCATATCAGTTGCCTAAGATCTTCCTCTTTATCTTGGTTTCTAGTGGTTCTAGGCAATATGCCCCCTTCGAGATTGTAAGTATCGTAACCAAGCAAAGCCGTTAGCTTTTCTCGTGTTCCCGATCCCTTTTCTTGATTGCAATTTCAATAGTGTCTTTCTGCACCATAACATATGTTTTCAGTCGATTCCAATCAAGCCTCTTATCCTGCGCCATGGAAATGTCAAACTCCCATACTAAGCGTGCTAATACAAGCCGCATTTCGGCCAAACCAAAAGACTTTCCTGCATAAAACAAAGTCGTCAGCATCGGAATCACATAAAACATAACCGCGACTAACCTATGCAGCTGCGTACTCCTAATGAAAAAGGCTTCTGGTTATTGCGATGGTCGTTCTCAAATTCGGCCGGCCGCATGGATTCGGGAAGAAAGCGCTCTGGCAGGAATTCGTTGGCGCGGTGGAAGTTCTTCTCCGAAAGGGACATAGCAGTCGAGTTTACGATAACATGAGTCTATAGTTACGAGCAGATTTAGCTACCCTTTTTATAACAATGAAAGGATCCGTTAAACTTACACCTTCGGGCAGAAAGTGGCCACAAAGCCTTAGACCGCCCTTTGGAATGCGCCGGAGAAGTCCGCCAGCAACCGGATTGCACAATCTCAAGCCCTCTTGAATCACAGCATTTAGGAAAGGGAGGTTCTGGATGGCGTGTAGAGTGATCTGCTTGTCGCTTTGAAAGCGACTGCGGATTTCTTGCTCTAGTTGCTTTAATTGTGTTGGATTTTGGACAAGATGGTTGCATATTCCGCAAAGCGTCGTCGCTGTCGTCTCACTACCTGCAATGATCAACACGGACATGGTAGCCTCAATTTCTGGAATGGTCATCTTCTTGAAATCAGGATTATTCTCAAGCATAGGACGCATAAAGTCGTCTCTCGGGGGTGCACTCATGCGCTGGTGGATCCTCTCTACTGCCAATGTATAATGCTCCATTTGGCGCTTTCGAATTGCTGTGGGGATTATCTGTAGGAGAAGCGTCTCGAGGCCCGTGTAGTATCTCGTTACGGCAGCGAATGCCGCAGCTATGGTCAATGGTATAAGCCCCGGGCATACGGAGGTGAGCGACAGGTGATATTTTGTCTCAATAACAGCACTCACCCTTGATTGAGCTGAAAATCATATCTACCCACGGATGATGCTTCGCATTCTCTAAGCATTCGAAGGATTCCCCAAAAGCCAGTTCACCAACAAGGTCAAATGTGAACCAGTTAAACCAATCGACGGTATTAACTATCGCTTGTTGATTTGGGCTACTTGAAGCGGCCACGCGTTCCTTCAGCCGTTCAACAAGTAACCCAGCATATAATTGGATAACCGGTTCCTGAAAAAAGTTAGCCTCCGTAGCTATGACCGGAAAGGAGAGCTTCGCGGGATAACTTACCTGTTTAGATAATGCGCGTTCGGTGAAAGCTGGCATCATAACTTGGCGTATCCGAGCGCCCACATCCGAGCTGGCGGTTAGTAGGCCATTGGCTTGACCTGGTGGTGGTGTGAAAAAGGTTGGATTTTTGGGTAGTGGGTTTCTACCACTCAAGGCAGCTTGCCATATATCCTCGTCCGCAAAGGATACCTCATCGGGGGCAATGCGGACAATTTCCCCATAGCGTTCGTGGATCTTCAATACGTCCCTCACAAGCCTCCCAGACAAGAAGGAGCGTATAAAGCACAAGCGGGTAGCTCGCCACCATAGAGGTCCGGGTATCGAGGCTAAGGGGTGAAAATACAGGTTATATACGACGCACGATGCCCAGTACTTTTATGGCATTAGCAGAGCTCCATAGAAAAGATGATTTTGACTTGAGAACTTACACCCAGACAGAGTAGACCCAGGAGAGTTGGGAGGGGTAAAAAGGAGAGGTCTAAATATAAGTTGGTAGCATGCATGGTGATTAAAACTTGATAAGTCGCCGAAATGGTGCGATCCCAAATCTATCTCTTCTACCTTAGGTGCCTTAGGAGTAGATTTAAATAGAATACAGATACGTTTGACAGAAATAGTGCGAGGCTCCAGATATGTCCGCAAACTCAGGGAGTAATTCAGGAGCCATACCAGTGGAACTCAGAAATAAATAAGAAGGGGGAGGACAACCACATTGCAACTAAACTCCGGAATCGTCTAGTTACTCAGGCGAATAGCGGCAAAAGTCCCAATGACATAGCAGACAACTGTGATACCTCGGACCTTTCGCTATACCACATCAGGGCTATCATACTCGGATTTGCATCATATATCCTTGTTCACCCGGTGTCGTTCACCATCGACCATATTCACAGGCGACTGCGCCGTGAGGCTGTCTGTTGCATGCTCGCACGCGCAGATCGCGGAGAAGACCACGATCGTTTCGCGAACAAGGGATTAAGGAACGACGCCGAAAATAACGAATCCTTTAAAATTATTCGTTAAGAGCCAGGCCAAGAGGAAAGGAATTATGACAGCCTTGACCTCCCGGAGTTCAATAGACCGACTGATGGATAGCGGAAGCAGGTACCCGACGAGGCTGCCATGAAGACAGGTCTCCTGTTTATTGCTGAGTACGAATGCGAGTGCCTCAATCTCACTACGGTGAAACCACCTAGGTACCTAAGTAAGAAGATGGGAGGTCACAGCAAGAAGCTAGAGTATTCATAGGCACAGTGGATCTATGCGGTCAAATTTATGTTGCAAGAGACATTTCCAACCAGATATAGTAAAACCTGTCCATAACGAATTAGAAAAATCAAGGGTCTAAATTCGTTATAAAGTATCTTCGTTGCGAAGAATATTCTTCACTTTTAACACGTGATATGTAATAAATATTTCATATGAATTTATAGCTCTACTTTAGCTAAATTGGGTTAATCCTTATAAGTTAAGCCTTATGATTTAACTTATTTTGATTATATTAGGTCCTTAATCCCTTTATTTTTTATATACAAGTTACTCCATCACGAATTTGGCAATGACAGGTAAGCATCAAATCTAACGAATTTCGTTAAGAAAAGAAATTTGTTAAATTACATACAAAATTCAAGAATCAGGTGTAGAAATTCGTTATAGAGTGTATTCGTTATATCGTAGATTTGTTACGGACAGGTTTTACTGTAGCATAAGTCAACGAATTGAGCGTTGCGTGTTAAGATCGGAGTTTGCTGCGAAAGACGTAGGTACAATAAATCAATTGAGCCATTTAAGCCCCAGATGTTAACGATTATGTAGTATCTTTCCAAACCAAAGTTCCGCCAATAAGGAATACTCAAGGCCATACGACAGAAGTTGTTACACAAAAGAGCCAATGCCTAACTGAGCAAAAGAAGGGTATAGGAGGTATACATCTTAGAAAAAGCCTACAGCAAAATATATATTCGGTATGCATGACCTTGAGATTTACGCTTGAGTTCTAGCCCCTCGCGGAACGACAAGGTTACTTTCGCGACTTCTCGGTCCCAATTCGCTTGACGATAGGGCCGCCGCTCGGTCATTGTCCTTAGCTTCGGCTTTTCCCCTTTTCGGAAGTATTACAATGCAATCCAGCTTTGTGGTGGGTGATAACCTTATTTAAGGGGGCGAGGCGGGACTCCAGTAGGAAAGCCGTAGCTTTCGGATCCGATGCAATGTGGCAAGTTGCAACACCTTCTACCCGCTTTCGAAAGATAGACCTTGGCAACGAAATATTACGCGACGCTGCGTGGAACATATAAGCTGATTATTAGCTATACACCTGACGTCGACATCATGTGGTGAAAGATAATGGACGTAACATAGACTCGATAGAAAGTCCGATAAAGCCCTGATTTTGGAGGTTGGTGTCCGGTCCGCACACATCTATCCCCCCCTCCCTTCGGTCTTGAAAAGTCCCCCCTGCAGGTCATAAAGGGCACAATCCAGTAGCGTAAATGAGAGGGTTTCACTACATCTCCTTACAGAAACTACCTAAGGAGGTAGCTATCGAAAGATTGTTTCTCTCACTAGGTAGCCAAGCAGCAGGGTTCTGGCGTACTACAGCAATTCTGGCCCCTCTAGTGTTTGAACGCTACGAATCTAATCCTACGGTGACAAGTGACAAGGGTTGCGTACCTCGGTGGGTATCGTGCCTATATCTCAGGTACCTACCTAAGGTACCTAAGGTATAGATTAGGTAGACAGATCCCTGGGTAAAAATGAAGGAAGCAAACTAAAATGTCGTTGAATTTAACGAGAAGCGTGGGCCTAAACCCGCGAGCTCTTAGTCCGCTCCGCAAAATTGCCAGAATCTGATATTTAGCGGTGAAGTGGCCGACGGCGTTTATACGGGGTCTGGCAGGGGCTTTCCGAGCTACTGGGTGCCAGGCGAGGAACTCGATAAACCACGGCACGCTCTTCAACGGTTCGCTTAATTTTCCGTTGCTTAAGCTTAAGCCGTCGTCGGCGTTCCCCTCCTTCCTCAATGCCATGAATGTCACTGAATGCAGAAATGACAAGCTTACATACAGCATTTTTGGTAGTTGTTTGTGTTTCTTACCATCCCGTATCAAGTAACCCGTCGTATTGGTGGATTGATGAAAGACTGTAGCATACAACTGACCGCCAGATATGTATCCAGAATAAGACCCCCACATAGTCAAGCTGTGTACAAGATACCGTCCTAACAATTTGCCTACTAAATTTGTATGGGCATTAGATAGAGTCGTACTTTTTATAAAACGTACGAAGTACTTCATGCTTAGTAGGTCAAGGTACTACGTAAGTTATCGCAAATTCGACCCGAAAATCCATCACGGTCCCTCGAACTGATCAGCCAAGTGGAGTGACGATTTTGGATCCTTGCCGGGTGGTGAAGAGAAGAGGACAGGATAAAATGTACTTTCGTCGCCAGTCCCGTCCTTTCCTCAGGATTATATCAGTGTTCTCCCGGGATAAATATACCTAATAATAAGTAACCATATTACTGAACTTCAAGTTGCCACTCCCAAAAAACTATGGCCATGCATCTCTCATCACTCTACCTCTCCTTCTTCGCCGCTTTCGACGTGGCCCTCGCAACTAAGTTCAACATAACAGCCATCGGCGCCAAGAACGGCAGTTCGCGGTTTGAGTGCTGGGAGCTTGCCGCGCCGTTCGTCTCATCCAGCCAGAATGGCATTGTCGGAACCCAGACGGCGTTTCTAGGGGACGTTTCCAACATGACCTACAATGTCATCCCCTCGAATTATGACAGCATACCCCACAGTGCGCCTAGAAACCAGTAAGTCGCTTGGCATTCATACATTCAAACAATACCATGCCAACCCTCCTAAGCAACAAAAGCCTTGTGATATCCTATTCTTACATGAAAGTAGATGGATTATCGTCCTGAATGGGGTGGCAGTTATAACGTTACCAGACGATAGCTCTGTTACGTACACGGCGATGCCGGGAGAGGCGGGCGTACTATTCGCGGCGGATACTCCGGACGTCAGCCGCCAAGGTCATGGTAATTACTTCCCGGGCGTCACGGAAACCATCTTCCTACAGATCCCGACGAAGGACAACGCGATCCCGGAACATACGGTGCTCCGTGAAGATGGCCCTTGCATTGCGGATAAGTACACGGCGTTAAGGGGGTGGGCAACCGGTTGATCCTTTGCCCGTGGTAGAGAATGGTTCCTATGCTATGCGGAGGTAAGGTGCCTTACCTAGCATTTGGTTGTGATGGACTCTTATGATGTACATTATTTTAATGATCCTGACGATCTGATGAATATATAACCCTATGAAGTTTCATGATAACTAAGAGAACAAATTGCCTGTGCTCATTTCATATAACTACATCAACAACGCTCAACGCTTGGGACTCTAAAGGAAAATGAAAGAAAACAAGTAGCATCCAGGTCACTGTAAGCCCCTGACATAAGAGCGAACGAATGCACACCTCCTTGCACTCGCCTATCGGACTCATCAAAACCCTTCCGCTATGAAAACAATCTCATTCCAGCACCCGCTACCTATTGCTCCCTGAACCTAACAGAACTCGGAAGTGCGCTTGGCACAGCCTTGATCTGCAGCATGGCATCCCGTATCCTCGCCTGGGCAAGATGCTGGAAGGTGGGGTGTGTCCCCAACGCAATAGCGAGGAGCACAGTCAACAGTATGATTACGAAATGCTCAAGCAAGAAACCGCTGCGTGCGCCCGGGCTTGCACCATTCTTTGGTGCTAAAGGTCCAACCATCTTCTTGACAGGTTCGATGGCATAGACGCGTGCGGTTTTCATCGCCCTCGGCATCGCCGGCAGTCCATCCATACTCCACGAATTTTTCAGGGCCCAGTAGCGGTCCATGCTCTCGCTCTCGTTGCCTTGGAGGAACTTATTTTCCTTCCGCTTGAGATACTCGTTGAGGGTGGTGCGGAAATCCTTGAAGTCGAAAAAGGGCACCGAGTACCCGCACGACGTGCCGACCTGGTGGATGTCTACCACGATGACCGAACGCGTGCCGGGGAGGACCTCGATGTTCTCCTTCTGCACTATGCTGTCGAACTCGGGCGTCCCGTTCTCCAGCACCCGGCCTTTGCCCCAGAGCCTCACGATACGCGGCGGCCCCTCGAAGGCGTTGAATAATACGGTAACGCGACCGTTACCGGGCTCTAGAAGATGCGATATGGTCTTGCAAATAAGGTATGTAAGGTTAGTTGACTAACCACACATTCTCATCGTTTTAATGAGAAAAAAAAAGTCACGGCAAACCTCGCTCCCGCTTCCCGTCATGTCCATAAACCAAAAAGTCTGGTTGTCGGGAATGCCAAAGTACGGGCCCCCTTTTGGTGAAACGTTAACATGTCCGTCCCCCGTCAACGGCGCTGTGGCTATCCAGAAAACCTTCTGAGCCAACATCCAGTCGATGAGGCTCTGTTTGGGAATATCTTCGAAGTAGGCGCCCATGATGAATAATAGCGACGGCGATTATCTCTCTGCTACGGTATGAGAAGACAGAACATGTAGATACATCAAGCGATGTGATGTTAGGTAGGCTAGATAGGTAGTTTTGAGTGGGAGACTTCCGGGAGATAGGATATAAAATATATCCCTTAGGTTAGGTACTTAAACATAGGGTTTGCTAGGTGCAAGTCTATGATCTTGGAGAATAGGATCTGATATAGCTGCGCGATGAAGTCAATTCACGGAAGCCGATGATTGCCCGGTGCGGAGGTGATTCACCCAACTTTCAAGTTTCCGTGTTATTCCCGGCCGGTGACGCAACGTGCCTCGACGTGCCGCGACGTCTTAACATCACGATGTAGCGTCCTCCATTTAAGAGTCCTATCGCGGAATGTATGGTGGGTTTAGTAATATCTCCGAATCGAGTCAACTTGTCGAATTTATCCTAAATGCCTTGAGGTGCTACTCGCAATATACAGGATCTGGGCGAGAAATAAAGCAGAAGCATGTAAGTACCTACCTGGTAAGATAGGTTAAGTATAGATAGAGGTAGGTACCTAGTTAAGAGGTTCTTTCGCAACACCTGTTGACCAGTCTACATAAACTCGCCGAGTTATATATCAATTTGTGTGATAGATATAGCCACCTGATGTTTATTTGGGTAGATGCATATCTCTCAAGATATTTCATACCTATCATCAACACTGATAGAAGGTACCTAATAGCCAATCTCTTTACAATAATCGATGGGATCATTTTCGAACTCATCAGTATTTGCACGTTACTTGGATCAAGTTACTAGCGGCCAAACTAGTGTATTTTGTCTAAGATTTGGTCCAAAATAGGATCCCAAGGAGTCTTGGATAGTAACGGTGTCTAGTCGGAACGAATTGCGGCTTGTAGGGCAACTGTCAACGGAAAATTACTACCCAAAGCTTGGCTGTTATATTGTATGAAGTGATACCTTTATCTCACTGTAAGTATTCTAAAACCCCTGGCAAGTAGTGGCCAATGCGTAAACCGAGAGAACATCGAGGTTGGCCATGATATGTTTTTTGAGCTCGGCAGGCAGACGTTGGAGGCGCGATTCAGACTTACTCGGCCGGAGAATACAGGCCATACCCAACCTGATCCCTCCCTGTAAGTAGAGATGCATTTGGCATTATACGCTTAGCGTATAATGCCGTATAATGCCGTATAATAGAAGTATTATGCGCATAACGGAATGCGGACACTCAATTATCCGGTACGCTAGTACTAAAAGGGTTACGCATATTCAACTATGTACGAAGTATATCAATCGAACCTGATCTTACCTTAGGTACCTAGGTAGGTAAGCAAGTATAACTTCTTTTCGTACAATATTTACAAGCGACTTTCCTTTGAATTTCAGTGCTTTAATAGGTACGAATTATCGAGTGTTCTAAGGCTTTGAATTGACTTGTAAGGTGTTATGTATGTTCCATAGTATTATGTTTTGTTGTAAAATTTTACATAAGTTTTAACTAGTATGGCATTATACCATGTGTATAATGCGCATAATAGATCTATTATACGCATTATATGCATCTCTACCTGTAAGTACCCATCATCCCGACCTCTAACCGGATTAAGCACAGGCACGAGTAGCCAAGACTCGAGATCCCGTCGTCCCTTGTCGATCTAATACTTTAGGTACCTCCTCACCGTAGCCTCGCATACCTATCATTTCTAGCTGCGCTCGTTTGTTCGCTCGTTTGAACTAATATGTACACGTCGATGCCTTCCCGTGATTCTTCCCGTTAGCTGTCGTGGCCTTGTACTACTTTTTTGCTACCGCGTACTTGAAGTTGACTTAAACAGGTAGGTATCTAGGCATGCGTGGGTAGGTACCTCGCATTCCCGTCCCGTCAAGAAATATTTCACCTGATACGTTTTTACGTTGCCTCATAGCAAGTCCTTTAGCCACTTATTCAGGTCCAGCATCGTATGTGCGAAGAGGGTGGATCGGCCAACAGCGTCTAAGCCGTCCGGCGCTCGACTTTCGAGGAAAAAAAAAAAAAAAACTTGTCTGATAGCGGCGGGGCAAAAATCTTCAAGCTCGGAATGGCACAGCAAGGTTGAAGTCAAAACAAACGGGCACTTTAGGCGAGGCAAGAGAACATAAATACAGTACAATGCGCAAAATCAAGTTTTTGGCAACTCGTCTCATTAACGAGCTGAGAAAGTCCATATCCGGAAGCATTACCAACCTCAGTGAGCCCCTATACACCGCGAGCACCCATCCACTGCCAGCCATGTCTAGTTCTACGACTTCCCTAACCCTCATCTCCTCTCTCCCCAATCTCTCAGTCTTTCTCTCCTCGATCACTCCATCCACCACACTCTATCTGGACTTTGAGGGCAGAGATCTTAGCCGTAATGGAACTCTCACTATCATAACTGCGCTTGTCTATCCCACAAATGCAACAAGCCTTATTGACATCCAGACCCTCGGGGCTTCCGCTTTCACTACGTCTAGTGTCACTGGAAAGACTTTTAAGGCCATCCTTGAGGACCCCCTTATCCCTAAGTGTTTCTGGGACGTTCGCAACGACGCCGACGCTCTCTGGTCTCATTACCACGTCCGTCTTGCCGGAGTGACCGACATACAGCTCCTCGAGAATGCCTCTCGTAAGGATGATAAAACCTACCTCCATGGGCTTGCTACATGCATCAGGAGAGACGTGCAAGTGAGAAACATGGTGAAGCGCCATTGGGCCAATACCAAGAAGGAGGTGACCGCTCTCATGGATAACGACGTCTTCTCCTGCCGTCCCTTAGACGACAAGATGATGCAGTACTGCGCTAATGACGTCGTCCACCTACCTGCACTACGCGAGACCTACTCCAAGCGCCTTAATAGCCAATGGACGCGGATGGTTAAGGACGAGAGTGCGCGACGTGTGGCCGATGCCTGCAGCCCTGCATATGAGCCTCAGTCGGATACGAAAAAATTCGGGCCTTGGGGTCCCGCGAGAGACAAAAAACGGGCGAAGAAGTTGAATGTATATGATAATGATATGGAATATGATATGTACGACAGCGACAACGACTTTATTAGCTACAACAACTACGATGATGAGGACGACGACGATGACTACTACTAGGATGGCTAGGACTATGGACTGTAGAGATGCGGCGTGGGACGAGACGGTTGATAGTTGTTGGGAGAAGTGAATTGATAGAACCCCTTTTTAGATGCTGTTGTTCTACACTAGGAACTTGACGTAAATAGATTGGCGCTGGCGGGTGAACGATCGATATGAAGAACAATAAAGAAATTCATGTTAACTACTTCGTAAGTGGAGTTAACTAATACAGATGCTCGTCTTTGTGGTGAATACGTCAGCTGAGGTAGTCAAACTACCTACGAAGAACACGGGCAAACTCTCAACCTACCAACATCAAAAGAATCGTAGGTAGGATTGGTAATCAATACGAGTTTAACAGAGCTAAGAAGTACACAATGCCGTCCCGGGATTCTACCCTTGCAATGTTACCGAAGCCCGATGTGTTACTGCAGTCTGCGGTGTATGAACACCTATTAAACCACTTACCCTTACCCACCACGTCACAGAACATAGGTAAGCAAAGTTACCTCGGCCTGTGTACGTCTCTAAGACATTTCACTTCTTTTTGAAACCCGCGTAGTTGGTCTATGAGACAACGGGTCTGGCCTTAACAGTTTAGCCATGAGCGAAGAGAGGGAGAGCAGCTGAATGTGACACAAGCACATCAATTTTTCCTTAAGGACGCCGTTAATATTTTAAATACTATCTCAGTCTTAAAACTTAAGGTTAGTTACCTACCTGTAATTACACTGTATCTTGAATTACAAAAAACCATCGAGTAATCCTTATTGCTGTTAATATACGGCAAAAAATAAAATAAAATGGCTTGTAAGTAAAAGTTAAAACCATCTTTATTTATTCATAGTCAATATATAATATTGACTTCTTCCCAGTAACCATAGCCGCGGCCACCGCGGGCGGCGTTGCCCTCGCGGCCTACATGGACGCTCGCTTCCACATCAAGAACGACCTGACGCTGGGAAGCCAGCAGCTTACCAACGCCCTGCTGCTGAGGCACATTGCCCAAGAGGCCAAGAGGGGCCGGATGCTTCTCTACCACATCTTCGAGGACCGCGCCAAAAACAGCAACGCGATGGGCGATCTCACGTTCCTCATGTTCGAGGGCCGCGAGTGGACCTACCGCCAATTCTACCAGGCGCTCCAGCCCGTCGGGAACTGGCTGATCAAGGACCTGGGCATCGAGAGGGGCGAGATGGTGGCGCTCAACGGCGGCAACAGTCCAGAGTACGTCCTGCTCTGGCTCGCGCTCGAGGCCATCGGCGCGACCGTGGCGTTCATAAACAACAACCTGACCTCGGAACCCCTGCTCCACTGCGTCAAGGTCAGCGGCGCGCGGTACATGCTCGCGGACGCAGACGTCCGCCCCCTGGTCTCGCCGGACGAGGACGAGCTCGCGAAGGCGGGCACACAGACGGTGTACTACGACCCCTCCTCCCTCGCCTCCCTTGCCGACGCGGAGCCCCTCCCCGCGTCGCGCCGCGAGGGCGTCCAGCCCACCGACCTGGCGTCTCTGATTTACACGTCCGGCACGACGGGCAGGCCCAAGGGCACCGTCGTCACCCGCGCGCGCTACGCGCTCCTCAAGCAGGCCGGCGGCCGGGTGGGCCTCGGGCCCGGCACCCGGTTCTACACGTGCCTGCCGCTGTACCACGCGTCGGCGCAGTGCCTGGCGTGCGCGGCGTGCATGCACGCGGGCGCGACCCTCGTGCTCTCGCGCCGGTTCTCCCACGCCACCTTCTGGCCCGAGGTCCGCGCGTCGCGCGCCGCCGTGATCCAGTACGTCGGCGAGCTGTGCCGGTACCTGCTGAACGCGCCGGCGGACCCGCTGGACGCCGCCAACGACGTGCGCGTCGCGTGGGGCAACGGCCTGCGCCCGGACATCTGGGAGGCGTTCCGGGCGCGCTTCGGCATCGACGCCATCTACGAGTTCTACGCGTCGACGGACGGCGTCGGGTTCCTCATGAACGCCAGCCGCAACGAGTACTCGCGGGGCGCGATCGCGATCCGCGGGCCCCTGTGGCACCTGGTCAACGGCGCGGGGGACACCCGCGTCAGGATCGACCCGGATACCCAGGACATCGCGCGGGGGGGCGACGGCTTCGCGATCCGCTGCAAGACGGACGAGGCGGGCGAGGCTATCTGCCGCGTGGACCCGCAGAAGACCGCGACGCCGGTGTACCACGGGAACCCGGAGGCCGGGCAGAAGCGGCTGGCCAGGGATGTGTTCAAGAAGGGGGACGTGTGGTTCCGGACGGGCGATGCGATGCGGCTAGACGCGGAAGGGCGGCTGTTCTTCGTAGACCGTCTCGGGGACACGTTCCGATGGCGCTCGGAGAACGTGTCGACGACGGAGGTGGGCGACGTGGTGGGCGCGTTCGCGCAGATCGCCGAGGCGAACGTATACGGGGTGCTGGTCCCCAACGCCGACGGGCGAGCCGGGTGCGCGGCGGTCGTCGCGGCGGAGGGGACCTCGATTGGCGCCGAGGACATAGCCAGCGGGAAGGGTTTGGATCTGAAGGGGCTAGCAGAGCACTGTCTCGCGAACCTGCCGCGGTATGCGGTGCCTATATTCCTGCGGGTCGTCAAGCAGCTCGAGTACACGGCTACGATGAAACTTCAGAAGGGACCCTTGAGGTCGGAGGGGATCGACCTAGATGTTATTGAGGAGGCGGCGAAGGAGAATGGGAAAGAACCCGACACGATATATTGGCTGCCTCCTGGTCAGAAGACGTATGTTCCGTTTACGCGTAAAGATTTACAGAATCTTAAGGGTGGAAAAGTACAGCTTTGATCTTATATGGATGTTATTTATTCCACTGCAATAATGTAATCAGAAATTTTCGTTGTAAACAAGAATAGTAAACTTGGGTGCTTATAGGCGTTGAAATACAGTCATCATGGAATTTATCACGTTAGGAATTAGGTGAGCACCTGCCACCTAGGGTTAGACGAAATCCTAATAGAATGGACTGCTTCGCGATATAGCAAACATTCGATTTTTATTAAATACCTAGGTGGGATGAGGTGAGGCATGAAAGGACCGTAGGGGATATCTAAAGAAAGCGGAACATAAACGCCAATGTTGCCCTACCTCAATTTCGAAAAAGGCACGCATTAATTATATCGTCCAATAAACCTTGACCTCGACCTTTTTGACGCTGTTCATCCATCCTGGAAACCTCGCGTGGCCCCAGACAGTAATCATGTCGCCGAGTTTCAAATTCCTAACAAACTCACCGTTACCCGTACCTGGTCCCCGACCAATTTCGTCTAGGCTTTTAGCCTCCGCAGATTCCGGGTTGATGCTGTCGTTGTAGTACCACTCAACGCGGTGGTGTTGCATTTGACTCACGGCGTGCTTATTTCGCTGTATCTCGTGGCTTTTATCAGCAAGCAAGCTATGATCGTACCGCGGACTACCAGCTCCGGTTGGTTGGTCATGTACCACACGGGGCCAAATGGGACGTATCGCGCAGGTTGGGATATATAAGTCGCTTGAATCGGCCTTGGTTTTCTGGTCTGGACAATCTGGCTGGCCTATAATATAGTTGAGTAAGAAACGTACTTAGAAAGGTTACCTCTCCGGCGCGGCTTGGACTGCTCACATTGATTGTTCATATCGAAACGCTCTAATCCCGCCTCGAACCAGGTAAAAGAGCTACGATAAGTTCCATGATGTTCGCTATGGTTACTGTAACCCTGGTCGCAACTCTCAATTTCAAACACAATCTTTCTAAATGGATGCTGTAACGTAGGCAGAGGACCCTCTGCAAGTTGTTGTAGATCAGACTCGGGGTATTCCTTCTCGAGCTGCTTAGGAGTAGCCTCTACTCTCCAGAGATCCTGGCTAGAAGGTAACCATTTAGTGAGCCCAAGCGGCTTAGTGCGAAGCTATAATCTCGCGTCAGCCGAGAACAAGATAAGGTTTAGATTCTTGCGAGATCTTGCTGACCAGAAATTGGCTTTCTCCTCCTCGAGCACCGTGGATATTAATGCAATCTGGCCCGCCGGAAACAGCTTGAGTAGTTGTAGAGGAACAAACCCAATACTCGGCGCGGTCTAAAATCATATCAACGAGTTCGATAGGCAGGTTTCTAGTCTTCAATAAGATCTCTCTGACCTCGACGATATCTTGCGGTTTAACTTCGTAGAAAGTTGCGAACATTGCCGGCTCTTCACGCGGCGGCTGGTGACGATTCAAGAGTGGTATTAAAGGACGTCTTCTTCCTCTTGGATTAAGCATGTTAGGTGTATTTGGAGTACCTGCGGTATCTGCAGCTGTGGTATGAATACCTAGAAGCTGAGAACTGAATACTATTGAAATTAGAAGAAATAATACAATGTCAACAAGGTCAAGGTCGAGCATGTTGATCAAAGAAGAAGCGCTAAAAAGTAAATCGAATAAATAAATTGCTTTACAAATGAGTTTAGCACCTAGTAAGGCACTTGTAGGTATTGTTAGGTACTTGCCGTAGCCTAGCTGGCTGCCTGGGAACAAGCGGGGAAAACTGGAACCTCGTATAATTCAGCGCCTTCAGTTGACCTAAAAGTACGTCAAGTCAAGTGCATCATCAGTAGGTGCTAAAGACGCTTTTTCTTTTTCGGAGGGGCAAATTGACGTTAAGTACCTAACCTTAGGTTAGGTACCTGGTATTATGTCAACGTCACTGAGAAATATTAGTTATTGATTGATAATTGTTACGCAACCCATCCGAATATTCATTATCGCAGCCTGCATGAATATTAATACATCAGGATGTGTCAGTTTTATTCGATTCTCACATTTCCCAGCAACACGAGCTTCTTATGCCGGTCAAATCAACTTCACGATAATACTACGATAACTGTTATCTGTTATACGGAGACGTGGGCATTACGTATGTCATTCATGACATCATAAGTTTTCGGAGGCCTATCTTATCAATTAAAGCGACCTAGCATCCCGGTAACTGGCAAGTTGATAAGGCAGAAGATGCAGGGCAACTTCATAAAAGTTGGAGAGGGGAAAAGCGGGGTGATTAGGTGATGCCATGTTCTAGAAGTCCAACTAAAGAAGAAGAAGAAAAAAAAAAAAAGAGAGACACGTGAGTTACAGCAGAATAGGTACCTGCATTACTCAATTTCCTCAAGTTCAGCTCCAGTCATTTTCAATCTTAAAAAAAATATGGAACTTCGAACAAGTTCAATACAACCTATCCATTCATTCGGATCTCTAACACCTTTCAGGTACTCAAGGGTTCATCATGAAAGTCCGCTATTATAGCGCAGCGGAACTACGACGCATTTCTACTTCTTTACAGCCCCTCGTCAATCCTCAATCTTCCACCTCTTTATTCCGAACTCGGCTCTCGCCGCCGGCATCTCTCAAAACTCCCGTTCGACAACAATATGGCGCACGATCACTGCATTCGCAGCCTCCCAGGCGTGTTAGCACAAGACAGGGCGAAGCTTCCAACCCTCCTATGGCATTCCCGTGCCTCGATGCGATAGAGACACGATCGGCGATGCTCGAGGCAAAATCGGTATCGTCAGGACCGGAACCTATATATACCACCGGGGCGACCGAGATATTTCACTGTAAAGATCCTCTCTCGTTAGACTGGGGTGGTTTACTTCCTGAGTTCGACATCGCATACGAGACGTGGGGGAAAATGAACTCGGACAGGTCCAATGTGATATTATTGCATACGGGCTTATCTGCTTCGTCGCATGCCCATTCTACCGAGAGCAACCCTCAACCTGGATGGTGGGAAAAGTTCATCGGACCAGGAGGGTGTATAGACACGGACAAGTACTTCGTCATCTGTACAAATGTCATCGGAGGTTGTTTCGGATCCACCGGTCCAAGTAGCATCGATCCTGCTGATGGCCAAAGATATGCCACTCGATTTCCAATACTTACCTTGGAGGATATGGTCAGAGCACAGTTCCGGTTACTAGATCACCTGGGCGTCGAGAAGCTATACGCAAGCGTCGGATCAAGTATGGGAGGAATGCAGTCTTTAGCAGCTGGCGTGTTATTTCCTTCGAGGGTGAGCCGCATAGTATCTATCAGCGGCTGCGCACGAAGCCATCCCTACAGCGTTGCGATGCGCCATACTCAGCGCCAGGTGCTCATGATGGACCCCAATTGGAATCGCGGGTTTTACTACGGTAAAGTCCCTCCGCACGCCGGGATGAAGCTGGCTAGAGAAATCGCCACGGTGACATATCGATCCGGGCCCGAATGGGAGCAACGGTTTGGCCGTAGGAGAGCTGACCCGACAAAACCGCCCGCCTTGTGTCCAGACTTCTTAATAGAAACATATTTAGACCATGCAGGCGAGAAGTTTTGTCTGACGTACGACCCTAACAGTCTACTATACGTCAGCAAGGCTATGGATCTGTTTGACTTGGGTATTGAAACTCAACAAGCGACAATCAAGAGACGGGCGGAGCGAGAGAAACTTATTCAATCCGGTTCATCCCCCGAAGCGAACGACCTGCATTGTAGTCTCACATTACCCGATCGGCCGTATTCCGAGCAGCCCGGAGCATATGAGGACAACACCAGCCTATCCTTACCAGGGGACTCCCGTCCCCCGCAAGACTTGATCGAGGGTCTATCGCCGTTGAGAGACACTCCGACTCTAGTGATGGGTGTGGCTAGCGATATCTTGTTCCCCGCTTGGCAACAGCGAGAAGTCGCTAACGCTATTCGTCTTACTGGCAATAGAAACGTAGCGCACGTAGAGCTAAGTGAAGAACAGTCTCTATTTGGCCACGACACGTTCTTGCTAGATCTAAAAAATGTCGGGGGGAATATCAAAAACTTCCTAGGCTAGGATCGGAACTTAGGTCTCTGCTAATAGAAAAGGTCACTTGTACTTGGTCCTGATTCGCGTACGGTCAGGTTCGGCATTTGTATATCGTGGCGCAGAAGTGTCCAAAACATCACCACAACCACGGTGTTACACCACGTCTGCCTAAACATGCACATTTACATCTATAGGACCGATATGAGGTAAGTAACATTCAGCTTGGGGTCTTAGTCATGATTCTTCACTTATGTGTTATGAAAGTGATAGCCCATTTCTGATGGCTACTTCAGAAAGAAGCAAATCAACGAGTTGGCAGATCTCACCAATAAACAACACAGATCTAAAAGGTGCAATTTAGGATTCAACTTCCTTCTATACGACATCATGTATACATTTTGAGCAATCATATTAGTACCTTGCATATATGTACCTCCTATATAACTTTCGATACGTACCCCTCCTATACGAATTGTTACTTGGCACATTGACAGATAATTCATCATCATCATAGGACGTGAAAAAAGACATGGCCAGGATCCTAGGTACTCTTTTTTTCAATCTAGACTCTACCTGATTTGGTATTCGAATATAAGATATAACCCTGTGCTCTGACTCATGAATATATCTCTCCTTCCTGACTTACGTTGCGTCGATTCCATATTCCAACTGTTTGTCTCCATTCTCGGATCCCAGTGATCAACTATTGGTAATACGAACCTTAGTTGTGAAGCTATGCTCCTATAAAAGTCGCTATATTAGCCTCACTAACATCGGACTTTCCATTCGAAGACATCACACGACCCCCTAAGTATCTAAGTAACTTGTTCATCGGCCCACGATTCCGAAATACCTACATCTATAACGCCATCGTTCATAATAACAAGAAGGTTCAATAGATCTATCCGGGGAAAGGGAAAACCGTGACAAGTCTTTGATCATTTAAATAATATTAACCCCCGCAATAAAATGGCTGTTCCGAATCCTAGTCACGACCTTTGCTGCATCGTTCTAACATCACTTTCTACAGAAGCAATCAGTCTCTTCACCTAGGTACCTATAACTAAGATGGTTACGGTCGAAGTATTCGATGTCGGCAGCAGCAAAACCGAGCAGCTTCGACACATGAAGTATCAAAACAGAGCTACTATCTCATTGTTGGGAGCAAAAAGCAAACGTATGAAGAGAGTCGTAACACCTCAGGACGGGCCAGAGTGTGAAGGTCTTCTCAAACGGGGAAGGGTCTACTTACAATGGCTGGACAGCATCGAGATAAGCCCCCTATTCAAGACGAAGGCAACATTGCCCGAAATGCTCCAACTCCTCACAGACAAGCCCGAGCTGTTCTATCCCGAGGATATGAAAGCCAGTGCACGGGCCTTGCATGAGAAGTGGGAGTCTGAGAACTGGGGCGCCGCGAACGTGGTAGATGAGGAAGAAACAACTGCGGAAGAGGTGCCTCCCGGAGGTGAACAGGAAGCTCCCATTGTTCAGAGTCAGCTGCCACCGCTTGACCATCCTACCTATGGACAGAACGGGATCATGTATGGGATTATGGCTGTTCGTGGTCCTAACGGTAGAATATCTTACCGTCAGAACCCTCAAGTTCCTGCGAAACCAGCCAAGGTTTACGGACATAACGATATTCTTATCGGAACTTGGTTCGCCAACCGATTAGTTGCGCTCCATCGCGGTGTCCATGGCTCGTCAGTTGGGGGAATCGCCGGGTAAGTGGTATCCCGAGCCCATTTACTCCTATTATTTCTTGGCAATCACGGCGTCGTGATTAGCCCGACAGGATGAATACTTTTAGGAAGGACTCGTGAAATATTGAAAAGGAATATCGCTAACAATCATGGAAGGTCTATTGAAACAGGTGCTCATTCTATCGTAGTGTCTAAAGTCTACGATGACCTCGACGATGACCAGGGTGAGACGCTTTACTACTCCGGCTCAAACAGTCACTCGAACGAGGACCCCAATAAATCAGCGCCATCTAGCACAGGAACCAATGCTCTCAAGGCCTCGTTTCGGACAGGACGCCCCGTGCGCGTCCTCCGTGCCGGTGGTCCCCAGGCCTCTAAAAGCAATCGGTGGCTCCCTGAATGCGGCATCCGATACGATGGATTGTATCGAGTTACCGGACTACGAGAACGCAAGAACACAAAAGGTACGCCTTCATTGAGTGTCAAGAACGTACCTAGGTACCTAAGCTGACTTCCTCGTCAGGTGGACTCTACGAACAGTTCCGACTACAAAGAGAGTCTGGCCAACCGCCTCTAGAGGAGCTCCGCAAAACGTCGCCTACAGCCCAGCAAAAGCGCGATTTATATAGATTTCAGCAGGATTATTGAGAAAGAAAAAAAGATAAAATGGCCAATCTCTACTAATACAAGCTGAGGTCATCTATCCTAAGGAAACTTTAGACCGTCAAATTTACTTTTCAAAAAGAGGAAGAAAAGAAAAGGGAAAAAAAAGTTCGAACTCACAGCCTCGTTGGTACGATGGCATTGTCAGGACGTTAATTGCTACTTGGGCATTTATTACCCCTTTATCATTATGTGGGATCATGTTTCTTATGTTGAGGTATACCTGCCTAACCTGAGCTTTCCTGTTTTGCTCTTATTTCGAAAAGGATTCTTGATGAGACACGAGAGAATATTTGTAGGTAGTTCGGTCCATGTTAGACATGGCATTGTGTGTGTGCTACTAGGCCAAAATAACCAGTTTTAAGAACTCGTCCGCGACTCAACAGACCTCGTGCATTGTGCAACCCTTCTGCCAACAGTTTGTTTCCCCGGGAATGACGGGCCTATTTGGAGAAGAGTTATATCCACGGATATTCATAATCATATCGCCCGAAAGAAGTAAGTCCGTATTCCATCCCCGACAGTCTCCCGTTAATCGCCGTTAATCCCGTCCACTACATACACATAGTTGCTGGCGCCATCTGTATGATAGCGGAAACAATGCCACTTGCCGCCGGAAGTACACGGTGTTAAGAAAGAGTTTTGGGAAATGATTTGATCATGACGCATGAAGTTTCTATAATGAGCGGCAAAATCGGTCGGGTATGTGTAGTCAATCAGCTTATGCCAGCCCCTATGTAATTGCAGAAAGAAATACGATGCCATGGCAAACGTTACGTCCTTCGACTATGCTTATGACCTATCACACGGCATGACGCTAGAGTGCAAGTCCGAACAACATGCAGGAAGAGGAGAGGGGAAGGACAAGGCAATAATCTTTCGCGGTAGATAAATAGGAGTTGCTACCGCCGCCGTCGAGATGAAGTCTAGCTTCACAGACCAGCTCACAGGAATCTCCTATCAAACTTCCAAGAATCAAAGACACTACCAGCAGTCAAAGTTGAAATCACAACCCCTTTATCTACCTAGTACCTACCTAATTGTACGAAAAAGAAAGAGAGAAAAAAGAAAATACTACGATACTACAATGGCCAAGTTCAACAAGCTCGCAGGCAAGCACGTCCTCGTCATCGGCGGCAGCAGCGGAATCGGGCGGGCCGTAGTTGAAGCCTCGATCGAAGCCGGCGCATCGCGCGTCACGCTGACGGGGTCGTCTGCCGAGTCCGCCGCGCGGGCCCTCGCCGAGGTGCAATCCGCGTACCCGGGCGCGAGCGCGCGCGTCGCCGCTATCCCCTGCGACTTGTCCCGGGACTCGGTGGAAGCGGACCTCGAAGCGCTGTTCGTCGAGGCCGAGAAATCCCAGGCGGCAGCTACGGCGGCGGCTACTACTGCTATCGACCACGTGGTCCTCACGGCCGCGGACCCGCTGCTGCTCGTCCCCGACCTGCAGGACCTCTCGCTCGCGCAGATCCGGCGCGCCGCGCGCTTCCGCATGGAAGTGCCCCTGCTCCTGGGCAAAGTAGCGGCGCGGCACCTCGCGCGCAGCAGCAGCAGCGAGTGCAGCCTCACGCTGACGACGGGGGGGATCGCGGACCAGCCCAGCGCGGGGTGGAGCGTGATGGCGTACCTGGCGGCGGGGATAACGGGGCTGACGCGGAACCTGGCGCTGGACCTGAAGCCCGTGCGGGTGAACGCGGTGGAGCCCGGGTTCGTGGACACGGGGCTGTGGGCCGCGACCGAGTTCACGGCCGAGCAGGCGGCGGCGCAGGTGAGGCAGGTGGCGGAACGGATGCCGACGGGGAGGGCGGCGGAGGTGGAGGATGTGGCGGAGGCGTATGTGTATCTTATGAAGGATAGGAATGCGACGGGGGAGATTGTGAAGACGAGGAGCGGTGCGAATTTGATTTAGGGGGTTGTCTAGGGGGAAGTTATGTATTCCTTTTATTATTGCGACTAGTTGTTGCCTATTAGATAGAGGGTTAGTTCTACCTACCTAAGTTATACATTCGTTAAGTCTTTCTCCAATCCCTTTCTCTACTACCATTGAGCTTGGGAATATTTTCTTCTATACGCTGAAAAGTCCAAATGATAGAAAGAGATAGAGGTTTATCCTCTTATGTTAACTTCTTGCAGTGAAAAAAATGAGTAACCCAGTCCTCTTGCTGTAGTTGGAATTTATTTATGCACAACCTCCAGATGAGAGATGAATAATACTAAGAGAAAATAGCTTATCTCGTAGATCTAATTCTATATCTTTCTTGGATAAAATAGCCATAACGAAGTAAGGCTCACTCTTCATAAAAGCAACAATGATTAAGAAAAAAGAAGGGAGTACCATAAACAACTATTATTTTACAATCAATTGAAGTATCATGTATCCATTACTTTTATCTATATCCAGCACGGAGATAACACGGATGTAACGGCGGCGAAGAAAAGGTAAAGAAAAAAAGAGAGATGGCAGAAAAAGTGGCAAAAGAATATCTCCGGTACGGGGAATCGAACCCCGAGCTCCTCGGTGAAAACGAGGTATGTTAGCCGTTACACTATACCGGATTATGCTAAATTTATTTGCAGACAGCCTTTATGTACCAAGCTCTGTATAGTGCAAAATCGGCAAAATGCCGGCAGTTGTTCCAAGGTCCCAAAGCCAAGTACAAGCTCCAAGACTCCAAGAACTCCATGACGCAAGTTCGACTCAGCTGTAAGTTTACGGCACGACTTTGAAGAGGAACATTTGAGATGGGTTGAGAAGATTTTTATTTCTAAATAAGAAAAAAAAAAAAAAGAATATTGGTGTCAATTTTCACGGCTAAGTACCTGGGATAAGACAGGGGGAAGTTTCCATGTATCTCCCTAGGCTTTTATAAGAAGCTGTAGTTAATTAGTTTGTACACTTCTAGGTAGATAAACAAGGTAGACGCCATCCGTGAATCTCTGTATCTCTGGTACAATATTGCACAATTATTACCTCCTATAAAGCAGACAGGAAAATCCAAGAGGTAGCCAACGTTGCAAGGCGTTCCTATACGCCTTCCCACCGTCAAACCCCACGATATTTAATATACATTGAGATGCCCATTGCACTTCACAAAGCATCTCAACTTCCAGCCCCGAGATTTCTTCTTCAATCATCATATTCCCATTGCCTACTTATAAACCGGAGTCGGATATTTATTAGACGCGCCATGGCAACTATAACGCTGGAAAAGACCAATGTCCCGGTCAAGCTTCCCGAGGGCCTCTCGGAGGAGAAACTACTGGGATTCTCACCCTTTAACGTAAGACGTCACGGGTTCTTCTTGCTTTTGTAATATATTTATCTTCACCCGCCCCATTCTACGAGCTCTAAGAGTTACCTTAAGTTACCTACCTAGAGGTTAGGCCGTTATAACTATACTAACAAGAAACCCGCAGAACTGGGTCGCGACCCTAACCCGATCCCTCTCGCTCCAGCACACGCACCCCGCGCACCCCTTCCACGCGGACCCATACTCGCTGCGGGCCATCACGATCCAGAGCTTCGACCTATTCGGGCGGCCGCCGCGGCAGCGCCTCGGGTTCCTCAAGCTCGTAGCGGAGATCACCAACGGCGCGGGCGCATCGCTGCCGGGCGCCGTGTTCCTGCGGGGCCCGAGCGTCGCGATACTCGTCGTGCTGGTGCCCGACGACGGGGAGGGGGAGCGGTACGTCGTGCTAACCGTGCAGCCGCGCATCCCCGCCGGCAGCCTCGCGTTCGTCGAGCTGCCCGCGGGCATGGTCGACGAGGGGGGCACGTTCGTGGGCGCCGCGGCGCAGGAGATCAAGGAGGAGCTCGGGCTCGAGATCCCGGCTTCGGAGCTGCGGTGTCTGAGCGACCTAGTTGCTACCACCACCGTTCCTACTGGCGGGAAAATAGACGGAGTGGGAGTTGAAGGCGATAGGAAAAAAGAAGAAGGTCAAGATCAAAGTCAAGATCAAGGCCAGGCCGACGAGAATCTCCCGCTAGCCATGTACCCTTCGCCCGGCGGGTGCGACGAACATATCCCCATCTTCATGTACGAGCGACGGGTGCCGCGCGAGACGCTTAAGGAATGGAGCGGTAAGCTAACGGGGCTGAGGGACGAAGGGGAGATGATTACGCTCAAGCTGATCCGAATGAGGGATCTGTGGAAAGAAGGGGCGCGCGATGCAAAGTGCCTTGCTGCGGTGGCACTATGGGAAGGTCTACGGAGGGAAGGGAAGATATGAATAAATAACTAAGGGACTCCTGGTACGGCGTATTCATGGCAAGCCCTGTAGTCGATCGGGTACCACTATCATTTCATAATATACGGCCTGAAGGCGGATATATCTTGAATGCATGATGGGAAAATACTCGCTACTGCATCAGTCATGAAACCGCGCAGCAGAAGAACTAGCATCACCTGTATTTTTCATACTTAGCAGTATCTCTAAGTAATGCCTCCACCTTCTCTACCGTCACTGTATCATATACCTCCTCGGGCTGCTTCGTCCCTCGCAGCACCTCTTTGTCGTGTCTTATGCTCTCTTCCTTAGTCATACAGACGAGATCCGAGAGCTTGACATTCGATGACTTCTGCTCGTCGGAACCCTCCCCGATCCTAACCAGTATGGATTCCGCTGGCCTACGCCACCTCACTAGAGTTAGACGGGTTGTGAGCCCGGTTATGGCGCTGCGGCCCTTGAAGATATCTTCTACCAAGAACGCCATATCTCCCGTCGTGATGGGTACCTTGAGACCCAAAGTAATGCTTGGGTCACCTCCGGTCATGTAGCGGAGAAGCTTTTCTTCTCCTCCTTGTACCGCGGCAAGAAGACCCTCGTACATTTTCTCGCGGCCCTTTGCCGGGACGTAGTCGAGAGGATATCCTAAATAAGAATTAGCCTACAATCTAGGAGATTCCAACATGATATGGCCATACCGGTGACGGAAAGTATGACGTGGTTCGCTGCTGTGTATCCGAACACAGCCGGCATGGTGCCCAAAACTGGTAGTATGCGCACTCTGAAATCGGGTAGCACTCCGAGGTCGCCTACTTTACCCTTCTGGAATTCTTCCTCCGGAAGTGGGAGCAACTCGGCCTTCCCTTCGCCGGTCTTCTCTGTCGAGTATACGGTGGGAATTCCTTTGGTAACTCCCAGCAGTTTTAAACGCCGTCTGGTAGATCTTGAGAGGCCGTCGTCTGTACTAGTTCCGATGTCGCCCACAATAATTCGAGTAGGATCACTCTTACACCCTGCGCCCATGGATGATATCACCGGTAAGTTATGATCGTGGCAGTATTTTAGTAATGCAACTTTAGTGTCGATGTTGTCGATCGCATCTACAATATAATCAGGCTTCTGTCCGTTCTCCCACGGCTCCAATAGTCTATCAGCTGCTTTATCCCAGAACTTTTCTTGTCGCAAATCGAAATGCACCCATGGGGTAATGGCTAAAAGTCGTCGCTTTAAACACTGGACCTTCGGCGTGCCTACATCGGCCAGTGTCGCAACGGCATGGCGGTTCAGGGAGCTCAGTGTGACCTGGTCGAAATCGATCAAACGAATCTTAGAAACCCCCGATCGTGCCAGAGCCGCTGTGCAGTGCGAGCCTACACCTCCGCAACCAACTATTACGACGAATGCATTCCGTAACTTGTCAAGCCCTTCCGGGGTGAGGAAAACACGGTTACGTGCGAGCTGTTCGAGGATCAATTCGTCGTCGTAGTCGCCAGCCTGCGCCCTCTTCGCAAGTAATTGGTTACGGATATCTTCTTTATCTGCTGCCGTAGCACCGCCAAAGCTATTAAGCTACCTTGCGCTGGTCAGCAGACTATTTCTATGAGCAGACTACCAGACTACCGATGTCAAAAGTAGGAGGTAGAATATCCAAGAGAACAAACTCTCTCACCCTTCGTAATGCTTCTCCTTCATCGAGTAGCGAAGGTATGGATTCCTTAAGCTGGTTGATGCGCTCCTTTCGCTGCAGACGTTGGTACCCGAGGATTGTTCCTGCGACAACGGCGCCAGAAGCAATAGCTGTAGCAGCAAGCTGGACCTTGGAGTTGACCGTCGCCCGCTCCAAGAGTGACGACATTATCGTTCTCATACCTTTCTCTAGGATGTTCCAGACCAAATTAAATATAATTCACAAGTGCCGGGAAATTATTACATAATCGGATGTAGGTGGTATATGAAACTACCAACTAGCGAAAAAAGAAAATATTTTTTTGGTGTTGAGGAGATCGACAATGACGAAATCTCGGCGCAGGTACAAATTCAATAAAAGGTGCAGCATTCGTTAGTGGGCTGTCTTAGTGGGTTGGGTTAGCAGGTTGGCGGGTTTTAAACTTTCAGCTTGGTAAACCCACCTGTTTACCTGTAGCGCTCACAAAAAAACGCCTAAAAAGCAAAGGACCTTGAGAGCTCGCCAAGAAGGTCCAAGAAGGTCCAAGACAGATAACCAAGGAAACAACTCTTGGTTTGAGCTTATTATAACAGCAAGTGCGCTCGACTCCTAATTGCTTTTTTTATTTTCTCTTTTTCACTTTTCCTTTTTCATCTTCTCCTTATTTTCACCAGTCCTCTGTTACAACGTTGTTATACAGGCCCCTTATATTATAGTATATACCTAACCTAACCTTAGGGATCTAGAGGTAGGTATTCTAACGCAAATCTAAATCAGCCCAAGCCGTAACCGCTCGTCCAAGTACAACCACCTATCCCCGAGATCTTATACATGATATTTTATTTTCAGAATCAACAGTATCGCCTATGTTTACAATGTACTCTAACATCCCACATTAAGATCTATTCTCCCAGGAGACTTCATTTACATAGCCCACCGTCTTCGGGCTGCAGTGGAATTCGCAGGAGCCTTAGCACCCGAGGCCATGGCAAGCAAGTTCTCTTCGCCAAGATTGTTCTGAGGATATCGGGAGTTGTATCCAACAACATCACGCACAGCCTGAAACGTGGTCTTGGATAAACGAAGCTTCTCAGTTGCCACGGACCAGGCGACACCCTCGGAGCAGGGCGGGGTGGTGAGTGAGCCAGAATACCGCTTGAAGCTACCGGTCTTGAGCTGCGTAACCAATTCCGACATGACTAGGGGCTTGGTCTTTGTCGAGGTACCGGGAGTTGCAATGTCTCCAATGGAAGAGAAGACGGTTTCGAGCAAGGTTGATGGGGCGCTTCGGGGGTGAAGATGGAGCTGAAGAACTGTTGGGGAATCTATAAGGTCGACGTAGACACCAATCACGGCAATTTCCTTCGCCTCCGTGGTGAAAACCATGTGCATTTCCACTATCGAATATATTAGCCAAACCACCGCGAACCTTGGGTGCAACCTAACTTACTCGGCATGCTGACGCCATCGTCGAGATGCTCGCTAGGGTGATGGAAATGGAATTGCTCTAATGTGTAGTTCTTTCCCTCGAGGACGAATGTGCCTCCAACATCTTTCATCACAACCTCCACTGTCGACCCAAGGTTCTCAAAGGTTGCGCCCTCCCGAGCGTCGGGGATATTTAACTCAACATCGCACGCTGAGACGAGCTTAAATTGTCCGTCGACCATATTAATCGGTGACTGGTTGGTGCCTGTCGAGCATAGTCCATTGGCGGCAGTGTCTAGCTGAGTCCATAGAAGAGGCCCTATGGTACCTGTATAACCAAATTTCGAGACTGGCACCTCCTCTCCTTCTGATCTTCGGTCGAGATGTGTATGCGCACCGCAGAACCCCAATACCGGCGTCACAGACGCGGCTAGGAGGAAAAATCGAGAAATAGCGGAAGACATATCGGGTAAGCAAAAAAAGAAACGGATATATCGAACAACGAAAGACCGAAATAAAAAAAAACAAGAGGAAGTATTATGAAAATGCGAAAGGCTTCCAGGAGCACAGCAAGGATATACCTAACGTAAAGAAGCGAAGAAAAAAAGCAAAGCCAAAAATTCCGAAAGACTGGTTCCCGCCTGTGCCACATTGACAGATGACGGGTATCGCCCCCCCAATATATATTCAGTAGGATCCCGTTAACATCTGAATAAGATTGCACTGCTTACTTCCTTGGCCGAAACATCTGCCTCTAAGGGGTAATTGGTGAGTATTGGCATTGTGAGAACTTCAAACTAACAGGTTAAGATACCGAAACTACGGTAAGTATGCCATCATTCGGATCCAGGCTCTACGGAACTACCCAAGGTACCCCGTGGAGTTCGAGGTTCATCAAGCCAGGGAGGATATGTACATATTGGCAAGACCCCAGCAAGATAAGATGACAGTCCTAGAAGCGTACCTAGGTAGTGCGAACACGAAATAACCAGCAATGGGCGGTACATGAGCGATGACATAAAATAGCCAAGTCGGCCAAGACCCGGTTTACGGCAATGCCACACAACAAAATACAGGCAGGAGGTGCCAAGTGATGCTTCTTGAGATCGCTAACTCTTGTGAGATAGAGCCGGAACCAGTGGTTGGCGCCTGACCCTCTTGGCCAACGTTTCGATAGCTTACTAGAGTTCAGGATGCACACGAATACAGGCGGATAGTCCGAGACACAGTAAATCCTCGTAAGCATCGACCTCGAGGGGTTGGAGCCTACGAGGCGTCTTAGGGTCAGTCAATAAGACGTAAATTTATCGCATCGATATGTCATTATTATCCTTTGCGCTGTAGAAGCCAGCCAAATAAATTTGGTGGGATTTCAAAGCCCACCTACCTATGAATACACGTGTGAGGATATCCGTTGCCCAAATCAATTGGGAATGCACAATACTACATCGGTAGGTATTCCCACCGTCCTTAAGCATAGTTGGATAAAATTTGATTTAACTGGATTAACAGATGGTTGATAATTGGTAATTTGCTACTCAGGAGGAGCGAATGCGGTTCACCATGCCTGTTATGGGAGAATTATCAGCCCATTATGCCCCTTTTGAAATGCTTAGTGGTCTTGGCTCCTCAGCACCCATCGTTGACCAGTCAGCCAGTACATCATTCTACTACGTATGTAGAGTTGCATTAAAAAGGTGATTTTCTCCCCGGACACATCCAACGAGAAGGGAAGATGATAATCTTATCGGTCTAATTACGACAACATACATTAGGTACATACCCAAGTACCTATTCAGGGTAAATATCATGACTCTTTCCTCTTGCAGTAGCTACCTCCGTTTGGGTGCCTGTCTCTACCTTGGTTAGGTAATATTTGAAGTTCTGAAGACCCTGAAAACACGGGCCCGGTCGTGCTGTTATTACGAGCCAATGAGAGTAGCACGTTCTCCCCAGACTCACTAAATATGGCAGCAGTGGGCTTAACCATGTTCTAGACCATCTCCTTTTTTATTAAGCACGACAGGCGCAGTATTCCGGAGAAGAACAGGGATTCGGTGGTTTATTCTTGCTATGCAGTACTTTTGTTTTGTTCGTCTCAAGTTGAGCGTTTGAAGTCCTGGTGAATATCAAACGACTCAATATTATTATATCGATCCAATGACCCATCACTATCTACGCGGTCTACACACGTTAGCGAACAAGTAATTGGCTAAAACACGTTTATTCGATCTATTTGCTTACCGATCCTATAAACCAATCAGGAAACACGAACTACCGGCAACAACTTTTCGATGACGTTGGGAGGCTAACACTATTCTATACACAACTGTGCTCTTGTTGTACCTATAACATGGCTGTTGATACGAGGTAGCTAGAGAGACAGTCAGAATGATGTCTGTTTATCCCCATAACCATTCCTACCCGCCTATAAAAAGTTATGCCTAGGTTACTCCTAGTTTACCTACACACCGTTTAGAACAGGCTTCAATCGATATTGACGCAGACTATGACTGTATCACATTAGTCAAGAGACCAAAATGATTGTAATGTACTCTTGGCTTCCGATGCTTGTTCGAATGTGCCCCCGACGGAGGGCGGAAGCACATACTTACCTACCTCCTACCTGGTAGTGTGTAGAGTGTCTTTATTAGGTAACAGCCAAGATGTGTCTGAGTTCACTTGGCACCAAGGGTGAAGAGGAGTCACATACCATCGTGACTATCAACATTGCATTTCCCTCCTTGCCAGTAAGATGCCAGATATTTTAGCTTCAAATCAGACGCTGCCGGAGTAAAGTTCAGATTCGTGCTGAATACTCCATAGAACAAGGGCTATTCGGAAATTAAATCGCTATCCTATATTCTTGAAGTCAAGGATAGAGACGATATGATTCTCTCCTGCTTACAGGTCTTGTTTACCTTGTATGCTCAAACTGGATACTAATAAGAACACGGGCTGCTCCACCGCAGTATAATCACTAACGAAACTTAATAAGTCAACAATATATGCAAACGACTAACACAGGTATTTGATGAAAAATACAGGATAAGTCTTATTCCGTTAAGATATCCCTCTCATATGTTCTCCCAGTTATATTAGCCTTCCAGAGCGAATACCTATTACCTGCTCGGACCAATACCTACCTTCTACTCGCAAACATAGAACCTACAAACGTATAACTACCAAGCTTAACGAACCTATTCCGGTCCTTAGATAATCTCCTAGTTTACCCGCGTCCGTCATCATATTCTAAATTTAGATTATATCATAGCATGTAAGCGTCGAGTTGTTTGTACCGGCCGTCGGGAGTTCCAGGGCCAAGCTGGATACTTGGGATCCCGAAACAGTGAACCCCTTAACGGAGACGCCAATGGCATTCATAGGTGAATTACAAAGAATAACATGCTTATGATAATCTATATCGGCGAGATCGATCAGATATCTTTTCGCCATCGAGCGGAAACGATGGATAGGTACCTAGGTACCTAGCTAATTTTAGGTACCTTTCATTGAAATCCTGTTTACCTTACCACTTAATAGATGAATGTCTTATAGCGGTCAACTCGATAGGTAGCGACCTCATTTCGGAAAAAGAAAAACAAACGGCTCATCGCATTTTCGCTCTAGGTATTCAAAGTTCAAAAAAGAAATTACATAAATATCATTTCTAGCCACCTAGGTGCCCCTAACCCAGCCCTTTTCCGCCCCGCCTACGCGACGGGAAGGTTCTTATTAAAGCGGATCAGGGAGCCGTTGGAGGACTCGGCGATGCCGCGGTCGGCGAGGAAGACGCAGTACTTGGCGACGTCGGCGGTCTTGACGGCCATCTCGGGCTTGAACCCGGCCGCGGCGCTCTGCGCGAACGCCTCCGTGTTGAACCCGCCCAGCGCCGCGAACCCGTCCTGGATGTTGGTGTCGACCATCCCGCCCAGCAGCAGGCCGATCGCGAAGATCCCCTGAGCCCCGTAGTACCCCGCCGTGCTCTTGACGAGCGCCGCTACGCCGTGCTTGCTGGCCTGGAGGAACGTTGTTAGTTACCGTGCCGTATGTGTGAGGTATGTGTGGGATATGTAGATTAGGTAGGTGGGTGAGTAATGAAAGCTTCGACTTCAGACCCTCAAACAACCGAGAAGAGAATATATAACATGACTGAGGTAAGAAACGGAAAAGGGAGGCGGGGGAGTGCAAGGATTTTTTTTTAACTCACCGCGTAGGCCACACCAGAAGACATGCCGTGATAACTCGCCGTCGAGCCGATCTGGATGATCGTCCCGCCGGGCGGGCTCTGCTTCTCCATCGCGTTGACCGCGGCCTTGAACGCGAGGAACGAGCCGGTGAGGTTAAGGCCGATGATCCTGTCCCAGGTCTCCTTGCTCACAGCGCCCACGGGGTCGAACTTGTCCGTCATCCCCGCGTTGCTGACGAGGATATCCAGGCGTCCGAACCGGGCCGCCACGTCGCCCACCAGCTTCGCCACCGCCTCCTCGCTCGTCACGTCCGTGTTGAACGCCGCGAAGCGTCCCGTGCCCTCCAGCTCGCTCCGCGCCGCCGCCAGCCGCTCCTCGTGGATGTCGCAGATCGCCACGTTGGCCCCCGCCTCCAGGTACGCCGTTGCTATCACCTTGCCCAGCCCGCCGCCTGCGCCGGTTACCAGGACAGTTGTGCCTTGTAGCGAGGTTGCCATTTTTATTTTATTTTTCAAACCGCTTCTTCGAGTATACTCGTTCTTGATGTATTGCCTGCTTGCCTGCCTTGTGTTAGAAGGGCGCCCCTTTTGTCGGGTAAACTCGTAAGAACCTGGTAAATGCGCGGGGAGGAAGAGAGAGAGAGAGAGAGACGAGGCGGTGAGATGCTGTTCCTCCTTGTGTTCTATTTGAGCTCGAGACTGACGATGCGATACCAATTTATATATCTACCTTACCTGACTTAAGGAACGAGACGGTACGAAAAAGTAAGGGACTTACCCGAGATATTGGGCTCCTTTCGTTCTCGTTCGCGTATTGCGTATTCGGTTTGGCTCTCCTCACCAATATCCGCTTGACTTGCTTTCACGGGACGTCGTATAAGTAAGTGGCTTCCAACGCAGCTGTCGTCGTATTCGTATTAATAACGATGCGCTAAGCCCTGGTTTCCGGTGCCAGTTATGTTATGTACTTCGTAGAAATCCCCCACAATTAAGCTGGACCGCCTTAATGGCCCAGACCCAAATTCAGCGGGGTTGCTATTACTATTATTATACAAGCCTTTTAATCTACCTACCTAACCTAACCTGACATATCTTTGATGAGAAAGAATAGTCTATTATTTCCTTACGGAGACATGTCTATAGGAGAATGGCTTGCCTTGTGGTCCCAGGGCAACGAATGGACCATGCTGGCAAGTATAGGGGATAACACACTTCTTGATAGCAAACAACCAACGGCATGGGGCTTGCTAAAAACTCACACGACTTCAAAAGAATCACTTATATCTTTCCAGTCATGGTCTAACAGTCAGGCCAGCGTCGGCTCGACGTCGAATTATTTTGACATGTTAGAAACCAAATTAAGTATAGTCAAGACAATGGAATTGATAGTTTTGCTTACCTGGTATATTACGCCATACCAACAACGAGATACAGCTCATTATAGGATGTCTCTAGTTAACCTACAAGAATCTAAAGAGCTCATAGGGTTAACATGTGTGACCAAGCAGCACATGCTGAGTTCCTATCAGATTAGGTGCATTAGCCACCAGTTTCGTGGGGAAAGCATCCCTCCCTTGCGTTAAGCATATTGAACTCGAGACGTACGCGGGTGTTCTCCGGATACAATACATATAGTTATTCTCTTTATAGTATCAATGGCTTGTCAATTCACTTTACTGCGATTAGATAAGGTAACTTCTCTAATCAACAATAGTACCTTTGGAGGTAATTACCGCTGTATGGTTTCTATAGTTGTGTTTATTATAGCCTTTTTGCCAAACGAAAATGTCGCTTCTATACTTCTTACTATACGTAGTAAAACACCGGCACCTCAGTTAGGTTTTCGTATAAAAAGACATCTTCCTGTTGAATTTAATAAGTTATCAATCGATTACGACAATCGCATGTCAAGAATCGGCACGATTGCAAGGATGTCTTGTTGAACAACTGTAGTACCATACACCTACCTTGTGCTCAAAGCTGCCTATCCACTTGTTACTAGTTGGTTGATCGGCCGAGAGGCTTACTTTGAAACGGATCTTCTCCAACTAACACTGAATACGGCCGAGATGTCGCATAGGCCCGAATAATGAGTGTTGCACGCATTATGTACTATTTGAGTATCTGAGGTAAGGGGGGTCCTTAAGGTAGCGATATGCCCTTGACATATTAACACTTTTACTACCGCACCCCTTCAAAGTTATTATAATATCATAACTCCCAGGTATATTTGACATGCTCGTTATGAGAAAAGTAACCCTAATCTTTTAGCATTTATATACAGCTCTTCAAAATAGATTGGCTAAGCGGGTGCTAGACTTGGATCATGGCCGAAATTTCTTATATACCTGAGTTGCCTTATGCTTGGAGTTGTCTTGAACAAGCTATAGCTTAGGCAAAATCCAATGTGTATAGGTACCTATCTAGGTACGTATATAGACACATGTAGACAAACTCAAATAATGCAAGCATAGCAAGTATAATAAAGGTCAAACAAAAAGCGTAAAAGAACAGTTGTTACCTACTCTCTAAGGAACTCAAATACAAAGTGGCTATAGAAACCTCAGCTATACTAATAGTTACTAATTAATACAACCGCAACGCCTAAGAAAGCTGTAGAATAATTAGTTGAATCCTATAACTCGGGCATTAGGAAAGACATATTTCTATCATCTGAGGTCCTTATCACAAAACTAAGCCGTAAGGTTTAAACGTAGGTATCTAAGTGTACTTAGGTAATAGAAGCAACAAGAATTATAAAGCATGAGAAAGGCAACCACGCATATACACGCGAGCATCTATTCAAAAGAGGCTACAGGGGGAAAGCTCTATGTACAAGAAAATTTACCGTTACAAACCGCGCATTTCAAGCGCTCATCTTCAGTTTCCAGAGGCGGTCTTAAGCCAGCCTACCTAAACTTATGTTCTTTTCAAAGCCCTCGCACCTGCCTTCACTGAACGGCACGAGGCATCGACCAAAAGTCAAGTCATACGAAATGAAAGTTGGCATAGAAGCGAAGACTTTTTATTCGATCTCGCGAATCAATTTTTTATCCTTTTGCTTTCCGTTTCCCGAGTAAGGTCATGGCGCGTGTCTTCTCTTAGTAAGATAGGTAGCTTAGTTAGGCGTAGCAACCGGGTAGCCAGTGCTGGTCCGGGAGTAGCTGACGCTCACGGAGTACTGGGAGGTGGAAGGTTGCTGAGGAAAGCCGCCAGTGGGGGCAGTTCCCGGGGCAGTTCCCGGGGCAGTTCCCGGGGCAGTTCCCGGAGCAGTTCCGGGGAAAGTTAGGAACGACGAGAGTGACGAGGCCGGGAACGTTGGGAAGGAAGGGGGCGCATCACCCGGCTGAGACGCAGACGGTGTGGGTGCCGGCTGGAAAACAGGGAGAGTTGACGAAAGCGACGAGACGGACGTCTCCGGGATGCTTGTAGGGAATGGAATTGCAGACGTAGGATCCGAAGAGCTAGTCGCGTACGTAACGGTGACATGGTACGACGACGTTGGGTCAACTACGGTCGGCAAGGCTGTCGAGCTGCCAGTCGGTGCGGTACCGGGAACCGTAGGAAAGGCCGGGAACGAAGGTGCACCCGTTCCATATGCCCTTCGAAGAGGGAAGGGGACCGCGAGGGCCGCAGAAGCGAATGAAAGGACGGCGAGAGCGTGCATTTTTAAGATTTTACTGGAGTGAATGAATGTATGTAGACTATGCAAGAAAACCCCGATGGTCTATTGAAAACCAGCAACCGCACTGACTGACTGACTGAGAGTAGAGAAAGTTAACGACAGAACTTGTGTGCCTCTACAAAAAATCACAAGAGAGGGGGGGTTCTAGGTGCTATATATCCTACTCGACGATCGCCCCATCCTGACCCAGTGCTAAGCGATAGGCGCATCTCTAGCATTTTCGCCCTTTGAGCGTCACTTATCGAAAATTGTGGAAGCATTTTGCCAATAGGAAGCGCTATCTTGTTGTTCTGAGCAATTTCGCGTGTATGTCGATCGACTACCGGAAAGTGTTTTTGATAAGGGGGGACCTTGTCCCCTGATTGTGACCCCCTGCTCAAAAATGTAGATCATGGTCAGTTCAAGCTCAAGTTTCCTCACGGTTTGGCGGGAGATAGGACCTTGGTGTTGAGGCTAACAGGTAGCTAACCCAGATTTTCACGAATTGATAGATGACAGAGAAACACTATTGGCTCTTAATCTGATACAACTGCCAATAACAGAGTAATGACATTGGCAGAGTGGTGCTCTACCTTGTAATTGGTAACACTTTCAATTGTCTACCATAACCATGATAATGGTGAAATTATAGAAACGGCGATGGCGAAAAGCCATGGACGATCGGCGCAAGATATACCAACAGAGCCTTTCGGAAGAAGAAAAGGAATTAGGAAGGTATTATCAAGAGTGCGCCCGAGGCACGGTCAAATTCCTGGCGAAATCGTTCCGCCGTGCAGGGCGGAAATAGATCTGCCCATGTGAAATTCCTTGTTTGGAGGCGTCAGGTCGGCGTTTGAGGTTGATCTGATTAACTACCTCATAGTAATAACTTTCTCGAAGGGGAGGCTCGTTTGTCCGTCTCTGCAGGGTCAATCGAAGTTGACAGCTAGGGAGGGGAAACGCCGGCGTTTTAGCTGTACGTTCCCACGAATCCTTGGACACCCCGGACGCCCCGACGCAACCTTGGAAAAATCTTTGGGGGTCGGTCCTATGTAGGTAACATAAACAAGCCAATTTAGATGAAAAGGGAGCCGGCTCCGCTAACTTTGACCGCTAAGAGGATCAATAAGAATTAAGATTTGACGTCTGCTCAAAGTTTTCGAAGCGCATCGCTTCGCCAAGCATTCAGGTACAAAATCCCAAATGAAGCAATGGTCTTTAAACAGCACTATACAGCACCAGGTATGAGCGCAAAGATGCAAGCAATTGATAACCGTCTTTTCATCACTTCCCATTTCTTTATTACTTGGTCGGACTCAAGTTTATTTTTGGGCTTGTAGGTGATTTCTACATGAAGAATTAGTACCTAGAAATATATAAGAAATTTAGCAGGTTTTGGAGGAGCCATATCTATCCCATATCCATCATATCTTGTCGATCTGTTGCGACGCGGTCAACAGTAATAACAGTAATAGTAATGAACTCTTGGTGGCTACTTCGACGCGATGATGAGGATGAATGGTCGAGAACTTGTCCATTCTTGTTTAAGTTAGCTTCAGAGCGCTCTGTGGCTCATACTCATTTCCTTTGCCACCTCTCCATTTCACACCAACAAAAAAAAAAGAAAAAAAGAAAAACACCTTGATCGAGAAGATCGCGTCGATGTGCAAAGGATTATTCATTCATATTCGATATTCGACTGCCTATGACATTCTTAAAAGTATGAATTTATCGTAATGTCGCCCAGTAGAAACAAGAGTAAAAAGTGTCAAAGAGCATAATACATAGTAAAACACTAGTAGAGATCAAACAGAGCAGTTACTTAATACGTCACTCCTTTCTTCGCCTTATTAGTCATTTCCCGAGACTGTGTAACACAGTAACTACCTATAAAATACAATAAGAGGTAGGTACGATAGGTAATACCTTAGGTATATTTTAGGTAGGTAGCTGACTTATAAGTCAACCGGTCCTTCTCCAATCTTCACCTTTACCTTTACCTTCACCTTCACCAAATCAAATCAAAAGGGGGGGAAATCGGTATTATAGAAACCATATCACAGGTACCAAGTTGTCGTCAACCACCCACCATGACTTCAACTACCCCCGACAACCCCGTCGGCCTGCTAGACCTCCCGGCGGACATCCTCGTCATGCGCCCCGATTTCCTGCACAACATCGAGGACTACCTAAACCTGTCCGCGACGTGCGGCGCCCTGAGGAAGTGCCTGGATGCACCGTCCCGCACCGTCCTGCGCCTGGCGCGAGTCCTTCGATCAAGGCCCCGGGCGCCCGCCGGACGCCGACTACCGTTTCTACAAGAAGCTTCTGCTGGTGAACGTGGTGCACTGCACTGCCAGGGGCTGGAGGGCCTGGGGATGATGATGAACGGGAACGAGATTGCGGAGCGCTTCAAGCCCCGCATCCGGGAGCGGAGGGAGGGACAAGATCGAGCGCGGGGAGGAAATACAGTACCTGCGCCGATCAGCATGGGCGATTGGGAGACGCACGAGTATCCGAACCTATGGGGAGACATTCAAGTATGTTTTGAGGGGTATTACATGAGGGCTTGAGTACCTCCCACGGTACACAGTACCTAAAGTATAAGAAAATTGTCTGGTAATAAGAAAAGGTGAGCCATAATCTATATACCTCGGGTACCTATAGCCTTAAGTAGTACCAATACTATAAAAATATAGAACCTGAGATACCAATATAAAAACCTTATACTCAAAATCCCAGGCCATAACATGGAAATCTATTGAAATACAACACATCCCATATCATGAATGCCATCAAGGAATATACCTAACCACCAGCACCGCACACTCCAGCTGAACATGTCCAAAACATAGAATACCAACTTTTCTAAGGAATACAATACTCACCACATCCATTTTCACTAGGTAATAACATACATAGATATGACACGCTGATAGCTGGCGACATGTTGAACTTTTCCGCTTCTACTTTTATACTTTTTGTCTTTATTTATTCTTTTTTTGTCATGCCTACTTTCCGTTACCGTCTATTTGGAGGGTATGCCCGTCTTCGCTGAGTTATCTTCCTGCTTTACCCTTGGGACACATAAGAAAAAGAATTCCCTTCCTCCCCTTACTTCCAACCCACCAAGCCAAATCACTTGATTCGGTTGGTGACATCGGGATCGTGGAAGTTGAAACCCTACCGCCTAAACCTTTCCGTAATCTTTTCTGCGGATATCAAGGCGAACCCCCTTAACACACCTGATGATGCTCTAATATATATGCCCTATGACTCCTTTCAAGTATTCCTTTGGTGTCCGACCCCCTGGTGCGATATACATATCGTAAGGAAATACGCCCCACCACTAATTTTTAGTTGGATGAGCTTTCCCCGTTCGTGCACTTCGTTGGTATCCTTGAAAAAAAATGCATCATGCTTCATAGGATAGCCAAATATAGCATACCTAACCTGGCATTACGCATATGACACAATCATCATGATCCCTCGCCCTGGTCTTTACACATCCAAATGGAAATTTCGTCCCGATGCGAAGCGTAAAACCTGCCGGTTCAACTCAAATACCAAACGGTCCTAAGTTGTTTCTCGTGTAAGCGAGCATAATTATTCTCGACGAGTAGACTGACGACTGAAGCTCATGACCCTGCACAACCCGACTGGAGATGTTAATCATGTGGAGATAACCTGGTCTCCAACCATGTCCAATATACTGCCAGATATCTCAAATACGAGATTCGCACCGAGACAACACATGCCCGTCAAGTCGTTATTTGGGTCATATCCAAAGTCCGTCCAGATCAGTGATTCAACCCCCTTTCCTCTCGGAATCGTTCTTTGGCAATTGCTCGCTCTGAGGATAGACGTCGCTTCGTGCCTTGGCGTCATTGCCCTTCTTTCTTCCTTTGGTCATTTTCTGCCATCCGCTACTAGCGTTGTCGCTCTCACTTTTGACGCCTCGCACGTGCCCATTTTCTCTTGATAAGCCATTTACTCTCGGGTGTACGGGTATCGGTCCATCGATCCGAGGTGATGTCTCGACTGAAGACCTTTGTTTGGCTTTAGTCGGTTCAGCTTTCAAGTCCGCTTGGCTATACGCCATAGTAGCTGGTATTGTTGGTGCCTGATCAAAAGGCAACTCTAATCTTCGCGCGAAACTCGGAGAAGGACTGTTAGTCTCGTATACCGGTGAAAGATGAGAGCATTCGGTCGTCTGTGTACGATTTTCAGTCGCAAGGTCGAGTTGCGCAATGAGTGCGTTCGGTGATGCACGAATAGGAAAACGCTGCAAGGCGTGCGCACTAAATCCAGTAAAATTGCCCGCATTATCAAATCCGACTGGCACTGTAGACATATTAATAGCATGAGGATGGCTACCTGCTTGGTTCATAGCCATATCGTGAGAAAATTGAGGCGCCGGTACTTGGCTGGTGATTCCTGCGGAAGCACTCGATGAACCATTCACAACGACCGGTCGATCCGATGATGGCGAATTCGCTTTTCGAGAAGTAGTATTACGACTTGATGGCGTCCCGGTGGTGGAAGTAGCGACATCTAGATGCTGGTTGATGTGAAGTGGGTTGTCGTAGCTGATGTACTGGGTTGGTGCAATCTCGCTCTGTGGGGGTTGTCGGGGCGAGCTGCCATTTGCTAATTTTGGCATAGAGCCGTTGACAACGATAGGTGTTGCCTCGCGAAGCTGCGATCCAGCAGCCGCAGGAAATGGCCCAGAATGAAGAGGAGCAGAACCCCTGTTCGCGGAATAGACAGTGCTATGGCCTAGCGGTGAAGGTGAACGAGATGAATTTTGCTTAATTCTGTCGAGTATTGACTGAGGCAGTTGGTCGGACGATAGGCGACCTCGGCTCTGACCTATCGAGGATTGAGATCCAAGGTCACCAAATGCAGGTATGCTGTTAGCCGCAGTACTTATTCGCCGCGGTGGGCTAGATGGGTCTGCGTAATAACTGTACCCTTTTTCTTCCTCCGGCGGAGTGTTCGCCGCCGATCCACTTTGTTCGGCATCCTGCCCTTCATCCGGAATGAAGCTAGGCATAGGAACCCCGTTAAGATGACGAGCAGGAATACTCGTAATCCCATTAGGTATCCGACTACTTGGCCCACCAGGAGCGCTTCGGGATGCTGGTTGCGACTGTGACCTTAAGGCGCTTCCAGAGACGGTGTGGGTAGCATCGCTGGTAGCCGTTGAGCGGTGCGAACTTCGTCGAAAGTCGGCGGCATGTCCGTTCGAGGGTGTCGATGGATACGTGGGGAAGCCCTGTTGTGTGTAGAAGGCATGTGGAATCTGCATTGGATAATAATACATCTCAGGGCGAAGAGGAGCGCTCAAAGGAGGGGTATCAAAAGAGTTCGTCCTAGAACGCTCTGCTGATGAGGTCTGCGTTTGCTGGGCGTTGCCTTGCATCATTTGACTATGCTGCATATTATTAATTGCCTGCGTGTGCGTATACTGGAGAAATAGGAGGTTGTTCTCCTGTAATGTCAAGGCGTTGAGCTGCGCTATCAACTCGGGCTGTTGTTGCATGTACATACGGACGTCTTGATTCATCATTGGATAAGCAGTCGGTATGAACATCGGGCTCCCGTTGTTGTCGTAAGGTACACTAGAGGATGCTCGTCGACTGTTACTATTGCTGTTCCCATTATTTCGATGCTGGCCTTGCTGTCTATTGCCATTTCGAAACCCATTCCCACGGCCTCCACGGTCTCCGCGGTTAGATTGCTGAGATGAAGCACTTCGCACTAATATGGGCCGAGATACCTGCGCCGGTTTCTGAAATATCCTCTCTTCCTCCTTCGGGTATTCATATTGTGCGCAGCACTCTTCGAGCTTACCTTCCGCAATCAGGTCAAAGGCGCGACGAAGCTCGAGATGTAAGCCTCGAAATGCGGTGTCGTCGGCCGTGTTGCCGAGGTTTCGGTTGATGTTGAATGGTTCCTCAACACAAAGCTGGTTGTTTAACGCGAAATGCCACTTCTTCTCCTTCTTGGTAATGATTTTCCCCAGTCGAACGGAGAGCACATCCGTACTATAGTCAAACTCGTGAGCATAGAACCGGAAGAACTGAAACAACAATTCCCCCAAAGAAGACTTGTTTTTGCTTCCGAACCCTCGCAGTTTATCCACGTCGTCAGAAAAGGAGGCTATTTCACCATCCTTTCCGGAAAGCGTCTGGTTGGCCCGCTGGTGCAGTGCGGGTAGAACAGGAGGTTGCCGCAGCTGTAAAAATGCGATGATCATGCATATCCACGTATACGAGCTTAATGTTCCACCAAATGCTGCCAATTGTTAGCGGAAACCACGAATTTATATGAGATCATGCTCACCAGCATCGTTAACAATTCGTCGCCGGGTCCAGTACTTCACTATCATGGCGAGAGGCCGCACGCGGTCGTCAATTTGGACATAAGTCTTAATCATGCGGGTATTTTCCAACGCTAAAGTATTATTGACGTTCATGTCGCAGGATAGTTCTAATTCGGGATCCCATATCTTGACAATTGGGACTTTGGCTGAAGATACGCAAACAACCCTCTCCATCCCATCTAAGGATAAACTGTTAGCAAAAATAGGCCGGTCACACGAAGTTCTAGCAATTCTTACGTTTTGCCAGCAGCTCTGCCAACATGCAGACGCCCTCAAGCTCCTTCCACGGAGTTACTATGCAAATATCCACTGACAAGAGGTTAGTCACGCGACCAGCATTTCTTGGGTTATAAGTTACGAACCGTCGGAATCATCTGAGCATAGCAGGTTGCCCGAGGAACCAAATAGGTGTACACGAATATCGTGTCCCGGCCAAGCGTCGTTGAGGAGCTTCTCAAGCTTTCGTACTAGCATACGTCTCTTTACTTCAACCTTCTCTGTCGGCTGTAACCGGTCGTAGAGCTCACGCATATCTGTAGTGAGTTTCCGCTCGTCATCTTCGGACAGCTTGCTCTTTACGGTTTGTAAATCCAATCTCTCCAACAAATCTGTGCCTATGCTATACGGTATTCTCCGACGGGAATGTTTTAGACCAGTTTCGTATTTGCAACCACCATGCCGCGGAGGCAAAGGGCGCAAAGAAGGAACAGCCCCATTGGTCTCGGAATATGCGGATCGAGGGGAATGGGAATGGTTGGCATTAGGGGAGTGGTCTCTAGACCCGAAGGAAAATTTGCGCGCATGCTGTTGGGGCGTCGAGGGAACGGAATTAGAATGCGCGGGCAGGTTCGAAGGCGAAGCAGACGGCTTCGGTCTTAAAGAGATGGGCTGGGCCAGATCTGATTTTTTAGGCGGCATTTTGGGCGGCGCGTCCTTGCCTGTTATAAGCGCGCGATCGGCTTTGCTGGTGTTATGGTTGCCTCTAGTAGCATGGCAATTCTGGGAGCTCTGCCTAGCGCGAGAATCCTTACCGGACACTTTGGAAGAGGAGCGAGATCTAGATCCTACGTGGGCGTTCTGAGCCGACAATAGCGGCGGTAAGGGAGCAGTTTGCAGACCACCACCTCGTCCTGGCGCTATGAGCTTATTATATTGAAGAAGCTGTGCCTGGTAGAGTGACGACTGTTGAGGGAAAAATATTGGAATCCAGTCAACTTGAGTTGTCAAATACTGCGAGGCGAGGAGCGGATCCGGATTTGTGGGAGAGAAGGAACTTAGTCTCGGCACGGCAGGACTTGAAGTCGACCGGGTCCAAAGAGGTTGTAATGGATAATTATGTTTCGAGTCTGCCGTTATAGGCCGGCCGTCCATTAAAGATGGGCCCCGCACGAACAACGGAAAGGGATTTGGCTAGAGATAGTCAAACGAGTGGCTAGACGCGCGACTACCGACGACAAAATATGTCCTATCTTTTATTGGTTATTATAGCCCGCAGCAACGAGTTTGCGGATCGTGAACCGAAGCCTTTCACTACCAAAAGATGGATGTTGGTGTCGACTTGAGCAGTTATTCGACCGATAAAATCGCTAGAAACAATTCCAACTAGATTATCGGAGAATCGGCAACGAGAGGCCAAAAAAGAGAGCGAGTTGGGTAGTTCTTCGTTAAGAGCTCACTAATGTGCGCTTAAGTTCGAAACGAGCCCAGGGTTCTTTATGAATATAGAGGGTTATAGAATGTCTTCACCGCGGCGTAGTAGAGGACGGAGAGTTCATAAGGACGTAAGGACGAACTTCTCAATGGTCGAAATAATGGTCGAGGAGTTATCGATGAGACCAATCGCCGAGCACACTCGCATGAACTGGGAGTATCTACGGTTGGTTAGGGAGAAAGAGACAAAAGATTCAATTGAGGGAACGATTGAAATAAGCAAGACAAGCACACGAGTCGACGTGTGGGTATAAAGGGGGTATCGCCAGAAAAAAAGCAGAATAAAAAAAGAAGAAACGTTCTAGCCGCCTAACCGCCTAGCTGTCGTTATTGCTGTTGCCGCTGCTGCTGCTGCCGTTATTGCTGCCCGTTGTCTACCCGCTGCAGCTTTCCACTTCCACTTGCACTTCCACTTATACGGAGAGGGAGAGCGAGGGGGAGAAGGAGGATCAGAATCGGTAGAGTTGACAGAGAAGTCGTAGTCGTAACAAGCATCGACTATACGATAGGTAAGAGGAGGAGGATAAGATACAGAGGGCGGTAGTGGAATTGGTAGGTGGTAAAGTAGGAGTAAGGGTGGTAAGGCAGAAGGCAGTTTCCAACGCGGAGCTAAGCAACAAAAAAAAAATATAATAAAAATAAAAAATAAAAATGTAAAGAGTACCTCTCTAACGTATGTATGGTAAAGGGTTAGGATGTGACAACGGGTAGGCGTGATGTAAATAGTGGAGGTTTAAGGTTAGGTTTTACCGTTTAATGGTCTAATGTTTTAATGTTTTAATGTTAGGTGTAGGTTAATTTTGTATTTGGCACTTTGGCACTTTGGCTGGAGGGTGAAAGTGAAAGTGCATTGCAGATGTGGTGCAGGTTCCCATGTCTCTCTCTGTATTTGCGATATGTATGCATATCCTTTCTACGCTACGGCTGTATGCAGTTACCAGCTAGAGCCGTAGAGCCCGGAACAGTCCTGGAAGCAATGATAGAATGGCTTTATCGGAGGGCATAAGGCGGGTCTTCCCAGAACCTGCCCCCCCTTGTCTGAAGTTCCTGGTACCTGCCTCCTTACCCTCGTTCTCCTCGTTCCCCCTCGTCTATCCCGTCTATCCTGCCTGTGCGTAATACGGTATATTAGGGAAGGTATGTATATGGGTACATGTGCATAAGTCTGACTGGTCCGAACTATGAGGGGTCTAGCGTGCGGAGCATGGCGCGTGCTCTAAATTTTAGTGGTCATATCGGTCATACCTCTGGGCACTTATGTACAGGAACATGCTAAGCACGGGATTCCTACTTGTAATTATGGCCTGCCTTCTTGTAAGTGCACATGCTGGCATGTACAATACCTGTGCTACAAGGTACATGTAGGTAGGGTATGTAGTACAAACCACTGCATCCCGCTAGCTTGACCTAACAGCATGTGGCAAGTACTATATAAGTACTGCAAGTACCAACATGGAGAAAAGGGGCCAACAGGGTATTCGGGATCGTAATGGTGTTGAAGACGTTAGGGACGTTACGAGCCGTTTTGAGATGTTAGGTAGAATGACAATCTTACATCAAACTCAAACAACTAATATTCTTCAACTGACCTAAATTCAACACTTGGGCAGTGCAGGTTTATTTGCAACCAATAAAGTTAAATGGTATAAGCGGCATATAAATCAATATGACTGTGACTCGTATCCGTCGATTGAGGGTCATAAAAAAGTGTATAGGGGGTTAGCCTACTACCTACTGATTTGCTGGCATTGTCCAACCTAGGCTATTGTACCCAGGTAGCTCCAAATACGGGCTGTGGGTTACGGGGTTATCGTGACATAAAGCACCTAATGCATGTATTAGAGTATATACATGCTTATACGTGCATGTCCGATACATCCAATAAAACTAATTGATATATGAGGTAATCTTGATTTAGGTACACATTCTAGAAAGATGTACTTACATACCTATGGATTGAAGGTACAAATAGAACGTTTGGACCTTGATGTGGAAAGAGGTATTTACAATTAACTTTCAATATGTTGTGGTTTTAATGTATAATATGTACGATTCGTAAAGCATAAGTAAATATTGAAAACCCGTGTTCTTTCCTTTTTTTCCTCTTTTTTTTTCAATTCTCTTACCTCAGGTTTCAACTAGCAAAGAATTACCTTACGAGGTACCTACTTACTTCGCACATATTATTAATTTCCCAAAGTGCATTTGCTTATATTTGAATCGAATGATTTACACTTGCATAACCTAGCATAACCCAGCATATTCCAGTAACATCCAATCCTTTTTTTCGCCGCTCTATGACATGATACAACCATTCATATATTTCCTACAAAGAAACTGAATACCTAACACTTGGTATCTCAGGAACTATACATAGGAGGTAGGTATGCAGGTAAACAGCTGAGCCTCCTGCAATTAGTCCTAGTCGAGACTTAAATATTCAATAATTTTGCTGCAATAAGAAATCAAGTTCCTGAAATCTACCTTCGCCACTCTCAAACCGACCAAATGTGCACAACCAACCTATCGGTAAATCAGTAATTCTTTAACGGCAGGACAGGGCAGCGCAGGGCCAGGCTGATTTTCTTTTATTTCAATGAAAGTAACATATCCATTTCAAGCCATCCTAATCGTCTGGTCTGCCGGTAAGCGATCTCCAATCTGACCGACGCCCTTTGTCCGTCCCATCCCATGTCCCTGTCGATCAGTCGCTAAACTGCCAGATTGCATTAAATTCCTTGCCGATTTGCAATGACTAACTAATGTTGGTCAAGGTGTCCGTCATGAGGCTCTTAAAATCGTCTTTTTAACTTCCGCGACGTCCCGCATGTCGGGCAGTGTCAAGTCGCAAAAAGAGATACATTAGGTACCTCAGCCGCTGAGGTAGCTAAAGTCACATCGTCATAGGACAAACTATGAAGGTGGATGAAGAACCTCAAGAGACCCGCCGCTGATACGGGCGATGGACGGCCATACATACTACAAGTGATGTAACCGACCTCGTCAGCCTGTCACCTGTAAGTCGTGAGCCACGCATACATTCCCTCGCCTATTTGGGACACTTTGAAAGAAGTGGCAGACTAGGCACTGCTACGAAGAGCTGAGAATATCCGGATGAGGTTTATTGCATTATAGGAAAACTACGAAGCTTTAGGTTCCCGTGCTACAGAGTTCTCTACATACCCAGCATACACTACACGTGGTTACTTTCTTTGACGTCATCCATCAATTCCTATGTACTCGCGGGGACGCTGGGGACGTTGGCTTAGATCCTCTTGGCTGATCTCTGTTTGTAAAGGTACTGGACCTAGCCCTGACATGTCTAAGTACATTGGGTACCTAAGGAGGTATCCGTTAGTATAAGCCAGCCCAGGTGAGGTCATTGGTAAATACTTAAACACTTTCGCAGACTACCAAGTATTTTATCCTTTAATAAAGCTAGAATGGCCGCCTGTGTACCACGCCTCGTCAGCCTGCGAATCTGACAAGTCCTATCCTCAATTCCTCCAATAACTAAGATATTGGGATAACCTAAGCACACGATCAACCGGCGCTGACATCGATTTCCAGCAGCTCGGTTGGGATTCTCTTTGTTACCCCTCAGCCGGCTACGCCGTCTACTTTCCTATTCTGACAGTAAGGTGCGCCTGAGTTGTCTTCCTCGATCCACCGGATCAGCCAATGCTTTCTCCTTTTGGTAACATAGGTATGGAAGAATTCAAAGTACAATTTCCTTGATAGTACCGACATCTAGCCGGACGATACGATAACTAGGAGTTCTAGACGTGGTGGTCTGGCCATTCTGTGTTTAAACGTCCTAGATAGGTAGTCTTACGATGAATAATGTATTGCTACAAGACTGGCTTCATATAATTAGCACCGAATAATCACAGGCAGCGAGGTACAGCCACCAACATCCGAATGCTCCCCATAGTCAATCAAAAATGTCACATTTACCGAATTAGGACTCCGAGAACTTATCATAGGTACCTAACTCCTCTTCGACTAACTAGCAAAATTAATTCTTATGGCCAGCACGTCCTCGGACGAAGAATTTCCCTCAAATTCCTATAGACGACTTTCCATGTCTTAATTTGAAACCACCAGTATTCCAAGGTTACGACGTGCAAGGCTCGGTCTCCATTTAAAGGCCAGTCTTCAGGGGTTGAGAACACCGAAGCGCCGCCGTACACGATGGAAGATTTTATCCGTCACCTTCTATGCATACGACGAAGGAATTCAACAATCAGGGCTGCCAGGATCATGTTGAGCTCTTGACCAACCCCGCGTATTTGCGACCGCAATTAAATCGCTACTATGCCCGATTGGTCTAAACTCGCGAGTCTTCGAGCATGCTTGGCATCAGCCTCGTGAAATTCAAGGGGTCCTGCCAGGGGTTTAATCTTCAGACTAGCCTCAAGTCATCAGGAATAGTTGAGACGGTCCTTGTATCAAGGAGTATTATCAGCCTTGCGTTCTGGCGACGGTGATGTTTCTTTTCGTTTGACGGTTCTCTTTCCCTTCCAGCTATTCTTTAATAGATCTTCATCTAATTCCTCTCGTTTATCATAAGATCTACACCGTATAGCTATTGTCATTCATATTCTTGGCTTATTTATTGTATTGTATTGTATTATTTTCTTTTCCTAATCTTCAAACGCAAGTCATAGGCCTTCAAGATGTTTTCAAGCTTGACTACAAAGCTAGCGATGAAGAAGGTCGGGCTGTCGAGCGACGCCTTTGACTTCTCTTCGCCTAAATCAGGTAGTAAATCCAGCGATGGTTCGGTGCCAGGACTTGATGAATTAGAAGGTTCTAATTCAAGTTGGTCGGGCTGGATGAGTACCAAAAAGCTTCCACTTACTGCCCAAGCCTGGTTATCACCAGCTCCTCCGCCGGTCCCCATTGCTGAATTCCCCAAACCGGGCGATTTGGCTCCTATCGATAGAGACAGCCAGCTTTCCTTCGGTAGCGGAAAGCCGACCATCGTCCTCTTCCTCCGCTGTGTAGGATGCGCCTGTATAGCTCAGCCCCCACCGTCACACACCCGCTTAATACTGACCAGATTGAAATTACAGTTGCGCAGAAGTCCTTCCTAGCCCTCCGAGAACTTGCCATAAAGAAACAAGGCAAACTTAACTGTATAGCTGTATCACACTCTTCACGAGACGCAACACGCAAATGGATCGACCTACTGGGCGGCGCGTGGAACGTTAAGGTAGTCATTGACGAAGACCGCGCCATCTACGCCGCGTGGGGGTTAGGGCTCGGAAATATGTGGTACATGTTTAACCCCACCACGCAAATACAGGGCTGGAAGGAGAAGGGTTGGCTGGGGATAAAAGTGGCCAACTCTATTCAGCGGACGAGCAGTCTCAGACAAGGCAATCCTCCTAAGGCAGAGCCGACAGAGGAAAACGAGGGGCCGTCAACAGTCTTGGGGAATAAGTGGCAGGAGTCTGGTCTGTTTGCTATCGACGCACAAGGAGTGGTGATATGGGCCACGAAAGCACTCCGCGCAGACGATATGATGGATCTGACTGCCGCAGCGACGGCGATCGGGATCCAACCAGCAGACTAGGAGGAGAATATGTGAAAAATAACGAACGCATGAACGAACGAAATGAGCATAATAATAACTTGTATTACTAGTAGCAATGGGAGTCAGGAACAATATTAGTTTAAGGGGTATAAAACCTCCTACTGCACCTATGCTTATAAGTGGGTATAGGCATAAATGTAGGCGGTGAGCAACTCAGCCCATTTCTTGTCCCAAGCCTAGGCATTGGCCACTGATCATCCCTAGGGTGCAATTGACGATATCTCGCTAAGTTGAAGCTGGGACCAGGTGACTCCATAACTCGGGAATTACGTCCCCTCATGTCATGGGAATTGGGAATCTCAAGCCCACCCCCCCTTCCCCGGCCATGTTAACATGGCTGGGACTGAAAACCTTTTTCCAAGAAAGGAATTCGAGACAACTGGGCATGTAATGGTTGTAATACAAGATAGGGCTGAGTATCTAACAACTTTACATTCAAGTTAACTATATGGGCATAGGACTTCTCCTAATTAAGAAAGCTGGGTGCGGCACGTCTCAATAAAGGGCTTATTTGTGCTATTTAAAGTTCCTTCCAACACTTTAAATTAGGTAGACGGCACCAGTTTGCCAAAAGCCAAATCTAAGACATGGCAACGTTATCTTGGACCCCAATGCACAGCGCCGCCGCAGGAGTTCAACTTTGGAATAAAGGCAAGATATCCTATTCTGAGATTATCCTTGCATACCTAGATGCCTAGTATATAGATGTCAATTAGGTACCTACCTAACCTATATATAACTCATATGTCACAATACGGCGATGGGTAGCATTTCTGGATTGGGGCACATCAACTGGATGGTTATTAAGATGACGTTGAAGGCGTCCCTAGTAAGGAGACGTATCAAACAGATCATTGTACTACACAACATGGAAATTATGATGAAATCGAAAATGACCGATCGTATCAGTAAGTTCAAAGTGCCACCAGTCGATATGCTAGCAACAGGCTAGAACGCCCCAAGAAAAGCAACACAGGCTTCCAGCAGGTAGGTAAGGGTAGGTAAGGGCAGGTAGTCACATCAAAAATCGGATCGAATATTTTCGATTACTTCGATCTAGGTACCTGGGTAGTTACTACATTTCCCAGAACTTAAGGAAATGGGAAAAGTGCCTACCTATCTATCATTGACATACCCCTCACGTTCAAGTAACAAAACATATGCTTTCACCCTTTTAGCAAAACCCTCCCTAACCCTAGATTCCTCAAGTCGGCGGGAGTCTTTACTCTTTGCCCGGATAGTTAATGGAAACCATCGGACTGCCGACAGAAGGAGTCACATACCAGGTACCTATCTAAGATAGAAAGCGCAACTTCTATCGTGTAACTAGGTGTAAGGTTCTACTCAGAAAACACGTGATGAACTTACCTAAGTTATAATTAGCTTAACTGGGTGGTTTAGGTAGGTTATTAGTCACTTTGTACATATAGAAGAAGATGTCACTTTTCTATGAAAATACAGTTAAATCATCAGACCTATTACCTGTCATATACACAGCTTTATACACATAGTTATAAGCTACCAAGGTTAAGTACCTAGTTAGGTACGTTTTATAACATGAACGGATTCAACGCTACCTAATTATTCCTTCTCCTTGATAGGCAATCTAGCTACACGCAACATAATATAAGCTCAGACAAGAGCTCTAGGTTAACAAGTGATATTTTCAAGTACGGTGTATCACTCTCAGGTTATACACTTGTTTTCCCCTAAGCTCTAACGCTACAACTCCTAACAGTATCTCTCACCATCTTATGAGATGATACTAATTCGAAAATACTACTATTGACTCTTAGTCTATCACATACACTTCAAAGTAAAGTTACCAGCCTGTCATCTCATGGTATATGTAGTAGTCCAGAGCAGTAACATTATATAGGGTTCAGATAAACTTAACCGCTCCAGTGATTAGAATACTCCGATACTTCAGATTCAAACGACGTATAATAGGTATTATGAGGTGTACGTGAGTCTTAAATGACTTTCCTAAACCACATGAACTCAGTAGTTCGATTATTTAACGTACCTAAGCCAGCTTCACAGACAAGGATAATGGGTAATTGGGATACCAGGTATCTAGATAATATACCTTGACGGCTCTTTATACCTTACTTATACTATTAGGCTATTACTCTTCAAAAGCAAGCAATAAGGTCCTCTTTACCAGTACCTACGACGTACAAGTACAATCTCACAATTCATAGACAAGTCAGTCACAGCACATTACACAAGCCATCAGGTACATATCATAAAAACGACTCAAAACTTGAAAGAGTTAGGGGGGGAAACCATTATGATGCCATAGCTGTTGTTGTACCAGTCCATTTTACCAGATTGTGATATGCCTTAATCGATCAAACGTGCCAAACTCCCTCATGCGGACGCAGCCACCTTACCTAGGTACCTACCTCGGTATCTAACCTACCTCCTACCTACTGCCTACCACCAACGACATATCTCCTCTCCCTAATGCTTACACTCGAGGCACCGCAATAAATAGGCTCAATGATGAAAAAAAAAAAGAAAAAAGCCAAACTCTACGCGCAAACCATCTTCCATTAACCGGCCCATTTTAAAATTCAACGAGGGAAAAAAGGAAGAGGAAACACCGCCATGCCGCCAAAAAAAAAACACCCCTGATGTGTAGTTGATGCCCTTTCATCCATCCATACCCCTTCGATTGTTGAGATTAATACAACAGCTGGAACTCAGGCAGTGCCACCCCTTGATCCACCAAGCGCAACTCCGAATTGCCCTCGACAAACCATCGAGTCCTAACCATGTATGTGTGATCTCCCAACTATTTTTTTCTGTAGAATCGCATTAATGGGAAAATATTTCGAGCCGGGGAACCATAAGACCGGAAGAAAAACATCGCAACCGCAACCGCAACCGCAAACACAAACCGCCACTGCCCTTATCCTTAACCTTGTACCATTTGCCATGTCATTTTCGTAGAATTTCCGGTCCGCTCTTTTCGGTGCTTCCATCCAGCCCCAACCTTTGCAGGTGCTAATAAGGAACCAAACCGCCTTATATATTTCGTTCTTGTAGAAGCGTGTCGCAATGCCTGTTAGTCGAAAGGTCCGAGAAACGGAGGTATCGTAGGTCGTAGAAAAAAAAAAGCAGAGAACTCCAAAAAAAGAAAACTTGTTTTCCGCCCCTGTTTTACCAAAATCTTTGTTTCCGTGTCGTCAAAGGCCTGAACACCCATGCTGATGCTGGATATACGTATCCCTCACCCCATGCCTAATCAACCTGAACACCGATTTTGTGCCAATTCAATCATTCGCCCTTAATGGTATCTCTAGCCATGAAAGCTTGGGTATGCCCCTCATCACTTAGGTTATCATGACACCGCATTGTTTTCTAACCCCAAACGCTAGCCTGAACTCCCAAATTGGATTTGTTTCCCCAAACACCTGAACGGTTGCTCCATCCGTTATACCCATCCGCCGCAGCGCTGGGCGGGTTGGAAGGAGCAGAAGTAGTTGAGACGCCTTGTGTAGCGTCATCTCCATTACCTGACGCCGTAAATCCGTGGCTTAACGGCGACGGAAGAGGAGTAGTCGAGCGCTTATTCAAGGCTGGATTAGTAGCCTGAGAAGCTGCCGACGGTCGAGTGCCGATAGGGGCAACCGCATTCCCGCTTTGACCCGGCTTAGAGACACCTCCAACCCGGGGAGGAGATCCACCAGTTGGAGATGAGTTGCTGGTGCGATTAGCCTGCTGGCCGACAGCACTGTCGAAAATACCAATGGTGGCCGGCGGGTTCGACTGGGGGCTGGAGTTGCTATTGGCACGGGAAAGGCCCTGTGTCTCATTAGGCTGCGGTGCACCCTCGGAGGCGTTAGGTGCACCAGGTCGTCCGTAGTCGTATGCTAAGGGGGAGGGGCCACGGTGACCGGAGGTGCCAGTTGGCAAGCCAGGTACTCCGGGTCGAGTTACGCCAGGTTCATCGGGATAGCTACCCTCGCCGAAAAGCGCACTACGCTGACGTGCGATCAAATCACGACGTTCATCTTCGGACAGGCTGCCAGGGCTCAGAGCGCGATCAGGCTTGCTGTTATAGGATATATCAGAAAGAACATCTGTGAAGACGGTGGGTTAGCGTGTCTTCGTAAGGGTATGTCAAGTGTGCAATGATCTGAGGACGCATCGTAACATAACATATCGAAATAGGGTTTTACGGGATTTCAAGACATAGTAGAAATATCGCGTGTAAAAGTCAGGGAAATAGGGAACAAAATTGACCCCGCCGAGAGAATTTTCTTTTCTTGATTTGCGATGCAAATTTTGTGCTATACAGAAGAGGGAGGCCTACTTCGGTTAAATTGCTGCTCTTGATGATAGTTGCGAAGCTCTCGCTCCCGTTGAGCCGCCATCCTCCGCTTGGCCTGCATCATCTGTTCCGCCTCGTTGGAACCGCGCGAGGGCTGGTGTCGTTGCGCGGCATAGAAATTCTGCAGGTTCGGACCAGGGTGGCCGGCTCGCGGGTCTCCAAACTCCACGGAATGCGGCCGCGGGCCATGACCAGATGCAACCCGTCCATCTACATGGCGATTAGTACCAATTCCCAGACGGACGCCCACCCACTCTCCATGGCACGGTTCAATGTGCCTTATTTTCGTTTCAGAGCCATCATCGGGGTAAACTCACGTCGCCCAGGCGGGCCGTACATCTTCCCGCTCTTAACCAGGTTATCGATAGCACGCTCAACCTCTGCAATCCAATATCGTCAGCATGAACAAGTACCTTAGGTTAGGTAGCTACGGAAATAATCGTAGAAGATGTGGGTATTGTCACGCATGTAGAATTTGCCAGGGCTGACATCGACGATGGCTATTTCGACGAAAAATTTTTAACCGCGCGAAATTCCCCAATGCGTGCGCCCCTTTATTCCGTCTACATTATGTTTTCTTCACGTACCCTCAAACTGGTAGGCAAAAGCAATCGATTCGACTTCGCGCGGGATAGCAGAACTGGCACCTAATACAACCACGTTAACCAATATAACCTAGATAGATAATCTGTATAATCGAAGGTCTACTAACCAGATCTCGCTGGCGGTGGCGGAGGAGTCTGGTGATCCCAAGTTGTTTGGGAAGGACCGGCGCCCGCCCATTGAGAGTCTCCGTAGTATTGCTGCGACATAATGCCCACTCTTTGAGGTTGAATCTATGTCAACGGTGGTTGAAATATTGATTAGGTAGATTATCGAAATTCAGGTGGATAGTCGGCGACGCTTTTGACGCAAGGGACTATTGATTCTCCTGTATATTTAGGGTTAGCTTAGCCATGACCAAGTTTGACGATTAGTAGCATAGAATAAGCAATGATAAGTATATTGGTGCTAATAAACAACTCGACGTTTGTTTGATGGCTAGGCAAGAAGTGTAATGTGTAATCATAGGTATAAAATGTTCTCATCGTTGTAGGTCGTTGTCCTCATTACAAATTTATTATGCTGAATGCACACTGTAGGGATACTGTCGGTGGTTGACAGGAGCCGGCATAAAAAATTATTAAATAAAATAATAACTTTAAACTTTAAATGTCTCCCGCCTCGGATGCTGATGTCGCTGTTTCTTATTTTCCCTTCCCCAAGCGCGTAAACGCCAAAGAGTTTCGGTAGTGGTCGCGCGAGAGGGGGCGGGAAAAAAAAATCGAGATATCTCGACCAAAAAAAAAAGAAAAGAAAAAAAATCATACGCAGTAAAAATGTCTCTCGATTCGCAACTTACCAGAAATCTTGCCCAAATATTATTCCTTTAGGCGACACCGGGTTAGCTTAGCGACGGTAAGTTCGCTAAGTTCTATGAGGAAGATAAGAAAATGAGGTTGAAAAAAAAAAAAATAACTGCACCACACAATTGCGCTGCACACACACACGCGACGGAAGACGAGACGTGGGTTAGGAAAAGGGAGCGGCAACGGTAACGGGAGATGGCTACCTTCAAGTAATTAATAGGAGAGTGTACCTAATAAGAGAAATTATCGGAGGGGGACAAGTTGTAGTTGATCAACCAGACCGGGTCAGAAAATGGGGGAATTGGGGGGGGGGGGGGTAAGAGGTCAAGAGGTACTTCCCGTACTCCGTGTACTGTACCTACCTAGTACGGTGATGCTACCTCCTTCCTTATATACCACCTCATATACTGGACCTACCTACTTACTTAAGGGCCAAAGGTACAATTACTGTACCTAACCTCTGAGGTAATGTATCGTACTGTATTACTTAATGGACTACCTTACTGGGCAGGCGAGATGTATCTATTAGTTGCAAGATCTAAGTACCGTAAGATGGTGGTCCTTGCTGGAATCTCCAATAATTTTTTCAACGTTTCTACCTAGGTACATACTATGCGCATAGAGAACCGAGCGATGGTGATGATTTTTTTAATGGGGCACAAATTAGGTAGTATCTCACTGGTCAATCATAGTTGGCCCTCAGGCGCTTGCGGAATTTTTCGAGACGTTTTTTTTTTTTTTCTTAATTTGCAAGGTGTACTATGTACATCCTCCTCCTTTCTTCCTTGTAAGGAAATTTTACTACCGGGGATCATTACTGAAGAGACAACGTTGACTGAGATGGTAGGACAAAATACATGTGGGGAAAGGAATGAGGCCGTAATAGGCCTAGTGGTCGAAAGAAAGAAATCTTGAATGAACATTTTCAGTGCTTCTTTTTTGGTGTATGCAAGGTAATGGAAGGAGTACGTAATTCCATGTATAATATGTAGATTCTTCTTGGTCCCGTCTATTCTATGAGAGTTCTAGAGTACATGCATATACACATATACACATGCACACTTACACACTTACACACATTTTAGGTACTTATAGGTGACAGCTGTCATTGATGATTCGATCTCCATAAGGAAACTTATCCCCTCTCCCCCTTTTCCTTCCAGACCATATAAGAAGAAAACAAGACGGTGAAAGTGTAAGATCCAATCTGACTTATGTATTGTATGCGCTTGTCTATTCGCGGCTGTAAGCCACCGCTGAATTGATCCTACGTCGCGTCTAGCATTGACAAGACTTGATCCAATTAATTACCAATATACCTATGTCCAACCTAAGAATCTTTTACGAGGCTATGTGTCATTAATAAAGAATAGGAACGGGTTTTTAATCTTACACTGCACATCAGGATTTTCTACCATAGCTATTAAATCAAAAGCCGCTAATAACTACAAAATACTAAAGTCTCTAATACCTAAATAAAAGATAAGCCAAATGGTTTACATAGGTCTAAGTAGGTACCTAAATTACCTAGCTGCCTACCTAGGTACATACGCTTGCACCGTTAAAAAAGTCAAAGCTGAGGGGCAACCTGCTATGTCAGGCTGGTTAGGGTACCCTAGAAATCTAATTAAGTACATTCTCAAGCAGGGATAGCAATGATAGCAGGGTGGTGCCTGCTAGTAATCAACGGGAACCAAAATCTATGTACATTTGCGCTTAACCTTACCTGCCCTGCCAAACTCCAACACCAACTCCATACTTCACAATCGTCAGCCTGTAACATCGTCTTCTGTCCCCTGCATACTAATTCTAGCACATTACTCACTTAGATAAGACATTTTACATTTATTATAATTAATTAAATGCATAACAAGTTGGCTATAATAAAAGACTTAAATCCACAAGATGTCATCGTTAATTTCCAACACAAAAAAAGATCATCTCAAAAAGCTCGAGCATACCTAGAACCAAGGGCCGGAGTAGGTATTGCCGTCTGAACCGTCTATTTCATAAAAATGTATCGATCCGTTTGATTAGGTATCATAACCCCCACAACACCCACCTGTTCTCCCCATAATAGCAAGGAAGGTACTACCTAACCTAGGTACTATGAGAATTCGTTCATAAGTTCTTTTTTCTCTCCCCACATCTCAGTTAAGTTTACATCTCGTCAATTTCTCTAATGATGAAAGTCTTCCCGCCTTGTCCCGGGTCGCAACTTGAACCCTGCGACCCCGTTGAAACTTTGAGGCTCCAAGTACGTTTCAAACTTCAAATCAGATCAACTCCTTTGGCGCCTTGGAATACCTAGAGGAACAGCGGAATAGCACGAGCCTCAACTCGACTTGACCGCCTCATTCCATACACCACACCTACGCCATATGCCATACGCCATACACCATACACGTTTACAAACACGTCTACCTACATGTGATCCCTCAAGCCCCATGAACAACCAAAAGGACCCAAGAAATACGTGTAAGTATAACGCATTAACGTGTCACTGCCAGTGATACTAATAGCGTCTTAGTCTTGTACTACTGACCTAAATTTGAAGGTGAAGATGGGGACAGAAGCACGGACCGATTCTTCGTCTCAGTTCGGGGTTCCTTACAATGGATTCCTCTTATCGCCGAAAAACCCTTCTTACGTCTTACGTCTTGTCTTCTCTTGATTAATATCACATCCGTCGGTCGACTTCGCGTAGACGAGATTCAAAAGACCAGCCATGACTGCGAGCTAGTATCTTTTCTTTCCGGACAAGAGAAATACGGGCAAGAAAATATTAGGATGCGTCCTCCGCAGTTTTCTAGATCTCCACGTGGTAAACACCTCGAAAGAATACTTGTTACCATGCAACGGTATCCAAAAATATCCTCTTCACGGCGCGGATACCGCCAATTCATACCGACATAGAAGCGTTACACCACTGTCGAAGGCTGCAAGTCCGTACATGCCTACCTACCTTACATAATAGAACACCCAATGACTATGGAATATTTTGTTGGGATTGGCACATCAAGTATTGGCCCCCTAATTAGCTTGCTGGACCCTTGAGATTTTTTTATAAAAAAAATTACAGTTAACACTGACCGTATGCCGAAACGAACTGGTTCGAATTTCGAGTTCCATTCGGCTGAGGACTACCGACGCAAAAGGAATTCCCCCAAGTTTAAATCTGGCCTTACGACAAACCGAATCTTGCACATGCATACATGGCAGTGTACCAACCCCTTGCCTGTAGCCTTATGGATGAGATCAAGATCCCAGTCATGACAGTTAGCTACACTGCGGTTTGATTACCTGTGTATATATTACAGGTATCTACCGCCACCCAGCCCATTTCGTAGCTCGTGGGAAATATTTCTAGCACAGATCCTCCCAGGTTGATATATCTCCCGCCAAGTTCTTACCAATACCGTTTTCGACATACCGATTACCAGGCTTATGCTTATAGAAATCGTCCTTCATTACCTCACACTACCCTCCCTAATGTACCTATAGAACAACACAGAACATTACAAACGTTTATCCTGCAGCATGCGAGAAACGCCGCGAGCGCTGATCTAAAAGAGCTAGCAAGTCTGCATAGGCTTGGCATATTGCAGCTCGCAAGCAGGGATTTCTATGCATATGTAATTGGCACTCCAGTCTACCGAAAACAAGGAAACCCCGTCCACTAGCAGTTCGATATTCAAATTCACGTGGATGTAAACTCCAAAGATGACACCCAAGGAGGTGGTTCATCGACGGCTACCAGAGAGTATGATGCATTTATTTACTATAAGAACCGAGTAGATGATATAGCGCAACAGGTCATGGCAACCGGAAACCCGAGTGTCTGGATAGCCTAGGTACCTAGGTAGGCTTGTTGACCGCCGTAGCAAATCCGCCATCCACATCACCAACCTGCATCACAATATTTCGCTTTCCATTCCCCCGGTTTATCCCTCATAGGTTATTAGCATTCCTTCCCGTACTACAGCTCCGGTCTACTAATGTAGGAACCGGATGTTCTCGGGCTGTCTAGAACCGACAGATATTATGTAGACACTCGAAGTCTCGTGGGCAAAGATATGTCATGCACTTTTCAACAATTTTGGTTCACTAGGTACGGTTCATCGTCTCGCAATATTCTTATTTTTCTCTTAGCGCGCTTAGCGACCATTAAATTCGGGGTCTTACCAAACTTGACCTGGTTCAGTGGCCCTAAATATCCGAAGGTACTAATTTGTGGGATGGCCCGTCTATTTGACCAGTTGAAATAGCTTTTCGATTGTCATCGATTAATCAATGGCCTGATCACACTACTATGTATTGTACAAGGTTCTCACACAGTACAATTCAGGTGTTCGAGGTGACCGCCAACAAAAGATGGTTCCTTCGGCGAGCCGATTGAGAGGGCCCTTAACCGTTATGCTTTTCCCCACGAGCTTCCCGAAGCGGTAATCTGCTCCTTTCGGTTCAATGGCACTCCTAATTCCTAAAACCCCTCCATCGTCTGCAACCGCTCTCGTCCCAACAGTACTCCCCTGAGGATCTAAGGACGATCGAGGTAGCGAGTTCCATCCCACTACAAATCGAAAATCCGATACGGAACACTCAAGGAATTATTGTTTCCACCGTCTGTCACTTTTCATTCCCTACTACCCGCGATGTGCAGGCTCTTTTGTAGATCCAATAAGTCGATTTCCATGGACTCGGACCGCGGGGGTCTACAGACGGGGTCAGGCTAATTTAATCCGTAAGGGCTACGCTTTAACCCAGTTAAAGGAACTTACGTATCAACAGTTCGGGCATTTTTAATCTTCCTTGATAGGTGGCTACTCTACCGAGCTTCAAATTTGGCCGAGTACACCATGTCAGCAAGAGAATAGCCTTGCAGTACGCTCAACAACTAGCGAGTAACTACTACGTAGTCAGATAAACTATTAAACTCCAACTTTCACGGTGGCGAGCCTGGTCTTGAGACGATATTTGAACACATTAAGGTAAGGCACCTCGTTCATTTAATTACTTCATCTCTAATTTCCCGATTGGCGTAACACTCCACTGCGACTATGAGATTCTTGGTATATTTACGGCCGTATAGAAACTTTAAATGAGGCTAAGTTTGATATAATTTCACATTATAACGACCCGTGACTGTATTCCTACTTCTTGAACAAACAATGTCATCGACTCTCACTCATCGGTCTATCTACCTAGGTACCCACAAACCTATCTCGCAAGGCGGTATATGGATGATAAGCCTAGTATCTTAAACAGGGAACGAGCAGTCAAAAGCTGGAGTTGAGCTAGGCTCAGAATTAAATGCGGGAGCGAAACAACTCTTTCGCTAGCTATTCGACAACAGGCCATCAAGGAGTTCAACTAAAATTCTTTAATCGAAACTACGAATACGTGATGGCATTTCACGTGTGAACCTATACCATACCCTTACGCAGAGAGGCGACTAAGATGAGGCATATCCAGTTTCTATACATCTGCCCAGTATAAGTCGCAGGGCAAACCTCATTTGCCCCCCAGCTATAGAACCCCCACCATACCACTTAAGACATTTTCCTTCTTTGGCTCCCTCGGTCAAAAAATCATCCAGCAAATGAGGAGTTCCCTGCGTCGTTTTTTCAAGGATCCATATAGGTTATGCAAATCATAGGTTTCCCCTCGTTTGACGATGATGTGATGACGATGACATCTATGATCTTCACTGCTGAGAAAAATCGAGGTGTTTCGGCAGATGAGACCGAATACAAAATATATATATGCGTAAGATCTATCATGTCGATCACCGTTGTAGGGGATATCATGACCATACGGAATAGAGGTACAATACCTGATATACCCCAAGGTTGAGGATACCTAAGCTACCTCCCTAAATGAATGCTAAGTATGCATGTGCGAGCTAGCGCTGGTATCCGGAGACGGACATGATAGGCCGTTCGCCTCGACCACGCGCCGTACACATGCACAGTTATGTACCCCTTCCCATCATTCATCATCCTCGCCAGGACCAAGGCACCGGCTTAGCGGACATCTGGGCTAGGAGGGGGGAGGGGAGCGACCCGCCCGGCAAAGTGAGCCTTCGTCTTGGGAACCAAGTACGCTCCGATCTAGGTGCCGTCTTATCATATCGTATTGTACATATTATGTATTCCCCCCCTTAACAGCAAGTAGTACATCGACATGGGATTACCATTTGGCCCCCCCCCCCCCCCCCCCAAAAAGGTAAGCACGTGTTTCTAACTTTTTTTTGCACCCAACGACGGGACAAGAGGACTGGCTACATGCTTCTCGCGCTGGGGTTGGGTGGCGGATCCGACGGCCTGCGGTCGAAGTCGAATCAGCCTAGTCGATGGCCAGCCAGGTTGCTGACCTCCCCTCGCTGGGTTCCAGTTGATCCGGCACGAGGGGCGCTCCCGACGTCCGCCCGAGGGACTTGGTATTTTTTTTTTTTTTTAAAAAAAAAAAAAAAAAAAAAAAAAAAAAAAAACTTAGCTGCGCCGCTATTTGTCGGTTGGTCGTGTCGTCGGACGAAGGCGTGTGAGTTGAGCTGAGTTCAGTTGAGTTGAGTTGGCGGGATGGGGGGAGTCTTGAAGATAGTCTATTATTGTAAGATGTCTAAGTAAGAGGTAGGCAGTCGCTTCTTCTTATGCGGTTTATTTTGATAGAGTGTCCTGCATATAAGACTTTATCTATCTGCCTACTTCTCTGCCTACCTTTCTGCCTGTCTGTCTACCTAACCTATCTAGTCGTTGAGTGACGACGAAGATGTTCTAAATACGATGGCTCGACTCGTTTATATTGGCTAATATCATCAGTATTACTCCTATAGTCTAAGAATGAAAATCTTAATATCCCAAAGGGGCTGATTTAGGTACTTTTTATTTGAGTTATAGGACTAATGGCTTGTATAAGTATCTCATGATGCTGTGGTCTCATGTCACTTTATGGAGTGAAGCATCTCACCAACCTACAAGACACATTATTTCAATACTACAAACTAGTTCACCTTAGACAAGCTTGAGGAAGTAGCCGGTTCAAGTTTGTTTTAGGATATACTTCTGGAGCCTCTAAGCTACCTGGTGTTGGTTTCAAGTGCGCTGCTCTGCGAGCTCATGTCTCATCTATACGGACCATAATGGAATTTAAAACAGTTCGACTATGGAGAGGGCCATCATCTCAGCCTAGGATCAGTTATATGATTATCAGCGAAATGATGCCAACGAGAAGAACAATGTTTCTCTCTTTTTACTCGCGATAAGACGCAATGTCAAATGATCTTTTACTAAATCTCTCAGGGGAGATCCTGCTGTTAAGACTAAACAAGCTTATTATACTCGTAGTTGCTAAGAACAATTTGTTCTACGAATCTAGCAACTCAGGGGGTGAGAGTACTAACTATGATACTTTCTCCTTTGAGTTACACATGAAAGTCTGATATAGCTTTTGAGTATATGTCTGACCTGACAGCCACACATATTCCCTAGAGATAGGGGCTTATAGGAGGGGGTAGGTTCGCTAGTTTCATTCTCGTATTATATTCATCTCATACGACTTTGTGTACGTGTTGGACATATATACCTAAAGTATAAATTATCGGGAACACAGTAACATATCATCGCCTTCATGAAAAGGGGTATATTGGTAATTCGGGGCTACGGCTTCCAGACAACCTTTCGACGATGATGTTCGTAGCATTCGGACTATTGACCCCGTTTGCTGCTCGTTCTACTAGTTCGAAGCCTTGGAAGCATCTCAATGGCTGATGCATTTATCATGCTCTTGCGTGGATATGTTAATACTCTGTCCCTCTAGTGAATAGATATAAAACGGATCGTTGGTGCGATAACTCAATATGGTGATAGCGGAAGATAGCGAAACCCCTTAGGCGAACATGTGAAATTTGCCCAATATCAGATCTATACCAAGACATATTTAAGCGAGTTATCATTTTACATATCAGAATCATATTTTCATCTTAGATCGACCGTCATGGTCATGGAACAACTATATCAAGCCTCTCGAACAGCATGAAGGTTCGTAGACGTCATCAGGGTTCGTGAGACGTGAGAACATATATTTAACCCGTGTTGGTCATGTATATATCCTCCCCCCGCGAGCGCCACGGCAAGCTAATGTGCGTGCCCAAGCCTATCGTTCGTCTAGCCTTGCAGGTGGCGTCCTCGTGGGCGGCTTTCAAGCTCAGCTGGAGGGCCTATCCTACCCGCGATGGTATCGATTGCTAGAGATATTACAATTACATACATATGTTAGCGGTTAGTCGACGAAGCTTTACGTTATTGAATGTTTCAAGTTGTCAAATATCTACAATGCTGGTATTATGAAAATTTAATGATGATGAAGCTGAGATGTTGGGATCCTACGCTAATAAAAGTTTAGCAGCTTGATAAGTGAAAAATCCAATGGGAGCTCCCGCTGGAGCCAGCAGGGCTAGCCTTGTTAGTTAGCTGAAGGAAACCGGGGCTGGGCACATAGCGACCGGCACCAACTGATACCAACCAATAGAAGGCCCGAATCCGCTAGATTTTTACGAATGCAAGCACGCCTGTAGCACGCACGCTGGGCACGCCGGGCACGTTGTGTACCCCACGAGCACCCCCACTATACCACCACGGCGGTCGGCCTTTTACAGCCATTAACCTAGAACGAGACCAACACCGAACCCGGTCCTTCTACAATTTTTTTTTTTTTTTTTTTTTTCTTTTCAAGTAACAAAACGATTTCGCCTCGAGACTTTTAAAGTTGTTACGTCTCGTAAATAGACAGGCTATAAGTTTAGACTTATACGTCCTATGAACTTCTGTTCATGTCATGACCTTTTGTTGCTTGTCTAACCTGCATCTCACATCATACCTCAACTCAGCGCATAGTCTTATGTGCGCTGTCGCATCGCGATAACATCGTTTGCAGGCGACTTGAAGTCTTTGCGCTTGCAGTAACGGGGACGACAGAAAGACTTAAACACAAGTGGTATTCTGGGCTGTTTAAAATACCAGATCGTTAATTTTATTCATCTTGATAAGCTACAATCAATCTGGCGCTTATTTTTTATTTATTTTTTATTTTAATCGAGATACCCATCCTGTTTGTTGTTGCTTTTGCATGAGATTCTCGGATATCTGATCTGATATCTCATCAACTGCCCTATAGACATTCCGATACTCCTTAACACGCGGCCATAAACCCCCAAGGATACGGTATAAACTGGTTCAACAATTCGAAATGGCCGAATACAATAAGACGGACCAATTCCAGGTCCCTACCACTACCGTCGAAGTGATAGGTGGTAGTCACACCACCGAAAGTCATTACGGTGCCACCGATACCGATCGAGCTACCAACGAAGCCGTCAGCCACGGTTTGCAGCATATCGAAGCTAAGAAGTTTCATTGGTATTCGTATTTTACCACCGCCGACTTCTGGATCGTCCTCCTGCTGGGCCAGACGCTTGCTCTGTGTATCACAGCCACCAACACCTTTTCGACTTTCCTAGCCAACGGCGGCGTTTCCATCCCGGCCTTCCAGACCGTTTTCACATATATTCTCCTGTCCCTCATCTACCTGACCTATACTCTCTATACCTACGGCCCCAAAAAGTACGGTAAAATCCTGCTGCGAGACGGCTGGAAGTACTTCATCCTCAGCTTCCTCGACGTCCAGGGCAACTACTTCACCGTACTGGCTTACCGCTATACCAACATCCTATCCGCGCAGTTGATTAACTTTTGGGCTATCGTATGTGTTGTCGTCATCTCGTTTCTTCTGCTGCGCGTGCGCTACAAGATTTTCCAAATCCTCGGCATATTAATCTGCTGTGGTGGTATGGGAATTCTGCTCGCTAGTGATCACATCCAAGGCACTAATGGAGGCAACGGAGAGAATATGGTTAAGGGTGACTTGTTTGCTCTAGTGGGTGCCACATGTTACGGCCTCACCAACGTTTTTGAGGAGTGGTATGTCAGCAAGCGGCCTATGTACGAAGTGCTGTCTTTCATGGGTCTCTTCGGCATGCTTATCAACGGTGTGCAAGCCGCCATTTTCGACCGCGAGAGCTTCCAGCAGGCGACGTGGAGCAACACCATCGCCGGGTACATGGTGGGCTACACCCTGGTACTTGCCTTCTTCTACTCGGTCGTGCCCTTCATCCTACGCATCGCATCCGCGGCTTTCTACAACATCTCGCTGCTAACGGGCAACTTCTGGGGCACCATCATCGGCATCCGCGTGTTTGGGTACACGATCCACTTCATGTACCCGATCGCGTTCGTCTGCATCATCGTCGGCCAGATCGTATATTTCCTCGCGGGGAGCATGCTCGGCGAGTCCAAGAAGCCGTGGCTCGGCGATAACCAGGAGGACGGCATAGCGGGCTTCGGAACGGCAAAGCTTAAGGCGTTGAATGAGGCGAGGAGACAAGGCATGGCGCCGGCGGCGAACGATACGGTTTAGACTTGCTTATGGTATATGATATGATGTATCACGAGTCTTCGATATATTCGTGGGAGGGGGGGGGGGAGTTGGGAATTGAAGTCTTTGAGATACCAGTGCCTCGAGCTGGGCCGCTCATCTAAGTGGTTTGCTATACTTTGGCTCGATAATATACGGAATTGAAATATCCTTTTTTTACAATGTCTTGTACGATGCTTGGTGTTTGGTGACTTTATAATCGATCAATGATGTAGTTCCTTCTTCGAGAGGCTCCCTTAGCTTGCGCCCCTGAAACCAAACTTTCGTCATCGCTAGTCTCAACTGTATAGCTATAGCAATGCGTTGAACGCATGTCGCTAGGTATGTGTCTTTGCATAATGCTCAGGTAATATAGGGGAAATATCTCGCCTACCTATATTAGGTACGAAGTAACTGGGACGTTTTATTCTTTGGCATGGTAAAGGTATGGGCATTTACCATTTAATAGTTAATATCCCTAACACTTGCCGGAAAAAATAAATATATATATATATATTGCGTTACAAATGACTGCTATCAATACACACTTGATTTTGTGTCCTTTTCTTGAGCATCGTTTTAGGTGCCGGTATGTTAATACCACTTCTTCCAAGGTACAGCTTCCCTTCGAGGTTATTCATTGACTGGGTACCTTCAACTATAGCTTACTATGTGGTCTGTGGAATTATTTGGAGGGAATGTGATGAAATATATACCTATTCTAAGGTTAAGTCAGGTCCTCTAGATTATGTCATTATATATCATATGCTTTATCGTCTATTTATACAGGATAGTTTTACATGTCGATTATACGAAGCTCAGGTAGGCATCGAGAGCAATCTACCTAGTTCCCTTGACCATCTTCTCGGTATCGAGTAACTAACTCACCAGTTCCAAACAAGTTGTTGCGTTCAAGCTTGCGACCCAAACGCTTGTAGCCTTCTTTTAGTTTATTACCCCCTTTCCGTTAAATGATATCTAAGCCTATTTCTTAGCGGCTCGTCGGTCCGCCAGTGTATAAAAGATACTCCCGTCGTAGATGCCTCTAATATCTTCTTTCCTCATCTTGCCGTCCACGGGCCACAGCATCAGATACGTCGCGAGCCCTACCACCACCACCACCGTCACCGTCACCGTCACCGTCTCAAGCGTCAGTCCCCGGCTCCAACCAAACCAAACATAGCAAGGCAACGTGTAAGATGTAGGAAAACAACAGAAAGAAGAGAAGAGGAAATCACTCACTCACACTCGAAGAAAGCCCCACCCCACCCGACAAGATCCATAATGCACCTCTAGCCCCCGAGCAGATCCCCCACGTCCCAGACGGTCAAGTAATCGCGGGCCCGCCGCGTACCTGGCGAACACGTCCTCGAAGCGCTGGGGGCACGAACCGGCCCTCGGCGTCGAACGCGCCCGTGTCGCTGCCGTGCTTGGCCCGGTGCACGTCCGCGAGAAAGACGCGGAAGAACGGGTCCGGCAGCCAGCCAGCCCCTCCACAGTCGGGTACGAGAAGTTGGCGTGGATCACGAGCACCGCGGCTAGCGAGAGCACCGCCCCGAAGCCCAGCTTGCGGAACCCGCTGAAGGTGTCGCGCGGCTAGATCACGCCGTCGCGGTCCTGCGGGGGGGAGTTAGCGGGAAGTATATTTGGTTAGGTAGTGATTGGAATAGAAAGGGGGAAGGGAAAAGGAATCCCGCTTACGGAGTCGAAGAACTCGCAGTGCTGCTAGAGCACCGTCTTATCCCGATGCCGCCTCGCCCACCCGTCCACCACCGCCGCCGCCGTCGTCCCGAAGGGCTTTTCGTACATAGCTGCTATGTTGGCCCGGGCGGTACCTAACCCGCGGTGCGTTTTGAGCATATTTTTTTTTAATTTTTTTTTTTTCATCTCTTATAATAGAAAGCGTAGAAGATGAGATGAAGATGAGGAGGAGAAAAGGGGGAGAGAGGGGGGGGGGGGGGGGGGGGGGGGGGGTTGGGGGTAAAAAAAAAAAAAAAAAAAAAAAACAACCCCAAGGAAAAAGATAATAAGGTGGGGGGGGAGTCGAAACAGAAAGAAAAACACAG